TAATTATAAATTATTTATGTTATAATTTCAATTTAGATTTATAATTTACTTGTTTTATTTCTGATTTTTACAATTTAAAGCTGTCTTGAAACACTCAATTGCTTCTAATTGTTGCTTGAAAAATGATTATTATTAATTAAATAATCCAAATTCTCTGACTAGATCAGTTAATTCGTATTAGTTGCTTCATTTGTAAATTTTGAAAAAAAAAGAAGAAACAATATTTTTAGACATATTTTTGGGTCAGTATTAATCATAGACTTATTATCAAAATTGTAAATTGAGGATAATTGACAAAAATTTTCAGGAAACCCAAAAGATGGACATCAATGACTTCATCTAGCCCAAAAAAACAATTTAAGACAAAAAGTAATACCCCATAGACATGATATTAAAATTCGTTTCTGATTATTTATTATTTATTGAAGAGGAAAAAAATTAATTTTCTTAAGAATTGAATTATATGCTCAAAAAATAGTAATTGTCTTTAAATGTGATATCATAATCCATTCAAGCTATTAAGCTAAGTTTCAATATTGTTATTGTAATGCTCTAAATGAAGAATGTGGTAAAAAAAACCTAATATTTTCAATAGTATTAGGCTTGCAAGTTATTAAGAAATAGTCTTTTAATTAATGCTCCTATATTTAATTTTGATTCATGCATTTGTTATTCTTTAATTTAAAAACTGGTATTTCTAATAAATAATCAATCTATGGGGTTATGAGAATTAATTCAAATTCTCAAATCACTGATGTTCTTTTATTCGAAATAAATTGCTTATTTATTAGCCTCCTTTTAATCAAATTATGATATCCTTCTTATTTAATTTACATTCGAAATAAATTTCCTTTTCGAATGTAAAATTAAAGTATAATAATTTTTGGTTTATGCAAAATTAATTGTTATTGATTTTAGTAATAATATTCCAAACCATACTATTCAAATGGTTGGGTTTCACTTACAGATTGATGAATGTGAAGGATATTTTAACACAAAAATTTTTTTTCATGATATTCCAAAGCGACTCAATGTATTATAAAAAATATAGATGTGAAAAGAAATAATGATTATTAATTTAGAGTATAATCAATATTTTCACAAAAAAAAGATTCTTAACATTAAAGCAAAACTTACCAAATCCATCTAAATTAACTCCATCGATAATGATAATAATCCTTTTTGAACTAAGAAATTTTTTCATCTCAAATAATAACAATCTCAATATCATTGAATCGATTAAATTAAAAGCGCTATTCTATTTTTTTTGTTGAATAAATTTCAAGAATTATGATATTTATATGTTTTCCTTATAAAAAATAGTAATGGTTTACAATAGCTTAAAGAATTAATTTGATATTTCTAAGGCACTGAAAATTTGTTGACTTCTAGTTCTTTAAATTCTCAACTTTGAATGTATTTAGATTCGCATTGGAAAAATCTTTAATACTGATTATCCTAACTTTTTGTTTCTTACTTATGATTACAATTCGTTTTAAGGTAAAATTCTTAAATTTAAAGTATTTTGTTTTGAACAAAAGATCATCTCAGCTTATCTAGCAAATCTTGTATTTTCTTAATTATGTTTAATTATGGTTTAATAAAAAGGAGATGGTACATTGTAGAAAGGATAGCTACAATTGTTTTTTGCAAATTTCCTTTTGTCTTTGTTCATATAATTGAGTCCACACTGAAGATTGTTGCTGTTTGCTCAACTATTTCTGGATTGTGAATTTATAAACTTATTCCTATTCATTATTTGTAATTGTAGAGGGATAATACAAATTTTCTTCTTTTTCATATCTAAAATTATTTATTTTCAAATAATAAATATATAATATCCTTAAAGTATTTGAATCGATAATCCTCTTTGTTATGTCCAATAGTTAATATTTATTGAGCCTCTAACTTCTAAAATTAAATTAAATGCTTTTGTTATATAAATATATAATGTGAATATTTCTTTTATAAAATCAATTTCGGAAAAGATAAAACCCAATAATATTCTCCCCATACAATATGTGGTTATAAATCCTGAAAAATTACTATAGTCCTTTAATACTAATTTTCAAATTGTTACAACCTAAAAACTGTAATTTTTAGAGTATAAAGCAAATTGGATATATATGTACCCTCTGAAATAGTTATAATTATTTTTTTTGTGAGGTTTATTGGGAAAAGGTCCAGTTAGCAATAATAATTTTGCTATCCACATATTCTGTCTGAATTTCTGAATATATATTAAATTTTTCCAAAAGGTTCATATAAGAATTTTCTAAGTATAGGTGCATAATAGAATTTGTTTTTTCATCCAAAGTTCGAATAAAAAATAAGGATAAAGTGGTTAAGATAGCCTTTAGAGATAGGTTATTATATTAAAATAGTATTGAAACTCTTTGAGATTAGGTTTTAAGTTACTGAAATTTATATGATAAATTTGAGAATTACATTCAATATAATAATTTTATTTAGGATAATTTAATTCATTTAAACTCTCTTCTTGTAGTTTTCGCTTCTGGTCGTCAATCTAAATATATTCAAAGGAAGGTTATCTAAGATGTTGTTGAATAATAATTGGTTTTTTGATGAGAATATGCATAATTCAATTACATCGACTTGTAGAATACCTCATATTACAGATAAAGAATAAATTGTAGAAATAGTTAAGGGATTATAATATTTTAATGGGTAGGATTAAATGTAAGGTAGTTTTAACTAATTTGGAAATAAATATTGTATTTCAGGATGGATAAAAATAGACACTACTCAAATTCGTCATTCTTCAAAAATGCCTGTAATTCGGATAACAACTTTTTAAAATTATGGTAGTGGCAAGAATATTGGTGATGAATTGATAAAATTAGAGATTGAGGTAAATAAAAATTTTCCAAATAAAACAAAATACATTTTAACTAACAATTTGTATGGATTACCTAAATAAGGTTTATAAAGTTAATATCCAGATTTCAATCCTATTTTAGATTTACTTTATTGTTGTGATTATTATTTAAATGGTATTCAGCAATGGCATTTCATATAATATGAGTATGGTAGATCTTAAAAACATGAAAAAATTTTAATATAGATTAAATTTTTTAATGAATTAGGATTGCAATCAAATTCGATAGGAACAAATAAATATTAATCCTCATTCACAAATTCTAAATTTTATTATATTTTTGGAGGAGACTACTTTTCTAGCAACATGCTTTAGGCTTGGGTGAGTGATTTTTAATTCTAATTTAATTATTAAAATGATAAACCACTAATGAACAATGGTAATTTAATATTTTCATCATATTAGTTTGTTATTATTCTTGTGGGACTTGTAATGGACCTTAATAAACAAATTGCTTATCTTGTAAGCCTGATTCTAATAGAGTGTACATAATTGAAGAAAAAAAGTGTTAATGCTTATTAGGCTACATCGATTATGATGGATAAATACTCTGTGTCAAATTTGAAAATCGCTTTCCAACAATTTCATAAGAGATTGTGATGAATTCAGTCAATTAATCTTGTTAATATGGATATTTTTCCAAAACACCACAAAGGATTTAAACTTTTTAACTTAAAAATAATTTAGTTTAAAATAATTTAACATCGACAAATTTATCAGAAATAAATGAATGTATAAAATGGTATAATCTATTTTATCTCTAGCCCTTAAGACAATGATAATGATTTATTATGTATAGATTGCTTGTAATTTCCAATAACTTGGTCTTAAAAACCCATCTGCACAAAGGATTTAATAAATCATGGATAAACATCTGATAGTGCTTTTTAACTAATATCCAGAAGCTTAAGAGATTATGATTTTTATTTCATTGATGATGAAAATTAATTGAAACTCTAATTAGGGTATTTGGACTATTGTGATCCAGATCGAAAAGAAGAAAAATGTGTTTTATCTCGAGAAAAAAATAACGGTTAATATCATTATGTTAATTGTAAACCTAATTATTACATACTCAATAATGATTGCGAAGAAATAAATCTAAATTGCTTAGAAGCCTAAGACAATGGTGATTGTAAAATTTGCTTAGATAATATGTACCCAGTTCAAAATAAATGCTATAATTGTCCTATTGATTGTTAAACTTGTGAATTCAACAAATTAGATAAAGAGGTTTAATGTACTTCTTGCTATGATAGATATGCTTTAAAGAATAAATAATGTTAATTATGCGGTTCATATTGTAAAATATGTCAAAATTATTATGATAACAATCTAAAGTATTCATACCTTAAATGTTTGAAATGCATTGATAATACTAAATACTTTTTATCTTTTGATGGAGTCAGTTGTTAGGAGAATTTAATTGAAAATTGCTTATATGCGTTTTAATATTTAAAATCAAATTCATAAATCAACACACTTGATTAATACTTTGAAGTACAGTTGGATTAAGAAAATATTGTTACAACTTGTGCCAGATGTGTGAGTAATTCTATACTAGTGATATCCTTACAATTATGCTTATTTGTTGATAATAATGTATGTTTATTTGGATATTCTTAATCATTAGTTTAGTGCGACTTATAATTAAATAATCTTGCCTATTCAAAAGCAACTGGAAATGTATGTACTACTTAATAAATTTGTTTAATTACTACTTCAACAGTTTCTGATGAGGTTTAATTTACTGAATCATGCTCTGAATTTTCGTCCATTCACTAATGTGAAACATGCTTATAAGGAAAATTTTCAGTATCACAATAATAATAGATTTATATATGTTTGAATTGTTAAGATGGATATTATTTAGACAATATAATAAGTAAATGTTTTTTGTGTCCATCTGATTTGAAATGTTAATCATGTTATTAATAACACAAAGCATCTTAAGATAATTGGAAAATAGACATAAGAGCATATTATAAAGTATTTATTGAAAAAGATGATGAACATCCTTATTCTTAATATGGTTAAAGCTCAAATAAAGAAGATTATGAAATAAAATGCAGTCAATGTGTTTTTGGGTATGAACTAATTAATAATCAATGCATTTAATCATGTTCTGATAGGTGTTTGAGATGTTAACTCATAAATGGGTAAAATATTTGTTTAAAATGTAAACTTGGATAATATGGTAGGAAATTAACTTTAATGAATAATGAATGCATTGAGTGCTCATCAAATTGTGCTTTATGTCGAGTAAGATCAAATGAAGAAATTAAAAAAATTAATCCTTTATTTGATAATCCAAAATATATTACATATGCTCATTAATGTCTCAAGAGTTATACAGATAATGGATATACTTATGATTAATAATTAGGAATGTTCGTAAATTGTTTGGGTTAAGATTTAGGATGTTTTTTATAGTATAGTGTTAATTTAAATTTATATTGTTCTTCTTAAGAGTATCATAATGATAGAGATGCTATTTTTGATTCTTTCTAAAGATAACGTTTTTCACTTGAAAATATTTTAATTGATGATTTGATATCTGGCTCAAGCTTTAGAGAAGTAAAGTTTAATATAATTTAGTATGAAAACGATTTGTTTTACTTTTAAGCTAATGAGAAATAAATAAAATCTATAAGAATAATAATTCAAAGTAAAATAAATTAAAAATGCATGATTCCAGATCGATCAAAGATTTAATAAGTCTTTAGTGAACACATATTTTCGGCTATGTATATTTTCCCCTTATTAATAGCAATGTTGAATTAGAGTTAAACTTTCTTTATGAAATACAATTTGTATATGAAAGGATATTGTAATTTTTGAATTTCAATTCCATTAAAATAAGCAACCTAAAATTAATTCCATAATCTAGTGATAAACTAAAAGAAATAATTTTCACAAGTTGTTTTCCTCTTAACATAGAGTTAAATAATATCTAATTCTCTTCAGATAAATTAATGACTCAATCATAAATAATATTTCTGAATGTTTCATCACTAACTATAAATAAATTCATAATTAGCGATCTTATTCTTGAAAAAAGTGAAGCTTTCATAATAATTGCTTAAACTGAATTTTAAAAGATAATTTAGATAAATGATTTTTAATTTTTGAATTCCAAACTTAATGGAATAAACCTTTTACATCTTGAATTAGANGGGAATTAATCACACCTTTCTTTTATACTAGCTTCTTCTTTTTAATTTACTTTATTGCCTTCAAAATTGGATATGCTATTTTCAATAAAAGTGTCATAACAACTACACTCATTTATATCTACATCTATTTATAACCAACATTAATTGGTGGATTGATGCTATTGGTTTCCTTTAGGGAGGTCTCAGATTATAAATGGATTTCTGCAAATGTATCTTAGAGGTATGACACAGAAATCCATAAATTATGGATGTTTAGATTTTGTATACCTACACTTCTTTTATTTTCCATTGTAATACCACTCTATTTATTAATTGGGCTTTACAAAAATAAAGATAAATTTAATAAAAAATTGGTGCGATAAAGTTGGGGTTATTTGTACATAGAATATCGATATTTAACCTTTTATTGGGAAATAGTTAAAATATTTTAGAGAGAATTAATTATCCTCTCTTTAACATATTTTGAAGATAGTATTCTCATCAAAGCAATAATTGTGGTTTTGATTTTAATCCTTTACTTAGAGTTGAACAAAAAATTTAAACCCTATAATCTAAATTATTTAAACTAGTTGGATTATTTTTTAACAAACACTTGTATAATTTCAATCAATTTGGGAATAGGATGCTACTTCTCATAATATTCAGGCTCAACAGAACTCTCATATATATTTATCTTAGTCTTATTGTTCTTAAATATTTATTCAATTTCATATCTACTATTGAAAATTATCAAAGAATTTTTAAGATAATAAATTAATGAATTAGAGTAAAAACTGAATGTATTTAAAATAAAGTTAGCAAGGTTTTTTCCATGTTTAATGAAATATAATATTATTTAAAAATTATTAAGAAATCATAAAGAAAAATAAGTAAGGTAGAAGTATTTAATTAAAAAATTAAAAACATATCTTTTGAAAATTGCTAAAAAAATTATCATCATCAAAAATTAAGAAAAGTATAATTGTTTTCAACCTGAAAATAATTGTGAATAATTATTAGATTCTAGAACAATTACTCCCATCATATCTTCTTCTGAAAAGAATCTGTGTAAACATCATTTGGTTAAAACTAATTCTCTGATAGCGTTATAATAATAAAGAATTAGTATATAAATTCTTGACTAAAAGTATTCTTTTTTTATTAATTTAAGACCTACATTGTTATTAAATATTAATGCTAATGATACAATATCTGGAAGATAAAATTGAATTTTTATTGATAAACTAAAACATGATTAAATATTTGGATAAATCAAGTTATTTAATATAATTATATATATATATTCTTCATAAAATCTACTAATTTCTTATTATTGATAGATATTAAATATAGTTAGAGAATATGGCATTAAAATTCATTTAAATATTTTACTAAGTAGAATATTTATTAAGACATAAATATATTTTATCAGTGAAATTCTATTAATAATAGTATTTGTTAAAGAATAATAAGTTTTCTATAAAGTATTATTTGTTATTTAAAAAAATGTCAACTGAAGATGCGGTTTTTTAATCATAAACATTAGATAAAAGAATTGACCTCGAATTTGAACAAGATGAAAAGGTTATAATTATAGAAATTAATCCTCAAAAAGTGTTAAAGGAATTCTTTGCATAATTTCAGCTATTGAATAGAATTATTGTCAGATATCTAAATTATTCTCTATAAACTTGTTTGGAAATCTAGTACGGAAGAAATTAATTATTAATTTCATCTCAAGACTCTAGAGTATTATTGGAAGATTAAAAAATTGTGATGTAAAAAAACAAATTAGATTAAATAGTGGATACTTAAGGTATATGGATATATTTGAATAAAAAAACTTTAAATTTGAATATTGGATATGGGGAAGCTAGAAAAGAAACAATAGTAGCTCATTATATAATGGAATCAGTCCAAAATAGTATAAAATCAATCAAATAAATTACAATATGGTAAGAATCGATTCCCTTAAACTTCTTACCTTAAATTATATCCAGTTAAAAAGGAGAGCTAAAGCCAATAAGGATTCACACAAAAGATCATTTTATTCCCACACTAAGTTCTGTTATCTTATAAAAATGCTAAAATATTTTTGATTTGAATCAAGGGAAGTAAGCAAAGAATTTAGCTTCAGAAATAGACGATTTATATTAATAAGCAAGTTAAATTGAATTGCATTAAATAGAATATTTTGAATCTGGTTAATAAGTTTAGGGAGTAGCTAAATTTAATTTAGGAGACTTAATTCATCATAGTGTTACAATTGAAGGATGCAAATTGAACTAAATACTAAAAAATAAATAGGAAACTACTCAAAAAAATGGTTTAGATCCTTTAATGACTTACATAAGATTGGGATTAGGCCATTTTAATAAAGATTCTGCAGGACATTAATTTGTCTTAGAAATTTGGCCATTTAAACATTATTCATCTATTCATGATCATGCAGGATAATATGGAATAGTAAAGGTTTTATAAGGAATAATTAATGTAAAAATTTATGCCATTTTATCAAATGCCAAACATTTGATGAATCCTATAAAGTCATTAACATGTAATCAGAATGATATGACATGGCTGTCACCTAAATTAAATTAGGTTCATTAACTAAATAATTTCTATCCATAAACAGCAATAACATTATAATGTTATAAATATTCTAAAAAATCCTAAGAAAAAATTAAACAGTTTGCTTATGTTGCAAATTAGTAATATAAAAACTTTAATCCATTATCAGATTTTCCAGATATAGAATTGCATACTATTTTTAAAGAATTAGTTGAAGAGTATTCTAATTTGTATAAAAAAAAATGATTAAGTTAATTATTTAATTTAAATCTAATAAAATAAATTCATTCGAAGATGGAAATCATCTTTTTGATTCTTTTCTCTCTTTTAATAATTTCTGTGGATTATTTGAATTATTTACATTTGGATTTAGNTTAAGAAATCATAAAGAAAAATAAGTAAGGTAGAAGTATTTAATTAAAAAATTAAAAACATATCTTTTGAAAATTGCTAAAAAAATTATCATCATCAAAAATTAAGAAAAGTATAATTGTTTTCAACCTGAAAATAATTGTGAATAATTATTAGATTCTAGAACAATTACTCCCATCATATCTTCTTCTGAAAAGAATCTGTGTAAACATCATTTGGTTAAAACTAATTCTCTGATAGCGTTATAATAATAAAGAATTAGTATATAAATTCTTGACTAAAAGTATTCTTTTTTTATTAATTTAAGACCTACATTGTTATTAAATATTAATGCTAATGATACAATATCTGGAAGATAAAATTGAATTTTTATTGATAAACTAAAACATGATTAAATATTTGGATAAATCAAGTTATTTAATATAATTATATATATATATTCTTCATAAAATCTACTAATTTCTTATTATTGATAGATATTAAATATAGTTAGAGAATATGGCATTAAAATTCATTTAAATATTTTACTAAGTAGAATATTTATTAAGACATAAATATATTTTATCAGTGAAATTCTATTAATAATAGTATTTGTTAAAGAATAATAAGTTTTCTATAAAGTATTATTTGTTATTTAAAAAAATGTCAACTGAAGATGCGGTTTTTTAATCATAAACATTAGATAAAAGAATTGACCTCGAATTTGAACAAGATGAAAAGGTTATAATTATAGAAATTAATCCTCAAAAAGTGTTAAAGGAATTCTTTGCATAATTTCAGCTATTGAATAGAATTATTGTCAGATATCTAAATTATTCTCTATAAACTTGTTTGGAAATCTAGTACGGAAGAAATTAATTATTAATTTCATCTCAAGACTCTAGAGTATTATTGGAAGATTAAAAAATTGTGATGTAAAAAAACAAATTAGATTAAATAGTGGATACTTAAGGTATATGGATATATTTGAATAAAAAAACTTTAAATTTGAATATTGGATATGGGGAAGCTAGAAAAGAAACAATAGTAGCTCATTATATAATGGAATCAGTCCAAAATAGTATAAAATCAATCAAATAAATTACAATATGGTAAGAATCGATTCCCTTAAACTTCTTACCTTAAATTATATCCAGTTAAAAAGGAGAGCTAAAGCCAATAAGGATTCACACAAAAGATCATTTTATTCCCACACTAAGTTCTGTTATCTTATAAAAATGCTAAAATATTTTTGATTTGAATCAAGGGAAGTAAGCAAAGAATTTAGCTTCAGAAATAGACGATTTATATTAATAAGCAAGTTAAATTGAATTGCATTAAATAGAATATTTTGAATCTGGTTAATAAGTTTAGGGAGTAGCTAAATTTAATTTAGGAGACTTAATTCATCATAGTGTTACAATTGAAGGATGCAAATTGAACTAAATACTAAAAAATAAATAGGAAACTACTCAAAAAAATGGTTTAGATCCTTTAATGACTTACATAAGATTGGGATTAGGCCATTTTAATAAAGATTCTGCAGGACATTAATTTGTCTTAGAAATTTGGCCATTTAAACATTATTCATCTATTCATGATCATGCAGGATAATATGGAATAGTAAAGGTTTTATAAGGAATAATTAATGTAAAAATTTATGCCATTTTATCAAATGCCAAACATTTGATGAATCCTATAAAGTCATTAACATGTAATCAGAATGATATGACATGGCTGTCACCTAAATTAAATTAGGTTCATTAACTAAATAATTTCTATCCATAAACAGCAATAACATTATAATGTTATAAATATTCTAAAAAATCCTAAGAAAAAATTAAACAGTTTGCTTATGTTGCAAATTAGTAATATAAAAACTTTAATCCATTATCAGATTTTCCAGATATAGAATTGCATACTATTTTTAAAGAATTAGTTGAAGAGTATTCTAATTTGTATAAAAAAAAATGATTAAGTTAATTATTTAATTTAAATCTAATAAAATAAATTCATTCGAAGATGGAAATCATCTTTTTGATTCTTTTCTCTCTTTTAATAATTTCTGTGGATTATTTGAATTATTTACATTTGGATTTAGCATTATCAAAAACTTATGAATATTTTAAATTTCTAATATAATTTCAACTCTAAATAATTTTTCAAAAAGATGTTAAGAAACAGAAATTAAGCCATCTGCTGTTGTTAATAAATAAGAATTCTTATTTTATTCAATTCCTCTCTTTTATTTTTGAAATTAACAGTTCATAGCTAGTTGGATATAATTTTAGTTGATAAAAATTTCTTTTGATCATTAACATTACTTTGAATAAAATTTTTGAAAAAAAGAAAAAAAATGAATCTTCAGCATCTATATTTTCAGTTTTTTTTTAATTGAAGTTATTCAACTGTTTAAATTTGATAAAATTCTAATAGTATTAAATTATAAAGGAATTCTTTAATGAGTAGTGATTATTTCTTCTCCCATTCTTTAGCTCCCATCTATTAGATTCTTCCAAATCAACAAAAACATTCTTAAATAAAGTTCCATTTTTCATCATAATCAATAACCAGCTTTGTCTATTTATTCAGATTCATTTTTGATATGATTAAATAAGTTATTATAAAACTGAAAATCCAAAAGTTAGTAAATATCATTTTAGATTAGCTATATATATATAATCGATCTTTAGTTGACATTAATCTTCCTTTTAATTCCCCACATATTCTCTATATTATAAGTGTATGTGGATGAAAACTTTCAAAAAAATAAATGTATCAACAATCTTATTCCATTTTGGTCTTTAAATTTTATATAATTTATTAAGACATTACCACTTAGCACTACTTGGTACATCATCTTCCAACATGATCATTACTACCAAGAACCTTTAGTAGTTTACCCTTAAATATGAAATGATGATTCATCAGAGCAAATAACATCGACCTTTCCTTTAAAAATTATAAACATGGATCCTCCTTTTTCTTTATATCTACAAAGTGTCAAATCATTTTCTATTTTAAATCAATATAAGTCAAAAATTTTCCTAATTCCTTTAATATTACTAAATGCATTAACTTAAATAAACTCAGGGTTTAAAGATAAAGTGCAACAAGAGTTTTTTTTTCATCATCCCTTCTAAATAATTCATTTCTACAAATTGGAAAATTTTCAAATGAATATCAAAATCTTTATTACTAAAATATAGTTTTACTCATGCTATTTCAACTTTGAAAATCTTATCCCTCATCCATCCATTTTAGAAAATTGAAAAAGTAATTGTTAGGTAAAGAGGTAAATTTCTTTTTTAAAGTACTTGTGCTGAATTATATGAAAATTCATTAATTTTCTTTCTCAATAATGTGTTCCGTTTCAAATCTTAATTGCCAAAAGCTCCTTCTCATTTCATGAAGTTATTTCTCTTTTTTTCTAGAGAAGTCTCATTACTTATTAAATAAATTACAAATTAATAAATCAAATAAACAATAAAATGGAAAATTGTATTATTTTTGATTTTCATTTGAGGTTATTTAAGGCCAATAGAATTTTATTTTTTTTATTTATTCCTTTATATGAGAGAACGACAAAATGGATTTATTTAACTGCTAGAATTTTATATTGGTTTTTACTTTTTAGGTTCTCTTTCATGATTTTAGTGGGAATTGTAAATAATTCTAATAAACAATTGAATTCTGTCTTATAAATTGAACGATCAAGTTTTATAGATTCAGGCTCAACTACTATTAATTATCTTCTCTTTTTAATTTATTTATAAGAATAATATTTGCCATTTATTTGNTATTAGATTCTTCCAAATCAACAAAAACATTCTTAAATAAAGTTCCATTTTTCATCATAATCAATAACCAGCTTTGTCTATTTATTCAGATTCATTTTTGATATGATTAAATAAGTTATTATAAAACTGAAAATCCAAAAGTTAGTAAATATCATTTTAGATTAGCTATATATATATAATCGATCTTTAGTTGACATTAATCTTCCTTTTAATTCCCCACATATTCTCTATATTATAAGTGTATGTGGATGAAAACTTTCAAAAAAATAAATGTATCAACAATCTTATTCCATTTTGGTCTTTAAATTTTATATAATTTATTAAGACATTACCACTTAGCACTACTTGGTACATCATCTTCCAACATGATCATTACTACCAAGAACCTTTAGTAGTTTACCCTTAAATATGAAATGATGATTCATCAGAGCAAATAACATCGACCTTTCCTTTAAAAATTATAAACATGGATCCTCCTTTTTCTTTATATCTACAAAGTGTCAAATCATTTTCTATTTTAAATCAATATAAGTCAAAAATTTTCCTAATTCCTTTAATATTACTAAATGCATTAACTTAAATAAACTCAGGGTTTAAAGATAAAGTGCAACAAGAGTTTTTTTTTCATCATCCCTTCTAAATAATTCATTTCTACAAATTGGAAAATTTTCAAATGAATATCAAAATCTTTATTACTAAAATATAGTTTTACTCATGCTATTTCAACTTTGAAAATCTTATCCCTCATCCATCCATTTTAGAAAATTGAAAAAGTAATTGTTAGGTAAAGAGGTAAATTTCTTTTTTAAAGTACTTGTGCTGAATTATATGAAAATTCATTAATTTTCTTTCTCAATAATGTGTTCCGTTTCAAATCTTAATTGCCAAAAGCTCCTTCTCATTTCATGAAGTTATTTCTCTTTTTTTCTAGAGAAGTCTCATTACTTATTAAATAAATTACAAATTAATAAATCAAATAAACAATAAAATGGAAAATTGTATTATTTTTGATTTTCATTTGAGGTTATTTAAGGCCAATAGAATTTTATTTTTTTTATTTATTCCTTTATATGAGAGAACGACAAAATGGATTTATTTAACTGCTAGAATTTTATATTGGTTTTTACTTTTTAGGTTCTCTTTCATGATTTTAGTGGGAATTGTAAATAATTCTAATAAACAATTGAATTCTGTCTTATAAATTGAACGATCAAGTTTTATAGATTCAGGCTCAACTACTATTAATTATCTTCTCTTTTTAATTTATTTATAAGAATAATATTTGCCATTTATTTGTTTTCTTCTTGACAATCTCTATTCTAATCATCTTATTTTAGTTTTACCTTATTAAAGTAAACTAAAAATTTAATCGTATAAAGCATTCTATGATTATTATTTTAGCTATTCATCAATTTCAACATTGAAACTAATTTTAAACTTTATTGTAACAATTTTTCTATGTCAGACTTAACTTAACTATTTGGAATAATTTAATTTGATCTTCTAGTATGTAGTTGAATTTTCGTAAACCCTTGGAATTGTAAAATCATAATCCAATTTAAGGCTTTTCTTATAGAGAGAAAAAAAGAGACATTATACATAGCCAAAAATGTCCATTTTTCCATAACCATTGTAATTATAAAAGCAATCAGTAATTAGTAAAAACTAACCCTGAGATGAATTAAACAAGTATAAGTATAAGAGTATCAGATGCGGTTAGGCATTTCTACTAACCTTCTGCAAGGTGATAATTAGATAAAATATAAATATTATTTATTGAACTATAATAGGTCAACCCTTTAGGTTATGGTATTCTCTACTTACGATCTCAGCCCAAGTCTTTTAAAGTTCTGTTACTTAAAACTTTTATTTCAACTCAGATTTAATTAGGCAAGCATTCAATTCATTTACAATCATTTATAATGTTGTGGCATTTGATTCTTCGCTACTACAATGAAGAAATATTCTAGCTTTTTAATGCTCTGGAAGTTCTTTAAATTGTTTAATTTATTGTGGATAAGCTGCTTCACCATCAGTATAAAATAATATTTCAGTTCTATATATTTCTAAATATTTACTTTTCAAATGCCTCATTTTAGTGCTGGATAATTAAATTAAATGTTTCTTAAAATGCTGTCCCAAAATCGGTACCCCCACTATTAAATTATATTTTTTTCTCCATTTCACCCAGATTTACAATTTCACAATTGATAACAGTTCTAGCATATGAGTTAAAAATAATAACACTGACTTTAGCATTTAAATTTTTCTATATTTCTAGCATGCAACCTAAACAACCAGATTTTGCATATTCCCAACGTTTTCCTTTCATAGAATAAGAATCATCAAGCATAAAAATATAATGAATTTTGGGCTACCTAATTACATCTTAAAAATTATTTTTTAGAACAAATTTGATGTCTTTTTTTAACTATGTTTTTAGTTATTAACATATCATTTACCCAGTCCCTTAATTCCATACTTTCATCATCTTTTCTTTAATAGTTTATTAATCTGTTTCATCAAGACCTTTAAATATCCAATCATCATATATTTTTCTTATATCTTTCCATTTTTTTCTTACTTTTGTTTCTAGAGTTTCAATTAGGCTTTCATCATCCATTTCATCGCAAGTGAATAAAGAAGGAGTATTTTCAATTAAAACTCCATTCATCCCTTAACAATATAAAATAATAGATACCTCTAAGTTAATGACCATTTGAGCATTTATGTTTATGGTCATTTGAATAAGATTAATCACATTTACGCTTGCACATAGGACAAGTATGACGACAGCCAATCATATTTAATTTTATAGTTTATAGTTCTTAATAACTATTAAATTTTTCCAAAGATAAACTTTCATTCTTTGCTTTTTAAATATGAATATTTAACTATTTTGATAATTCAGTTGCAAAAGGCTGTAAAAGTTATATTTATAATTCTGATTCTTAAAATTTAGATTTATCAAAAATATTAGCTTCTATCTTTTGATAAGAATCAATAGAAAAAATTTCTTCGTATTCTTTCGAAATCTGAAATTTATTCATTTTTTATTATCCACCTAGTAGGCATGATATTATCAAATCAAAAAGTTTACTTTCATAAAATTCATCATTACTATTATCATTCTCATTATTTACAAAATACTCTTTTGATTTTATGGGAGGATTTTGAATATCAGTGTGAGATCTTAATTATTATACATTAGCATTAATTTTTTCTAAAATTGAGTTTAGGTTTTTTCTTAATCTATTTTCAAACAAATCTTTAATTTCAACTTCTATCTTGTCAACTTCATTCTTAACATAATTTTCAATAAATTAAGTTTAATCAGTTATATATTATACTATTTGTTCATCTGAATATTTTTTTAATTAATTGTCTTTTTAATAATCTTCTAAAATAGTCTTGTCTAAAAGCTTAATTAATTCTGTGCTTGTCATTTTGTTTTTATTTTTTATTTCAGTACCAAAAGTTGTTTAATTATCTCTATAAAAATATTAGATATAACTTTTATAAAAATTACAAATAAAAGCCTCAGCTTTTAGCTTACTTTATTCAGTCTTATTTTATTTAATATCAGCAATAAATTTCTATAATTAATTTTCTTTTAGACTCTCAAATTTTTATATACTTTCTTAAACTCCTTTTCCTTTTTTGTAGCATGTAAATCGCCAAATTATTAACATGGAATAATAATATATGCATCTCTCACCAATTCCACTTAATATTATGCCAAAATTGGCAAAGCTCTTATTATAATTTATTATTTCTTGCTCTATTTTAGACATAATAATTTTTATCAAACTTGTGTTTTATTAAGATATCTCCTCACTATCTGAGTTGTCCTTTTTATCATTTTCTTGATGAGCCTTTGTCATTTCTGATTTAATTGCATCATAAATTGAGAAATACATCATTTACCAACTATTAATCTACTGAAATTTTGAAAACCCATTCTATTAGCAATTTTCATTTTACTATAATTTTTAGTTCTCTTCAAACATTGCTGTTTAAAACCCTTTTATAAAATTAAGTCTAAAATTCTCCTAAAAACTACTTTCCTTTCTCTAAATGTATTTTAAGCTGGTTTCTAATTATTAATATCTAGAAGAATTAGGAATTATTGTCATATCCCTATAAATTATTATATGTTCAAAAGTTTAAATAAATTCCTCTAATTCTTTTAATGCAGAAAAAATATATTAACCAGTCTTTAATTCTAATCCTTTATTGTATTCTTTAATATTTTTTATAAATGTGTCGTTTGTAAAATCCATTAAGGGTTACTTTTATTTTTCGAACTCTTTAAAAGACTCTTAAAATGTTTCAAAAGCATTTATCACTTACTTATTATAATTAGACCAGAATTTCCACTGTGAAGGATTCTGTATTGTCTCTACTAAATCTATCCTAAGTTTTGAATCATATTTGATTTTGAATATGTCCAATAGTAGCAATAATTTTTAAACCTGAGTGTTGACATTCATATATTATTAATTCTGAGTATTGACATTAAATTATTATTAAATATGAGGATTTACATTCTCATATTACTAAAATTGAGAATTGACACTCTCATATTATTAACCAAATGAATTTACATCCAAACATTAGTATAAATATTAATCTGCTTACTATTATTTTTGTTTCCCTTTTGGTTAATTTTGATTATTTTCAGATCTTTCTAATATTTTTCTTAAATCAATAATTAATCCCTCTTTTTTATCTTTTTTATCTTTTTTAATGTAATCATCCAAAGTTTTTTTTTCAACATAATAAACAGTGATTTAAAATTAGTAATAATTGTTAATATCCATTACATCATATTTAGTCTTAGGTCTTTTCATCCGATCTTCTAAATTTTAAAGGAATACCTCTCCATATCTCATTGTTTCTTTTGTGTTAAAAATTGGTCGAAATTAAACCTAACTTTTTAATTCTTTTTCAAAAATATTATAAATTTACATTCTTTCATCGAAATCTTATCGAAAAGGGGAATTATTATTAATATTCTCAAGAAATGAGGTTATATATAATTATTCATTTTATGTGTTTAATTTGTATTCATTGAATGAAGAAGAAATGCATTAATATTGCTTGGTAGAATATTCTTGTAATATTTCACTTTGCTTTTGCTCTGATTCTCTTGTAATATCCCCCCATAATTTATTAAATGCAGCTTTAATTTCACCCTCATTTTCTTTGAATTAAGCTAATTAATCTGGATCTTTGCTAATTCCAAGAATAAAGTCATCAAGTGACTTAAATCCCCTTTTGTTTTGATACTCTCTTTCAATATTTTTTATTTCTTCAAATACGATTACTTCTGAATCTTTTAAGGAACTATTTATACGTTGGCTTAATTGCTTTAAATATTTCAAGTAAATCTTCTTTTAAATTTGTTTATCTTATTTAAATGCTAGTAGTTTATCTTATATATCTTGTTCAATTTAGCTAAACCTTATTCTAAGATCTTCATTTTTTTCATCTTAAATTTTATTAAAAAAGGTCAAGTTTTTTACAGGGTTACTGCGAATTTTATCATTTATTTCATTTGCTATTTCATTCTTAAAACTAAAATTTTAATCATCATAAATTTGTTCAAATTTATTTTTCATCAATTAATCTTGTTTGTATTAGATTAATTCAGCAAATTCCAATAAATCTGGTAAATTACAAATAGTTTACCAATTAGTATTTATATTTTATATGAACAAACTTAAACTTTACATTTGGGAGGTGTCAGTTTATGATTAAAACTTTATTATAAAATTCTTAATCATTCTTATTCCATAAAGATAAGCTTCTTCGGAAAATGTTTCATTTATTATTAATTATCTCCAATCGTTAATAATACCTAAACTTTCATTCTTTCTCCATAATTTCTCAATACATGCAAATCCTAATATTTAAATATTTTCTTTCGAAATATTTAAAAATTCATTATAATCAATGGCTTAATTTTTTGCATCTTACTCATTATTATATTCTAAATTTAAACTATTGGCAATTCCTTGTATTTAGTTTAAAAATGGAGCAAAATTGTTAGCATCGTTATTTTAATTAAAACACCAACTTAATTACTTTATAGAAGAGAGATTAGATTTCATAGATACTAAAGTAAAAATGCACATTTCAACCAAATTTTTAAATTGTTGATGTATATCTCCTTTAACATTTATCAAAATGATATCACTTATTGCCAAGACAAAAAGAGCAATTTTTTTATCAAACTCAGGATCAATCTGATTTGGATTCTATAATCCTTCTGAATCAAGTATTAATATATAATCAAATAAATTATTAAAGTATTCTTTAAATTAGATTTTCAACAAATTTAAATAAATACCTTTTGTACATCTACCAACACTTGTCCAAAAATGGCATCCAAATATTTTATTTAAAATAGTAGATTTTCCTGAACTTTAAGGTCCTAAAACACTTAATACTAAAACCTTCTCTTTTCCCAAATTTGTGAATTTATTTTTAAGTTCATCCAAAAATTTTGCATTTATCTAAAGAGAATCTCCGTCTAGAAATTCAAAAGGTTCCCCTTTTTTAATCATTTCATATACCTTATCTGCTGGATCAATTTATATAGGAGCCAAACTTCTTTAATTGATTGCAATAAGCTCTCTCCAAAACATTTCTATCCCAATATTTCTGAATGCTATATTTTCCAAATTTTATTTTAGTTCCTGCTTTAGTTCATCTTGTTATTTTTTATATATTTTATTTTTTCCATCATAATTTATTATTGATGAAGATTCTTTATTAGTTTCATTCTTTTTAAGCTTTATTTAATCCCTGTCTTTTTTAAGTTTCATCAATTTTTCATTAATAATTTGATTTTTTTCCTACAATTCATAAGTGTTACGTTCATTAAATTTTCTAACTTAATCTGTAAATTATAAATATAAAATATAGTATGAGCTTTAGTCAAATATTTTACAAAACATATTTAAAAGGTTTGATAATTCAGCGTTCTTAATTGAATCTTCTAATTTGATTATTTATTACTTTGTTTCTTCATATTCTTTGTTATCTTGATTTTTGTCAAACTCCTTTTAGTTGTTTGTTTAAATTTAACTTGTATTATTTTTTTATTGAATCAATTAGATTTCTCTTTCTTTTAAAATCTTTAATTGGTATTCTATGGATCTAATTGGAAAAGCTTCTTAATCATAAAATCCCATAGGTTTTTAAACCAATCTATTTAGTTCATTTTCTAAATCTTTAATGATAAACCTGTCTTATAAAAATTAATGAGATACTTTTTTTTCTTTTGAATCAAATTTTTATATTATTCCTAAAAAATCTTAATTAGTGACTAGTGATTATTGTTAATTTACTTTAGTGATCTCATTGAAAATAAAAGATTAGGCAAGTTACAATTCTTACTCTTTTAAAGATTTATCCAAACCTTTCTAAGCCAAATCAATTATTTTATGTACTTTTATTCCTTCTTTTTTCAACTGCTCTAAATTTTTCNTAAAATAGTAGATTTTCCTGAACTTTAAGGTCCTAAAACACTTAATACTAAAACCTTCTCTTTTCCCAAATTTGTGAATTTATTTTTAAGTTCATCCAAAAATTTTGCATTTATCTAAAGAGAATCTCCGTCTAGAAATTCAAAAGGTTCCCCTTTTTTAATCATTTCATATACCTTATCTGCTGGATCAATTTATATAGGAGCCAAACTTCTTTAATTGATTGCAATAAGCTCTCTCCAAAACATTTCTATCCCAATATTTCTGAATGCTATATTTTCCAAATTTTATTTTAGTTCCTGCTTTAGTTCATCTTGTTATTTTTTATATATTTTATTTTTTCCATCATAATTTATTATTGATGAAGATTCTTTATTAGTTTCATTCTTTTTAAGCTTTATTTAATCCCTGTCTTTTTTAAGTTTCATCAATTTTTCATTAATAATTTGATTTTTTTCCTACAATTCATAAGTGTTACGTTCATTAAATTTTCTAACTTAATCTGTAAATTATAAATATAAAATATAGTATGAGCTTTAGTCAAATATTTTACAAAACATATTTAAAAGGTTTGATAATTCAGCGTTCTTAATTGAATCTTCTAATTTGATTATTTATTACTTTGTTTCTTCATATTCTTTGTTATCTTGATTTTTGTCAAACTCCTTTTAGTTGTTTGTTTAAATTTAACTTGTATTATTTTTTTATTGAATCAATTAGATTTCTCTTTCTTTTAAAATCTTTAATTGGTATTCTATGGATCTAATTGGAAAAGCTTCTTAATCATAAAATCCCATAGGTTTTTAAACCAATCTATTTAGTTCATTTTCTAAATCTTTAATGATAAACCTGTCTTATAAAAATTAATGAGATACTTTTTTTTCTTTTGAATCAAATTTTTATATTATTCCTAAAAAATCTTAATTAGTGACTAGTGATTATTGTTAATTTACTTTAGTGATCTCATTGAAAATAAAAGATTAGGCAAGTTACAATTCTTACTCTTTTAAAGATTTATCCAAACCTTTCTAAGCCAAATCAATTATTTTATGTACTTTTATTCCTTCTTTTTTCAACTGCTCTAAATTTTTCTTTAATTCTTCATTAATAATATTCTCTTCTAACTCTCCTTTGTAATTTCTTATAATAAAACATATTGTAGAATTTTGTTTAGGCAGGCTTTTCTTGATTTCCTATAACTTTCTATAATTTTCAATAAGTTCATATTCTGAATCAAATTGTAGAATCCACATTCGGAATAATGGCAAAATTTTAACTAATAATTCTATTGGAAATTAGCCATGAGCATCAGCAACACTAAAATTTCTTGATCCATTAAATTATGTATCAAACATTATATCAATAGTATTGTTATTTAATTGGCAAGTATCCTATGTCTCAAATTTATCCTACTAGTAAAACAATTAATTTATTAACTCTGTCTTCCCTATTTAAGCTTACTTTTAGCTTAAGGAAAAATTAATGATAGGAAAAGATGTTTAAAATACATAATACAGTTTCTCATTAAATCCATATAAATCAATTTCTTCTTTAGCAGTTTATAAAGATGGATTTTGAAAAATTAAAGGGACAGGATACATATTTTGGTAGAGTTTAAGTAACATAACCTTAAGTTCATCATTAGAATTGTTATAAAATAATTAAAACAATGCTTTCATATTGCTGATAATTTTTATAGACTCTTTATTTTAGTTTTTGAATGTTGTGATTATTGACAATAACTTTTTTGATGACTCCCCTCTCTTAATAATGTTAAAAAAAAACGGAATTAGTTATTTAAATTTTTATGTATCCTTTATATTATCCATCCAATCCTACACAATTTTCTTCTCTTATTGGGATGATGTTTCAGTTAATGAGATATTGAAATCTTCAAGTGAAAAGCAACCATCTGATGGGCATTAATCAATTATATTTTTTTGGAGAAAATAAACAGAATGTATTTAGATATTTTTAAAATAATTTACTTTTCCAAGCTATTCCTTATAAAATTGAGGATTCTCCTTAAATAGAGAAAAGCATTCTTCCACCAAACTTTTGATCATGTATCTGGAATTTAAGAATTTAATTAGGTTAAACTTAAAATTATGCTTATCCATAACTTACATTTGTCTAGTTCTCCAAATCTAATCGAAATCATAACAAGACTGAGTAAAGAAATAATGTAGGTTAGACAGTATAAATTTTGAGGTCTATTGATTCTTATTTACCATAATTGTAAAAATTATTATTAAGGTTTTTTTAAAATCATCTTGTGTAATGTTTTGCTTTTTACTTAATGAGAATAAGTAATTCAATAACCCAGGTCTTATACTTAAAAATAAGATTCTGAATGTTTAAATTGAAACATGATATTTTCCTGGACACATTGGGACTAATATTTTTAGAATTTTCATGTAATAAGTCTTAGCTTTAATGTCTGAAATTAAATATTAATTGACTACAGCCACTAAAAGTATTTAGAATTTTTTCTTTCCAAACAGAATTTTAAGTGAAAGTAACTCTTTTTCATTTAATTACAATAACTACTTGGTTAATTCTACTGATAATTATAATGATTCTTTTATTTATAATTCTTCTTGCTTTCCTACTAATTATTAATTAACTGTAAAAAATTAAATTAAGCAAAATACTACCCTAATAAGTTTTAAGGATTAATTTAGTTTATAGAGTTTTATGATACTTATTATATTTTTTTCAAATTTTGGACTCAACAATTCTAATAATAATACAACCTCTCCAAATGATAAATGTTATTCTTAATTTATTAATTCATTTATGTATGTATGAATGTCATCACTTTGCTGAAATATAAATTTTAATACTAAATCTTTGATCGTTTAATTATAAAATTCTCTTTAAGGATTTTAAAATAACAGTGAAATAATACAAACTTGTTATTCTGTTAAATTTGTCTCAATACATTGATTGATAATATCTTATGAACATTGTTTTATTGATTGATTTTGCTGTATTTAAGTAATATCATTATCTAAATTTATATCAATTTATTGTTTGGTTTGAATTTGATCAACATATTAATTTTATTTACTTTATTGGATTATCTTTTTCAAATTAAATAAAGGTATAAATCTTAAATTGTTTAATTAACAATATAAATCAGTTTATAAAAAATTTTCTATTCTGCATTCAAATACAGTACAAATTTAATTATAATTATTTTGCTAAAATTCATAATAGTTTTATATTTTTTCTTCATCAATAATATATTCTTTTTTTTCAGATGAAAATTGTATTGAATGATGGATCATAAACAGATAAATTTAATCTTAACTATTTTATTTTGCTTTAGAAATAAAACCCTTTATTAATTTAGATTTTTATTCAATTTTAGTCAATTTTTTTAAATTAATTTGAAATTGATTCAATTCACCATATTTTTGATAACAGTATTACTGCCAAAAGTAGAAAATTATGCTAAAGTATAAACTTTCAAATCCATGATACTTAAGAATATTTTAATCTATATTTTTCATCTCCAATTTTTATTCCCATTTTAAGTTCTCACAATAAAATAACAATGAAATTTATTTTCTGATATTTTCTAATGCTTTTTCCTTTGTTTGAATAGTACATATCTTAATAAACATTTTTTAATCAAAGGTGAGAGAACATAATTCAGTTGAAAAATCTTAATATTTTTTTCCTTCTTGTTATATAGCAAAGATCATTTTTTTGATCATTTCAGAGTTTTAAGATTAAAATAAATTATCTTCATATTCTAAAAATTACATTATTTATTTTTCTAATAAAGCTCCAATAATCATTTCTAATTTTTTTGCCTCTGATTCATCTAGATCATTATCCTTTTCAATAAATCCTAATAAAACTTTAATCATATTCAAATAAGGATATCCAAATTCTTTAATTTATGTTAGTTCACTTATTTTTAATAGGCTGAATAATTTTACTTTAAGTTTTTATAGAATTTCAAAATTATTTATAATTACAGGATTAATATTATTTTATTCACAGAATTCTTTTTATTTTAAGAGATTTATTAATTATTACCAATCTGTATGTTGATGAGTTATTTATTTATATATATTTTTATAATCAATTACCTCTTCTATTTAAGGTTAATGAGCTTCTGTATTTAAGAATTACAATTCAAGTTTCTTAACATATATTTAGGTTGATTAATTATTCTTAATGTAAACAAGAGCAGTTTTTTACTTTTACTCATTCAAATTTTCAAATATTTCTTTAAACGACTCTAAAATTTCAGATTCATCATTCCAGATCCCTTCATTGATTTGCTCACATAATTCTACAATTTGTTCTGCAACTCCTTCATCACTAATTTCAAGTTAATTCATGAGAAATTTGGAAAGATATTTTATTTATTATAATTCTATTACCATAACTTTCTTAAAAATTATAAATAATCAAATCAAAATTTAATTCCATATTTAATTTCAATTACAATTCTATATTTTTTTTTGCGTTATAAGCAACTAAAAATTTGATAAATAATAAATTATAATTAATTCAATATCATGATAAAAATAAAGGCAAGAAAAAAAGGTCAAAATAAAAGCAGAAAATTTAGAATTACATGATGCTTTACTAAGAATAGCAATGATCATACCCTCTTATACAAATATCGCATTAAAAGCAACGATATTTTCCATGTATGCATAGTTGACAGGATCAAACAATTTTTGAATTAACTAAAATTTAGACTCAAAGATTTTTGAGGAATTTTGTTACTAAGAATATCACCAATACTAAGACACTAATTATTGATCCTAAACTATATCATATATCTGATTTAATGAGGATGATAAAACTAATAAAATATATTCCAATTTTAAGAGAAATATTTATGTTAGGACTTAAAGGTCCTACATATAAAACACATTATGACACTTTGAGCCTATTAGTATTTAAGGCTGACTTTCATAAAATCTAAGCATGAAGTTGTTTCCATAATGAGGTTGAAAATATTTATCATTCTCTATTTCAAAGATAACATTAGTTTCCTCTTTATGATTCTAACTTAACTCATATTGATATAACGTATCTTTGTATCTCATCTTTAAGGATTTCATAATAATTAGAGACAAATAATATTCAAATCATAACAGGATTTATAAAATTAAGGAACAATTAGACTTGATCTATGCATTATAATGCTTCTTCTTTTAGTTGCTCATTTATCTATCCAGATTCGGCTAATAAATCAATCAGTTTTTAATTTTTTTCTTCTAATCTTAAAAATGTATTAGGCAACATGCTTTTTGATTCAACTAATAATTCATTCTATAATAAAAATAATTGGTTACTTATTTCTTTATATATGATTCGTTTTTATTCATTATTTTCTTTCCCTTATATAATGTTTTCGAATAGTTTAATTTCATTTTTATACGATTAATATTCTTTTTAAATTCTTCCGGATGCTACAATTAATACTTAAATCTTTTTCTATTAATGTGTTTCTGCCATTTAATTAATTTATTTATTTAAAATGCCCTTTATTTAGGTTAAGTAGAGCACTAGTCTTAATTTAAACATATTTCTTTTATAATTTTTATTAACAATTCTGATAATTTATATAATTGTTTTCCTTACTAATTTGATTTATTTTAATTAAAATAATATAAGCCCATTGAAACTAAAGTATAAATGATGCCAAATAAAAGTGTAAAAGCATCTAAGCTGTTGATTAAACCTATAAACTTCATGTCTCTGAAAATGATTAAGAATAGTTTTTCAAAATAATTGATTTAAATAAATTTTAATTTTTTGATCATAAATATGATTAATCACTTTTTCTATTACTTTTAAAATATTGAAAGATATTTCTCTTTATTTCTAGATTTAGTCATCTGAAATTAGTCTTATGAGGATGATTCTAATTGTAAAATTATATAAAACTCTAAAATTGTATATTTAGAATCCCAAAAAATCATCTCTTTCACCAATTTAAAGGATTGACAATTATTATTTGATTGTTTAATTTTTATTATATCTATATTATCCTTTGTTCTCTTGATAGATCAAATCATAATTCTATTTAATTCTGGTCATGCAAATAAATGCTCTTTCCCTTTTATTTGCTTTCTATTATTTTTTTTTCAGATCTCAAATTCATTGGTCTCTTTTAAGCTTTTAGAAAATCCTTCTTTATAATAGTTGATCCAATTCTTAATTATTTTCAATTAATATTTAGTTAATGAAAAGGATAGCCAAAAACATTATTAACTGAAAGGCAAATATTGGAAAGTATTGATGAAATTTAAATCAAGGACTTTTGCAATCTTTATATAAACTATTCTAGCTTAACTAATTTGAATAGCTCTCTTCTATATATTATGCTTACTAACTATCAGAGACATGAATTAATTCATTGTTACAATATATTGGTCAAACAATATGCTTTTTTCCCCCAATTTGTTTAATAATCCTCTTTAATATCCAAAATTGTTATTTCTATTTCTGGTATATTTTAAACAATTTTATTATTCTGTTTTAACATACTTTTGAAAGTAATGGAATTAAAACATATTTTTAAAACAAATAAGAACTTTTTTTATAGACTATTATAATATTAATAATTCATGGCTTAATAATTTCATCATATCCGACTTTACAATACTAAACATTTTTAAATCCATTAGCCACTAATAAAGTATGTGCGATTTTGGCTCTTTATCCTGTCCCACAATAAATATTAATTTATTAATCTCTATTTAGTTTTTCAACATTGCTTTATAGTTCATTAAGAGGAAAAAGTTTAGCATTATCCAATTTGCCTTTTCTCCATTCCTCCATTGATCTTACATCAATAATTTATCCTTAGCCCTATTAAGAGATTTTCAAAAAATCTTATTTTTCTAATTCAGTTGGTTTGTTTATGTTTTCTCCTGCCTATTACCAATCTTCAAAATACATGTATCCTAAAATGTTATCATAACCTATTCTAGATAATCTCATAATAGTTTGTTCTTCTGTTCCTTTTTCACAAACTATAATAACTTCTTTATTGTGAGGTAATAGAGTTCCAACCCAATGAGCAAATGGAATTTGTAATGGGACATTGATAGATCCAGGTATAAATCCTTCAGAAATTGAATTTCTAGAATCAATAATTTATGCTGTATTTTTAAGTTTGGCATCTTGTGGTGATAATTTTCTATTAGATTTCTTTAGAATCTCTATTAAATCTGAAGTAAAAATATTCTTATTCAATCCAGCATTATAAAAGAAATATTGAGGAGGTTTAGGTAAATCTCTTACTACTTCTCCTACAAATGTTTCATAATCCATAGGTTAAAGTGCATAATTATTCTTCTTTTAATTTCCCATTGTACAACTATATCCTGATGAAATGTTCTTTCCACATGCTGAACCTTAACCATGTCCAGGAAAAACAATAACATCATCTGGTAATGGCATTAACTTCTCCCTTAAAGATTTAAATAACATAATAGCCAAATCATATTGACTCAAATCAGTCTTTACAGCCAAATCAGGTCTTCCTACCTCTCCTAAGAATAAAGTGTCTCCAGTGAATAAACTATTTTTAGAAAAATATTTATACCTATGTTTTTTGCCAGTTTTATCATGTAATAAAAAGCATGTAGACTCTTATGTATGACCTGGTGTATGGAGTGCTTGAACCTTTATTTATCCTAAATTTAGTATTTCTCCATCTTTCAAAATTTTATTGATAAATGGAGCTTCAGCATTTGGTCCCATTATAATCTAAGCTCCTGTTTAATTCTTTAGACTCACATGACCAGCTACAAAATCAGCATGGAAGTGAGTTAACAGAACATATTTAATTGTTGCTCCTCTCTCTTTTGCTAGGTCTCTATTATGATAATATAAAATATTACATATAAGGTTGAATATCTCTTAAAGGATCTATGATGATTGCTTCCTTGTTTGATTCTATATAATAAGCGTACTCTGCTAGACAACTTGTAAAGAGTTATTGACTATAGAATCCTTCTCCAAATGTTTCACTTGACTTTAATTGTACAGATTTGGAGTATTTATAGAGTTTTTAGTTGAATAACCTCATTCCTCCACAAACTTAAACAATTTTTATCATATTTTTTTATTATTCAGATTTACGATAATGAAATCCACATATAAACCCAATTAAAATAAGATATTAATACTTTTAATATATATTAATTATAAAATTGTTTATTTTTAAATAAAATTTGATATAAATTAAAACCATTTGTAATCTGTTAAATGTGTATTATTTTATTATAAATATTTTAATAATGACGCATCATATTTTTGTGCATATAATCTCAATTTAATTTAACTTTCAACTCTGAATATCATTAAGTCATATCTGTGTATTCTTATAAATAATTATAATGATGATTAAAATAAAAATGATGTATTCAAAGCAATAATTTGATATATATTAAATTTTATAAAATTAACAGTAAATATGAATAGAACACCAAGTTTTCGTTAAGCAGCTAATAAAGAGAATTTATTTATTTAAATTGCTAATAAAAAATCATTAAGCAATGGCTAAAAAGTAATTAAAAGTGAAACCTCTAAATATGCTGATGAACATTATGAAGACTTAATTAAAAAAATTTATTAACTAGATCAAGAAAATAATAAACTTCGTGAATTGTTAAAAAAATCAAATTATCTATAATTTAAATTTGTGGATCTGTCAAAAAGTGACTATTATCTCCATTCCTTCACTGATATTAAAAATAGGAGTTTAGATGTATTATTACTTTAATAATTAGTTAAGTTTAGATGAATTAAAAGGGATTAATAATGGAAGGAGTAATGAAATGTTATCATAAAAGAAGTCTTCAACTCCTAGACAAAGCTTAACAGCAAAATAAATTTAAATATAAAAACAAAGAAATAATCTAATTAATTCATACACTTAAGATTTAATTTAAGAGTAAACTACATTTGATTACTTAATACCAGATGAAGTTTAGGAACAAGAGAATTGCTTTTAAGAATTTTATAAAACTTTACTTATAAATGTAGTTAATAAAGACATGAAAATATTTAAACATATTGATTAAGTTGTAGAATAAGAATTGAAATAAAATTTTTAAACAAATTGTTAAAATTATGATAAATAAAAGAATCTATTAAGCAATTTAATTTAATTATTAAGTAATATGTAAAATTATTGTTCTGGAGAACATCCAGATAATTAATTTATAATGAGAGCTTATAAATCAATATAAGAAATAATAGGATCTATGTTTAGAATGTTTGAAAAAATGAAACTTCACATTTTACCTTTAAATCATATATAATTAAATTTTTAAGAGAGAATTCAAGAAATTGATAAACTTTAAGAATAAACTGAATATGCATAATAATAATTAAAAAAAGCATCAATTGTAATTGAACATTTAAGTAAAGAAAATCATTAATTAAAAATACAAAATAAAGAATACTAAGACTTTTTTACATAAATAAGTTATAAATTATAAATAAATGATGATACATCTTAATTAAAACAGAGTTTGGATTCATTAATGAATAAATGTATAGAAGGAATTATAAAACTTCAAAATTTTGAATTTCAAAAGTCTTAAAAAATAGAAAAAATAAGTCCTGTTCAAAATGATTAAACAGATTTATAATAAAAACTTAAGATAATTTAAGATAAATATGATAAATTAAAACAAAAGAATAATAAAAATAAAGAAAAATTTAAATTTTGTTTAAATAAAATATACGATTGCTTTGAATAAAATGTTAAGCAAGATTACTTTCAATAATTAACAATAGAAGAATAAGTACAATTATTGTGTTAAACAATATACCAAATAAAAACTTAATGATAATAAATTATTTAAATTTAACATTATAATTACATATAATATTAATCAATTTAATTTTTTTCAGTCTACTTAGTCAATTGTTGGATTATGTTAAAAATCATTCTATCTATCCATATTTGGCATTTATTCTTCTGCTCCAGTACCTGGTCCAGATTAAGCATAAATTCTTTGCATAATTGGATGGAACTTAGATTCAATTTCCTTTAACTTTTCTTTATATGCATCTGCCTCCTCATTTTGATGAGAATCAAGCCACTATTAAGTAGATTCTATTAAATCTATTAATTATCTTTTTTCATCACTTGTAAATTTATCCTTAAATTGTTCATCATTAATTGTATTTTTAACATGATAAGTAGTTGATTCTAAGGAATTTTTTGCTTCTACTATTTATCTAATTTTTTCATCAGCTGCTTTGAATTTTTCAGCTTCACTAACTAATCTATCAATCTCTTATTTAGATAATCTTCCCTTATCATTTGTTATAGTAATTTTATTCTATTTCTTAGTTGCCTTGTCCTCAGCTGATATATTCATAATACAATTTTCATCAATGTCAAATGTCACTTCAATCTAAGGTATTCCTCTAGGAGCAGGAGCAATACCATCTAACTGAAATTATCCTAATTTATGACAATCTTTTGTCATCTATCTCTCCCCTTCATAAACTTGTATAAGCACTCCTTATTGATTGTCTGCATAAGTTGTACATATCTAGCTCTTTTTAGTTGGTATAGTAGTATTTCTTGGTATTAATACACTCATAACACCACCAGCGGTTTCAATACCTAAAGATAGTGGAGTAACATCCAATAATACTATATTTTCACATTTTTATGACCCAGTTCCTGTTAAAATAGCAGCTTAGACTGCAGCTCCATAGGCAACAGCTTCATCTGGATTAATAGATTTATTTAATTCTTTTCCATTAAAGAAATCTTTTAATAATTCTTGAACTTTTGGTATTCTAGTAGAGCCACCTACTAAAACAACTTCATGGATTTAACTTTTAGACATTCCACTATCTTTAAGAACTTGTTCCACAGGAGGTATACATTTCTTAAATTAATCCAAACACAATTCTTCAAATTTAGCTCTTGTTATTGTACAATTAAAATCTTCATTTTCAGCCAAAGCATCAATTTCAATAGATGTTTGATTGGCTGATGATAAAATTCTTTTAGCCCTTTCACATTAAGTTCTTAATCTTCTTAAAGCTCTTGCATTTTATTTAAGATCAATTCCTTTTTTCTTTTAAAATTCTGTAAAACAGTATTCTACTAATCTATTATCAAAGTCTTCTCCACCTAAATGAGTATCTCCAGATGTAGCCTTGACTTCAAATATTCCTTCATCGATTGTCAATAAACTAACATCAAAAGTACCACCTCCAAGATCAAAGATTAAAACGTTTTTTTCTCCTTTCTATGTTGAGTCTAATCCATAAGCTATAGATGCAGCTGTTGGTTCATTTATAATTCTTAAGACCTTTAGACCTGAAATTTAACCTGCATCTTTTGTAGCTTATCTTTATGAATCATTGAAATAAGCTGGTACAGTAATGACAGCATTTTTAACTGGTTTTCCAAGGTATGCTTCTGCAATCTCTTTCATTTTTGTTAAAACCATTGAGGAGATTTCTTCTGGGTGGAATTTTTTTGTTTCTCCTTTGAACTTAACTACAATCAATGGTTTATCATCTTAGCCAGCTTCAACTTTAAATGGCCATAATTTCATATCCTTCTAAACAGTTGAATCATTAAATTTTCTTCCAATAAGCCTTTTAGCATCAAATACTGTATTTTATGGGTTTCGTGCAACTTAATTCTTTGCAGCATCTCCAATAAGCCTTTCATTATCTGTAAAGGCAACATAAGATGGAGTAGTTCTGTTTCCTTGATCATTTGCTATGATTTCAACTTTATCATTAATAAAAACACCTACACATGAGTATGTAGTTCCTAAATCAATTCCAATTGCTGTATCAGTAGTTTTTTACATTATTTAAATAAGACTGTTTATATATTTGTTTAATTGAATGATTGCTTGTATTCTTCAACATTTTTTAAATCAAAAGATAGAAGAATCTAGAAATTTATAATTCTCTAGAAATTTCTAGAAAAATAATAATTCTGTCCATAACTGTTAAAGTATTAATTTTATTATATTATATAAAAACCATCAAATATAATATATTCTTAATATTAGTTTAAAGATAGATTCTTAATTTAATGATGTAGATAATGAAAGTAGTAATATAAGTAGATTTAAAATTACTAAATTACCAAAGTTAAAAAAAAAAGTATTTTTTGAGTTTTTCTACTTATTTTTAGAATTTATTTGCTAGTTTTTCATGTTAGATTGAATGAAGTTTATAAAATTTTGCAATTATTATAGTAAAACTAAAAAAATAAGATATTATATATTTTTTATTTCTTTAAGATTTATAATTTAAATATTACTATCATATAAGTAATATTTTGAATGATGGATTTATTTAAGTTTAGTTTATGTAATTCGATTTTATTTGAAAGTATATAATTTTTGTAAAAAATGCTTAATATAATATTTATATAAAATAGATAGTTACTATGTAAATTGGAAAATTTAAATTAGATCATTTGGTTGAAAAAAATAATGAATGCATAATTTATAGGGGCAGTAATTAAGAAGACAAATTCATCATAATATAATTGAATCGTGTAATTAGTCAAATAATATTTTAGTAACCATTATTGAAGGTTGAATTGTTTAACAAACATTTCCAAGAAGAACTTAAAATGTTATTTAAATACTCATAGAAGCCAACAATAATTCCTAAAGATTTTCCATTTGAAATACCTGAATCTGAAACTCTAGATTCTGAGTTAATTGAATTTCCATAAATTATTGAAATACATCAAACAGAAACTCATTATTATTTCATCTTAACTAATTGTTTATAGGGTTAAATATTAACTTAGGAAGTTGATCATCCAAAGTATAACAGTACTGATATTATTTTATAGAACATTTTTGCAGATTTACACACTTTATGATTATTACTATTTAGAATACTAAGAAGGAAGAATAAAGGATCGAGATTTTGCATTAATGAGAATATTTAGAAGCCAAGATAAATTAACATTGATAGATTTTGGTTTTGCATGTTTGTAAAAATAATTAACAAAAAAGCCTTGGTAAGTAAAATTAGGAGAACTATTTAACAGTTTGACATAATATAAAGCAAAATTAAAAGGAAAAAATGTAATAAATACTTTGTTGGCAGGAAAGATTAAATGGGAAGAGATTAGAGATTTTATAAGCATATCATTTGGTTTGAATGATATAGATTAATCTTTATAAGAAAATTATAGTGATAGAAACAGTAAAATAACTAGATAAAATTCAATTCATACAAAATAATAAACGTAAACTATGAGTATGTTCCCATAAGAAATTATTACTTTAAATTAAAATTCATCTAGAAAAGCCTCTCCATATAACCATAGCCAAAAATAATAATCAAAAAAATCAACAATGATGTAAACTAGAATTATTTCTTATGGCAATTAATAAAAAGAACATTTCTAAAAAATAAGACAATCATTAAGTCCTGGATTTAGTACAACAAATAGATATCCTTGTAGATTATTTTAAATTGAACAAATTACATAATAATCTAGTCCATAAGCAAGATCAGTTTCAAGAAAAGCATAACATTTAAGTAATTATCAAAAACAACCTATTACTAAACCATTAGAAAATTAATTTGAATATAGAAATAGATCTACTCCTAGAGAAGAAATTCAATATGAATAAAATTAAATATAATAATTAATGGGAGATTAATATTTACCAATACAAGAATAATAAAAATAAATTTAAAGAAAATTAATATCAATTACAACAAATTAATCATAATATGAAGCATCTTCAAATGCACCAACTCTGATTTAAAGAGGATTATCTTTAAATGAAAAATAAGATGGTTAATTCTAATAAAATAATCATGAATTAAGACCAAAATCAAGTAGAAATCAAGATTAAAAATAAGAACTCAAAACACTTCTTCGAACTTCAACTAGAGAACTTTAACAACCTGGTTAAATACATAAGAAATCTACATAAGAATATCCAGCAAATCGAACCATAAATTATTCTGACACATAATCATTATTTGATAACTTAGAGATTAAATAAGTCAGAAAACCATAATCAAGAAGAAATTCTATAAGAAAAAGTAGCACTAATAGTATAGAAAATATCGAATTATCAAATAGTAATACAGCAAATCAATAGAGATTAATAATTAATAACAATTTATAGAATAATCGATAGATGTTTAAGACACCAAGAGATTAAAGATAAATGTAATATTCTTTTCAAAATTCTCCTATTGAAAATCCATATACTAAGAAATAAAATCCAATAATTGCATAATAATATTAAGATGAAGTTTAGAATTGTAAATAATAATCTAAAAAGAATAGTACAGATGAAGATAATTCTGAAGTTTGTAGTTATCAGCCTTCTTTTTAATAACGTTAAAATTAATCAAGAAATTAAGAAAATGTAGTATTGATCAAGAACAATAAATAAAATGAATTTGAAATTGAAAAATATATTGATAATGTTGAACAAATTTAGTAAAATAAACAATATCAATTTCAAATGACAGAAAAAAATGAGATTCCTTCATTTTGTTAAGAAAAATAATCAATAAATAATTAAGCAATTATCTCTCAATAGTAATAATAATAATAATAATAATAATAATAGTAATAATAATAATAATAATAATAATAATAATAATAATAATAATAATAATAATAATAATAGAGAATATAAAATGAAGATTAAATCATTAAATCTCCAAACTAAGATTAACGTATTGTAGTTGAATCTGTTGATGAATATTATAAATAACCTAAAATAAAGAAATAAAACTCATTTAAATTACCTCCAACTCCTAAAACTGATAATACAACAAAGGAGTAATTTAAAATAGAATTATAATAAAATAATTACTTATAAGATAATAAATAATAAAAAGAAAAAAGTAATTAGTAAAATGAAAATTTATAGAAATTATAAAAAATTGAAGATACTCCAAAATCAAATAAAAGAATAAATTTAAATGATATTTAAGTAGTTCAATAGAACATTTAAGAAATTAAGGTAAAATTAGATGAAAATGAAGCCAAAAGAATAAGTTAAATATATGAAAATTAATTAAAGTAATAATATTAATATAAATAAGAAAGTATGATATAATAGGTAAAATGGTTGGAGGGAATGTAAAATATTTTTAAGCATTAAAAAATTTTTGGATAGTTCCTTTATTTCTTTGTTTTAAAAGAATGGTGAGTTTTAGGAAATTGTATGAAGAAGGATTAAAAGATAAAGTCAATTTTTTTGATTTAGATATGGATAAAGTAAATTAAGTAGATAAAATAAGAAATCTAGAAACAAAGTTAACAAATGATAATAAAATAGTTGTATAAGAATTAGAATCTTTATACACATAATGTTAAAAAACAGCTTAAAAATTTGATCCAAAAGTAAATTATAGATTTAAATTTATTATAGGAATTAGCAAAAATATAAAAATTTTTAAATATGGACTTATAATAAGATATAAAAGATATTTATTTTGTTTATTTGTATACTTAGATATTTAGAACTTTATAAAATTTAAGAATTAAATGTGAATCAGATAAATAAAAAACAAAAGAAAATTTAATATTGTAAGCCAGTTGTTTAGCTTCACTTATAATAAGTGAAATGCCTTTTAGTAGTGATAAGAAGTTCTTTGATTTAGAAGAATTTGAAAAAGTTACTGAGAATTCTTAATATAATTAATAATTGTTAGAACAATATATTTAAACAAAGGATGAAGTAATTGGACATCTCAAAAAAAGACTGATAACCAAAGGAATTAAGATTTGAATGATTATTATATATTTTTCTAGAAATTTTATAATAATTTATGAGTTTACGATGACAATAAACAACAGTAGAATTTAAATTATTAAAGAAATCACTGTTAAAAATGAATGTTTAATTTATTCATAAGTTTCTATTTAATTGAATAAAATCATAAATTTTTTTAATAAAGGTTAATAAATAATTTCTTCAAATATGAATTATCAATATGGCTAATAAATGGGCTAATACCCCTTTGATCCAAATATGAATATGGTAAGATTATATTTTATGTTAGATGGGCTTTGATCCTTAAATGTATTAAGAATATGCCTACTATTATTTAGGAGGACCTTCTACTCCACCTCCACCTAAGGGACCTTATCCAGGAATTACTCATGAAGATTATGAGTCATTTGATATTAATAAACAAATTTTGTTTTAAAGATTTTTAGGTGAGACAGCAGCCTATTATGCCAAACACTTACCAAAATATTAAAAAGAGATGGAAGAGTTTTTAAATACCAATACTGCTTATCAAATGAATGAGGCAGAGAAATAACTTATGCAAAACTACCTAGATTATAAGAAAAAGGAAAAAGAGTATGAAACTTTTCTAAAACAATTGGAATAATCAACATAACCAGTAAATCCTGAATTGGAATAATAAAAAAAATTAGAATAATAAAAATTAGAGCAATAAAAGTTAGAATAATAAAAATTAGAAGAATAAAAGAAGTAATAGCAATTAGAACAATAGAAATAATAATAATAATAATAATAACAATAATAATAATAGTAAGAATAACCTAAAGAAGGAACAACAACAACTACTGTTCGTCCAAAGAAGAAGTTAAACTTAAATGCAAAACCATTAGAAATTGCTTTGAATCCTCCAAAAATGCCTATTTTCCCAAAAAATCCAGATTTCTTAGATTTTGATAAATTTTGGAATAACTATTCAGCATATATCAATTTTTATAATCCAAGTTGTGAAGATGAATATAAGAATTATCCTAAACCAGAGTAATAGAAAAAGAAAGAAGCTGATGAAGAAGCTAAAAGAAAAAAGAAATAAGAGGAAATTGAAAGAGCAATTTAAAGTATAAAATAATAATAATTATAATAGAACGTAAAGATGCTTAAGAAAGAGCTAAAGATAAACCAGCTTAATCTTTAAATCTAGTAGAATAAGTAGTGAAATTGGAAGGAGAAGTTGATTTGCAAAAATATGTAGATGTAATAATGAATTATAAACTTAGCCTGATGAAACAAGATAACCAGTCAATTTAGTATTTATTGGACATGTAGATGCTGGTAAATCTACACTTTGTGGAAGATTATTATTAGAATTAGGTGAAGTGAGTGAAGCAGATATTAAAAAATATGAATAAGAAGCAGTATAAAATAATAGAGATTCTTGGTGGTTAGCTTATGTTATGGATTAAAATGAAGAAGAAAAATAAAAAGGAAAAACAGTTGAATGTGGAAAAGCATAATTTGTTACTAAACAAAAAAGATTTATTCTAGCTGATGCTCCTGGACATAAAAATTATGTTCCTAATATGATTATGGGAGCATGTTAAGCTGATTTAGCTGGTTTAATAGTTTCAGCCAAAACAGGAGAATTTGAATCTGGTTTTGAAAAAGGAGGTTAAACCTAAGAACATGCATTATTAGCTAAAAGTTTAGGTGTGGATCATATTATTATTATTGTAACTAAAATGGACACAATTGATTGGAATTAAGATAGATTTAATATGATATCATAAAATATTTAGGAATTTGTACTTAAATAATGCAAATTTGATAATGTTTATGTAATTCCTATTGATGCTTTATCTGGAGCTAATATAAAAAATAAAGTAGAAGAATCTAAATGTAATTGGTATAAAGGTCCTTCATTAATTGATTTAATTGATAATGTGACTATTCCAAAGAGAAATGAAGAAGGTCCTATTAGAATGCCAATCTTAGATAAATTTAAGGATATGGGATCATTATACATTTATGGTAAGTTAGAATCTGGTAAGATTATTGAAGGATTGGATGTTTCAGTTTATCCAAAAAAGCAACCCTTCTAAATTGTTGAATTATATAATATGAAAGATTAGAAAATGAAATATGCTAAAGCAGGAGAAAATATCAAAATAAAAGTTAAGAATATTGAAGAAGAAGATTTAAAGAGAGGATATATGATGTGCAATTTAACATCAAATCCATGTTTAGTATCTTAGGAATTCTAAGCTAAAATTAGACTCCTTGATTTACCAGAAAGTAGAAGAATATTTTCTGAAGGATATTAATGCATTATGCATCTTCATTCTGCTGTTGAGGAGATAGAAATTTCATGTGTTGAAGCAGTTATTGATGCTGAAACAAAGAAATCAATAAAATAAAATTTCCTCAAATCATTTAATGAGGGTATTGCTAAGATTTCAGTAAAATATTTTAATAATTTAAGATTAAAAATCCTGTTTGTATGGAAAAATATGAAACAATCACTTAATTAGGTAGATTTGCATTAAGAGATGATGGAAAGTATATTAAAATATTTATAATTTTAGGACTATTGGATTTGGAGAAATTTTGAAAGTGAAACCAGTTAAATAAGGTTGATTTTGATTTTTAAGTTTTTTATTTTAAAAAGTACATATGTAAACAATATTTAATATATATTATATATATATATATTGATTTATAAAGAATTTCTTTTTCATAACTTTAATAAGATTTTAGATTATGAATAAATTTATATTATTAAAAGAATTATGATAAATTTGTTTTAAAGATTAAATATTATTTGTAAATATTAATATGATAAAAGATTCTGAAAGTGTTAATGAAATAATAGAAAAAATAAACAAAGGATCTTCAGTGCCTATTTAAAAGTTATAACCAAATTTTAGGAAAAAAAAAGTAGCAACAAAATATTAATTTTCATCAATAGCAAAATTTGCAATTGTTATACAATCAATATTTTTATTATTTGGATCTCTATATTTGGCATCATAAAAGGTAATCTATCGAATTCCAATGGAATGTTATTTGATTTATAATAATTCCTTATGTAAAATTATATTGACAGGGATGTATGTGATAGTGTTCTTAAGGATAATTAGAAATATGATTAAAGTGTATAAGAAAAAGGAAAAGTAAAGTAAGTATTTCTTTCATAGTTATATATTCAATTGTGATATTACTATTTAGACTTTTAGATATTATTTGGGAATAAAAACATACATACTTTTATTGTTTGCAATGTAATTTGTGATTGAGAATTATTTACTTATAACAGTTACATAAATTTGGAGTAATTAAATTAATGAAAATTCGGGTACATACTTCATGATATCAATATTAATGTAAATATTAATTTTTGATATCACTTATGAATATTTTATGATATATTCAGGTAGATATGGTGTGGCTGATTGCAAAAGAAGTGGTATTGTGATTAGTAAATAAAATATTTTTGATGCAATATGTAAATTAAAGTTATTGAGTTTTTGTTATAAGTTTTACAAGCAAACCAAAGAGAATTATTATATTTATACTAGAAAGAAGGGAATTCCATTATTTTGATATTAGAAATTTAGATATAAAAAATTTAGGCATACATTAGAGATATAATAATAATGGATGCACTATGATTTTTTATGTTAATAAATATATTTTTTATATAAATATTTTACAAATATTTTTATATGATGAATATTTCAAGTAAGCAAGACATCCCTTCATTTGTTAAAGAGTAATTAAGAAAATAAACAATAAGTCCAGAACCATAAAAGCATAGATAATTAAATTTTCATCGAAGATTAACAAGTTCTTAGTTGGATGCAGGAATTTGCAACAATAATGTTACTCAAAAGAAATCAAATAAGTAATTGTCAAGTATTAATTAAAATATTATAAACATTAGTGCATGGATTATAATAATTATTAAAGACTAGTCCTTATAATAAATTAATACAACAGAAATCATAATCATAAATGTTGATTCAAGAAAGCTTTTCTCAACAATATCTCAAGGACACAAGTGCCGCTTATACTCCAAATTAATAAGGATCTCTCTAATAAAACTTTTTTCATAAAGTTGGTCTCTCGTAAAATTCAACAATGTCAAGTAGTGTTAAACCTCGAATGAGAAGTGCAAATAAGGAAATCTTAAGAAGAAAATTAGTAGCTGAAACAACATAATTACTTTCTAATAGGGATAAAGACAAATAAATAATATCTTAGTTGTAATAAATTATTATTCGCACTAATTCTCTGCTATAGCACTATTAAAATGAAATTCAAAAGCATATTTCAGAAAAGGAAGAATTAATTAAGTAGATTAAATAATTATAATCTTCATGATATTTGTTTTAATCAGCTCTTTTTTGTCTATATATAAATAATTTAACGTAATATTTTTTAAAATTAATTTTCTAATATGGCTTAAGTTGACATAAACAAAAAAAAAACAAATGAATTTACATATACAGAAATATTGGAAGAAGTTAATATTCATAATTTATATTAGAATAATATGTTGAAACGCAAACTTTAAGATTTAATGAAGCAAATCAAATAATTTGAATAAGAAAGTAAAGGGTTATAATATGAGAATGAAATATTACAAAAATGTTTAGCTTAATAAAAGAGTAATAGTTAATAAGAAATAAAAAATAAATAAGTAGAGGATTAAATTGCTTAATTATAAGCAATTCATTAAAGAGAAAAAGAATATTGGATAAGAGATCAATAAGAATAAGTGAATCGAATTAAATAAGTATAAGAATAAACTAAGAGAATATTGTAAGATAAAATTGATCATCTTGAAAAAGAGAATGAATTTTTATAGATGGAACTTGAGAACAATAAAACAATAATTGAAAATTATGAATTTTAAATTGAATAAAGTAATATTTTATTATAAATTTAGTTTAATAAAATCATAAGGCTGAATCAAATAATTTATAAAGGGAATTGAAATAAAAATAATATAGTATAGATGAATTAAAATTTTAAATTCAGGAATAAGGGATGATATCTTAAAGAAGTAATAATAATTAAGAATTATTAAATAAATTAAAAGAAGCTATGTATATATATAATTAAATTATTTATTTTAGAGATGAATTAAATAAGTGTAAAAAAATCATATCTAATTAATAATATGAAATATAATTATAATGTAGACTTTTTGATGAATTAAGATAAGATTATTAAAAGAAATTATGTAAAGAACGATCTAAATCTTAAATGAGTTTCAAAGCAGCTTAAGAAGTTAAAAATGAATATGAAAAAAAATACTGTAATTTAATGGAATAGATAATAAAGAATTAAACATCAAGAAGTTGTAATGCTTCTTTTAAATTATTACCAAGTTCAATGGATTAGACTATGAATAATGATTGTTCAAGAATTTCTAATAATTAATCTAATAATATGTATGTTTATTATTGTAATAATTTATTTTAGTGGAGGATTAAGTGCTATCAATAAAGCTTTAAGTGATTCTATTGATGATTATGAAAAGAGTATATTGAATAATATATCTGGAAATGTAACAAAAAGGAAACCTAGTAAATCTGAATGGGAAAAAAAGTAAAAAGGACAATAAAATATTATGATTAGTGTTACTCCAGAAAATTAAATGCGTCCTTAATCTTAATAATAAGAAATATGTATAATATTTTGATAGAATTATTTAGTTTCACCAAAAATTTCTCAAAAGAGAGCATAGTCTATTCATTCAAGTAAAGGAATAAAATAGTATACATTTAATTTATGTGAATATAATGAATCTCGAAATTCAAATGATTCTGAGTAATTTTATAGTTAATGTACTTAATAAACAAGACAAAGTAAATTAACATTAAAACCATAAAAATGTAATAATGATATTAAAAGAAATTCAAAACATTAAAAATCACTTTCTACATATAGAAGTGTAAAAGATAAAGAAAATCTTTAATTTACTATTCCAGAAGAGAATTAAAAAATAAATAGTATAAATACTAGCAAATAATTATAAATTTTGGAAGATAAAAATGAGAGATTGGATACTAATACAAAATTTAACTCTTTATTAAAAGTAATTTGAATATGCTAATACATTTATTTTTACAATTTTATTTTTATTATCATAATTATTATGTCTAAGTAAAACTCTTTTTTAGCAAATCCTTTGAATGATAGTTTAAGCGATTTTAATGCAAAAGACTATATAAGTGATAATTAGCCAAATTCAGATAATGATTAAGATGTTTGTCCAAAAAATCCATTAGAATCAGATAATGAAGAAAATGAAGGAAATGAATCAGCAGTCTTATAACATTTAATAGATAATGATAGTATGTGTTTTAATATATCTAATAAATAGATCATTCATCTAAAAGTGATGGTGTTTCTAATCCAATGATGGAAATGGATCCTATCTCATTAGAAAATGTTATCAACTAAAACTTTGCATCAATTGGATAGCAATATCATATTTGTTAAACAATTCTGGATTGTAATAAGACGATTGAATTGTAATAGGATTAGAATCCATTATATTCTTGTGATGAATTGTTAGATCCAAGATAAAGTAATAAAGAAAAATAAAAAGATATAATAAAGAATTATGAAAGTTAGCTGCAATAACTTTAAAAAGAGAACTAGCTATTGAAAAGTAAAATTATCTATATTAATGATTCAAAGATCAACTAATAGAAAGAGAGACAAATTTTTCAGAATAAACAAAATAAAAAGATAATGAAATTGCAACATTGAATAAATTAAATAAAAATCTTACAAATGAGAATACTTAATTGAAAGAAGATATATAGAATTAAAAAAATGAAATTTAGTCTTTCAAATAAAAAATTCATTAACTTTAAGCAGAAAAACTTAAATATCATAGATCTAAAACAGGTGCAGAAACAACAAGAGGATATTATGCTTAAGTATTAATTAATCAATATTAAGGATTTGCAATAAGCAACTAGTTTAAATGATTAAACAATTGCTACTTTAAGTGCTAATCATTTAGAAATAAGAAAAATTCCAACATTAAGTATAGATATACCTTGTCCATTTTCTGCAAAATCTAAAATAGAAAAAAGAAATTAGTTCAATTTTAAAAATGGAAAATCTGATGCTAATCATTTAACAAGTATTTCAGCATTTCTAATATCTAAGCTGAGGAATGTTATACATAAAGATAACAAAAAATACCCAAAAACTAAAGATCTTTATAAGATTTAATACACAAAGCATAAATAGGAATTGCATTTTCGAAATCAAACAGTATAATTCCTAAATAGTACTATAGCTGCTTCCTTGTCAAAGGCTTAAGGTTAAGGGTAACTATTTTTTGAAAGCAAATCAACAAAAAACAATCAGAAAAACACATAGTTAGTCCCTAAATAATGATCTCCAAGGTTTTGATGAATTATTAAGAATAAATTTATTAATTTATAAATATTATCAAATTATACTAATCCATTCATGTGTTCTTTCACCTGTTTATATTTCATTTAATAATTAATATAAATGATGAGTAAGTTCTCCAGAATTCAAATTAGTATTATATTTAACTTCATAAATTTTATCATTGAAACCTATAGCTTCAATAGGTTATACCATAACTCCTGTTCCACATCCAAACATTTCAATCATCTAAAAATAATATTATAATTTACTCTCCCTTCTGATATAGCTTCTACAACCTCTTAAATGTAGACTTTCCTTTCGATAACTTTAAACTTATTAATTTATTTTGCCAAATTCTAAAATTAATATAATAATTAAATACTAAGATGGAATCTCTAACTACTCCTGGAAGTATTGTTCCATCTAGCATTGGAGTAATCAATTCATTCTCTCCTTATTTATTTTTCCAATAGAAAAACAAATTACATACACCCATCTCCTAAACCAAACCATCTGGAAGTAGCCACAAATTTTAATGAAATCCAATCTTTTAAACTTCTTTTAATGGTAATACAGTAGGAGCATAATTTCCAGCAACTTTATATTCTCCAACACCTCCTGGATAAGAGCGTATCTAAAAATAAAATATCATCAATTACAGTTATTGTATTACAGAAGACACGAACAGGTTTTAATCCAGATGGAAAATATGGTCCAACAGGGCAAAGTACTACAAATAATTTAGCTCTACTAGAAGCTCTCACTCCCAAAGCCTCTTCTGTAGCTATCAAAGTTGGTCTTATATAACAACTAAACCCAGGATTAGCTGGAATCCAATCTTAATCTACTTTTATCAATGCTTCTATGCATTTCTATAATTCATGTCCATCAAAATCTGGTAGAGATAATCTCTTTGCTGAATGTTTCATTCTAAACATATTGCAATCTAATCGAAACACTCTTATTGTATTATTAGGTCCTTTATAAGCCTTTTAAATAATGTTATATATAATAATTACTTTAGAGCCTTCAAAACATTCGATTGCATAATGCAAACAAGATGAGAATGGATGAAGTTCAAAGTTTTTAAATGGAACTATCATTGGTCTTGACCAACTAAATGTCAGTGTTTATTTTACCCCATTTTATCAGACCAATCTATTTCTAATAGATGATCAGTATGGAATGCACCAAATGTCATAATTTTAGGATCACATGGAGGCTTTGTTATATAGTGTTGAGTATGAATAATTTTTAAATCTCTAGCCTGATTTGATAGTTATAATTAGAAATACTTGGAAGGATGCATGAGGAGAACTTAAATCCATATTGGCATAATATGAAAACTTATAGAAATTCTATGATGATAGTAACGTTATACTTTAAAGACGGATCTCATTGAAATATTATTTAATTGATGTTTATAAATCATGTATCTAATAGTTTATAATTTATATATAAAATTCAATTTGATAATTCGAATCGTCTAAACTTAGATTTATAAAATAATATAAAGTATAGTTAAAATGGAGTAAGTATTAATAAAGATAACCAAATTCCATATTCTAAGATTGTTGGCAATACTAATATGTAATTTAAAGCAAAGCCCAAGACCTAAGTCTATTAGTGTATTTTACATTAGCTATTCCCAAAATCCAAGTGCTTACAATCAAAGACTTAAGTGGATATAATTTCTCAACAAATGCTTCAATGGCTATTGGATAAATAACATTTAATCCTATTCCATTAAAGATATTTAATATAATCAAAAGCCAAAAAGGTAAATATTAAATAAGAAAAGCTTATATTAATAAAGCCAAAAAACCCATTAAAGTAGTGTATCTTATAATAGTATCATAATCTGGTTATTTTCCTTATCTTGCTTATTAATCTAATTTAAATGAAATCCATATTCCAGCAATTATCCCAGATCCTGTAAAAAAGATACCAGTAATTCCTATTTCTAATTAAGTATAACCAAAAGGATATAATTAAAGAGAGATAACAGATATATAAACCCAAGAAATTCCTATAAACATTGCAAAAGCTAAAAGATCCAATGAGAATTCTTCTATTCTAAAAATGTCAAAGAATTATTAAAAAAATTTAACATTTTCCTATAATTAAATTTATATTTATACTTCACCATTTCTGGTTCTTTAATTAGTGTTTCTAATAAAAAGAAAACATAATGGTACACAAATTGTGTTTAAAATTGCAATAATAAAGTTCATTTCTTCAATTTTGATATTAATAATTTCTTGATCAATTAGATCCCAAAATTAAAATGACGAATATGTATAAGAAGCCATGATTCCTGCTAGTGTAGCATAACTTCCAAGACATGTAGCCAAAGTACGATCATAAGCAGTAAACCAAACCTCTGATAAATCTACAACAACTTTAAGATTGAATAATTACAAACAGGTACTGCTAAAAATAAAGCCTCGCTTACTCCAACAAAGAAATATCCAACTAAACACATAAAAAAGCTTTGTTTCCCTATCCATACTATCCAAGCTCCTGCTGCTGTTAATATCGAGGCTACTTATAAACATAAATCAAGTCTTTTCTCTAATAGAGGAATAAAAGGAGGTCCAAATACAAAAAATGTTATATAATATAAGTTTCCTATCCAATATAAATCGTTAGCTTCTACATCATAGTATATAGCTGCATTTAACCAAACAGGTGAATAACTTACAAAACCAAGCACATTGGCAAATCTATGAAGAAAATCAAAAGTTTACGCTAAGAAACTATAAGCAAATAAAACGAACCATTTCATCCTTTTTGACTCTTTGGGTGAAACTTATTCGTTATAGAATATTTCAGCTTGATTGCTTTTAGACATTTTACTCTCGAATAAAATAGATTAATCTGAATTTTAATATATGTTTTTAGTTTTTGTTCTAAAATTAAATATTAGTCATTATTAATCAATTAGATAACTCAAATCTACGATATCTTGATTTATAAAAGAGAATAAAATATAATTCAAATGGTGTTAGAATAGCTAAAGTCAGCCAAAGACCATATTCCATAATTACTGGCAAGATTAAAAGATAATTAAGAGCAAACCCTAATAACTAATATAGATGTGTTTTAATACATTTGCAAATCCAAATACCCATGTAGCTACAATCAAAGATTTTATTGGATATAATTTTTCAACAAATGCTTCAATAGCTAATGGATAAATTACATTTAAACCAATACCATTGAAAATATTTAATAAAATTAATGCCCAAATAGATAAATATTATATTGTAAAAGCTTCAAGAAGAATAGCAAAGAATCCAATTAAAGTAGTTATTTTTATGAAAATATCATAATTTGGTTGTTTACCTTATTTAGCTTCTTAATCTAATTTAAATGAACACCAAATCCCTGCCAAAATTCCTGATCCAGTAAAAAAGATACCAGTTATTCCAACTTCCAATTATGTAAATCCAAAAATATATAATTATAATGATATTACAGAAATATAAACCCATGAAATTCCAATAAATATTGAAAATGCTAAAAGATCAAGAAAAAATTCCTCTTTCTAAAATATATTGAAAAATTATGAAAAGAATTTATTATTTTCCTTAATAAAATTATAAATTGAATACCTCTGTTAGTTTACCTAATTAATTCTTATATTTGATCAAAATAAAACAAATTGGAATTGAAAGTGAATTAAGAATTGCTATAATTAAATTTAAATTATTGATTTTATCATCTACAACATGTTATTCTTCAATACCAAAGAAATAAAAGGATGAATATGTGTATGAAATCATGATACCTGATAAAGTAGCATAACTACCAAAACATGTTGCCAATGTTCTATCATAAGCAGTAAACCAGACTTCTGATAAATCTTTTTTTAAATAAATTATAATAAAACATACAAACTGGTACACCTAAATAGAATGCTTCACTAATTCCCACAAAGAAGTAGCCAATTAGACAGACAACATAATTAGATTAGGCTACCCAAACAATCCAAGTTCCTAGTGTTGTTAGAATTGAGGCTAATTTCAAACAAAGGTCCAATCTCTTTTCTAATAATGGAATAAAGAGTGGACCAAAAATAAAGAATGTGATATAGTACATATTGCCAATCCAAAAGAGATCATTAAGTGATATTTAATAGTAGTTTGCGGCATTATTAGAAATAGGGGAATAGCTTACAAAACCAAGAACATTGGAAAAACTAAAATTATTATAAAATATTACGCTAGATAACAAAATGCAAACAGTACTCCCCATTTTGTTTTATTTGTATATTGTGGTTACAAATCACCTTAAAATTAAATTGCTTGTGTTTTTGACATGTAATTTAAATATAGAAAAAAAAGATTTCTATACAAAAGTATTTATATAAGTTCTTCTTAAAATTTTTAAAATTATATTTATGGGTTCTTATAAATCTAAAAATCATAAAGTTGACATTAATACACTTCCAGTAGCTGATCCAGAACCTGATTATGTGATAAAAACAAGACAACCTATGCCATCTAATTGGTAATTGAATATTTTAAGAGGAAAAAGAGAGGATGAATTAAGAGGATTATCATATGCATATGCTAGGTAGAATGAGTAGCTAATTTAGACGAAAATGTCATAAAGCTGTGAATGATTTACTTCAATGTGAAAAGGATTACGGTTCTTTTTGGGCTGCATTTGATTGTTAGGCATAGAATCATGATATGAAAGAATGTTTAACTCATGAATATGAAGTTGAAATGGATAAATTAAGAAGAAATATGAAGATGAATACAGAATGGTGGTGGAGAGATCTTTATGATGAAAATGGAGAAGTAGGTGAATAAGCTAAATGGAAAGATGAATATTGGTTACTACCAATATTAAGAAGCTACAAAGACTTATTATATTCAATGATATCATAGAATAATTGATATAATAAATATATATATATATTATATGATCATTTTCAAAATTTCTAATCAAGTTGATTTTTATGAAATTTCTGCACATATTGCCAGAATCAATAAACTTGCTACATGTTCACTAGTCTAAATAAGTATGTATTCTTTGCGTTTCATCTCCCAAGCAAGTGCTGATAAACCATTTGGTAAAATTATGCCTCCAACAATAATGAGTATTAATTGAAATGTCGAACTGTAATCCTAAAATTTAAATAACTCATAGATTTATTTACTTTTAAGTTAAGATAGAGGTAAAAAAGGATAAAACAATAACTTTTAACAAAACGCGCCAAAATTTCAATAATCTAGCCATTTGAATTATCATTTTAATATGGTTATTTGATTTGAGCTCCGGCTTTCCATTACAATCCAAAACAACTATCAGAATACCAAAAGTGTCCTGATTTCTTTAACAAATTTAATACCAAAGACTGATGTGAGAAAAGTTCCGACTGCAGCTGGTAAAATTTATTAATACATTAATTAATAATCATTCATCCAAATGAAATTCCATAAGTTCATCCAATTTCAAATAATTTGTATTGTACTCTCTTAAATCTGAATATGTTACAGCTTCCTTTAAATAATCAATGAGAGCTTTTAACTCTTAATCATTTTAATCATTATGCCATTCTAATATAGGAATCCCATTCTCAATCTGAAATCCAAAAGAATGAGCTAAATTATCAATTATTAGCATATCTTTCAATTATTTATTGCCAATCAATCTCAAATCCTTAATAAAAAATCCATTCTTAGTTTCCATACAATTATTTCGAGACAAGACACCAGAAATATATTGTTTTTTAGGATCCAAATAATTGATTATAGCTTAAGCATATGCTTATGAGGATGCTGTATAAATATAAATTGTATAAAGTTAAGATAGTGATGATAAGAATAATGATGTATATGGACGTATGTTAATTCCAATCTAAATAATTTAATAAAATTACTTTTGCTTCTTCTCCAAAGTCTCCTACTGCTGTAACATAAACTTAAGGATTTTCCCTAGATGTACATGAATGTATTAAAGTCTCATCTAAATCTAGAATTAGAGTTTTCTCTTTTTTTGGAGTTATTTCATTTAAATATACTTTCTTCGATTCTATAAATTTATCAGATGGTCCTTTTAAACACTTTCTAGCATAGATTAATCCTCTCTATGTAAGTAATAAATGTTTTTTAAATGCTTATTCATTAATATATTGACCAAATATTAAATGACGAAAAGGATGTTAAGCTATTTTATTATTTTAATTCAGTTATGGATTCTTTTTATTTTATTCTGAGTCTGTGTTAGAGTTTAGATTTTACATTGATGATGTTTATCTATTCATTATAGATTTTATTACTTTGCTTTTGCTAACTTTGGATTTGTTTGTGCTTTTAAGGAGAGTTTTTATTAAATTCTTTAAGCTTACTCTTCAATATTGTAATTTGCTTCTTGATTGCTTTATTCAACTGGCTCATTATTGTTTTCTGTATCACTAAAGTCTGGTTCGTTTTCTACATCTCCATCTATTCTCTTTGTATTCACTAAATTGCTAAATCTAGACATCTTTGCTGCTTATGTCAAAATTAATATAAATACTTGTATGTTATTACTAAGTATTTCTTTGACTCTTAGGTGTACCTCCTTCTGAATCATCAGTTTAGAATCCATTTTACTTTGGTATTGGCTTTGCTTTACCTTTGTTGTCTGGTGTAGGTGTATTGTCTTGAGAATTAGATGATTCTCCTTCCTCTTCACTATAAAATTAAAGTTTCTATTCTTGTGTAATCACTTGCTTCAAATGACCAACATGAGATTTTGCTTTAAAGGTTATTAACTTGTCCATTTATTATTAATATTGACTATATTTCTTGATTTATCAATTATTAATCAAAAATCGGCCCAGTTTAAACTGTTCACCTAATATTAAATACTAAATAATACTTATGTAATACTTTTTAAATTTCTAATTGTTCCTCCATTCCAAAATGCAATCAAAATAAATATACAAAATAAAGCATATTTAAGAAATCTATGTTTTTATCATTGTTTTATAGTATATTATTGTAATTTTTCATTTTATAATAATTATTATAAATAAACAAATAATATTCAATCAATTGATAAGAATTCAGAGTCATCTCAATACTTTATTGTTATTTATTGTATACATTAATTCAATAATTGAATTTTATCATAATCTATATAAGTATTTTGAAGAGTTCTAAGTCTAAATTTATTTTTGTTTTAATAACATCCAATTTAGAATTATAATGTATGAAAGAATCCTTCAAATATTATTATTCTCATTATAATGGATGTATAAAAAATTGATGATGTAATAATCAAATATTTGGAAATGACTAGAAGTTGATTTAAGCATCAAATTCATATTTTGTGTTTTATATGTGCTGGAAATTTTGGGTAATTTAAACAGGATTTGAAGAAACAATATTATAAAATGATTTTAATATCTAATTATAAAGTATGAATTTGAAACAATATTGCATCATTAATTTATGAATTAATGATTAATAACTTCTATTTATGATCTATAGTGCGTATTAAATTCATAAATTTATGTATTATTTAACATAAATTTCTTCGTCTTATTGAAATAATAATTAAATAATATCGATGTCTGAATCCATTTATAAAGTTAGAACTTAAAAATACCTCAAACCAATCATAGAAACTCAAATAATTGGACTTTCCAGGGTCATTCTTGGTTTACCAATAGATCATGTTTTTGATAGATTCAAAACTTTAGTATAGGCTGAAAATACACAATCTTCAATTTAATAACTCTTCAAAGAAACTTATAGACGAAATGGAATGTTAAAAGGTGTATTTGCTGGATTCTCATCTTAAATAAGCATTCAATTGTTTAAACAATACTATAGGTAAATTTTTAATTATATCCCTATTTTTAGATGGCCCATGATGATCTTAATTCCAAAATATTATAAAGAACTTTTACCATCATCTTGGATCCAGAACCATCCAGCATTACATAAAGGATTAGCTGGTGCAACAATTGCTATTTTTGAATCCCTCGTGACTTGTCCTATGGAAAGAATTAAGTGTCAATTAATGACCCAATATGAATCAAAATCAAGTATCTAAATTTCATTTATCTTTTCTAGTCATTAAACAATTGTTAAAAAATGAACATCAATTTTCCCATTTTATCAAAAATATTTATACTGGAATGGAAGCTATGATATTAAAATAAGTAGTTTCTTGGACTAATTATTTATATTGGGATCATAAAATTAGATATCTCTTTAAGGATAGTCCAAGTCAAGCTCTCACTTTATAATAAATAGCTATGTGTAGTTTATTGACATCCATTCCAAATATTTTATTTGTATAACCATTTGATGTAGTAAAAACTGCTTATTAAATGGAAAACAATGCAAATTACAAATCATTAACCATTCCTTAAGCCTTTGTCAAAGTGTATTAGGATAAAGGATTAAAGGGATACTATGCTGGATGGTAATTAAGACTCTCACAATTTATTGTACAAGCAGCCTTATCTACTCCAGTAATGGATTATTTGGAAAGATTACATGGTCTTCCAAATGATTTTTGAAATTAATAGAAAAAATACTATCAACTAATGAAAATGATTATTAATAATATTATAATTAATCACTATTTTATTGATTTTCTTGTCTCGACTATTGATCCAGTCAATTATCTTGATATATTTGGTCTCTATTATCTAGAAATGGATTATTATTATTCTTGTATTTATTATTTGCTATGACTAGATAATTATGAATCGAAAGATTCTGTTATTTAACGATTAATTCTTTATTGTTGATACTCATTCTATGATTAATGTTAATATTCCATTTTAGGATAGATGTTTTAAGGTTCAGGTGATCTTGGGATTTATGATTATTAAATATAATAATTATCATTACTTACTGGTTATTTGATATCAAATTAACCAGTTAATTGTTTGGTGATTTATTAATCTCTTAATATTTGTGATTATCTTGGTTATTAATAATTTGTTGATTATGAATATTAATAATTACTTTATTATTAATATTATTATTATTATTAATATTATGATTATTATTATTATTATTATTATTAATATTATGATTATTAATATTATGATTATTATTATTATTATTATTATTATTATTATTATTATTATTATTCTTATTACTTTATGGACTACTGAGAATACTATTATTGATAATTATAAGTCTAATTATATGGTTTAGGCTATTCAGTATTAATTGATTCAAATAATTATTAATGAGAAAATGAGGCAGTATTATTATTAATAGGTCTTTGTGAATATATTTTTTAATTTGAACTTGCCAATTCAATTGGTTCAACAACACTTTAATTTGGTTTTTCGTCAATCTCTTATTAATTATATTCATATTCCTCTTAACCTTAATGATTTTGAAAGGTATTAATCTCCTTTTTCAAATATTAAGGAGCATTATTATTATAAGAGTATGTAGATTATTTATTGGATTGAATTTCTTACTTGTATTCACTTAATTACAATTAAAGTTCCTTTTATGTTATTGGAGTAAGATTGTTATACATTTAATAACTGTTAGTTGGTTCCCATTAAGTTGATTTAATTCTTTTTCCTGGTGTTCTTTGATATCTAACTTATGCATCTTGACTTCTTTATAATGCTACCTTAGCTCTTTATTCTAGAATTTCCATTTATTCATAAATATCAGTTGTGTCTACTAATTTACTTTTTGCTATTTAATTTTCTTCAATTCTATTTATTTGTTTATTGTTTATCTATTTAAATTCTATTGAATAATTGGGTAAATATTCCTTGATTGTGGATTACTAAAATAAAATTAATATTATAATTTTTTACTCTGAAATAATCTTCCAATTAAAATCTAAATCCTATCAATAAATCATTAGCTTAATAAGAATTAGGTCTATTTTCAGGTGCTAATTGTAATAGTTAACATACTATAGAACACAATTATTCACTATATATTGTTTTCATTTCTCTTATGTAAGTATCTAATTTATCAGTAATAATGAGATAGTTGGAATTATCATAAATATCATAAATACTATTTAGAGTAGCCATTTATAATGCAGTTAATCCAATACAAAACACATCAGATTTATCTAAATCATAAGTTGGTCTAAGCACTCTTTATTTTAAGAATGTTAATTATTCTGGACTTAAATTATATTAAGCATGTTATTTGGCAACACATCTACGAAATGCATTCATATCAGTCAATTCTTAGATGTCTGTCAATTTATAAACAGGAAGAGGTTCATTCTGTCGATGAGGACTTTTCTTTGGAAATGAAGTAACACTTATAGTAAGTGGACGAATGTCTCCATGTGATTTTTATTGCTTAGTTAATTGTTATAATGCCATTAACTAAAGATTTATATTAAAAAAGATTATACAGTGCAATGAATCATAGCAGCTATTTCTATTTCTTCAAAATGTTATTTAGTTGCACTTTATTCAGTAATTACTCTATCCAAATATTCATCAAAATATTCATATACACTATGTGCTTAAGTCATCTAGGTACATAATTCCTTTTCTGTGACATGTTATAAATCTATCATTTAGATTAAGAACAAATTCTTATCTCTTTAAGTCATATTCATTTCTGCTGATTGTTTAAATTTAAGCCATTATTCTTCATCCTATAAAATGTGATCTTTGACAGCCACAGCGTGTCCATCATTTAATTTATAGACTTTGATTTCTCCATATCTGACATCATTCACTTATCTCCAAAATTATAATTCATTTATTTTAGGTACTTGCATTCTAGATTGCTGTAAATTTTAAGATGAACTTTATCCCATTCTGTTAAAATTTATTTAATAATAAATTAACTAGAAATATTATTGTTAAGATTATAATACAGTTTATCTATTCATAAGTAGAATCATTCATTATAATGGTCTAAGTTCTAAGAATTTTATTTAGATTCCTGGAATATTCATTATCTTCTCAGCTTATATAATCCAATCGTAAATAGGATTTTTATTGAAAGTGCTTCTCTTTACAACAAACTATTTCCCAATTTGATTGACTTTCCCTTCATCCAATTCTTCAAATGGCATCTTATATTAAGATAGATCCATAATCATCATAATAGTAAATGATAATCTAAATAAAATATATAAATAAAATAAATACTTATTATTATCTTCTTAGATTCCTAAGGCAAGAGCATCATTTTAAAATTTACTTAATTTTGTATTAGGATCTTTTTGCATAAAATTCAAATAATCATTAATTTTGGCTTGAATAGTAGTTTAAAATTAAGTAGGAACTTAAATTTTAACAAATCTATGATGCATTTTAACCTCAGTAATAACTATTTCTAAATCTTAAAGACCTTAATCAAGAGGTTAAGTAAAATTTTCAATTTTTACTTCTTCATTTAGAGGAGATGGTGGAGAATAATCATCTATTCTAGGTTAATTATAATCAATTAATGCCCAAGAATGATTACCACCTGCAAATAATTATTTAATTCTTCTCTTTTCCAAAAAGTTAATTCTAGTATATTAAGTTCTACTTTCATAATCACCAACTCCTAGTTATCCTGCTTAATTATGCCCACAAGTATAAACATCTGAATGACTTGTCAATACTATTGAATGATTCCATCCAGCTGCAATTTATACTATAGTTTTTCCAGATAATCCTATAACTAATTAGAATTTATTTTAATTTTCAGTAGCTTTAATACCTAATTATCCATGTTATGCATATCCACAGGCATATACAATTCCTTTATTCGATAATAACAAACTATGATGTCCACCTAGACTGATTTCCTTGATAGTTGACTCTATATTAATAATAATAATAATAAATAACCTTATTTATTCTACACATAAATATCATCAATAATTATGTGTTTTTAATTGAAATTCACTTTTACTTTTTTTGGTAATAAACTATCTTAAAATTCACCTTAACCAGTCTCTCCATACATCCCAGAACCCCAAGACCATAATTCTCCATCCTTATCTAATGCCATCATATGATAACCTCCACAACTGAATTTGACTATATTATCTTTAACAACTTATGGAGTTTCTACATCATTCAAATGTCCATGACCTAATTAACCTCGATTATAATCTCTTCCTCCTCCTCCCCATGTATATAGATCTCCATTAGCACTTAATGCAGCACTATGAAAATCACCACATCCTATTTATACTATAGTTTGCTTTAATGTTTCAATTCTTGCTGGTTTACCTGCTTTAGATCCTAACTTTTTATGAAGTGTGCCACCCCATGCATAAACTTATCCATTGTCTAATAAACATAAAGTATGATAATCTCCTGTGGCCACCTAAGTCACAAACAATCCTTTCATAGCCTAAACAAGTAAGAATTTTGGATAAGATGGTTGATTTGCATCCTCAAAACCTAGTTTACCTAAATTATTTTTTAAATTTGAATTGCAAACCGTGTAATGCAGAACCACAAATAAATAGTTAACCATCTAATGTTACTATTCCTGAATGGTTTGAACCTGAACTAATCAATTAAACTGTTTAATTCTTCAATCCTTGTACTGCCTTAGGAGTATTACATTTCTTTTAATTGCCCTAATAACATTAATGATATCCATTTTACTATAGACAATTCTCCATCTTTATTACGTCCCCATGCAAAAAGATAAGTTATTTATTAATCATCTCCTGCAAATTATGGTAAAGGATCCATATATTAATTAATTTTTATATTAAAAAATGGATCAATAATTAGAAAAATGGAAGTTGAATAATCAATATTTTATTAGAGATAAATATTTTAATCTTTATAAGAAATGTGGAAATCAAGCTCTTAGACAACAAGATCAATTGCATTTCAAGAGACAACGTATTTTCAGGAACACTTCCTTCAAAGATCGTGAGAAATTACCTCTTATGGAATAATCTTCCAAAAAATGTGATTAAAGTCTACCAGAATTTGTTTATCCTACTATATAGTAAGTTAACACTATAGATGAATATAATAAGATATTGCAAGAGAGAATTAGAAGTAATGAACGAAAGGAAAGAAATTAATGGAAATTACCTCCTTTAGAAAGAGAATATAAAGAGAAGTATCAATTGAAAAGAACCATCTCTTAAGTTGATTTAAAGATCAATTTGTAGCAAATAATTTGAATTATATTTTAATATTATTCTCGACTTCCGTTTTGAATGAACACTCTTTATAACTATTAATAAATATAGATTAAATTATTAACTTGAAGTAAATAGGTTATCAGATAAATAATTACATGATAATATGATTCAATGATGAAGAAAGCTATTGTCTAATAATTTAAACAACCTTCTCTTACAAAATCTGAAGTATAATCATGAACTTCAAGATCAAGATATATAGATCAAAATTTTATTGTTATTTACTTTTGTAATCTCTAGAATCTAAGATTGTAGAAGACTTTAATAGAGACCTAGAATTATAAATAGTAAGAGTCTCAAATAAAATAATTATATAGCAGATCTAATAAGAATCTTAACAATAAATTACTTAGAAATTCTCTAAAATTTAATAGGTAAGTTAAGAATTAATCAATGAAATTTATAAGGATTGCCAAAACCCTTTATTGTATACAAATATAATTTAATTTTATGAATAAATCTTAATATTAGAAAATCAAAAAGTAGAAATAAAATAATCTATGAATTACAAGTAGAATTAGATTTATAAAACTAAATCGAAATGTACTCAGGTTGAAATTATGTCAAATTATGACACAGTAAGAAATGATTTATTTTAAATTTCAATTCTGATTTTTTTTCATGACTAAAAATAATCTAGATAATAGATAATGGTAGAATAATCTTTAAAATTAGAGATCATAAAATATTAAGTATTAATTTAACAAATAATAATAATTATTCACTGAATTATATTAATAAATCTATGTATAAATAGAAATAACAGAAAAATATATAAATGATTTCTATTATTATAGTAGATACTTCAACGTAAACAAGAATATATTTGAGGGATATTAAATGATTTATAATTTATTTTATTATGTTTTTTTAATAAAATTATTAGTTTAATTTAAATAAGGATTCATTAAAAGTGACTTATAATTTGAGTTAGTTTATAGCATTTTGAAAGTAAATAAGTGGAATTATTTGATTTTATTTTTAATATGAGTGGATATAGCTTTGTTAGAAAGTTAGGAGAAGGAGAATAAGGATAGGTTGTTGAAGTTATAAATTATAGTGATTAGAGGAGTTATGCTGCTAAATAGATTTCATTAAATTTATTTTCAGAAAAGCTATTCTAAAGATTATAATAATTAAATCACCCAAACATTGTTAAGGTGTTTTAATATGAAATTAATAACAACTCTGTATATTATTTAATGGAATTATTACATGAATAATCGCTATATAAGTATATTCGAAATCATTAATTGGAATTGGAAGCAATCTCATTTTATTCTGCATAAGTCTTATTGGCATTGGATTATCTACACAAGAATGATATTATTTATAGGGATTTGAAATCAGAAAATCTATTGCTTATGAAAAATGGATATCTAAAATTAGTGGATTTCGATTTGAGTAAATTGGTTAAGTAACCTTAAAAGACAACTACTTTATGTGGAAGTCCAGGATTTATAGCTCCTGAGGCTATTCAGGGATAAGGTTATAATCATAGTGTTGATTATTGGAGTTTTGGAGTGTTGTTGTATGAGTTCTCAACTGGAGAATTACCTTTTAAGGGTAAAACACCATATGAAGTATACTAGTCTATTTTGAATGATAAAGTCGAATTTCCATTTAGCATTGACAAGTTTGTATTGTTATTATTATAAGGTCTTTGTAATAATTAATTAAATAATTATTGACTAAGAATCCTTAGAACAGAATGAAAAAAGTAAAGAACTTTGAATATATTTTGGGTAATTCAGAATTGTATTGTTCTTTAGATTCAAATGATTTATATAATTAAAAACTATTAGCTCCATATTATCCTTGAAAGTATTTAAATCAAAAAAATTTGAAAAAAAATACACAAAAATAGCTATTGAAGCTCAATCATCTTGCAAATTCATATTACCTTCTTCCTTATAATTTAGCATATTTCAATTGACAAATTTACTAGAAATTAATAAAATTAGAAATACTTTCTCTGTATTAGTCCATTTTTAATTATTAAATGTTCTATAAAACCTTAATACTATATCCTGATTGATGAAATTAACAAAAGCATATCCCAAATGACCTTCATTCTTTAATTATAAAATTAGAAATACATTATTATCCAAGGGTAAATAGAAAAAATCATAGAGATTACGAAATTCTTTATTTAAAATATTTCTCAAGTCATTAGGCTTCATGCTTCTAGGTATATTTTTAAGCATCAAAGTAGTTCTCTCATCCTTAAGAATCTATGCTTTTTAATTAAAGTCTTTACATTCTCTTCAGCAATCTCTAAAGATGCCTATTACTATTATAAATATTTTTCATCATTCAAGAATATAAGTTTGTCTTATATCAATTCTTAACTGAACTGTTCAAAATTTATTAAGCCATCTTCTTCAGGGACTAATAATTTAAACTCTAAAATGGATTAAAAACCTATTACCAAAAGCACAAAGAGATGCTTCAAATTTTTCATCAAAACTCAACAAAGGTCTTGGAATTTTAAGTTGTGATGCTTCAAAAGAAGAATTACTTGAACTGTTAGGGGATGCTGTTGTGTTTGTCTATGAAAATCTTCCTTTATTTGGAGTTGTTCTTAGAGTATAATCAACTAAATCACAAATCATTATTTAATAATAAAAACAATGGATCATTGTCTCATTGGTTTTCTAACTTTCTAATAGTAGCTCTTGTTTTGATTTATCTCTCGAAATTTCTTAAGCAATTAAGACAGTTCCACTTCCCTTAAGGAACCTCTTTTAAATTAATACATTTTGGATGGAATACTTTTGGACATGTATCACAACAAATAACTTTACCTCCTTTGTTGCATTTCTTACATCTGTCTTCCCACTTAGTTTCTGTCTCAGTATATTAAGGTTTCACTTAATTTCTTTTTCTTAAATTTTGTGTTACATACTATTATTATGCTTCTTAAACAAATTAAGGTTAAGGTTCAACATTCTTTTTAATAATGATTTCTTCTACTTTTTTCTTTTCTCCTACAGGTAATATTTATTATTGAATTTATATTTATTTTCTGTCAATATAATCTTTTACTATCTAACCTAATACTTCTAAACAAATTTTCATTTTAGCTAAATTACAATCAAATTTCAATTATTCTATTAAATTCAATCTGAGAGTCTCATAATATGTACCAAATAATTTCATAGGTAATTTTCTAACTCTCACTCTTCCATTATCCATTTATTCTAATTATTATAACATAGTTTATGGTTATTCATCAATTGATGAATCATCTTCAACAACCTTTCTCCTTCTATTTGGTTAATAGGAATCCTCATCATTTTCATTGAATTATTTATCATCCATATCTTCTTCTAATCTAAGTTCTAATTTCTCTTGCATCATTGTGTTATCTACAAAATATTCAATAGCTTTCCCTAAAGGTTATAAATCAATTTCATCATATTCTTATGAATTCTTTTTTTCAATCACATTCTAAAAACTCTTTAAAAATGTAGCCCTTTATTCAGTACTACACCATCTTGAATTTTTTTAATTTAAATATTGTGTCAAACTAGATTCAATTTCAACAAATTCATTTACTAATTCATCTACATCTAAATTTATTAAACTATTTATTCTTTCTATTGATTCTTCACTTTAATTGTGACCCTCTTACTCAATATCATTATCTATCCCTTTACCATTCTTATGAATTTCTTATTCAATTTAATCATCCTATTCCTAATTCTATTCATTAATTTATAACAATTTAGCCCTCTATAATTCAATAATATTATTTTTTAAAGTATTCTCTCTAACCCCTTTTGGACATAATGAATTGAGTAGATTTTATATTTCAGTTTAATCATAAAATCCCCATTATTATGATCCATCATCATCTATAATTGAATGTCTCATACAAACAAAGATTTTATCAGGCTCATATAAAAAGAAATAATATGAACTGTGTCTTGCATCTTGACCTAAACACATAGATGGATTTAACAATAAAGCTGGCATTTATGTGATGGCCAATTCCTAATAAGAATAAATAATTATATTACCTTGTCTTATTAATTATATCTTTCTGTTAAAGATGCTATTTCTTTTTCTAATTTTGAATACTATTATTTTAATTTTTGTGCTTATTTTTAGGCTTGTTCCATTTATTTTGTTAGTTTCTATGTTTCTACTCTTGTTAATCCTTCTTATTAGAGTTAAGACTATAAAATAATAATAAAAATATACTTAGGCGATTGAAATATTGCCTTCAGCTTCAATAATTTCTTTCTTAATATCTATTTATTGACTTCTTTGTTATTTTATTTGTGTTCCTAATTGTAATTTAATTCTATTATTGGATAGAAGATTTTCAGTTCTAAATTGATACAGAAACTATGTTTTCTTAAGACTTGTTAACCCATCAGATAAAGCTATTAGTAATTTACACACTTTTTTGATATCAGTGTAATCACTAAAATCTATCATATCTTATGTTAAATGTAGTATTCCTTATTTATAGATATTGGTGGGCAATGACTTTATGTCATCCCTTAATAATTCATAATATCGAATTCTATCTGTAAACCACATGTATCCAAGAAGATGCCAATATGGGATTTTCTAAATTTATTTTGATATGAATTACATATGATTATTTTTACATTTATTCTTAATCTAAATCCTCAATTATTTATTTGAGATAGAAGTAGCAAAAAAAGAGGATCAATTCTTCAGGTTTGGTTTAGATTATATTATATATCTCTAAGCGAGTTTTTTAACTATAAGGTGTATGATTGTCTTTGAAATGAATCAAGGTACCAATGTTATTAACTTAACTTTACTCTTTTTTATATAATATATAGTAATACATTCAGTTTATTGTTCTCCTGCATATAGGATATCACTTACAATTTTATCCATATAATTGTAAGTGTCCCATATTTTAAGAACATCTTCAAAGAGGTTCTGTGGAATAGTTGGATCGAGTTGGAGAATAGGCTTCTTTTTAATTTCAATGGTAAACAATTATTGATAGGCTGTAAGATATTCATCAAATATTGGAAAAATTACTCTTCCTTATTAGACATAGGTTGGATATTTTTATTGAAATTCAGTGTGTTTTTTCAATTTATCTTCTTATGGTTATAGGGTTTTCTAAAAGATTTCAGGTATTTAACTAGTTTTCTTCTTTTTCTATGGTTCCGACTCTTTCAATTTTCTCTTAGCCATTCTCTCTATACATGAGAGACAGTACCATTTAGTACCGTCCTGGAATTATGGCTCTTTGTTTTAAGTTCGTATGCATTCTTTGTGGTATTTAAAGTGACACCTTATACAGATTATAGTTGGAGTGGATTGAGTAGTCACTTTGCATAATCGACATATAGATTTGTCACCAAATTACTATTTACCATCAATTGGCTTTTTCTAGTCTAGCTTCATAGTTATTTTCTTATCTTTCTTGTCCTTCTTCTTTTTTGGATTGTCTTCTACTTATGATTCCTCAATAATTTCATCCTCAATGTTCACTTCTTCCTCACTAGCCATTAAGTATGTCTATGAATTATTTCAAATAATTTAAAACTGTGAATCCAAAAGAAGTGCTATTAACTTAATTACTAATATATTATAATATGCAAATTATTTTTTATAAACTTTCATCAAGAGTGTGTCTTTTTATTCTTCATTTTATTTTCAAATCCCGCTCCTTTCCAGAACTTAATCATACATTCATTTACATTAATATAAATATGCAATAAAATAACAGTGCAATTAAACATCTCATTAAACCATTTTCTTTTGAACTCCCCCAATCCGAATAATTTAATCCTTTACTTTTAGACAATCTTAATTGGGATTATGTATAAGCAAATCTGTAATTCATTATATCTCTCTATTTCTTAGGGATATAGCTTAATGTGGACCATTTCTAAAAAATTTTGTTCAATCCAACTTCACATCAGATACAATAAGAAATATGGAGTTTCGATAATTTAAGAAAATGTTGGAGGTATGTTAATTTGCTATGGATTTTTATACTTAAAATTAAGAATAAAAAGAGATAGAAATAGATGAAAAAGTGCAAATCTTGAGAAACAAACAGGAATAATTAGAAAAACTAAAAGAAATTGAAAAATAACATATGGATAAATAGAATTAGATTAATAAAGAACTTGAACTCTTAAAATAAGAAGCAAAGAAGGTTAAAGAATAAGCTGTCAAAAATATAATATTCAAATGTCATCATTGTGACAAATGTTATCCCTCAAAATAAGAATTACTTAAACATATTGATAATAAACATGTTGAAAAATAAAAGGATGACATAACTAATCCAGAATATTTGGGCTCTATGTTATAATAATTGTAATAACAATAAACACAATAGTAGTAATCTATGGCAAATACATAACAAAGTTTTATGAAATAATAACAATTTGGAAATACTATGTAATCAATGCCTGATCCTTTGATGATAGGTAGTGCTGGATTTTAACAATTAAAATAATAACAAATAGAAAAGATGGAATAGAAATAAAAGAGAAAAGAAGAGAGAAAAATTAAAAGAGAGAATGATAGAGAAGAAAGATAAAAACGAATATTATAATAAGAAGAATAGATGAAATAATTCTAAAATTAAATGAAAATATTAATTGAATAGAAAGTATAAGAAATGGTTAAGTTAAATAATATGGTTGGATCATAATAATAAGCATAAATAATTTAATAAAAAAAATTGATTGCTGAATTAGAAGAATTAAAATAAATGAGGTTTGTTTAAAAAGATCATAGTATTATTTAATAGGAGTAATAATAAGTTAATTAATCTAAAAGTAATGAAGATGAAAAGATATTAAATATTATTGATAAAGAAGTCAATGATTTAGATATATCATAATAAAGTTTACATTCATAATAATTGTCAAGAGATTAAAAATTGTAAATTAATAAAAATCAAAAAGCAGGAGATTAATCAGGTATGATGAGTTTTCACAATTATTCATATTCATAAAATTCATAAAATATGATTAATGTTAAGACAGAAATGGGTAAGGCTAATTAAATTAAAAATAATCAATTGAATGTAGCTGAAATGGCACATGTAGGTGAAATAGAAAGTGATAATGAAGTATTAGATCAAGATGGTGATGCTTCATATTTAAGACCAGTTAATAAGAAGAGTGAAGTTTAATAAGCAGAAATTGAATTTATTGAAGCTATAAGAAAAAAGAAAATCTTAAAAGAGGATCCATAAGATGATGATGATGAAGATGATCATGATTTCGATGATTTATTAAATAAGGAAAAATAAAAATTATTGGGTCCTAATAGTGAATCATAAACTAATAAAGAATTATTAGAATCATTAAATAAGATTTAATAATTATCTAAAGATAAATCTTGAATATAATATTATTCAAATTAACTAAGTATATTATTTAGTAAACATAAGAATTTATATATGTATTGATATTTTTATATTAATGAAATCTGCAAATTCAAATTTGCCCAATTCTATTCAACCTGATTAAAATGAAATCAATGAATATATCAAAGAGTATCTTAGATATTCATCTTTTTCAAACACTCTTGAATGTTTTGAAGCAGAAATCAAGAGCAAATAAGTTTCTAATAAAGTATTCATTTACTTAATTCTTACTTATAGATGCTTAATAAATAATAATAATCTAAATAATTAGGTGATGATGCTCCAAGACTATTTCAATTGTTTAAAAGTGACAATACAAAAACTAAAAGAGAAATCAATTTGGAGAAGGAATAAAAAGCCTTCAATAAAAAATATTAATAAATACTATAAGCAGGAAGACAAATCTTCTCTGTCAGTATTAATTTACTTTAATTATTACATTCACTCAAAGAAACAGCCAAAAATGAAAACTTAAGTGAAACTTTAGAGAATTACAAAATTTAATTAGGGAAATATCATAAAGTGATTATCAATGAAGGTAAACCAGAAGGAACTGAATTGATTACTGAATAGGTTATGCATGAACACAAGACAAAATTGTTTAAGAACTTTCAAGATAAACATGTAGATGGAATGATTGAAGTTTTATTATCTCTTAGAGTAAATGCATTATAGATAGCACCAGAATTGAGAAAGAATCTTGTATATGAATTAATTAGAAATGATGTATTCAATATTGAAGCAACAGAGAAATTTGATTTTGTTGTTCATTTATTGGATATTAATAATTAGAGTTTGAGACATGCTATTACAAGTTTAATTAGTGTTATCAGTAGTACTTTAAGAGGTGTAGAATATTTAACATATAATGGTAATATGATAATTATAGAGAAAATAATAAAGATTTTGAAAGAATAAGAAAATGGTTCTGTTACTTAAAGATTTTGTTTAGCAATTTTATAAAAAGCTAGTATAAAAGATACTGTAATACCAACATATGTTCATAATGAAATGATATAATGGATCATCTAATTAATACAAAAATCAATAAATACAAAAATTCATATATTTTGTCTTGATTTTGCATCTGCTACATTAGCAAATGTGATTCATACTCCATATACATTATAATATTTAGAGAAATAAGGAAGATTTGCTCATTAAGTTATGGAATAACTCTTAAAGTTTATGAAAGAATAGATTTAAGTAAGTGTATTGATGCATGTTTTAATTTGTTTATCATATTTGAGTAAGGAAAACTTTGCAAAATAGATGGAAGAATGTAGATTTGTGGAGAGAATTAGTGAATTTGTTGAATATTATAGTGTAATAAATACAGGTATATAATTATAAATATGATTTGAATAGAAAATGAAGCAGCTGAGATAGACAAAAAAACAGTATTAGATTTATGTGCTCATATGTTTCATCCAAAAGATACATCATTAGATAATTCAGAAACGGTTGAATTGAATGAATTAAAAACAGAGGATAGAATTAGAGAATATGAAAATGAATAAGGAGAACTTATTTTTGAATGTTTTTAGGATGAAGTGAGTTGATTTTGAAAATTTATTATTCAATTGATTAATTTAAAAATTATTCTTGTCCCAAAAAAATTAGTTAAGGAACAAATTTAAAACACCTTTTCAAATATGAAATAATCCATGTTTATTTATCTAAAATTTGACCAAAATTTCCTCGAATATTAAATATTAAATTTTCTATAATTCTAAAATCCTTTTCCTTTACTATCTTAATATATATATAACAATATCTCAATCTTAAATGTACAGAGTATTTTTAATAACACTTAAAACTTCTGAAAATGGAATAAAATCCTGTTCCTATCTTTGAATAGACAAAAAATTAAACTAAGTAAAGAAAAGCAATAGATTAAGATATAAAAACAAAGCTAATATTGAGTGTTGTTAATGATCGTCTTCCAATTTATTAGGTAATGAAGAATTACAATAATTAATTATTTTAGGCAGCTATCCTCCATAAAGTTAAATATTCATCTGCTAAACATATACTAAGAAATTACTTTAATGACTCTGCTAACTTTTTTTCTACCCAAAGAAAAAGAAAGAGAAAAATACTTTGCAATAATGTCTTTGTTTTAATAGATGCATGTTCTGGAAAAATTACTATCAAGAAATAGCAACCTCATTCAATATCCTGTGCTCATAATGGAGTCACCCCAATATTGCAATAAAAATTCATAAGTTAACTTTCAAATGCCATCTATCAAGAAGTTCACCCAATTTAAAGTATAACTAAATTATACAGTATTCTTAGAAAAACTCAGCAGATAAACAAATGAAGGAGAACATATTCAAAAAGACATATATAAGTTATTTGAGATCATTAAAAAGCAGCATAACGACATGACGAATTTAAAGGAATAATATTGAAATTATCAAAATTAATAATTATTTTACATTGAAATTATAGAACAAGGTAATACAAATAGGTTAGCGAATTAATTTTAAAAATATGTTTTGCTTATTCTCTCTTCTGAAATTCTTAACAAATTTCAATTTATTTCTTTTTCTCTGCAACTTACACATGACATAATTTAAAATATTAAATTTTTGATTAATTAAAATACGAATTATCTATTTAAATTAAAATAAACAAACTATCATCTTCTTTATTGATCTCAAACAAAATAAATAATTATTTTCATCCTTTAATAAAAATGGCACCCTTCTAACCAATTTTTCATAAAATAATTTGTACCAATATATAATAAATTTTTCATTCTTTTTTCATATTGCTTCTTTACAACAAAGGAATTTATTAATTTCTTTACTTTCTTTGTACTTATTATAATATTCGTATCCGCATTAATTTAACATGAAGTTGATTCCCATATTTCTGATTTTCAGTTTAGCTGTCTTTTAGAATTTCCAGGGTAAAGAATCAGTATAATAAATGTAAAACAATTTGTCAATTAATTTGTTAAGTTCTCTTTTATACATCTAATGATAATATAAATTAATTGATTTTACTTCTAAGTTTTAGTTTATGAAAATTATTCAAACAAAAAGTTATAAATGAGATTCTGATTTTTATCTAAGACAACACTTATGTATTAAAATTAAGAATAAAATTAAGTTCATCCATTTTATTAATAATGAATAGTATTAACTTTTTAGTATTGGGGAACAAGATTTAAGTCTTTATATTGAAGTACTATTATCATTCAATTAAATAATACAATAGATATTATTTTTTTGATAATTACAATTAAGGGCAAAAATAATTCTGATAAGTTTTGTTCATTTTTTTATTTTTTTGACTAATAATTACTACAACCTTATCATGGATGAACAAATAATTAATAGTTTTATCTTTCAAACAGGTTTTAATGAATTTGGAAATATAAGTTATAAAAAAGATGCCTCTACAATTTATGCTCAAAATTAAATCATAAGTTATCTAATGATGAATATTATAATCTACAATAAATTTTGAGTGAGTAGAATGTTTTCATTTGCTAAAATAGGGTAATTCTTTATTTTTTGATTGTATTGTTTCATACTCTAATTAATTATTTTGATGGAGCATGTTTTGTGTATATATGTATATAATTAGTGCTTTAATTAATAGAAATTGTATGTTAATAAAATATAAATAAAGCAATCAATACAAATTATTTAAGAGAACAACTATATATAATTAGTGAGAATCAAGTAATTAATAAATTATTAAATAACAAGTAAAGCATCAATAAGATGTTTCTAGATCTTGTATTTAATTTTTGCTGCTCTAAACGGCAGAGAGATGAAAAGGATACAAAATCACAAAATAGCAATAAAAGTTAGGAGGAACAATTTTTAGAGCAAAGAAGGATTGAGTTAGATATTGGTAAAACAGCAATAAATGAAATAAAAAGTAGCATTAATTATTGAAATTTTTAAGAATCTAAGCCTGCTTCATCAATTGGATCACCTACAGATAACTATCTATAATTAAATGAAGAAAAATAATAAAAAAAGAGTAGTTTCGAGGAAGACAATATTTAAGAGAATTAGTTCGAATATTAAATGGAGGATATGAATAAAGGGAATCATTATCAAATGAAAGATAATTAAGGCATGCGGTAAGATTAAATGAACATTATTTTATAATAGTTCCAAATCTCAAGAGAAGATAGACAAAGGATTGAAAAAGAAGATAAGTAAAGCAAAGGAGAAACAAGAAGGAGACAAGAGGATTGTAAAAATTTGGCAACCAGAAGAGGATTAACGTCTTAGAAAGCTGTATTAAGAGTATTAAGGAAATTGGAGTAAAATAATTCAATTTATGCCTGAACGAAATATTTCATAATGTTCATAGAGATGGAGAAGGATAAATCCTATTTAAGTTATTATTGAGATGATAATGTTTAGAATAAATAAAAGTGGAATTAAGAAGAAGATACAAAATTAGTATAATTGGTTGCTCAAGAAGGAAAAAACTGGACAAAATTGGCTAGACATTTCTAAGGAAGAACAGGGAAATAAATAAGAGAAAGATATCTCAACAAATTAGATCCTGCACTTAATTTTGTACCTTGGACAGAATAAGAGGATTAGGAAATTGTTAAATATTATAATCAATATGGTGCAAAATGGAGTGTGGTTGCTTCACATTTAAAAGGGAGATCTGTAAAATTATATAATAATATAGGAAAATATGGTGAAAAATAGATTTTATTCACATATCTAAAAACATTTATTGGGTAGACAAAATAAATATCAAATTATTTATAATTCTGGTCACAGTCAATAAAATGGGACTTAATAGCTATAAGAAGGAAATTAAAATATGGATGTTGAATATTCTGATACTTCAAATAGCGAATAAAAGTTAGTACATTCCGAAAATTATTCAGTATATATAAATAATATATATATATAGTCTTCAATTGGATCTAGTACATTTACTTTTTCTTATTATGAAGATGAAGATTTTAGCGGAAATGGTTAAGATTTAATGTATGATAATTAATTTGAATAGGACTTCGATGAAAAAGCCAGAGTTTATTGAATATGTTATTTTTATAGAAATAATAAGTATCAATATCTTAAATTTTCAGTTTTATCTAATAAAACATAACATATTATTATATGAATTATTATTTATATAATAATAAAAATTATGTTTCCATTTTGATATAAATCTTATATGTTGAATAATACATCAATATTAAAATAATTTGACTAGGTAAAAAATAACTACATAGTTAATTAAAATAGACATAAAATTAATTTAAAATTATCAAATTTAGTATTAGTTATTTATTTAATAATTCATTAATATATTGTATACTATTTAATAATGAATTATCATAAATCAAAATCACTTGAATCAAATTTTTCATATAATAAGAAGGATAATTATTAATTTATTCAAAAATTCTATTTAATTTACTTTAAACTATCAATTAAACAATTATAATTTACCATTTCTATGATATCAAATGTGCTCATTTTTAATCATTATATATAAATATAATTTACAGTTAAAATGTTTCAAATAAAGCATTTATTTAATGATTTAAATTTAATTTATTCGTTAATGGGAGCTGATTAAAGTGATGCAAATGAAATGAAGACTTAATAATAGTACTAAATGTTTTTATTGTAATATTCAAAAGAAAGAGATTCTGATCATAACTAATTTGGGTTAGTTAAGTTATACAATCATAATCAAGTAAATAATCTGTTAGAATTAGAATAATTCTATGATTTGTATTAAGAAATTTTAAACAAAAAGTGATACTGAATTAACATAGATAACAAACCATTTAAGAAAAAGGAAAATTTTTGTACATCCTAATTTAGTACAATTATTAGCTGTGAGAACAAGCAATGAATAATCAATTTGTTCTGATTCAAGTTTAGTTATGGTTGTTTCAGAGTTTTTTCCAGATACATTATAAAGTGAATTAAAAAAGAGAAGGTAACCACTTAAGAGATATCCTGAATCTCATATTTGGCTATTGATCTAATAAATTGTAGACCCTTTAGCATTTTTAGAAGACTAGAAGTAAGTTCATGGAGATATCCAGCCTTAAAATATATATTTGGATGAGACTGGAAGTGTAAAGTTGGCAGAATATAATTATTTTCCTGGAGGTTAGTATGGATTTCAGAAGATGCTTTTAAGTAAGGATAGAGCCTACCTTTCTCCAATCTTATTGAATAATTATAGAAATATGAATTTTAAAGCACAACATAATGAATATAAAAGTGATGTATTTTCATTTGGAATGACTTTATTGGAAGTTCTACTCTTAGAAGAATCTTATGATTGTATGGATTTTCAGAATGGATGCATAATATAAAATGTTATTGATTCAAAACTATAAAAAGTAAAGATATCAAATTATTCATAATTATTAACAAATTTTGTAAGAGAACTAATACAAATTGAAGAAAAATTAAGGCCAAGCTGGAATGATTTGAAATAGGTAATCGATTAATTTAGAGATAAAATATGCAATTTGATTCCATTTTATCAAGAAAAACGTCAAATGTCTCCTACAAAATTAGTTTATTAATCAACCTACATACCTCAACAACATATATTGAGCTCACCTTAATCAAAAATACTAAGCTCTCCTAGATAGCCATAAATGTTATATCAAACTTATCTTCAACCATAACCATTATATTAGACTAAACAAATGTAACCAATACCTATGCAATAATCTATATATTATGAATCTGGCTAGAAATAAGTACCAATTAAGAAGATAACTAAATTAGAAGATACAGTATCAAAATAAGTGTAATAACCAGAAAATAATTCTGAAAAGACTACTTTAAAATAATCTGAAACTAAATGATATTATTAATTATTTATTAAAAATTTGATATCAAATATTAATTGAGAATATTTGAAATAATAGTTAAATTTTATTATGATGCACAATCTTGAATTTGAAGTTCGAAAAAGTAATTTTCTGTTATTTCCACATATTTGTTTACTAAGCATCTTAAACTATGATTAATTATGAGATACAAGAGTTTCCTAGACCATTTTTTCAATTAACAAAAGATATAACAAATTTTAATATTTCAGACAGGTATAAACAAAATATTTGCAAATTTGTTTATCATCATTTTTATTAAGCTATTCAATAATAGAACAATCAAATCTCTTAGCTATTTCAATGTAATAACATAATCATAAAATAGTATATCATAATATAACAATGAAAATCATAAACTCCCTTACAGTCTTTTTCTTTTTACTGTTTAGCAATTAAATTTGGCCTCCTTTTGGATACAATATTCCATTAACCTACTATTTCCATTCATAATTCTACCCACTATAATTCTGAAGCTAGCGATTGTCTGATATTATGATTGCCTAATACATATTTAGATTAAGATTGCCTAATATCAATTCAGTTATTTAGCAACATTAATATCTGATTCTGTTCTAAATAGTTTAATTAATGATTAAGAAAATTCAATAGTATTAGGGAAGTTCTGCAATTTGAGTTTTGGGGTGATAAATCAAAAATGGGGATTATGTTTTATTCAAACACAAAGTATTTATTGAAGAAATTTAAGATTGAATAAAAAAAAATAACATCCGATATAAGATTAGATCAATAAATGCTTAGTATGAAATGTGTTTTTATATTTTAATATCCATTTGTTATCTCTTTTAGTACCATTTAATAGTTAGATGAAGGTTCTTCCAACTATTTCGAATGCAGTTTTGATTATTACATTTAATTAAAATGAATTATAACCACCACTAAATCGTGGATAGATGGTTGAGGCGATTCCGTGGATGTTTGAATTTCTGTTATGGAAGCGATTCATAGATGATAACGATGGAATTGCATAAGGGAGGTGTGCAACTACTGAGTGTACCTTAAAACAAAAACATATTTAACACAAGAAAATATAGAGTAAAGTTCATGATAATGTTAGTTATATAACTTTTTACCTAAAACATTATACAGTTCATTGGAAAGATTCGGAAACATCTATCTTTTAGGGATTTCCTTAATAATGTTGATTGATCCAACATTGTCTCCGTTTTATAGATGGATCACTATCTTCCCTGTTGGATTGAGTGTGATATTTTATGTTTTGATGGAATTCATACTAGACATAAGGAGATAGAGTCATGATCATAAAATAAATATGTAAACAACATCTAGAGGAGCCAAAGATGGTTCATTGGAAACCATAAAATGGAGTGATATTCAAATTGGAGATGTTCTCTATCTGATAAAAGGAGACATTGTTCCTGCTGATATAATATTATTAGATACAGGATAAGTAAGAGATAGAGAGGCAATATGTATGGTAGACACTCAATACTATGATGGTAAATCTACTCTAACAAAGAAGAAGTCATCATATTTAACACAATTAATAGTCTTAAGAACAAGATTAAAGAATCAATTTCCAGAATATAGAAAGATGTTAACTGGAAAATTGGAATATGAAGCACCTAATGGAAACACTGAAAAATTTCATGGAAGATTGAAATTAAAGAAGGATCCAAAAAATGAAGAATTAACTATTGACAATTTCATCCCTAAAGGAACAAAGATTAAATAGACTTCTTGGTTATTTGGATTAGTTGTTTATGTTGGTGAAAATACTAAAACTATGTAAAGTAGTCATTACAATGCATAGAAACATAGTTTTGAAGAGAAACAATGTAATATCTATTCATTTCTCATGGCATGTTTATCACTCTTTTTTACTTTGATTTCAATCATAGTACTCTTGGCAAGATCAGATGAAGGTAATTTTGCATTATTGATTGATGAGAATACTACAAATGGAATGAAGGTTTTCTAATTGGCAATTCTATATGCATAATTAATTCCATCTACTCTTTATTTACTATTAGATTTTGTTAATTTCATTTCTTTATTTAAATATGAAATCAATTAAATAGAAGATAATATTATAAAGTATGTTAAAATAAATACATCTAATAATTTAAGTGATTTAGGACATGTTGATTATATGTTAATAGACAAAACAGGTACTTTGACTACATCTTATTATAAATTGGATAATCTTTTATTTGGTTCTTTGTCATTTACTTTAAATTATGATCAATTATAAACAACTTTAAATTTAAAATCTGCTAAACCTGAAGATAATGAGGATCCAATTAAATTTGCTAGTATAAATGATAATAATGAATATTTAATACCATTTGAATATGAAAAAAAGAGTAGTCCTACAGATGTCTAACCAAGTGGTAAATTATTGTTGAAAAGTGTAAAAACTTCCAATAATAATCCAGTGTTTAGTTAGATTACTGCCATCCCATAGAATAAAAGAATGACTATGTTAAATATGTTAGAGAATTCAGTCTAATAACCCTTACCTGATTATTTGTAAACACGAATATTTTTGCCTTAACCAAAAACTAGAAATAGTCCTGGAAATAATAATGATGAATTCATTCAATTAGTGAATTAATTAAGAAGTAGTTCTCCATAAAAAGAATATTTATAAACTGAAGATATAAATACATTGTATTATGATGCATTTCTAAAATGTTTGATGTTGTGTCATGAGGCTAGACCAGTATTTGGGGCTGATTCTATTACTTATGAATCCTTTTCAAAAAATGAAGAGATATCATTGACATTTGCTCGTTCTTGTGGTTACTCACTTGAAAATTTCAATAAATTTGATAGTCCTGATATGTATTTATGTAAGGTGAGAGGAAATCCAATTTGGTATCAGGTTTTAGGATTGAATTTATTTACATATACTAGAAATCTGAATTCAGTTGTGATATAGGCACCTATGACTATGGATTTAGAGTTAAAATAGAAGTACGAAGCAATCAATTAATTATGTGGAGAAGGATCAAAAAATAATTCATTATTAATTTGTAAAGGAGATTATGAGGCAATAAAAACAAAATTATAACTTAATCATAAAGAAAGAGAAGAATTAGATTCTTATATATAACATTATAAATAAAGAGGAATAAGAATGATTATTTATGCAACTAGAGTATTAAGTGAGAAAGAGACTGAGAGTTATAAATAATAATTTAATCTATTACATAGTTCTTTGACAAATCAAGACATTTTACTAGAAAAATTAGCATTAGAATATGAAAAAGAATTGAATATTTTGGGAATGATTGGATTTAAAGAAGAATTAAAAAATGATGCATTAGATTTTATTAAAACAGCAAAAGATTGTAATATCAATATATGGTTATTGAGTGGAGATTAAGAAGTGTAAACAATAAGTTGTGCATAATCTCTGGAAATGACAGAGACATCAAAATATCTTAGGATTGTTGCTACAGATAAAGAATAAATATGGTTATAGATTAATACAGCTATAGGACAGATATAAAGTGAATTATAGAAAATTCAAGAGAAATAATAAGATAAACATTTGAGTGAGAATGCGATGAGTAGAAGTATGATTAAATCAAGTGTTACTCTTTTTGAAGGAGCTTCATATTAATAAGTATTATAATTTGTTATGGTTGTTAATGGTCATTCTTTATCATTGATAAGTGAATCACCAGATTTAATGAGTCATTTCAGATTCTTATCATGTGTATGTAAGAATGTAATAGGATTCAATATGAATCCATAATAAAAGGAATTAGCATGTATGATTATTCGTAATTACTTTCCTAATAATCCTACTGTTCTGGGAGTGGGAGATGGTTACAATGATGCATTAATGATGTAAGCTGCAAATGTTAGTATTGAAATTATTAACAGTAAAAGAAACCATATTTATCCTTAAGTAAATGCAGGAGACATTAGTGTTAATACACTATCTGAAATAAAAGTGCTTCTATTATAGAAATGCAAATTACATAGTGAAAGAGTTTCATCTATGATTATCTATTTATTTTATTGTGCAGGATTCTTAGGAATGACATTATTCTTTTTTAATTGGTTTTGTCAATTCACTGCAACATCATTACATGATTCAATGACAGTATTTTTATATATCTTTTTGTATACTACCCCTAATGCTTTAGTCATAGGTTTAGCTGATAAGTAAAGTCAACCTTTTGTGAATGATAAATTTCCTGCCTTTTATATTGATGGATAAATCAGAACTCGTAGATTTTGGTTTTATTATTTAATTGAAGGATTTTTAGAGTCATTCATTTGTGCTGCCTTTACATTTTATACATGTACATACATGGTTAATTATGCATGGACTAATGATGCTTATTAATCAGATATGTAAATGGTAGCAACATCAATCATTTATTTACTTATCACTGTATCTAGTTTTAAAGTATTGTTTAGACTCATATAAAATAATGTAAATATAGTAGTGATAGCTTTTCTATTAACTTTTGGTTTATTGGTAGGATTTGTTTTTGTTAATTATAGGGGAGATTTTAGTAATTTTGATTATTAGGAATTGACTTATCAGTTATTTACAAGATTCAATAGTATTGTTGCTATTGTATTTAGTCTTATAGGTTGTTATTTTATCAATTACTTTTTACATGATTTTATTAAATTGATATACTTTCCAAATGCATATTAATAGTTTGCATTTTAAAATAAAAGTGGTGTAGAATAGGAAGTGATGACAAATAAAGAGATTTTACATTAATGTCTAGATTAACATGTGTAATTATTTATTATTATTAAATAATAGTAATGTTTCATCCATCATATAAAAGGTATTCATTGATTGTTCAGCAACTTCACCTTATATATAAGAGATGTTAAATCCAGGTGATACAAAAGTAACTGAAATGAAATTGAAACCTTTAACACTTGAGATGAAAGAATTAGTATTGGAATAAAAGTTTTTAGCTCATAAATTAATTTAATCTTTAAAGCATTTAAGATTATTTTTATGTATTCTATTATTATACTATATTGCATATTGTTTGACAGACTTCTTTTTGACAGATAAAAGAGTATTTACAGGAGCATACTATTTAGTTGTATTTGGAATAATCTCTATTATAATACTCTTTTCTTGTACTCATACAATGGAACAATAATATTACACATACTCACATATAATAGTGTTTATTATATTTGCAATAAAAGTGGCAATAGATTGGTTATCAGATGATTTGACTATAACATTATCTGCTACTATAGTGATTTTATTTAGTACATTTAATTCAATGAATATGAGTGTGATTCCAATAATATTGTACAATATCTGTTATTTGATTTAACTCATTGTAAGAATATTGATAGTTGTAACTTCAACAGATTTAAGTACTTCTCATGGAATATATTCTCAAAGTAGAGTGTCTGTATATGCAGCCAGTACTTAGATACTATTAGTTGTGAGTATAACAATAAGATTTTTATTCAGTTATTACAAATCTATTAAACATAGAAGAAATGATTATTTAGCAAAATATTCAATTGAATAAGATAATGTAGCTGCCTAAGACATATTGAGTATATTAGTTCCTAGATTTGTGAGATAACAGATATCTACAGGGATATATTCAATGTAATAAGCTTAAGATGATGTTTCAATATTATTTGCTTACATTTGTGATTTTGATACTATAATGAAAGAGGAAGGTAAAAATGTAGTTTTGATGTTGGATTCATTGTTTAGATTATATGATAATTTATGTATACAACATGGAGTACAAAAAATTGAAACTGTTGGATATACATATATGGCTGCAACAGGTATCAAAGCATGTGAATAAAATATGACTGCTCATGTAACAAGAATAGAAAAAACTATGAGATTAGTTAATATGGCTTTTGATATGATGTAATAAGTATAAGGTAGAAAATATGGAAAAGGTAATCAAATTGAAATGAAGATTGGTATACATGTTGGACGTGTAATTGCAGGAGTTATTGGTCATCATAAACCATAATTTTCATTGATAGGAGATCCTGTAAATTAAACCAGTAGAGTGGGTTCAACAGGAGATACAGGAGCAATTACACTCAGTGAATAGGCATTTAAATAGGCAAAACATGGAATTAAATACTATTAGAAGAAATAGAAGGAGGCAAAAGGTTTAGGAATTATTGATACTTATTAAGTATTTAAGACAAAACCAATAGGTTATTAAATACCAAGAGCATTTTAATTATGGTAGAATTGTGCAAAGGTTGTAGTGAAAGAATTAAGATAGCATAGAAGTTCACGTTAAATTCAAACTAAAAAGTAAGGATAATTCTTAACCTAATTACATAATTCAATATACCAAGACAATTTGAAATAATCAAATAGACTTGATGTTTCTCCTAAAGGACCATAAACAGTTTAATTTTTAATACCTTAAGGATCTGCTCAAGAAGAAAATAGATCTAGATTAACAATTCCAGCACAACCACCTGAGCAAATATTAACTGAAGATTCTATATTGATTACAAATGAATAGGAAGAGAGAGAATTAGAATTGATTAAACCAAATATTATATTGGATATACCAGAGAATGAAATAAAATCCAATTTTTATTAAATTCTTAAAGAATAAAATGTTGATGAATCTAGAGTAGGTATGATCTTTTTATGGGTCACTTATTTTGTAATTACTTTGTTATCAATAATAGTTCGTAAATTGTTTAATCATGATTTGTTGATCTTTGTATTGAGAGTAATAGATTTATAAATATTAATAGGCTATTTTCCTGATTTTAGCATTTGTTCTATTCCCAATTTTGTCAAAAGCATATAGAAATAGAGCAGTTAATACTATGTATTACATTGTACTTATATATGCTATATTCACTGTACTTTTCTAGGCATATTTAACTGATAATAGAGAAGTTGCAATAATTTGTTTATTAGAAATACTTTATATAATGATTGTAACTTGTTAGATGAAAATGTTCTCTTTTTTGTAAGTGATACTATATATGATAATCATGTTTGCATTATTCTTAGGATTTTACATTTCAACTGATTTAATTACTCATTATGCAATATTTTATATTTGTTGTTGCATGCTTATTCTATTACTAGGATATTATCTTGCAATGAGTGAACAAATATAAATGTTTAACAATTTATAAATAAATGAAGAAAAGAAAGTCAAATAAATAAATCTAGTAAGTTAATTATTACCTATGCATTCCTATCTTAAAATGAAAAACAGTTCCATCTATGATAAAAGTGACTTTATAGATGAGTTTGATGATGTTACTCTTCTCTTTGCTGATATCAAAGGTTTCACTGAATATTCTCATACTCAGACTCCTGAAGGTGTAGTAACCATGTTGAGAAATCTCTTTACTGAATTCGATAAACTTTGTTAAAGATATAATGTCTACAAAATGTATACTATAGGAGATTGTTATGTTGTTATGGGATTCACTAATAGTGCAAAACGAAATGTATTTACTCTTTTTATATTTTTTTAGCCTATTCAAGAAGCCATTAATACAGTTAAAATGGGATTCCAAATGGTAGACATTATAATGTCTGTTAGATAGAAAATTAAATTTGATAAATTGAATATGAGAATTGGTATACATACTGGATAGGTAACAGGAGGTATTATAGGTACTGATATTGTTCGATATGATATCTATGGAAAAGATGTTTCAATTGCTAATAAAATGGAGAGTAGTGGAGTAGAAGGAAGAGTCTAAATTTCTGAAACCACTAAATTAATGATAGAAAGAGCTGGAAAACATGCATTCAATTTTAAATTCCATCATGTAATATATTCATTTTCTATTTTAGGATGTTGAATTGAATAAATTCAATATGAATATTAAAGGATTTCTAGTTGATTGGGATAAAAGAAGAGAAGAAGCTAGTCTAGATCAATACAAATCACCAAGTCGCCATTAATGATACAAATTTTAAAACTTAATATCTAAATTATTATTATGTATGCATAATTAATTTCTCTAAAAACATCTCTCAAATTCAATCAACTTTCTTTGTAGTTTCATTTGTATGTTTATCACCTTTTCCTTTTGTTGACACTTTAGCTGATGCCTTTCTTACAAGCAATTATTTTCTGTCTTCATTTAAATATGGTTTAGTGATAATGCATTATGATGCTCTTATTGGTATTTAATATGGCATTCCTATTATTATAATTTTATATTTCTACCATTAGCTTTGGTTCTTGTCAATTTCTCAATCTAAATTGTCCATCTCTTTCTATATACAGATGAAACCTTTCCTTTTGTTCCCTTATGAGTACCTCTCCATAATAAATTATTCATACCTCTGACTACTGTCACTTCATCATCCTTTCTCACTGGTAATGCTCTAACATTATATTTTTTTCTTAAATCTTTTGATAAATGAGCACTCATTAATTTATATCGTATATTAGATGGAGCACCAAGTTGAGCTCTTCTACCCTTTCTTCTTTGACTTGACACTTCGATATGAGTTTTCATTTGAAAAAGATTTAATTAAAAAATTAATTTATTGTTTTCTGGTATAAATTAGTTATTCATAAAATTAACATCTATTATTATAAATAAAAAGCAGAAAAAATATAATTATAAATTTAATAGGAATTCTAATAACCATGGTATTTCCAAAAATAATATAATACTTTTATCAAATAATCAATTGAATAATATTTTCATTTTTCTTCTAAAGGTCTGTTGGATGTTACTTTTTTCTCTATATAAATATTCCTTATATAGTAATTCAAGAAATCAAAATGAAATACTATAACTACATTTGAATACTTATCACCAATGCTATATTAATGATAATACTCTAGAAAAAGTTTAATCTATACAATGAAAATTCTGAAACCTTTTAAAATAATTTACAAAGGCAAATAATTTGCCAATAGAATTGTTAATCCAAAGGTTAAGTATTAATAAGACATAGATTAATAGATAACTTAACGATTCAAACATTAATAAACAACACCAATATCATAGTACTACTTGAATACATGATAATCTAAATGAGTTTGAGAGTCTTTTAATTACATATTTCATTATCATCATCTATTTATAAAATTATAGATTATTATCAAAAAGGCGTTTTTGATAGTACATGCCTATCACTTCTTCAATATTGGTTTTCTTGAATATTTTAGAAAAATAATATTCAGCTTCATTTTGAGTACGAGTCCTTAAATCATCATAATTAATGATATATGCAAATTATTCAATTTAATAGCTAAAAATACAATAGGGAAAGTGATTATTAAATTTCAAAGATCACAATCATCATAAATCTTTAATTTATTAAGCATTTCAATCTTTGGATAACTGTAAGCCATAATTCCCTAAACTGTCCATCCTCATCCAAAAACAATATATTGATACTGACATAAATACTGACCAAATTTTTTACTAGTTATCACTAATATTGATTTTCATACCATTCTATTATTCTGGGTATTTTATTATAAATGTATACTTCTATAGATTTCAACATAGTTTTAAAATAGGCGTTGCTATATTTAACATCCAAATTAATTATTCAAAATTGTCATAAATACTCTTACAATAAGAGTTCCTTCTCTTAATGGGATTATAATACAAGAACCACTATAAGCATACAAATTTAATATTTAATTATCTTAAATTGCATATTATTTCTAAAACACATTCTAACAAATAAACACTTTATGAATATTGAAGATTGTACATCAAAAAGGCAACATTTATTCAATTGAAATCTATTTAATATTTATGTTTTTTTTGATTAATTTTAAGCCAAGAGGATTCGGCTACACTAAGAATTGTCATGAATTATCCTAAAAATGTATATGGAATAAAACAATGCCAAGCAAAATGATAGATTTATTTTTTAACTTGAAACATTTATATTTCATCTTTCATTATTTATTATTTTACAAAATATAATTAAATAGTAAACAAAGTTGAACAAATCATCCAACTAAAGAAGGAGTTTAAATTAATTATTATTAATGTTTATATTAAACTAATTCATGCTCCAAAGCCATAAAGAGTTCTGCCTTATCTCTTTAAGGAGTAAACAACATCCATTACGGTAACTGTCTTTCTTCTGGCATGCTCTGTATAGGTGATAGCATCTCTAACAACATTTTCTAAGAAGCTCTTCAAGACATTTCTTGAGTCATCATAAAGGAATGATGAAATTCTTTTAACACCTCCTCTTCTTGCTAATCTTCTGATTGCTGGCTTTGTAATTCCTTCAATGGATGCTTTGTTTGGTTTTCTTGCATGTCTCTTTGCGCTGACCTTGCCAATTCCTTTGCCTGATTTTCCTGCCATTTTTATTGATTTGAATTAATGAAAATAAAAAAAATAGGTTGTATATTGTAATATTAATCCGAATATTTGATAAATCAACCAATCATAATTTTTGTTTAGAAAAGTTAATTTATATAGGTCTATATATATATTAGAAAATATAATTACTTTCCGTCCAATTCTAATCCATTCATATTTGCTAAAACTGTTAATGCTACCTCAGTAGTAGCATATTTCAGGATACACAAATACTTATTTCCAGTAGACAGAATTCTAAATATTGAATATTTGATACTTCAAAGCTTTGATTTATCCAAAATCTTGCAAATATTATTACATGATAGAATTTTGACAAGAATTTCTTGTAAGATTAGAAACTTAGATTGTATCGCATGGTGGAGCAAGAGTATAAGTGGAATCAGGTTTGATACGGTGAGTTTCTTCTCCACCTTAAAAATATTCCTCTTGGGTTTTAAGATCAGAAGCAATTTCACCTGGTTTTGTTGGTTATGTTTTTAAAGATATTTCCTCATAATTTGAAAAAAAGATCTAATTATAAATATTAGATACTTTGATTTATTATCCGTAAAACATGATATCATTCAAAGCCTCTTTGGCTATTGCTGCATGACCCTACATTACATATTGAATTAGACAACTTGATCTTTCCTTAAGATATATCATTTTATCAATATTGCCATAGATACTAAATATATTATAAAGCATAGTGGATGTAACAACTTTCTTATCGAACCATCTTGCATAAATGACTTTAGATTTACGCAAAGCTAAATAAAATCAATAAAATAAGAACCTTTAAAAAATAGAGGATTCACATATTCTTCCAGTTTTTCTTATTATTATTATAGAGTCTGACTTTTAGAAGTACTTTACCTTTATATTTTGCCTTTACTAATTAATTAATCAATATTGTCAACACTTCTAGATGATTATTCAATAGTGTTTTGTTATGTTTATTTTTCAACTTGATGTGCCACTTAATGGTCATTTTTATCAAATAACATATCTTGATTTAATTTATTAAAGATTTTTTGTTTTTCTCCTTCAGTAAACTCTTGATTCTAATCAACAAATTTGAATAATTCATTATTAATATCATCTTCATCATTTTCATTATCACATTAAAATAATTCTTCTTCATATTCTTGAAGATCATCATCTTCTCCTTCTGAATCTCTCAAACCTAATCCATTAAAATTGAGATCCTCTGCTTTAGCAACACTCTTCCCTTCACTTAAATACATTTTCTAAACCTACATTTAATCAATTAATTTATCTGAACTATGGAACATTACATCCTTTGTAACATCAGTTTCGTGATAACTCTATATAAATTCAATCTAATCTCCATTTTTAGCCTATTTATCATTGGGAAGTGTTAATTTTTTCCTATTTTATTTGCCATTATTGCTTGATTGAACACTAATTGATTTTTAATCATCAAGTTGATTGTATTCTTATAAGAAGTTTTAGTAATTGTCGGTGAGATTAGAAAATTTTAGTTAAAAATCATAAATGTCTTTTAAAATTGTCTATTGCTTCTCAATTTGATTTTAAAGGTCTGCAGTCTACTATAAAGGTGTAGCAAAGCCTTCTGCACAAGTTTATTGTAATTGTCCCATTAGAGAATTGATTTGTTGAATTTGTTGAGACATTTGATGTTAGAATTACATTTGTGATTATAAGAATTAGAAGTTTTATTAAGGAGGAATGGGATTGCTTTTGATTGATGAAGAAGATTATGTCACTTCATTTGGAGGTGATGATTCTTTTTTTCTTAACTAAGTGTAATCTACCAATTAATTACACTCATACCTACTCCCCCAGTATTGTTTTCTTAAAATGTGATATAAGTCAATTTGCTTGCATAGACATTCATTTGTAATGTGTTATCATCACAAAAGAATTTATCGTTCATTTATGATCTAGCTTTAAGTGCTGATTCTGGATTATCAAATTCAACAAAGGTTTTCCATGTGAGTGATCTCTCAAAGATGAGCATCTAAACAATTATAGCATAACACTTACTCTCTATATGGTACCAAAAGGACTAAACACTTTAAAATATTTATCATGACTCAAGGTTTTGTTAGCTTTATTAGTTATTACAACCAAAATCACATTAGTACGGGGAGGATCAGAGTTTCTTTCGATTTAAGAATTCATAATTAGATTTAGAGAAATTTAATATTTATTTATTGTTTACAACAAATACAAATAATAAATGTATACTAATTTCTACCAATTTATTAATTGTATATATCACTAAAGAATGCTTTATATATTATTTAATGTAATACCCCTTCAATAACTATAATAAATGTGACTCTATCTATTATAATTCCTAAACCTAAATTAAATATCCTTTTTCAGAAAGAATTATTAATTTGGATACAGTTTATAAATAAATCTATGTATATTTAATTCTCATAAGATACATTTTAAATTTCTCTTTTAATAACAATCTATTTGGACTGATAAATGTTCATTTAAAAAATGGATCTTTATTATTAATATAGAGTAATCAATTAATAATTTATATAATGTTTTAAAGTAACTAGTCATTTCCTCTAAAGACCAATTAAATAATTTGATTTAAATATTACTTATCAATCTGTTTATAATAAACATTATTCAGTTAAATCAAAACTCAAAAATTTGTTCAGAATTAATATCTTGCTCATTAAAGTATTATTATTTATTATATGGATATATATATTTAATAGTAATTAGGCTAAAAATAGTTTAAATGTAAATAGAATACAATAGAATGATATATAAAAAGAATTAATAATATAATATTTGAATTCATTATAAACTCTACTTTCTTATGATATGCCTAAATCTAAATCGAAAAAATAAAAGATTTTATTTTCTTTTGTTTATTTCTTAATATAATTGAATATCTTAATACATTAAATTATATATTTTAAATTAATTTAACTATTTACAATATAACATAAATGTGGAAATGATAATGATTTATAATGATTATATTTATTGAATATTTAATCAGTAAAATTTAATAGACATATAAAAAATTATGAATTGATGAATCCAATTTTTTTATTTTTATATTATCAAAATTATTAATCATTGTAAAATAATGATATTTACTTTATGATCTCTTTTTATTAATATATTTTACTTATAATAAAGGACATAATATCATAATAATTGTTTTATTAATTATTTAATTAATATATGAGTGAATAGTAAACTCAATAAAGCATTTACCCATTTTATTAATTTTGTTTAGGAGGAGCGTCACAAAACTTTTTGAAATGTACTAATTGTATTATCTTGGGTGTTATTATTCTTATATTGATTTCTATTCTGATTCTTTAATTGCAAAGGAGATATAAGGCAGGAACTAAGAAATTATCAAAAAAGTGCATCATTTTGTACATGATTATGACCAACTTTTTAAGTATTCATGATAACCAATTCAAGTATTATTTGTAGAGTCATCCATCATAAGCAACAAGTACGTGACACAATTAGAACCTTACTTCAGAACTATGGTGTTCATCTTCTTTTACTATTATATTAGTCTTAAATTAAGTAAACTTTCAACAAACAGGAAAAGAGCATAAACAAAATTCAGAAACATTGCTTTATTCTTATATGCCTTAATACTAATTGGATTAATATTTGTACTTGTGAAATTGATTTAAGACAACTAGGTTTTCTATGAATGTTATTGTAAGATATGACTAATTCTAGTTAAATATAGTATGATTTCTAAAATACTGGGAGTGTGCATTACAATAATTTTAGTTATCTTTAGTGCCAAGTTATAAAAAAAAGTGGATGACAAAGTTAAACCAATATACCAAGATCTTCCACTTTTATAAATGAAGACTTTTTAAAATAATGAAACATAAAGGGAAGATTTAAGAATATTAATTGTAATGTGCAGTGCTTCTTAATTTTTAACAATATTCTAAATGATTTACTTTTTTATTAAGGAACAAATCAATGCAGAATTGTAATTTCCTAATTGTACTCCTTGTCAAATGATACCTTGTCTAAAGATGTCTGTAAATAATACGATTGCATTTGAACTATTCTTAAGATTGTCATTTTTAACAATCATCATCATTTTACCATATTTAGCACTTATATCCTTCTTCTGGGTGAATTCCAATTAATTGCATAATGATCATGTATTAGATTCTATATACAATATATATTTAGCATAGAACAATATCCAATGAAGAGGATATTTGGATTAACTTCTTTAAGAAAATGGGATATGAAAAATCCAAGATGGGTTTATCAGACATTACAGATTAATAAGAAAAATCTTTATCATCAGATGTTTCTAAATAATGACTAATTAATATAATTATATAATTAATTAAATGCTTATAATTATGATATTCATTTCTAGAATAAATGGTTATTGTATAGAGTATTTGTAAATAAATTAGAATAACTATCCTAATTTAATATTTTATAGAAATAAATTATATTAAAAAAAATACTCATTGAATTTTGATAATCTTACTTTGAACAGATAAAATCAATAAAATTCATGAAACATAGATAAATAAGATTTAGTTAACTGATATTATATTATTATTTCATATTATTATTTATTAACAATTTCTGAATATCCAAATATTTATAACCTTTAAAGAAATAAATTTGCATATTCTAAATTTTTCAGAATGTTTGAAATATTTAGATAACAATAAAAAAATTAGAATAGTTTATAAATGTGTTATTATGATTTAAAGTATTTTTAGCAATCATTATTTATTAAATAATTCATAGAATATAATCTATTAATAAGATATGAGCAGATTAAATAATAAATACTAAATAATAATTGATTCAAAGGGATAGATCATATTTTCAGGAATACATTTAGAAATTGAGGAAGAAAATTTATTAAAAAATGAATGAATAATTTTTTTAATTTTTATTTAGAAATAAAAAAGAGTTGCAAAAATATATAATTTATACAGAAATTATAATATTATTAATAGTTTAATAATTAGATTAAAACTAATTTTAATGAATTATTTAAGAATATTAGTTAGAAATATAAAATTAATTAATTTATTTAATAGAGAATTAGGATAGAATATAATTAAGATTCGATCTTTTATATTTAATTAGTTTGGAAGTATGCAGTATATTAAAAATATTCATTATAATTAATAATTTAAAGTGGATATGTTTAATGAATAATATAAAATTTATTCATTAGTATTATTAATAACTAAATTTAAATAAATAATTTATGAATAGTAAAAGTACCAATATTAATAAAGGAAATTATTTATAAAATATAAGAAATATGGGATAGCTAAATAAAGTATTAAAAAAAGGAATCGTAAAGGTTGATGAAAATTGGAAAAAAATAAAGTCAAATTAAGGAGTGTTGTTAGGAGGATCAAATTTCTTAAATAAAATTTATTTAGATGAATCAAAAAAATTATTAACAATGGCCTAAAATATCCTCTTTAAGAATTAAGAATTCTTGATTTTGTGACTGTAATACAGAGTAAACATATTTATATAACTCAAAATAAGAATTTAAAAGGAGTTATTTATAAATTGGTTGAAATAAGAATTTAATTGAAAATAATCATACTAATGTTAAAAAGCAAAGGAAGAGCTTGGAAATCAAATACATTAGTATTATTGCACTGGTTATACTAATTATTGAGTATTAAAATAAATATGATTATTTTTAGATTGAATGAGTAGAAGGCAATTTATCAGAATGTGCATTTAATTATGTTATTAAGAGAATGAAAGCTTAATTGAATGAGAATAAATAAAAAATATTAAAAGAGAATATATAAAATATTAATGATGATATAGAAGTTAAAAGTGTTATAAGATTAGATTCTATTTTTAAATAAATATTTTTGTATTCAAATTTAGATTTGAAATACACAGGTTTGTAGTATAACTAACTTATTTAAGGGATTATATTAAGTTAATAAATATAAAATGAATTAACTTATTAATGGTGTAATATAGATAATAATATAATGACTTGTCCTTCAGTTTATATAGGATCAATAATTATGTATATTAATCCTTGAGTTATTTTATATATTTATTAAGTTTAGAGACTTTGAAATTAATTATTTATTCAAGTTCTTATGGTGTAATATAAATATTAATTAATCTTCCTCTTAGTAAATTTTAGAATGTAAACAAGAAATTGGAGAAAGAAAAAATAGATTTTGGAAAAACTAACCAGAAAAAATGAAGCAAGTAATAGAGCGATAAATAATTGATAGTAACATAGGCTAAAAATGACCAGTAGTTATTTGATAGTAATAGGGAATTTTTCTAGAAGTTCTAGAATTTCTATGAAAACGTCGAGGATATAATAATTCCATCCTTATAGTAAATTATATTTGTATTCAGGTTTCTTTAAGAATAATTTCATATTTCTGAATTATTAACTGATCAGCAAGTATACTAATTACAAAAGGATTTACATGAATAATGGACTCCAAAATTAAGAAAAAATTGGACTGATTAGGATAAATAGATTCTTATTTGGATTGTTTTAAAAATTTGTTCAAGAGACGGAATTAATATACGGAAAATAGTATATTTTGATATAATTTAAGCCTAATAAAATTTGGGAAGAGGTTGTATAGTTGATTAGTCGACGTACAGTTGAATAATGTAAAAATAAATGGACTGACTTATTGAAATTATCATTATAATAAATTCCTTGGATGGAAGAATAAGATATATATTTGATTGATTTAATAAGGTAAATTTAATTTTAATATATTAGAAAAAGTAGAGAAGAAGGTAAATAAAATAAATGGTGTAGATTAGCTAATTTACTCAATTAATAGTTTAAAGAATCACCTAGAACTGGAAAACAATGTAGAGAAAGATGGAATAACCATTTAAATCCTGATATCAATAGACATCCTTGGAATCTTGAAGATGATATTGAATTATTAGAAATTGTAAAAAAACATTAAAGAAAATGGGCACTGATTTCAAAAACATTAAAAACTAAAAGAAGTGAAAATGCAGTTAAAAATAGGTTTAATTGTTTACTTAAAAAAAATCATTGCACATCAATTACAACCCTCATTAATATTTTAAAAAATAGATTTAAAACAGAAAATCCTACTATTCCTTTATCAGCTCTTAAAAAATAAAAGATGCAAAAGTATTATCTAAAAGATTAAGATAATTCAAAAAAATAATAAGATATAAATTAATTAAAAAATCAAACATTATTTACAATTGGAATATTTGATATTCATACTTTAAGTAACTTGAATAATCTTCAACCAGCATTTTATAATTCTAAAACACAAACTATTATAATGAGCACTAATACACAAATATAAACTTTCTTAAATAATTAAAAAATTAAGGTTGAGAATGATTTAAATATCAATTTTATTAGTGAAATGAATATTTAATAACCAGAACTTTCAAATCATGGTTCTAGTATCCTTAATATTATTGATTCTTCAAATTGTGTTAGGTATGTACCATGTGTTATCCCTAATTTAGGATATCAATAATAATAAAAAGAAGATAAAAAGTAAATTATAATTTTAATTATAGATCTTAATTTAATATTCCTGGTTTAAAAACCTAAAATAATCAATAATAGGCACTTTTAAGAAATAAAAATTGTAGTTCATTCACATTTTTTTCAAATTAATAATAAAATGAATGTACAGAAAAATCAATTCAAAATAATAGTTCATTAGAATAGTAAGATTAAAGTACAATAAATAAATTACAAATAGAATTCACATTAAATGAATGAAAAAAAATTTTTATATATTAAATTTATATTATAAGAAATAAAGAATATAAAATCAAATTAATGTAATTAAAATAATTAATTTATGTTATTTAATAGTTTAATTAAAATATTAAACAATAAGTTATATTTCTCTATCTAAATTACACAATTATTATTATTCTAATTATAAACACAGAATATAAAAAATCAATCATCTCATGAATTATCTTCCGTCTGACTATTAATTTTTATTCCATTATCCTGGTTTCTTCTTATTCATAAACGATTAAACTTTTTATTTCCTTTTTGTTGAACTAGCAATCTTAATATCTAGATAAAATTATAATATTCAATTTACTTAAAGAAACTCTGGGAGGACATTTAAATCCAAATGATTTTGAAACTTTTACAAGATCTAAATTGTTAACATCATAAACATCTTTCAGACTATGTGATTAATAAGACTAAAAAAGAAATTATATAAATATAATACATGTAAATATGATCTATAAGCTTCGAAAGCACTTTTATTAAGAAAATAATTCTTCTCTATAAGTTTTTCAAATTAATCTTATATATTTGCTAATTTTTCTGATGGAAATTCAAATTCATTCATAACAACTTTTGCCAATTTTAAATGAGCCAAATAACCTTTTTCTTCAGGTAATAAAAATATCAAAGCTTTTCCTGAAGAATTGAGTCCTCTACAAGTTCTTCCAACTCTATGGATATATTCTTTTGTATCATCAGGAGGATCATATTAAATAATCCAATGAACTTCTGGAATATCCAAACCTCTTGCTGCTACATCAGTACATACAAGTACTCCTTTTTTTGCATTACAGAATTCATAATATGTATTTGTTCTTTTACTTTACTTTTACTTTCCATGAATATCAAGAACAGGCATATCTACAAAATTAAGTAATTCTGCATGAAATTTGACTGAATTGCATGATGACATAAAAACCATTATCTTTTTATCTGAATTTAGTTACAAGAATGTAAATAAAAGTAAAAACTTCTTATCTGCCTATACTATAACATAACCTTATTCTAAACCACTAACTGTAGCTTCTTAAGCAATATCATCAACTCCAATATATATGGGTTAATTAAGTGATAATCTAGCTAAATCATCAACTTTTTTGGTTTGAGTTGCTGAAAATAATACAGTTTATCTTTCACTTGGTAATAAATTAAGAATTTCATTCATTTCTTCTTCATAACCAATTTTTAATAATTGATCTGCTTCATCTATAATTAAACATTATAAATTATGATAAATAAATCCTTTAGTATTCTATAAATGATCTAATAATCTACCAGGAGTAGCAATTAATATATTAACTCCTTTTTATAATCGAATAGCTTCTTCTTTTCTATTAGCACCTCCAATAAGTAATCCTAGAGTTTTTTAATGATAGAATAAGAGATCTTTTGCAACATCAAATATTTATTAGGCCAATTCTCTTGTAGGAGTGAGTACTATGATACCAGTTCCATTTTTTTATTAAAATTAATTTTTATACAAAAGCTCTAAAGCTGGTACCAAGAAAGCCAAAGTTTTACCTGAACCAGTCTTTGCAGCTCCTAAAACATCTCTACCTTTTAATAAATGTGGTATTGCTCTAGCTTGAATATGTGTCATTTTTGCAAAGTTCATCTTTTCTAATGCTTTCTTTGTAGGTTCACAAAGTATGAAATCAGTAAATTTCTTATCAGATAAAATGGCTGTATTCATATTTGTATTTTATTCAGGTTATTCTTCCAATTAATCTATATTAGAGATTCTGACTTTTTCTTCTGATTCAGATTATTCTTATAGTACTTGTTGATCATCATTTTCAAGTTCAACCTTTTTAGTTTCCTTTACTAATTATTTCTTTTATATTTTCTTATTAATTGTCTAAACTTTCTTAGTACCTTAGTTTATTATCATAATTATAATATTTATGATTTTATATTGAGTTATGGTTTAATTCTTTTATTAATGATTATTGTATAATGTATATAAGATATTAATTGTTTTTGGAATAGAGAATGAGAATCTATAAACAGTATTATGATTATTAGTTTGTAATAAGATTGTTTATTTTCTTTAATATTACCAGTTATGATGAAGAAATATAATAAAAAATTTAAGAAAATTATTAAAACATTTTTTTAGTGGTTTTTTAATAATGATAAGCTCAGTTAGATCGAGAGAGAATAGAAAGCATTCTCAAGTTAGCAAATCATTAAATTTCAGTCTTCCAAAAAGAGCTTCATCATAAATAAAGTAACTCTTAATTTTTAAAACACAGAATCCATCATTTACCTAGTATATCAAATAATTCAACATGTTGTAGTAATTCAAGTACATCAAGTCCTCCATAAAGTTGTTCTAAATTAGAAGATGATTGTGTTGATAGTAAATTAATAGTTTGATTAATAGTTTCTCCTGTTTCTAAAAATACATTTGATGATCCCTTGAATTATTTTAATTATGATGACTTCAATACAATACTTCCAATTACTATTAATGGAGTAAAAATCTTAAAAATTGATTGGAGTTACTTTTCAGCTCCTCCAAATAATTTATCACGTTGGAAAGCACATTGTTTTTGGACAGTTGGATACACTTTTGATATTAATATGAAGAAAATGAAGAAATCTTCAAATATAAAATATAGACTTGTTATTTAAAGTTGGTGTTGTTTAAATAATAAATCTTGGGTGAAGAATAAATGGGATAGATTATTAGAACATGAAACTGGACATTATTTAATTGGATGTCTTTGTGCATTAGAATTCAAATATAAGTATAATAAATATATAATAATAGAGCTGATAAATTTAAGTATACTAAAAATTATAGGATGGAATGTACTAAATTATTTTAAGACACATTTTAATTTTATCTTTAGATGGAAAGATAATATGATGAAGAAACAAATCATAGTTAAAATGTATCAAAATAAAAAGAATGGAATGAATTCATCAAATCAGAACTATTAAAATATTGATCATTTATATAAAAATCTATCTCATTAATCCAATAAATATATTATAATTTTTTATTAATTGAATAGTTTATTATATATATATATATATATATATATCATAAAGGCTTAAAAGTAATTTTATCTTTTCCATATCCAAATTATTATGAATACATATTATATTATTTCTTATCAGAAAACTTTTTTTTTGAAGTAGATTCTTATTATGGTTTACTATTTCTACAATAATTTTTAACAGATGCCTTTTTCATTTCAGTTCTTTAGAGTGTAGATTCTTTTAATTTTTAAAGTTTTTATTGCATTTATAATTTAACACCTTCATTTTTTACTTATTAAATTCTTCTTTATAATTCATGTTATAATTCTCTATCTTCAATTTATTTATCATCTAATTATTCTAATAATTCTTTCTCTTCTTAATCTTCTCTACGTCTTTCTTCATCTTCCAAAATCTATTATTTTAATTATTCATATTCATCAATTAAATTATTAGTATTATCATACATTAAATGTAATTTATCATCAATATCTTCATCATCAGGATTTAATTTAAATTCCTCTTTTATTTCCAAATTTAATGCTTCATCCAGATTACCTTCTAAGATTTCCAATTTCTAAAGAATTGTTAAGTTTTTTCCTTCCTTTTCAATATCCTTTACTTTAACTTAAATATGATTAATCTCTTCTTAATAATCTTAAAACTCTTGCATTAATTCATCAATGCATTTTTCATTTCTTTCAATTTCATAATTTATTGCATTCATCATTTTATTTTTTCTATCTTATTATCTCTTAATGATTCCTTTTTAATCAAAAAACTCTTCCAAATAGTCTCTAGGTTGATACTGTTATAGTTATTCAATCTTTTTTGGTTCTTATTTTAATGGAATATAATTTGCATAATCATTTTCATCCAAGTCCTCTTCTACAACAAATTCAGGTTATATTTTAACAACAGCTTTCTCTTTTTAAGCCTATTAGCCTTTATATCAAACCATGTACATACTTTTCCTTAATTCTTCCTACATTTTTTGAAATTCTAAAGACTATTTATGTGGTGGTTTGAGAAGTTTGGGAATTTTGTACATAAATGCAAATTATATTTCAAAAATTATTATAATAGTTCAAAAGATAAATTAAATTATTTAAAAAGATCTGTTAGAATAAGGGTCCAAAATGAATTACCTTATTATATATTCAGAGTATTAGAATTGGGATAAATATGAGAAAGATTGGTAAAATAAAAAAGAATTAGATCTAAAAATAAATCTAATAAAAGACTATAATTAATTTAAATATGATTTAACTCTTACTATTTCTTGACATACTAAGTTTTAAACAAATTCTATAAACAAAAGACTATGGAAAATTCTTCATTTTTATCATTCATTTGAGTAATTTAATTACAAAAACTGATCTAAAAATTATAGAAATAAATATCGATTCTATTATCAAATGACTTTAAAAGTATATGAACTAAGCTAGAAAAATTGGAATGATAAGATTAACCTTAATTATACTTTGAATTTGATTCATTAAAAGAGGGAAAATTGATTTGAATAACATAGATAGATCTAGTAATTTCACATAAAAAAGGACAGATCTAATTGAAAATAGTTTGGAGATATAGTTGAAAAATAATATTCTTGTTTTGTAATTAGAAATTAATTGAATAATAGAATTACTTTGAATCATAAAGACAGAGTTAATGGGAGTAAAATTATCCAAAAAATAGTTTATTTGGCATCTAAATAAATTTTAGAATTAATTAAAATTCATTAGATCATATTATAATACGCATTAGTTGACTTATTTAAGATTTATGATAATTTTATGTTATATATTGACTAATTAGTGAATTAGGAAGAAGAACCTGTATGAAGGTGTTGATATGTTGTGAAAATAGAAAGTAATAAATAGTTTAAATTGATTTCAGTATATGTTATAATATTAATAAAATGAAAATGGAATTTGGATAGGATATCAGAGATGTTCAAAGATATCATAAATTTGATGATTAAAATTAGTATAGTTTAATTTTAATATATTTGAATCACTTAAAGTCTATTGATGATTAAATTCTTCTCATTAAATAAATTATTTTTTATTCATAGAATCCACAATGAATTTTGAAGAATAAATGAATCTAATCAATGGAAATCCTTTATTGTAAACTTTCTTTTTGAACAATCTCCTATATAATCCATAAATATTTTAATACAGTACAATTAATCAATAGTCTATTAGTGATTTCTTAGATGTAATATATTCCTAGGGTCGATTTAAGAGAAGAAAACACTAAAACTTATGATGACTAAAATAGTGATAGAAAAATACAAAAGTAGGAGAAGCTCACATAAAATTCAAAATAACTACTTGTAGGAATAGACACAGAGTTACCTCATAAAGGGAATAGTCACTCTGAAGAAGAAGAAAGTTCATCAAGAGTAAATGGTATAAATTTATATGATAATTTCATAGGTCATTGGAGTAAACAAGAGCATCAATTGTATCTTTAGTTTGTCAATGATCACGAAGATATATTGAGATCTAAATATGATAAGAAATCAAAAAAAATCTTTAAATTGATGAGCCAATGTATTCTTACAAGAACAGCCACTTAATGTAGATCACATCATTAAAAGTTCAATCCTCTTTAAAAAAGCAAGAGAAAAGGAAAAGGCTTTGTACGACCAATCCCATCTGTTATTATATAAGAAAATTGATTTATAGCTGTTAACTATCATTTAAGAATTATTTCATGTTTTTTAAATAACTTAATTCCTAATCAGGAGTCTTAAAATATTAACAAATTATAATAGAGATGAGACTTAAAAATATGAAAAAACAAAGAAAGTAGGATTTTTATTGGTATAATAAAGCCACTTTCATTCGACCTTCTGTTAATTCATGTACTTAATTTATATTTAAAAAATCACTATTTATTAAATTAACTGAATATAATATATTTTATATATTTATTAAATGAAAACAACGAATAAATTACCCCCCAGAAATACGGCTATCCAATTAAATTATGGGAATCAAAATATATTGATATTTTAGAATCAAAAACCATTAGAATTAAGAAGATACACAACAGATGCAGAAGAAATGAGAAGACATTAAAAGAGTTATGGTTCATAAAAAAGAAATGAATCAAAGTAATATTTTTGAATAGAGTTTAGTGAAATCCACAAATAACCTAAAGGTAAGTGTTAATATAATACAATTGATAAATAATTTACAGAAAATGGAAGACAATAACATGTATCAAGTTTATCAGATAGTCAATCATAACTACCTCCTTTAGTAATGATAAAATGTTAAGCAAAACCATAATTTGAGAATTTTAAGAATCATGCAAATGCAAAAAATCATAATTTTATCACTTAATAATAAAGAAATGAAAAACCTCATTCATTTAAATAAATAACATAAGTGAATAATAAAAACTTATCAAATTGTAATAAGATTATTAAATTTTAAGTGTATTATATTGGAGATTTGTAAAATGCCATTTTAAATTAAAATGCTAGAAATTCTGAAATGTTTAGAGAACATATTGTTGTTTCCTTTACTTATATTCCATTAATACAAAAATCAGTAATTGATAATAAGTAAATATAAGATAAAAAGTTAAATATTCCTTTTGCAACAAATAAAAAATGTAATTATATACTTGATTATTAAAAAATAGATAATAAAACTATTATTTTTGATATGGATGAAACTTTAATGCATTGCAATGAAGATGAAAATGATAAATGTTAATTTAAAATTCCAATTGAATTTGAAGATGGAGAAAGAATAGTAGCAGGTATCAACATTAGAAACTTTGCAAAAGAGATAATCTAAAAACTTAGTGAAGTTTGTGAAGTTATGGTTTTTACTGCCTCATAAGATATTTATGCTAACCAAGTAAAAATGAACTTTTGTTATTTAAGGTTATAAATATTCTAGATCCACATAATAATTTATGTTATAGAATCTTTAGAGATAATTGTATAACCATAGATGATAATCATTTAATCAAACATCTTGGAGTTTTGAATAGAGATTTGAAGAATGTAGTCATAATTGATAATTCTTCTTGCAGCTTTGCGTAAGTGTTAAATTTCAACAATAAGTTAGACATCATTTAGAAAATGGGATTCCGATTATTTCATTTTACAATGATGAAAAGGACAATTAATTAATTAAGTTGTATCGATATTTGTGTTAATACATATTACCAGCTGAGGATGTAAGACCAATAATTTTATCACATTTCAAATAAGATAAACTTAATTAATATGAGACTGTAGAGGAAGCAGTAAAATAATTGTATTTTTGAGATATTTGAGTCTTATTTGTTTCTGTAATTTTTGTTAAAACATATTTTAAATGTGAAAGTCCTTTAATTTAATACAATATTAATGTTACTTGAAAGTGATCAACAATAAGAGAGTTCAAATATCAATAATCAATAACTATATAAATCTGTATATGTACTATCTCTTATAGATATGATTTCAGTCTATAAGGAATCGACGAAAAATTTATGATGATAATGATTTTAAGGAAGTTGTCAAAAACTTTTATAATTTAGTATCAAAGTTGAATAAAAGTAATAATTCATAACAATCTATTATAAGTAAAGAAAATTTCTAAGCCTAACATAAGAAAATAGCCTAAATAAACTAAATAGAGAAATGCATTACCAACAAAATAATTATCTAAAGAACCTTAAAATATGAAAAGAGATATCAATAATAAACCTGGATTATTTTAAACTTAACAATACTTTAATTGTTGTTTCAGTTAATAAATTGTAAGTCAATTAATACCTAATTTCAATCAAACAAAACATGCTCCTGATTTCTATGATAAAAATAAACAACATTTCCATTTCTCACGTAATCAAACTCACATATAAATTGCATATAACATCTATATTAAGAAATTTGGTTCATCCCTAGTTGAAAATTAGGATCCAACTTCTGTTGCCAAAAAAGTCATGTATAATAACTTTAATCCTATAGTAATTTTCCCTATTAGAACTAGTCTCAAATACAAGAAGAGGATAAGCAAGGTGATGCATCTGACTTAAAAAAATAAATTACTGAAGATAACAAATAGAAACCATTGAAAGACTTAGTTCGAGAATTTTAGAGTGATTAATGATTTCAAAAAAATTATAGAAAGTAAGTATATAAAATAAATCCATCAAATATCAAAAATTTATTAACCAAAAATCTCATTAATTTTTAAGTAATCTTAATTTCATCTCCATACTTGTAGATTAAATTTCCTTATATGGTTTTTAATTTATTACTGCATTTCTTGTGTTTTATTATTCTAATATTTTATTCCTTACCACATCATAATTCACACTCTTTCTTTCAGCAGAATTATCTTATAATTTATATGATTAATTAGATTGCTAAACTTTCGAAATTACATATCGTTTTTAATATTTTTCTTAAGAAACATTATCATTTGTGTATTAAATTTACTATTACTTTTGAATTGGGGATACACTCAATTTTTACATTTAATTTCGTTTATCTCTTATTGAATTCTCATTATTCATCGATATAGTTTTAGATATTTTCTATTTTTCATAAACAATACCAATAATTGAGTCAAGAGGATCAACAAAATCATTTATTGATCTTCTTATATCTGAATAATTCAATTAAAAGAATTATAAATATGGTAACTATTCCTTAGCCATCTAATAAGTGTAATACCAGCATAATGAGTTTTATTAAAATTATGCATTTTGTAATTTGAATATAGTATCATATGAAACATATTTTGAAATCTTATCTGGTATACCATTTAATGTAATTTTTGAATTTATTGGTATTAAATCAGATAACTTTAAAAAACTTTCACAATTGTCTTCATTTTATAAAATGCAACATAAAAATAAACATGAAATCTTTCTAAGAGTGATATTCTTTTTATCATTCAAATTTTTCTAAATTTTATTTAAATCTTCATGATTAAAAGATTCAAACATTTTTCTTTTAAAACTTGGATTAGAATTCATATATTCCATTAATCTCAACATAGATTCAATGAGAGATTCAATATCCGAATCAGAATTTTTTTTTAAATTTATCATAATAAATTAAATTATTCATTTTTCATTGTAAATAGAAATGCATATGTTTAGGTAATCTTTGAATATGTTTTTCAACTCTTTATCTATTTTTAGAATCTACCTTCTTGTTTATTTAATCAATAATTTTCATTTTTAGTTAATCAAATAACGATCTATTTTTTTCAAGTACTCTTAAAAAATTTAAAAGTTCAATTGGATCACAATCATCTATGATTTTTTTGATTATCTTTACAGATAATGTAATATCTTAATTAGCATCCTTTTTAGATGCTAAATATATTATATTTGCTAAGCCTTAAGCACTTGACATATCATTACTAACTGCTTAAAGACTTAATTCCACTAATTTTCCAAGATTGGATAAATATTTATCTATTTATAATAATACAGCTGCTAATTCCTTGACGTTAAAAGCAATGTCATAATATTGATAATCAATTATGGAAGTAGATATAGTTTTTTAGAATTGTTAATAGGTTGCTAATTTCATGACTCCTGGAATATCTATTAACCTATTTTTTAAGTATTCTTCAATTAATGAATCTAATTCTAAGAGATTATCATTGTTTATTGAAATTAAATTAACAATGTTTTAAGGATGAATTATTTATTTATTCTATGTTATAAATTCACATAAGTTTATTTGATAATTTCTAAATAGATTGACACAAAATTCTCCCATTTATTTAGGAGTCATCATTAGAAGTATTTTAACTAAATATCCTTATTTAAATTCCTAATGAATACGTGTGGCTTCAATTGATTTAAAATAAGTTCCACATAGATAAAATAATGAAAGATTTTCTTCTTTAATAGTTAATTTTCTTAAGACAAAGAAAAGTCTCTATGCCAATTGATCATCTTTTGATTAAGAGACTCCAATCAACAATTACATTAAATCCTATAATTCAACTTTATCATTTATAATAATAAGATTGGCTATCTTTTTTAATAGTTCTTGTTTGTTTCTAAGAAGGCTTAAATTTTGATAGAGAGTAATAAGGGACAATTGATTCGATTGATCAGAAGTTAAATCCATCTTTTCAACTGAATTGGCAACTTAATTCAAATAATTAGTTCCAATATCTGCATAAATTCGACTTAATAATGCTAAATTCTTAAGGTTGTAATCTTGCAAACCAAATTTAGAAAGTTGAATATAATTTTGAACCCAAATGCATTAAAGCAGTTATTTTAATAGCTTTTTGTTATGTAAGAAATGTAAGACAGTGGTTGATTCTTTGTAATCTAATTAATGTGATTTGATGATTTTATTAAGTACTGAATGTGGAAGTGTATCAATAGCACTATTAGGCATAGTTTGGAGGATCTCTAGATTACATTGAGAATTCAATTAAAGACATTTAAGCAAAAAGGGTTTTGAGGGAAACCTTTTTTAAACAACATCATTTAAGTAATTTTAGTAAGAATCAAGGGGATCTTATGTGATATGTTGGGCATATTTGACAAATTAAACTAATTAGTAGGAATCCTATTTGAACATACTAATAATTTGATTCTGATTTTCAGTAAGAGATTAGTGTATAAGTGTTTTGTCGAATTGTTATTGATTTTGAAGAAGGTGTTTCAAATAGGAGATAGCTGAAATACAATCAGTGAAAGGGATGGTATTCAAAGATATGGTGAATTTAGCAGCTAATTTCATATTAAAATATATTGTTGCGAAAAAGAATATAATAAATTCAATATCTAATCAATATTAATCAGAGATTTCAGTGTTTTCTAAAATTGCTGAATTAAACTTTATTATCAAAACTAACCTTTTTATTTGATTTAATAGACCCTATAGATTGTTGATTATTTGATAAATTTTCAGAACTATGATTGCCATTTTTTTTTAAGTTTAAGGATGGATTTAGGTATTAATAAATCAAAACTAGAGTTATTTGGTTCAAATGATACATTCTATATATCATTTTTAACTAAACTTTCATTACATTATTGTTATGCATATTTCTTTTTAATCCAAGGATGTTATATAGTATTGTCTATTACTTCTGATTATTATGCTGTATATGATATTTTTAATTCATCCATTTCAGTCTTCTATAATTAAGGTAATTATGTAGAGTCTTCTCTCTCTATTGTGTCATCATCTAATAGGATTTTTGAGACTTTTTCAAGTTTCACTATACAAAGAGGTCTTTTTATTAAGACTTGAACTTTTACTTCTTAAATTGTAATAGAATGTTGTTTTGGACAGATGGTAATTCCCATTAGTTCTATTATAATTTGAATATTAATTATATAATACAATTTAGCAGAAATGAATTGTAATCATTAGTAATATTTTCAATAGAATACAAATTAGTTGGTAAAAAAGGAGAAGGAACATTTTCAGAAGTGATAAAATCATAATCATTTAAAACAGGAAATTATGTTGCAATTAAATGCATGAAAAATAAATTTACATCTATTGAATAAGTAAGACATAATGAATATATGTAGGTTAATCATTTACGAGAGATACAGGCATTAAGAAAGCTAAGTCCTCATGATCACATTATTAAGTTGATTGAAGTTCTTTAGTATGAAAATCATATAAAAATAATTTAGTGATGAACCAACAGGACGATTGGCATTAGTATTTGAGTTGATGGAATAGAATTTGTATGAACATATTAAAGGTATTATTATCAATATTTTAAATAGGCAGGAGATAACCTTTGAATCCTTAAAAAGTTAAATCTTATATGTACTAACTGCTAAAATCTATTGAACATATGCACAGAAATGGCATCTTTCATAGAGACATTAAACCGTAATCAATATTCAAATTATTAGTGAAAACATTCTACTAAACACAGATCATCTCAAACTTGCCGATTTTGGATCTTGCAAAGGAATCTATTCCAAACATCCTTATACTGAGTATTACTATCAATTTTATATCTTATTCTAGATATATTTCTACTAGATGGTATAGAGCACCAGAATGCTTATTAACAGATGGTTATTATGATCATAAAATGGATCTCTGGGGAGTAGGATGTGTCATGTTTGAAATTGTAGCTTTATTTCCACTCTTTCCAGGAACCAATGAATTAGATTAAGTCAACAAAATACATAACATTCTAGGAACCCCCAATTAAAAAGTTTTTGATAGATTTAGAAAGTTATATTTAAATAATATTTTAGATAAGCTACTCATATGGAAATTAATTTTCCACCAAAACATGGGAGTGGTATTGATAGATTACTTCAAGGTTAAAGCAAAGAATGCATTGATTTAATTAAATTATTGCTTACTTATGATCCTGAAGAAAGAATCAATGCTTAATAAGCCTTAAAACATGAATATTTTAGAGAATTATATGAAGCTGATACTTAAAAAAGCTTTTAACATACTTTATAATAAATTAGAATATCTAATCATAGAGAATAGTATGAATAAAATTTAAATAATTTAGAAATGACAATTCTTTAGAAAAAAGCCAAAGAATAGAAGAAAGTAAATAATAACATTAGTTGAATTTCAAGAAAACTCAAAATTACTATGCAAAATCTTAAAAGAAATCAGGAGTATATATAATGTTGTTATTGTTAAAAGTTACCATCTTTGTAATTTGATTTGAGAGTAGAAAGCATTTATAAAAATACTTAACATCATGATAGTGATGATGATCTTGAGAAATAATCATCAAATAAATAAATGATGCTACCTTAGATTCCAAAATCTAAAAAATATGATCCTAAAAAAATATATGGCAAATAATAATATGTGTCATCATCAAATTAACCATATTAGTTTAATTCAAAAGGTAAGAAAATATTGATATTCAAATAGGTAAAAAAGTTGCACATGGTTTGTAAGGTGAATATATAGTTTTTGGAAAGAAAGCAATGAATTAATGATATATTTTAAGTTTTTTTAGTTGACTGATCAAAATATTTAGTAATTTTGAATTTCAATTAGAAATATTTATAAATTTGTATTATCATGAAAAAAACTTTAAATAATCTAATATGTTAGATGGATTATTTCCTTTTAAAAAGATGTGTTAAAAATTATGTTGTGAATTTCAATTATACAAACCTATATTATTTTATTTTCTATGAACACAAATTATAGAATTAATCATTAATTTTTTTACTCATCATCCACTTCATAAATTGCTTAATGTTAATGATAATTTTTATAAGTAAACTTTCTTTTTAATGTTTAACTCTATACAAGTTTAGGACTATTGTTTATTATTAATGTTGGATGTTATCTTGCAGAATCAGGTGAACAAGTATCAGGTGATTATTGATCGAATTCTTAAGTAGAAAACTTTTTAAATGCACTCTTCTTAGGATTTTCTGTAGGTGAACCATCAGCTAATGCTAAATTTTTACGTTTAGCATGTTATGCTAATCTTGGACTATTCATCACAGGAACTTTAATTTTAATCTTTTCATCTTCTACTTCATCTTCATCTCTTTATCTTGATTTCTATTTGATTTCTGGTAATTATAATTTATCTGATTTTTCCATACGAAATGTTGAAGTTTGCCATAATTTCTCTTATCCTTAGACTCTTTTCTATGTTTAGAATTTTAATTTTCTATCATTAAAACCCCCAGAAAAAAATGGATGTTCTAAAGCTTATTATGCAGTGATTCTCTAATGAGGATCTATCTATAACATTAATTAAATAAGTTCTATGGCTGCTTAAGGTGTTCTGTAAATGCTTAAATTATCTAAATTGATAATGCATTTCTTATTTAATTTTAAGATTTCATGATAATCATTTCCTGGAAATAAATCCTTTTAAGTGATTCTAATTAAGTTTAATTATAAAATATGTACAATTTATAGAAAATGCATCCAACACTAAAAATATCACAAATCTTATCATATTTAAAACTTAAATCTTTAAGATTTGCTATTTCAGGTGCAACATATCCAGGTGTTCCACATTTAGGAAATGAATAATTTGATACTTATGTTGATGTTGCTAAACCAAAATCTACAATTCTCAACCCTGTTATTTGATTAATTTCTTTAAACATGATATTTTCAGGTTTTAAATCTCTGTGCATTATGTCCAATTAATGCATTCTTGCAACTCCTGTCAATATTTACTAAAATAATAGATATATAAATATATACCCATAATATTGATTTGATTTAATCCCAATTTAATTATGTTATTTATCCTTTACTTATGAGGTCATGTAATGAATTACCTTTGAGATGTTCTAGAACCAAATAAAATGTATTTTCTCCTTCATAGACTTCCTCTAATTTTACAACAGACTCATGATCTAAGATGGCCATTAAATTTATCTCATTAAATAAGGCTTGCTAACAATGAATTTTAATTTTTTTACAAATCCTCCATCTTCTTTTAAATATCTCTTTTCAACACATTTTGATGCAAAATCTTACTTATTATCTTTATCCACTACTAAATACACCTTTGATAATAAAGATGTTTACTTTAGAAGATCCACCCTTCCCTAATAATTTCAAGGGTTAATAAAAATCACTCACATCCTTGAACATGACTTTATTTTTGAGATGAGATTTCAATTTTCTAAGTTCCTCATCCTTAGCAAAAAAATATTTGACTGACCCTTTGTACTCAAACCCAAATTAAGTAAGTTATCTGTCCTTTTCAATACACCAAAAAATCTTGGTTTCAAAATTCACTTACAATTAGTATTTAGGCTATTAAGACTCGAGTTCCTTAAAAAAATAAGATGTATTTGTACATTAGTAAGAATCATAGTGTCATCAATTATATAAAGAAAGTAGGTAATATCTTTAAGTATATGCTTTCTCTGACAAATTGTGGTGAAAGTGGCTAGATCGTAATTGATTTGTGTTTTGTTTTGCATCCAAATTATAAATATTAAATAAAAATATTTTAAAAAATACCCTGTTTAATGTAATAATCATAAATAATTAATCAGAATTCCTTTATTATATATTTTATTAGTTAGTTATGTAAAAAGAAAAAATAAAAGTTAAGTGTAAATTTAATATGTTGATAGATATTATTAAATTAAAATTATTAGATATTTCAGAATTCATCATCAGATAATATATCATAAGTATGAAAATACTATTTTGATATTTGAGTTTGCATGATTCCTATTTTGACATCCATATCTCTTATGTCATTCTATAATAAATAATAATATGAATACTCTCAATTAATTTATTAATTATTTTTATTTAGATCTATTATCAACCAAAATAGGTGTTCTTTCTTTTATATCCAATAATTATTAATTTAATTATTAATCGATCTCTATATTCTCACTATTTTTTTTGCTTAATTGAGAAATTTGAAATTGCAAATCAGATATCATATTTCTGTTTTCTTTTAATGTAATTTATATATCTTCAGGAATTTATTCAGTAACTTTAGTTTCTAATTTTGGTAATAATTCCAGATAATCAATCCATTATTATTAAATTTATTATACTTCATTTGATTTTAAGTGTTCAGAGAGCAAAGACAATTACTAAAATAATAAATGGAATTACTTTAGAACATTTAGAAATGTTAATTATTGTTCTCTCATAATCTTTTAAATAATGTTTATTAACTTTAAGATTAGCCTCAAATTTAGAAAATTCTTTCTCCACTCTATTAAATTCTTTAGTCCATTCATTTATTGCTACTTTGGTTTCAATTACTTGTCTATCTTAAGGAACTTGATTATAATCTGTTTATTCATTATTATATTTCTTATGATAAAATAGAATACTCTATGTTAACTCATCTTATTCAACTTCTTCATTTTCATTTTCTTCCTCTTAAATTTCTACAAGATCTTCATTATCTATTTTATTAACTTAAATTACAGAACTTTCCAAATCTTTACCAAAATTAGGTGATTCAAATTTAAAATTAATTCTAATCAATTCTCTATTTAATAAATCATTTAAAATAAAACAAACCATATCTCCACATCCTTATGAAATATGAGGAGATCCCAATTATTCAGGTAATTTTATACCCCATGCTTTAATATCAATAAGTAATTTTCTTGCAGTTTCTTCTACATTATTATAATTAAGTTTAATTGGTTATGCCATTTTACTTTTTTTTTACTTAGGCAAACTCATCAACCAATAACATAATTCAACAAAGTAATAAAATCTTTGATTTTAATTAACATTTTCATCTAAAGAGAAATAATATTTCGAAACAGGTTTCTTTTTTAATGGAATACAGAAATATTCATGATATTATACCAATGACAATTTCTCATAGATATCCTTAATTAATTGCATCATTAATTACTTCCATCATTAAAACATTAATTATTTATGGAGTCTTCTTAGTATCTAAAAATGTATCATGAATCTCTTTAGCTTTTTATAGAACTGTACTTGCATCTAGTCTTTTTTGTGGATCTACTACAATCATACCTTCTATGACATCTCTCAATTATTGGCTATATCTATTTGAAACTGGTTTAAATTCCCCTTTTGTAATATTATTAAATAAATCCATAAGAGACATCTTCTCGCTTTATTTAAAAGGACTCTTGAATTCAGCCATCTCATATGCAATGCATCCCAATGACCAGATATCTGATTTCATATCATACCCTTCACCATGAAGGAGCTCTTCCTTTTTAATGATAATTTACCTCAGGTGACATATATAATGGTGTTCCTACTTTAGAGTAAGCCTCTATAGTCTCTGATGAAAATATACGACCCAAACCCAAATCTCCAACTTTTAATGTACCATCTCCTCCTATAAATATATTTGCTGGTTTCAAATCTCTATGCATTATTCTCTTTTCATGCATATGGTCTAATGCACTTGCTATTTACATTATATAATTCCATAATTGCACTTCTTCAAATGGAGTATCATCTGATTAAGCATTTTTAATTAGTTTTTTCAAATCTCCCTTCTCTGCCCACTCTGTAGCTATAATCAATTCATTATTATAAATGAATGAATCCAAGTATTTTATAATGTTAGGATGATCTAAAGGTTACATTAGTTTCACCTCTTTTAAGCATTTCTCTCTTTGTTTTGGATCCATCATATCAAATATCTAACATAAAACCAACAAATTACTTTAATCTTCTTCAATGCAACTACATTTCCTTCCTTATTCATAGCCTTATACACTGTTGAGAATTTACCCTCCCCTATAGCTTTTTAGACCTTATATCCATTTATTTCTTGATCAATAAATTGAGACATTATTAAATTATGTTAAATACTAAACTAACTAAATTCATAGATTCAAAAGCAGATCAAGTCAATTCATAACTTAAATCTGCTCAAAACACCCTACAAAATCAAACATCACAATTAACTAATTAAATTACAGATGCAAATCAAACAATGAAAGTTGCTGCTCCTTTACTAAAAGCCATGGGTAATGATCAAATCCTATTATTTTAAGGTCATTCAGAAGTTGCTCAAATTTCCAAAGGATTAGATTTGGCTTAGAAGAATCTAGTACCTATTATAGATTAAACCAATAAAACTATACAAAAGGGCACTGATATCGTTAATTCTTAAATTTAAAAAGCATCTAACTTAGCAAATTAGTAAATTCAGAAAGTTAATGTAAAATATATTATAAATAATAAAGGAACAAGTTGGACCATAATTAGAATAGGGTTAACAGATTATTAAGTAATAATATGAAAAGGGTATGGAAGCGATTAAAGAAAATTAAAATTTTTAATCTATTGCTGTAAAAGCTGCAGTAGTAGGGATGGCAATAAATTAAATGATGGAAACTCCAACAGATGATGGATCAGGCATATTAAATTAAAAAAAAGAAAATACATAATAATAATAATAATAATAATAATAATAATCAATTATTACTAATTAAGGTAATACAGATATTCATAAATAATAGTTAAAATAAGAATTAAATTTCTTTCAAAATAAAATTAAATAATACATTAAAAAAATCACAGGAAAATAAGTCAATTCTAGAATTGAATATTTATGTCTTATCTAATAAAAACTTAAAGATAATATAGATGCTAATTATTAATAATAATCTAAATAATCACTAAAAAATGAAATGTGGAAAGCAGCTTATTAAGAGAGAAGAATTTAAAGTCATTAAATTTTTATTTAATATATGACTAAAATGGTTGAATTTATATTTGAATACTTAACAATTGTTGAAACTGTATTTTAACAAATAAAAATGAGATATAAATCTTCAAATAATTCATTTGAAATGATCCTCAATTATTGCAATAATTTATCAATACAATTAGATTATTTTACAACATATAGTTATGTTTAACCAAATTAAAATTTTTTAAGCAGACTATTCACTAATTAAACTAAATTATAAATAAAAAATAGTCAAACAATGAAAAAATCAACTAAATCAAGTAATTTAAATGAGAATGCAGAAACTTAAAATTAACAATTAGATTAAAAGGAAGATAAATAAGAAGTACAATTCTATCATTAAGAATTATGCTAAAAGTTTAATAATCTTGAAAGTGAATATTAATAGCATATATAAAATATACAAATACTAAAGAACAATTTGAAAGGAGAAATTAAAGATAAACTAATAATTTGTTAATAAATGAATTAATAAAAGATATCTGATTATTTGATGTAAGTTCAAGGATAAAGAAATATCACTTTTGAAGCAGTTGAACAATTTTATAAGAGTTTCATTTAATATGAATTAATTTATTCTTAAAATGTAGAAGCAGCATTTGAAGGAGGACAACAGATAAAAGATATATATAATGAGGAATATAGAATGTATTGTAAATAATTAATTAAATTTAGATTACTTTAAATCCCTTATAAAACAATAATAATAATTTGGTTTATTTACAACATATATTCTTAAAGAAATATCATAATTTGAATATACTAGAATAGAATTTCTATAGAAAGTATTCACACAATTAACTTCAGAATTGGGAAAATATTTTCAATTTCCAAATTAAAAAACAATAGATTTCTCAAATCCATTAATATTATAATAAGCAAAATCAGCATTCGATATAAATTAATTATTAACTTCTGAATAGCTTGTAATAATTAAAAAATACTCAGGCATACCTTTAGAAAATGATATTACAACAGATATATATTCAGCATTCGCTTCAAATTTTACAAGTATATAATATTAATCAATTTCTAGTACCTTCTCCTGAATCTCTATTGTAATCATCTCCTTTGATTCTAAAAAAGTATGAAATCAAAAGGGATGTTGCTTGGGAAAGATCATTAAGTTTTGGAAAAGACTTTGTACCAACAAATTTCATAATAACTGTTGATGGATTTTTGCTATTTTTTGACACAGATTGGAAAGAACAGAATAATGAGGAACCAATTTAATGTCATAATTTTATGGTTATAAATGAAGTATTGAATATGAATTAATTAAATAGTTAGCAATAAAGGAGAGATAAAGTAATGAAACAATTGTAGAATTGATAGTGAAAAAACAAGGAAAATTATTTGATACACATAAGAAATAAATATTAATGATGAATGATGTTATGGAGAAAGAATCTTTAAAATTATTACTAAATTAATTTAAATGATTTATTATAATAAATAATAGATACTTAAAATAAATATGACATAAATAGACTATCATTATCTTGATAAAATATATTAAGCATTTGTTGGTTAATTAACATATTAATTATATTAAACATGTTAGGATTATTCTAAATTAGAATTTTGATTATAATAATAGTTATTGTAACCAGATAAATTATCTTGACTAAATGCCATTTAAGAAGCATTTTATTTTCTTTCAAATTATTGGAGTAAATCTTATTATTGATTTTATGAAGGTTATTCATTGGGACTTTAATAATGTTTAGATTTCATTTAGATTGGAGTTGAGGCTTTAATGCTTTGATCAATAGAGTTCTAATAAAATTATTATTATTATTAAGGTTATTATATTTATACAGGTTTAAAACTCATAAGTAATGCTTTATTTTAAGTAGGTTAAATTTTAGGAGGTCCATATATTTCTTAATTTTAAATAGTATCATTTTATTATTATTTTTTAGATATAAAATCTTATTAAATATTATAATCTTTTTAAGTAGAAGTTAATTTAATTTTATGTTCTTCTGGTTTGAAAATGAAATCTTCACCATCATTGATTTAATCCTTACCCAATAATTAATCTAATTGTTAATCATGATTAAGAACATATTCTTAAAATCCATCTCTTGGTGGTTATATTTCTTTGATCAATTCTTTACTTGGAAAGATAGCATCACTGAATTCATCCTTTTATAATATCATGTCTTCATTTCTATTGAATCTCTTTAAAAACATATTATATTCTTATTAAGTTAATGATTGAATTTCAAATTTATTTAATAATTAATCCAAACATCTTTTATCTATAACAGGTAAATTACCTGCAACATACTTAAAAACTGTTGTGAATTTCCATTCTACTAATTAAGCTAAATTCATTTTATCTATTTCAATAGTTCTTAAATAATCAATCTCTTTATAAATCAATTTAGCTACAAACTCTTCTAAATAAAATGACAATTTGTCTATTAGTAATTAATTATTTATATATACATTTCCCTGTTTCTGAATATAATTTTCTAACAATGCATTACATAGCTGCATCTCTATCATATTTAGGAACTATAAATTCAAGAAATAATTGATATCTTAATTTATCATCTCCTTTACTCCATGTAAAGATCCAGAAATCACAAAACTTTTAATGTACACTAAATCCATTCTTACACATGAATCTAAAAATATCTTAAGAAGTAATATATCCTTTCATATTTGAATCGATAGCTCTGAATGCATCACTAATATCAAATCTAATATTTTCTGCTAATGTGATTTTTAATTCTTCAACCTAAATATAAATAACATTTAATACTTCTCTTTCTGTAATTAAAATAGTTCTAATAATTGTTATGAGTTTTTCACCTATTTTTCTTTAATGTTCATTTTCTGTGACTGTTGGGCTTAACATTTATTTTAAAATGAATTAATAAATAAAAATAAATTAATCTAATTATATCTAATATTCATATTAATCAATTAAATTAATTTTCATAAATAACATAAAAATAATAATCAATTATAAGTATCTTTTTAATTTTTAGAATCAATATGATTAATCAATTCTACTTGATGTTAAAATTTCAATTCTAAATCTTCTATTTTTTAAATATAAATTTTTGGATCTTCATCTTAATGAGATTCTAACCATTTTTCCTATCTATTAATTTCATCCATAATTATTCTTTTATAATGATAAATTAATGATTCAAATTTATTCTTTGCTTCATTCTTTTATTTTACAATATCTTCACTATTCCTTTATTATTCAGATTCTTCAATTAATCTCTAAATTTCTTCATCTAAAAGAGTATATTATTCAAATTATACTACAATATTATTATTTTATTTAGAATCTGTATCCTATGTAGATATAACCAATTAATTATTTGCATCAATCAAAAAAGTGATTATTATTTCACCTTATTAATCTTTATTATATATATCTATATCAAAATATCCTATTTTTCTATAATTTTCAATTTGGTTAGATATTTCTCCTTCATATAATAAGATTTTTAATTAATTATTTATATTCTCTTTTGATAACTTAATTGTTTATGATTCTTTACATGGAATATGAATATTTTTTTTAATCATATAATACTAATAATAACCATTTATTCCTATTCCCAAACCATAAGGAATTGTATCAAGAAGTAACCACTTCTTACATTTCTAAGATTATGCCTTAAGAAGTGCACCCATGAATGCAGCCCCATAAACACTAGCTTCATCTTTATCTATTGAATGATAAAGTTATTTTCCATTAAAATATTCTTTTAATAACTCCTAAATTTTTGGAATTCTAGATGATCCCCCAACTAGAATAACTTAATTTAGAGAAGCTTTGCTTAAACAGGCCTCCTTAAGAACTTATTCTACATGACTTATACACTGTTAAAATAAATGTAAACATAACATTTCAAATGTTTATCTAGTTATTTGAATAATAAGATCATGTTCTTAAGTGATGAATTCTACCTCAATAGTAGTTTGATTAATAGTTGATAAAGTTTCTTTAGCTTTTTAGCATTAAATCTTTAATCTCCTCATTGCTCTTTAATTATATCTTAAATCAATTCCATATTATTCTTAAAACTTATTACAACAATAATTGACTAAGAGATTATCAAATTCTTCACCTCCTAAATTTCTATCTCCTGATGTAGATTTTATATCTATTATTGAAAACTCAATATCACTCACACTTACTGTTATGGATCCTCCTCCAAGATTGAAAATTAATATGGTTCTAAGATTTTCATTCAATAGACTCATACCATAAGTAAAGTGTGCTGCAGTTGATCCAATTATAATCCTTAAGATTTTTAAACCTGAGATTAATCCAGCATCTTCAATAGCACGTTTAGAACAGAAATTTAAATTGCAAGATGTTGTTATGACTGCTTAATTTATTTTAATTCCTAAATGATTTTCTGCTATTGTCTTCATTTTACATAGTATCATTGAACATACTTCTTCTGGATGCAATCTCAATGTTTGTTATTTAAATTAAACAACAATCATAGGTCTATCATAAAGACCAGCTTCAACTGTGTAAGGTAATTTTTAAATTTCTTCTTAGACAATCTTATCACTAAATTTTCTTCCAATTAATCTAATTACATTAAATATAGTATTTGTAGGATTTTTAGTTTATTAATTTAATGCTGCTTCACCTATAAGTCTTTCATTATCTGTAAAAGCTACATATGAAGGAGTAAATTTATTCCCATATTCATTGGCTATAAGTTAAAATTAATCATTTATCATCACTCCAACTCTAGAGTATGTCATTCCCAAATCAATCCCTATTGCTATTTCTTATTAATATTTCATTTACAATATTTATAATTCAGTATTAATTATAAAAGTCTTAGATATTAATTAAAATTGATTTATTAGTGAAAAATCATTTTTGTTATCAAATATATAATTAAATTGATAAAATAAATAACTTATACTAGTATTTATTATTTGAATTTTTTTTACAAGATTGAAAATCAAAGATGTATTTAAGATGCAATTTTGAATTAGAAAACATTCCACATCAATTTAAATCACATTTCAATTATACAAATTTATTATTAATTAAAAATTATAGCAAATGGGTATTTAATGTTTTAAATGCTAAAATGAAGAATAATAAATAATAACTTAGACTCAAGTTAAAAATTATATAAAACAGAAAAATGTATAATATAAACAAAAAGAGGATAAACAACGATAATATGATAATTTAAGTCTATCCTAAAATTCATATTTTGGCCCATAAAAATAATAGTATGAAAGTTAATGGAATCCCAGTATATGTGTAACTGCAAAGAATGAGTCCAATATAGAAGCATTTGAAGAATCTTAAATATAGACTAATTAAAATATAAGAGCAACTCAACCAGAACAATAAATACAAAGAATTACATTCATTTCCTCAGATCAAATTATCCCATCAATGCCTTTATTCTTCTAAGTATCTGAATAATTAACAATGGATAAAATCTGCTAAAATTGTAAACACCATTAAAAACATCGAATTAGAACTAAATCAGAAAATATAATAAATAAAAGATAGAATTAAGAAAAGAATTTTCTTGACTCTAAATATATCAATAAGGAATTGAAAAAGGAGAAAAATAGAATGCTTTCTAATCCAAATATAAAATAAATTTATCCAAAAAAAATGTAACATTAGAAATAAATACTTAAAATCTTGGTTAATGGTTAGAGCTAGCAAAAAACTTCTACTCCTTTTTCTCAACAATCAAATAAATCCAAATCAATGAGTCCTACTCCAAATAAAGTTCGACTATATATAATTTGATATTTTGTATTAATATAAATTCATAAATTAATAATTATTTATTAGAATTTAATTAACAATGGTGTCTCTATTTTTATAACTAAATATTCAATTGATTATAACCTAATTTTATATTATTGACTTTATTTAATGATTTTCAATAATATAGATTTTTTCAATCATAATTATTCTAATTATTCTTGGATTTAATCTAAATTACTAAAAAATCTTTTAACATAAAATATTATTAAAATCTTTAATAAATTTCAGAATTACTTACTACACAAAAATAAATTATCAATTCAACATAAAATTTTGTTTTATAATAAATAAAATATCGTTAAAAATTTCATCACTAAAAAATTCAAAATTAAATGATTAGATTATTTACAAACATTATGAAAATCTATTAACAGAATATATTTTCTGTATGAAATCTTATTTATTATTTTTTTACAATTATGTCTTAATTGAATAATTAATAAATAATATAATTAATGTAATGATTTATTAATAAACTATCTTTAAATTTTGTTTTGAAAAAATTATTTATAAAATAAAGAAGAAAAAAACATGATTCAGTCGAAATATAATATCATTTCAATTAAAATCTATATGGATTAGTATTATTTATAATATTTAGAGGATTTATATGATTTAAATAATAAAGTTTTTTTAATTATCATTTCTTAGTTATCATACAACATTTTTCTTTTAATATTTTTACATTTCAAAACTAAATGTTGGTGTTTTAAATACTATTTCTAATTTTGATGTGAGAATTAAAAATATTCTTAGCTTTGAAGTAAATACTAATGATTGTGAGAACAAATTTTAAATATTAGAGGGTGATGTTGAGTATACGGATAATTATATTGATATAACCAATTATTAAGCTTAAGAGGCTTATTCTTATTCTTTTTGGATAAAGTATGCTATTCTTGATCCAAAATATAAAAATAATCAACCAAATGATGGCTAAAATTGGTGTAGTGGATTTTATTATATCATTTGGTCATAAGTCATTGAGTATGATTTTTATAAGACTTCATTGTTAATGTTAAATATTTAGAGAGATATTTGTGAATTCAAGTTTTATTATAGTGAAATTGATGCTGACATGCCAATAGAGGTAACAATTTAATAAGATGCATAAAAACTTGATAATTAATGGATATATTTTATGATATCATATTATCCTAATGAAAAAAATGTAGTTGTATAGAAAGATTCTGATATTACAATTCTAAATGTTCAATCTATTTATTAAGGAAATGTTTAAACTACTTTGGGGAATGATAATTTTGTATTTTTAATTATTTATTATTAGATTGTAATTGCCAATAGATTTTTTTGGGTCAAACTAATTCCTGGGTTATTGACAAATTAAATATATTATGAGAAGCTAAAAACATAAAATGACTTTTATTACAGTGGTTTTATAAATTGTAAGCCTTAAGATGATAGCTAACCTATAACTAAAATATATGTAGATGGATTATAATAATTTAATTCAGGACTTGTAATTGTGGATAAATTTTTAAGGGTTGGTTAAAAATATATGATTCATAGTTGGGTGAAGTTGAATCTTGATTTAGTAACGATTACAAATCCATTATCTTAATTACTTATGAGAATTACAATAAATTCATATTATAATGATTATAAATTTGAAGGAGACAGAACATTTTATTATAGATATAACATTTACAAATAGGAAATATAAAATTCAAATGTATATGTTGAAACATCACATTATAAAATACCATTATAGTGTTATAAATTTAATGAAATATATGGTGAAATTGACGATTTTGAGAAATGGTTATTTGAAGATGAACAACTTTATAATTTGGTTCAAGATTGGCACTTTTTTATTTTTGAACATGTAGGACAAGAAAGTTTAGAAGAGAGTTCTTGCTTCTATTTATATTTTAAAAATAGTCTTTAACCTATAAAACATTGTTTTGGTAGTGCAAATCAAAGAAGTCAATATTCAAATGGATACTATTATGTATATATTGGATAGGATGATTTTATCAATAAGAAATTAGTTGGTTCTATATCAGATTTGACTATTAAGTACAATTATAATGAAATATAAGAAATAAAAATAAGTATAAATATACATAAATTTTAGTTTGTCATTTCACATGTTCAACATGTGATGGTCCAACAGCTAATGATTGTCTAAGTTGTGAAAGTTAATATAATAGAATCTTTGATGATATAAATAGATCATGTGTCTGTTTAAAAAATCATATGCAGGTTGAAAAGAATAAAAGTTGTCAATCAATTTAGACTATTTTCCCTTTTTCTGAAGAAAATTAAATATCAACAATTAATTAAGAAGAATGTGATTTTGGTTATTTTAAAATCCCTAAAGATGATGGATTTATTTGTAAAAAATGGTAATTATAATATATGTAATTTAGTCCCTTTGAAATTATAAATCATATTCATTGTTTAGATTGTTATGAATATCCAAATCATTGGTATTTAAATACAATATGTACTACTGATTTTTTTCAGCAAGACAGAACTTAGGATCAAGGCTACATATTGAATGAAAGAAGTGAAAATGAATATGAAGTCTTTTTACTTGATATTGAAGATAATCTTAATTATTTCTAGTAGTATCAATATATTTGTAGTGAATCTGATATTAGATTAGGATTAAGGAATTGTGTTCAAATAAATATTGCTAATTTAAAGTAAGAAACATTTGTTGAGTGCACTTCAAATTATTATTATGAAAATGGAGATTGTATTTAATGTTAAACTAATTGTTTAAAATGTAAATCCAAAAATGAATGTGATATTTGTATTTAATAACATTATGTAAAAAAAGAAGATTGTATTAAATGCCCTCTAAATTGTAATTCATGTTATTATGATGAATTATTGTAAGATGTTCAATGTTAATCTTGCATATTGTATAAATTTATTTATAATTAAGAAAATTTACATTATTCAAAGGAATTTGTTAATAATGTGGAAATTATTGTTAGACTTGTATAGAAGACTTTGATATAAATACACAATAATATTTTAATAGATGTTTATAATGTATAGATTCTTCAAAATATTATATTTCAATAACAGGAGGATATTGTTTAGAAAATACAATTGAAAATTGTTTATATGCTTATGAATACATTTAAATAGATGATATAATAATTAATACACTAGATTATAAGTTTTAAACTGTATCTTAACACTAACCTATCATTAGTTGTGCCAGATGCAAAGATCAATATGGAGTTAACGAAAACAATTTATGTTAAGATATAGATAATTTTAATTTTAATAACTGCATATTTTCAGCTTATCTTGATACAACATAAAGTTATGTTTGTATCATTGGATCTGAAAGTAAACAATCAAATTAATGTTCTTTAACATCTCTTTATTGTTAGACATGTTTATATTTGAAATCTGCTTAAAAGAACTTTTGTATTACTTGTTTGGATGGATATTATGCAGATAGATTAACAGGACTTTGTTTTTAATGTCCAAAATCCTTATTTTGTAATACATGTTATTAATAAATGAAAATCAATTAAGATTATTGGTTAATTAATATAATGAATTATTATGAGACTATTATAAATAAAGATGGATAACATACATTTCGACATAATGCTTAAAGTTAAAATAATTAAGATTATGAAGTAATTTGTTCTTCATGTATTGATTAATATTTACTTCTAAATAATTAATGTATCAAATTATGCCCAGATGATTGTGCCTAATGTATTTTATAAGATAATTAATTTGTTTGTCTTAAATGTATATATGAAAGTTAAGGTCGTATGTTATCTATTTTTAATAATCAATGTTAAAGATGTCCTTAAAATTGCAAGGTTTGTAGAAATAGATCTTAAAATGAAATTAATGCTCTCAATCCATTTTTTTAAGATGAAACTTATATTATGTATTCAAGGCAGTGTTTAATACCTTCCAATTAAAAAGTAGTTTATAATAAAGAATTTGGTATTTTTCAGGAATGCAATCTTTAAGGATTTTGTGAAAATCATATGTTATTTTAAATTAATCTATATTGTGATTTTGAGGAATATAAGAATGCTGAATATTTAAATCAAAATAATTTATAATTTTAATAAGGGAATATGTATTTAAATGATTTATTTAAAAATAACTTTACTATCTTTTCTAATAATTTACTCTTTTAACATGGAAATTAAGCATAAATTTCAACTATAACATTTTAAATAAATAGTAGAAAATCTTAAAATTGTTTCTTAGGGGAAGATTTCATAATATCATAAAATCTAAAATAGCATATCTTTACCTTAAAGTATTAATTTAAATTATTTTAGAACTGTAAATATTTAAATAATTGGTCACTCTCTCTTAACATTTAGATTATCTAGTAATCTGTAATTTGTTAATTTTGAAGATATACTACTTTAAAATATTAAGTTTGTTATTGCTCCTATTCTCAATTAATAACTGTAAATTTCAACCTAATCAATAACTTATCAAAATATCAAATTTTTTAATTTAACTTTTACTACATTGGTTGGAACTTTTGGTTGTTCAATTTAAATATATAATGCTTATTAATTACTCTTTCAAAATATTATACTATAAGATTATAAATAAGGGGGATCTAATGGTTTTATAGATATTTATTCTTCTAATCTAAAGGGTTATACTTAAATTTAGGATTTTCACTTAATTAATACTGATATTCAAGATTCTTATTTAATCTAATTTTAAACTTTAAAAAATCACATAATAGAATTATAAAATCTATTCATTAATATTAATTTATATAGATCCTAATTTATTGTATGTGCTTTGGCTTCTGGGTGTGGGGGAATAAAGATTTCAAATTTAGAATCTAGTTAATCATTAAGTATAAACTCTCTAATGTTTTCACTTGAAAAATTTAGTGAGGCTGAATTAATTAATCTGAATTTCAATAATATAGAATTAGAAGAATCTACCTTTATCTAATTTATTCAAAAATTTACTTTAACCAATTTTACTTTTAGGGATTCAATAATAATCAATAGTTTGTTAATAAACAATGATCTATTAACAAATCTATAAAAATCTATTTACACATTTTCAAATCTTTAACTTATATCGAATTCATACAATAAGAAATCGAAGTTCATAACCATATATCGATATGCTGCCTAAGAATCAACAATAATAGTATAAGAAGCCAGCTTCATAAAAAATAAATTATAAGATATGATAACTTAAGAGAATTTGAAATAATTTGATTAATCTCTAATAGTCTTTTAAAGTGATTAAATTAAACTTGAAAACATAATAATACATCAAGGTAATGGCTTACCTTTAATTTCTTTTATTAACTCTTATCTTATTGAAATTAATAATTTATACATTACAACAAGTAATTAAATAAAAGATTTAATTTAAACTTAGGAGATAAGTATACTATAATTAGGATTGATTTTGTAATTTTTTGCTAATCAAAAATTAGAAATTAATAATATGATTGTTGAATCAGTCTTATTAAGTAACTACCCTTTAATAAGTTATGAATCAATTACAACTTCAATATCTGATTAAAATGAATTAGTTGTAATTAAAAATTCATCTTTTTTTTAAAATATTTTAGTATTTGATTCAACTAGGAACGTAGTTTGCCTATTTCAATTAGTATCTGAATAAAATGTTACATTAAGATTTGAAAATGTTAATTTTCAAAATAATATTTTATATCATAAAAATCAAGGTTAGAAGCAGAGATCTGTAACTTTACTTTATTAAGATTGTTAAGCTTGTACATATTATTTTATATCAAATTAATTTGTTTCCAATCTTGCAATAAATGCAAGTGTTAGTATCATCTATATTAGATCAAAAGAAGTAAATATACTTGGATCTCTATTTTCTTAAAATGGTGTCTATAATACTGAAATTAATAATTAATTAAAAGTGCTTTCTGTAAAAGTAAATGATAAAATGATCAATTAAAGAAGTGCGAATGGAATATTTTATTGTTCTCATCTTAAAATTTATGATACATCATTTGAATTTTCAAAAGGTTCTTTGGCAAGTGGATTTTAATTTTTATCATCCTCAATTGGGAATTTAGATGTAAAAAGGACAATTTTTTAACATAATTAAAATTTATTCCTTGGTGATAATTCATAAGGAGGATCAATCTACATAGAAGGTAATAGCAATTAGTATTAAATTAATCTTGAGAATAATATATTCAAAAACATCTCCTCAGGATATGGAGGAGCTCTATAAATTTAAAATAGCTTAGGTAGATCGTTGATATCTATGAAAAATACATAAATTGAAGATGTTAATTCGTTATATGGTACTGTTGTTTATGCTGTTTTCTCATAGTAAATTCAAAGTTAATCATTGATATCCATTTCCGATCTAAAAATAAATAATAGTTTTTCCAGCTTTGCTAAATTTCAAAAACAAATATTAGAATCTATATCAAATTAAGCAATTGATAAGCTTTTTCAATATAGGTCAATGTTTTATTCTTAATATGGAAAACTCTCTATCTATAATATGTATATATTGCAATCTCATTAAGAAATAATCATTATAGATTATTTTATCAAAGGACTTATTCTTAAATAAGTTGATATTAAAAATACAAATTATTCTTAATATGGATTAATATTTATTTATCCTAATACTGGTAATCATATTTATATGTATTATAGTTTAAAAAGTGGAAATTTCAATCAAGGAATTATCAATATCAGGATCGTTAACAACTGATTTAAATATCTTTTCTTATGATTTTATTTTAGGTTTAATTAATATATTAAATCTAAATGAGTAACACTATATAATCATGGATGATATTTAACTCTAAAAAATTAATTGTAGTTTTTGTCAAAAGGGATTAATAAATATTGATGGTACAATTACATAACCTAAATAAATAATGATGAGGAAAATAAATATATAAAACAATACATGTGGTTTGAAGGGATGTGTAAATATTTGGAAAGAGAATCAGATTTTAGATGATACAACTTAAATAAATTAATCAACAAAAAGGTAGCTTTAGCCAAAGACTTTGAATTTAGTTTTTCCTTATTCAATTGTAATCGAAAATTATTTATGTAATGGAAATATAGCTAATTTTGGAGTTTGCCTGAGGAATAAAGATTATTCCATTTTACTTGACTCTTCTTAATTACTTAATAATAAGGCAACTAATTAAGGAGGAGCGATAGTATTTTAAGGTAGCAAAGCAATATTTAAAATAATAAATAGCATAATAGCAAATAATGTTGCCTCTGTTGCTGGAGGAATTTATTATTCTGAATCATTTTCACAAAATTATTCCAATCTCAACTCCTATATTTTTAATAACAGCGCAATATATTATGGAAATGATACAATTGAATTACCAAATTAAATAAAATTAACTATTCACAATTATTCATATTCAAATTAAAAAATGTTCTTCAAAAATGAAATAGTGATAGATTAAGTAGTAATTTCAAATTTATATCAAAATAACTAATCTAGTGTTCTCTTACCAAGCGGATAACTTATATATTTATATTAATAGTTTGATTGGGAAAATAATAATTATATTATGATGAATTATACTTTAAGATTGATTCCATATGATTAAAGGAATAATAGAATAAAAAATTTAACATCTAGTAAATGTACTATTAAAGGAAGATTATATGATTATAAGAAATTAGAAGAGAGTGAATAAAAAACATTTAGTAATAATTTCACAAATTTAAATGAAGTTGTTTATGATAATTCTATGGAAGAATACAATTTTGATCATTTGATTATATATTTTGATCCTGATTTACCTGAAAATATGGTTTTATAATTTGAATTTAAATGTGATTCAATTAGAATACCAATTTTAAATGAGAATTAATAAATAGATACTATAATTAAATAATCAAAAGAATATTCTTTAAGATTAAATATAAAAACATTACCTTGTTAAATTGGAGAATTAAAAAGTGAAGAAGATTTATCTTGTCATCCTTGTGATTATACTTAAGATTATTATTCAGTTAATTTCAATTCAAATAAATGTAAAATTAGAGATAATATTTAAATGGAATAAGTTAAATCAGCATAAATTAAATTAAGACCAGTAAATTATATAATTTCATTTTTTATTAGAATTATTGGAGACCTTATTTTTATGCAGATCTTATAGAATATTGTTATAATTTTTAATTGAATTGTTTAGGTGGATGGAATTATGGAGATATTTCATGTTCTTTAGGTCATATAGGAGCATTATGTGAATAATGTGATATTTATAATATTAGAGGAGATGGTGCATATTCTATAAGTTAAAAATTTAAATGTGGTTCATGTGATGATACAAAATCAAATACTTTAATCATAATTGGTATATCATTATGGTATTTATAATCATTTATTATTAAAAAGGACTCTCATTTCTATTTCAATTTCTGTGAAAAGTACTGTAGAAATCATTAAATAATTAGCTAGAGCATCTAAATTAAAATCNTCTTATTTTGGAAATGATTATGCAGAGTATCCAACACATCTTATCATTTAAATAAATAATTACAATCAATTCATATATAAATAATATTCTTCTTTAAACACATAATAAAATAATATTAAAATCTTTACTGCTACTTTGTTAAACAATGAATAAGAAATAAAATAGATTTTATTACCAAGTGCATAACATCTATATTTATATTAATAGTTTGATTGGGAAAATAATAATTATATTATGATGAATTATACTTTAAGATTAATTCCATATGATTAAAGGAATAACAGAATAAAAAATTTAACATCTAGTAAATGTACTATAAAAGGAAGATTATATGATTATAAGAAATTAGAAGAGAGTGAACAAAAACCATTTAGTAATAATTTCACAAATTTAAATGAAGTTGTTTATGATAATTCTATGGAAGAATACAATTTTGATCATTTGATTATATATTTTGATCCTGATTTACCTGAAAATATAGTTTTATAATTTGAATTTAAATGTGATTCAATTAGAATACCAATTTTAAATGAGAATTAATAAATAGATACTATAATTAAATAATCAAAAGAATATTATTTAAGATTAAATATAAAAACATTACCTTGTTAAATTGGAGAATTAAAAAGTGAAGAAGATTTATCTTGTCATCCTTGTGATTATACTTAAGATTATTATTCAGTTAATTTCAATTCAAATAAATGTAAAATTAGAGATAATATTTAAATGGAATAAGTTAAATCAGCATAAATTAAATTAAGACCAGTAAATTATATAATTTCATTTTTTATTAGAATTATTGGAGACCTTATTTTTATGCAGATCTTATAGAATATTGTTATAATTTTTAATTGAATTGTTTAGGTGGATGGAATTATGGAGATGTTTCATGTTCTTTAGGTCATATAGGAGCATTATGTGAATAATGTGATATTTATAATATTAGAGGAGATGGTGCATATTCTATAAGTTAAAAATATAAATGTGGTTCATGTGATGATACAAAATCAAATACTTTAATCATAATTGGTATATCATTATGGTATTTATAATCATTTATTATTAAAAAGGACTCTCATTTCTATTTCAATTTCTGTGAAAAGTACTGTAGAAATCATTAAATAATTAGCTAGAGCATCTAAATTAAAATCGATAGGAATTATGATAGTAGTCACAAAGAATAATGCTGTTAATTTTATTAAGATCCTTACTAATTATCTATAAATTATTGCATCTATTAGTACTTTCTAATTATAATTACCTTAAAATATGGAATCAACTATTAATTCTTTAGGAAATCCAGTAGAAACAATGGCATATTCTTTAGATTGTTTTTTAAAAGATATGTTTTAAAGTATTTCCATTCATTATTCAAGAACAATTTGGTAATTAATTATGCCTTTTATTTATATTCTCCTATTCTTATAATTTTATGGAGTAGGAGTAATCTTAAAGTATGTTGAATTTAACAGTTGTGTTATTTCAACATCATTAATCTATATGTTCATATATTTCTAACCTAATATCATTGCAGGATAAATTGGATTATTATCTTATAGAACAATCTCAGGATTTAAATGGATATTAGGTAATGTAGCAAATAGATATGATACAAATGATCATATCAAATGGTTACTATCATTTTGTTTACCTGTATTATTTACTTTTGGTATTTTAATACCTGGATTACTATTTAATAGACTTTATAAAATTAGATAGACTTTAAAAGATAAGAATAACAGATTGATTTGGGGTTATTTATATAATGAATACAAAGAAAGTGCTTATTATTGGGAGATTGTAAAAATAATATAAAAAGAATTAATAATAATATTTCTTACATTTTATTAAGATTAAATAATAGTAAAAGCAGTTTTAGTTTATGGGATTATCTTTATTTATAATTATTTAACTTTATATATGTATCCATATCAATCTATGTAACATAATATTTTAGATCATTAATCAACTAGAGTTTGTGGTTTTTCAATTGTTTTAGCAATTGGAATTTATGGATCATTATAAAGTGGAATTATTGAAGTTTAAATTCCATTTTATATTATTATGACTATCATTAACTTTTTATTTTTGATTAAATTAATCTTATAAATAATAAAAGCATATTTTTAATAATTTGAAGTATTAATTGATAACATTAGAGATTTTATTAGAATTAGAATTCCATCACTTTTAAATTATCCATTTTTCTAAAAAATATTAAAAAATTAATAATAAACTAGATTAAAAGCTTAAAAGAATTTTAGAAAAATTAAATTATCTGTTATATTATTATCAAGATAAATTATATTAAATAAAAAAATTAATAATACTTAAGAAAGAAAAGGAACTTTTATTTTGGATTCAAAAATATCATTAGTAGAAACAAATTAAAATCAATAAAAATCTTCTTTAGAAGAAATAAATAAAAACTTTTTAGTAATCGGATAAAATTAAAAGTGAATTTATAAAATAATGTAAATTATTGATATTATTATTATTCTATATTAAATCATTATAAACATTTAAATCCATCTTTTGGTATAAAATGGATAAATTAAATGCTTTATGGCAATTTGTATTATTTTTTTACATTTGGCTAAATACAATTTATTTATATATTCTAGATGGTTTTTATTGAGGATTCAGCTTCTATACTAGATTCTAATAGACTAATAAAAGGAGGAATCATGATATCAGACTAAGCAAACTCTGAAATTACTTGATCATCCTTTCCCAAGATCATTCTGCTTCTACTCGATAACTAATTTGACTATTCTTTTTAGTATCCATTAAAAATGCGATGACTATTTGTTATTTAAAGTGTCTTTAGTTAAGATCTCTGTTATACTAGATTAATTATTTCACTTTTGTCCTTAGTATAATTTAGAAAAGAATTAGGTAAATTAGAATCNACTATTTAATAGACTTTATAAAATTAGATAGACTTTAAAAGATAAGAATAACAGATTGATTTGGGGTTATTTATATAATGAATACAAAGAAAGTGCTTATTATTGGGAAATTGTAAAAATAATATAAAAAGAATTAATAATAATATTTCTTACATTTTATTAAGATTAAATAATAGTAAAAGCAGTTTTAGTTTATGGGATTATCTTTATTTATAATTATTTAACTTTATATATGTATCCATATCAATCTATGTAACATAATATTTTAGATCATTAATCAACTAGAGTTTGTGGTTTTTCAATTGTTTTAGCAATTGGAATTTATGGATCATTATAAAGTGGAATTATTGAAGTTTAAATTCCATTTTATATTATTATGACTATCATTAACTTTTTATTTTTGATTAAATTAATCTTATAAATAATAAAAGCATATTTTTAATAATTTGAAGTATTAATTGATAACATTAGAGATTTTATTAGAATTAGAATTCCATCACTTTTAAATTATCCATTTTTCTAAAAAATATTAAAAAATTAATAATAAACTAGATTAAAAGCTTAAAAGAATTTTAGAAAAATTAAATTATCTGTTATATTATTATCAAGATAAATTATATAAAATAAAAAAATTAATAATACTTAAGAAAGAAAAGGAACTTTTATAATTTAAACAAATCTCATTCAATCTTTAGATAAAGTATAAATTTAAGATACCTCTAATAGACTTAATAAGAACAATTAGGAAAAATAAAAATTGATAGATTGAATTCAATTATACAAAAAATATAAGTGATATATGTATCTTATAATATTGATTAATAATCTTTAAATACTATTTAATTATTATATATAAATAATTATATATCCAGGATATGCATGTTAAAGTTTCTTAATTAAAAATATAAAATCAAGATCTTAATTTAAAAATTAGATGGAAAAACTCTTAATTTTTATTTTTTTATGTAGAAGGTAATAATAGCATACTTATATTGTAGAGTGTTAAGTTAACTAGATGAATATCCAAAACACTTATTTATTCACCATAAGAATTAGCAACGATTACTTTAATCAGAATGCCATTATTCTTGTTAAGAATGTGACGGATCTACTGAATAGGATTGTTTATCATGTAATTCAGGACTTGGTCGATATTATGATTCAATTAAAAGAATGTGTTTTTGTGAGAAAAATCTTTTTGATGTTGGAATTTCAGAATGCTTAATTTTAAATGAAGCTGTTCCATCTGGAGAATTAAGTTAAGAAAACAATACAATTAAAGATTTTTGCAAATTTGGATAGTTTAAAGTTTTGCTTTAAAACAATACTATAATTTGTTTAAATTGGTATTTATTGAATAAATATTCAGTCCAAAGTCAATAAATAACAATCTAAATTGTTTAGACTGCTATCTTAATCCAGATAGCTGGTTTAAGTAACCCAGATGTACTTCTGACTTTTTATAGCTTAAAAATGATGAAAATTATGGCTATTTGATGTAAAAAAGACAAGAAATCGATTTTGTGATATACTTTATAAGCGAAACCTTTTCTTTGATATCAAACCCCTATTATTCATATCTTTGTTCTGAATAAGATTTGATTCTTGGAGAAATTGATTGCTAGTTGATGGATGAAAAACACATAAATAAACAACTATATGCTGTATGTAAAGATTATTCCTTTTACGATTCTAACTCTTGCATTTTATGTCCATTGTTTTGTTCAATGTGTAATAAGATAGAATGCATAGGTTGTATTAATCATTCATACTTGTATAATGGTTTATGTTTTGAATGTCCTTAGGAATGTAAAGAGTGTTAATACAATTAAAATTTGGATATTGTTGAATGCAATTAATGCTATGAGTAATTTTAATTTATAATTAGACATTTTGGATTAGTTTAAGGAAACTGTATAGAATGCGGTTTAAATTGCGCATCTTGCATGTTTTGGAAATTTTATGATGCATATTATGGAAAATGGATATAATAACTCAGATGTATTTAATGCATTGATCCTTCTAAATACTTTCTATCATCAAATGGTATTGATTGCTTAGAGAACATGCTTTAGAATTGCTTATATGCGTATCAAACAAACAGTCTTTTTTTTTATTATATGACAACTTATGATTATAAATTCAAGAGTTTTTTAGAAGCCATATCTGGATGTGCTAGATGCAAAGAGGGGTATGATGTCGATGAAGATGGAAAATGTGTTCCTGCAGAAAATTTAATCGAATCTTGCTTGTTTGTTTTTAAAATCTCATTTGAAGAATATTCATGTTTGATAAGTGATTATTCATGGAGCTAACAGAATAACTAGTGTTAAGAGGTCATCTCAAATTGTTAGGAATGTATCAAAGAATCCTGGACTCTAAAACTACTTTGCATACAATGTTAACCTGGGTATTATGCTCACAGATTATTTGGATATTGTATTTAATGTCCTGAAGAATTAAATTGTAGAATTTGCTATTAATAATAAAGTCTCTTTTAAGATGATTGGGTAGTAAATATAAGAAGCTTTTATGAAGGTGTTATTGATGCTGTTTATGTATAAACAGAGACAACACTTCCTAGGACTTTTCGAACATATGCATAAAGTTAAAATATAAGTGATTATGAGATCTCTTGTAAACTATGTTTAGATGGATATTAACTTCATAAGAATATTTGCATTTTAAAATGTCCTCAGGATTGTCTAGAATGTAAAATTGAAAATAATTAAAATATCTGTATAAAATGTTAAAATGATTAATATGGAAAAGTATTATCTTTGGTTGATAATAAATGCTTATCTTGTCCTTCAAACTGTGATTTATGCATTCCAAGGATTCCTGAAGAAATTAAAAAGATAAATCCTTATTTTGAAAATTAAAAATATTAAAATTTTACAAATAGATGTGTTAAAAATTCTAATTCATAATCTTTTGCATATGATCCAGATTTTGGATATTTTATTAATTGTGAATTAAAAGATAAATTATGTTAAAACATTTTAACAATTAATTTAAAGTTATATTGCGATCAAGAATAATACAATAATGATTTAGAAATATCATCCTAAACTTTAAAAAATAAGTTTAAATTTTTGAAAACCACATTATTTTTAGATGATTTCTTGCTTAATTCATTCTAATAATTTGAAAATGATTAATTTTATTCTTTATTGAATATTAAATAAATAGGGAAACTTAAAATAAGAATTTCCACTCAATAAAATTAGGATTGTTTTATTTATAATAAGGTTACTATTGCTTAACTTTTTAGAATGAATGTATTTTCATTAAGGTAACATATATATGATTATTAAGTTCTGTAAATCTTGAATTTATTGGGATTCAGGATACTAATTTTTATATTTTTGATACTTTAGAATTTCACAATTTTTCAAGCATTTCTTTTGATTCTATAAACTTTGGTTTCAAGACTTCATCTATTATTAATCAATAAACTGTTAAGTTTGTAAGTATTTTACAATAGACAATAGAATTCAAAAACCTAAAAATTGAGTAGGAGGCTAATTAGATTTAGGATATTAATATTTAATTTAATAACATTGATCTAATTTATATTCATGATGTTTAAATCTCAAATCTAAACTTGAATTCTACAAATGGATTATTTTAATTTATATCAGTAGATTCAAGTAATACTGGAACAATTAAATTTGAAAACTTTAATATTTACTAAACAAATTTAATTAATACTAAAATAATCTCTTATGAGATTTCTAATTCATTTATGATTTATTTAGAAAACATCTCACTTAATTTAAATTTAATGAATTCTAATTTTTTTGTATGTAATTAGGTAATTAATTTTGGAAATTTAATCATAAACAAATTAAAACTTACTAATTCTGTTATTAAAAACACTTCATGCTTGATTTAGGGAAATTTCTTGAAACTAATAGATATAAATTCTATTATTTTACAATAAAATTAATTTGATCATAGCAATCTTATATTATTGAATAACAACATTACATTGTAAAATATTTAAATAGAAAATTGTGTATTATTAAATAGTTATTTAATATTGAATCAATTAGCCGAAAAAAATCATCTAGATACTGAGTATTTATTTAATTTAAAGAATTTCTTGATAATAAATAACTAATATAATGTTGGTACGAAGTATATTACAATCTATCGTTATACTTCTACTAATTCTAAGATTATTTTTGAATAACTAAAAATTAAAAATAATATAATAATTGATACTGAATTAAGAAACTAAAAGAAATAATAAAGTGCCTCAATTATATTAGAAAGTGATGAAATATATCTTAAAAATTTTGAAATATTTAAATTAAGAGGAATACCAGATTTTTCTATTATAAATTCACATAATTTAACTATTAATGATTTATACGTTACTTCTTAAATCAATAAAGAGAAGTTGTTTTTATAGAAATAATCATTATAAACCAATGATTTAGGAATAGTATTTCACATTTATTCAGTGAAATAAATTAGATTTCAAAGTGTACATCTAGTATCTCTATTTATTCATAATTACCCAATTATCTATTATGAATAAGCAACAAAAACCTTAATAAATTAGGATGGTTAAATTGAAGTTTATAATTCAAAATTTACAAATAATTTGTTATATTAAAGTAATTCATAATTTAGTACTAACCTTATTGAAATTTTCTCAGCCTAAAAAGTAATAATAAATTTCATTAATTCTACTTTTGAAAATAATATTATCTATTTTTAAACAACAAGTACTAGTGTTTAATCAACTAATCTTTTAAATATTGATTGCTCTGAATGTTCAGTTAACTTAAGGGAATTCAATTTTTTATCTAATGTGGCTATTAATACAACTTCTTCAACTCTCTTTATTAAGTCCACTAAAATATCAATCAGCGAAAGTGTCTTTAAATAAAATGGTTTTATAAGTAAAGATATATTAAGTTTTTTAAATCAGATAGAAGTATATTTTGATAATAGTTTATTTTACCAAGGATCTGGAAATGGAGTATTTTAAACTGATAATATGTATGTTCTTAATTGTAACTTTTTTAATCAATATGGTTCAAAAGGAGCATCCATTTCATTTTACCCTTTAAACTAAGGGTTTTTTAAAATTGAAAATACTATAATTGATATATCCCAAAATTATTTTATCTAAGAAAATGAAAAAGGAGGTGTAATTTATATTAGTTCTTCGTCAGCCAATTTATAATTGGAGATTATTAATTGCTAATTTTCCAACATATATTCAATTTAAGGAGGGCTAATAATGATAGAAAGTCCGTAAAACAGTATTTAAATTCTAATCAACAATACTTATATAATGGATTTCTTCTCTTTAAAAGGATCATTAGTTTATGTAAATTTTGAAGAATAATACACTGATAATTCATTAATATAACTTTAAGATCTAAAATTATCAAACACTTTAGAAGGATTTTCTAAATTTTTTTAGTTATATAATGATAAAAATTATAATTTATAAGAAATCGAAGCATCAGAGAATTTTTAAATTATTTTGTATAAGAGATCAATTATATTTTCAAAATTAGGAAGAATCTAAATAAAGAACCTAATCATTTGTGGATTAATTAATGAAATCATTATTTATGATTAATATCTTAGGATGTTACAAGTAAACTCCATCTATATAACAAACTCATCGATATCAAATTAAGGATTGATATATGTAGCTCCTTTTTAAAGTATAAATTAATTCTTAATTTTTTTTAGATAAAAATTTTTCAATTTATATAAATTCTGTTCTTGTTGAGAACCTTAAAACAAATACGGATGAAATTCAAAGTGCATATTATAAGTATGCAAAAATAAGTAGGTAGAATATTTTTGGTATAATAAACATATTAAACATCCATTAGGAGGGAATTATGGAATTTAGGAACATAAAATTTATAAACAATTAGTGTAATAATTGTCAAGCAGGTCTAATGAACTTTCAATTTAATAATTATAGTCAGAATAATTTAAACATTTAAGACATCACTTTTAAATATAATATATGCGGAGAGCGAGGTTGCCTAAACATAGTTTAGGATAACATCTATTATTATCTTATTGATGATTAGGATAACCTGAGGTTATTAGAAGGTGAAAAAGTAAATAATATCTTAAATTATGTATTTATAATTTAAGATTATTATTGCTATTAAAATTTAGGAACTTATGGAGTTTGCTTATTTGTTTAGAATTTAGCAGGATAGATCGATCGAGCAATATTTTCATAAAACAATGCTACAGTATCAGGTGGTGCGGTTTATTCATTTGGAAATAAATCTAATTTACAAATAATGAAAGCTTAAATAGTAGAAAATTATGCTAAATTTGGAGGTGGTATGTCAATAAGAAATCACTTTTCTCCTAATTTGAAATAATATGAAACATTCTCTTTCGAAAACTAAGCCTCTTATTTTGGAAATGATTATGCAGAGTATCCAACACATCTTATCATTTAAATAAATAATTACAATCAATTCATATATAAATAATATTCTTCTTTAAACACATAATAAAATAATATTAAAATCTTTACTGCTACTTTGTTAAACAATGAATAAGAAATAAAATAGATTTTATTACCAAGTGCATAACATCTATATTTATATTAATAGTTTGATTGGGAAAATAATAATTATATTATGATGAATTATACTTTAAGATTAATTCCATATGATTAAAGGAATAACAGAATAAAAAATTTAACATCTAGTAAATGTACTATAAAAGGAAGATTATATGATTATAAGAAATTAGAAGAGAGTGAACAAAAACCATTTAGTAATAATTTCACAAATTTAAATGAAGTTGTTTATGATAATTCAATGGAAGAATACAATTTTGATCATTTGATTATATATTTTGATCCTGATTTACCTGAAAATATAGTTTTATAATTTGAATTTAAATGTGATTCAATTAGAATACCAATTTTAAATGAGAATTAATAAATAGATACTATAATTAAATAATCAAAAGAATATTATTTAAGATTAAATATAAAAACATTACCTTGTTAAATTGGAGAATTAAAAAGTGAAGAAGATTTATCTTGTCATCCTTGTGATTATACTTAAGATTATTATTCAGTTAATTTTAATTCAAATAAATGTAAAATTAGAGATAATATTTAAATGGAATAAGTTAAATCAGCATAAATTAAATTAAGACCAGTAAATTATATAATTTCATTTTTTATTAGAATTATTGGAGACCTTATTTTTATGCAGATCTTATAGAATATTGTTATAATTTTTAATTGAATTGTTTAGGTGGATGGAATTATGGAGATGTTTCATGTTCTTTAGGTCATATAGGAGCATTATGTGAATAATGTGATATTTATAATATTAGAGGAGATGGTGCATATTCTATAAGTTAAAAATATAAATGTGGTTCATGTGATGATACAAAATCAAATACTTTAATCATAATTGGTATATCATTATGGTATTTATAATCATTTATTATTAAAAAGGACTCTCATTTCTATTTCAATTTCTGTGAAAAGTACTGTAGAAATCATTAAATAATTAGCTAGAGCATCTAAATTAAAATCGATAGGAATTATGATAGTAGTCACAAAGAATAATGCTGTTAATTTTATTAAGATCCTTACTAATTATCTATAAATTATTGCATCTATTAGTACTTTCTAATTATAATTACCTTAAAATATGGAATCAACTATTAATTCTTTAGGAAATCCAGTAGAAACAATGGCATATTCTTTAGATTGTTTTTTAAAAGATATGTTTTAAAGTATTTCCATTCATTATTCAAGAACAATTTGGTAATTAATTATGCCTTTTATTTATATTCTCCTATTCTTATAATTTTATGGAGTAGGAGTAATCTTAAAGTATGTTGAATTTAACAGTTGTGTTATTTCAACATCATTAATCTATATGTTCATATATTTCTAACCTAATATCATTGCAGGATAAATTGGATTATTATCTTATAGAACAATCTCAGGATTTAAATGGATATTAGGTAATGTAGCAAATAGATATGATACAAATGATCATATCAAATGGTTACTATCATTTTGTTTACCTGTATTATTTACTTTTGGTGTTTTAATACCTGGATTTCTATTTAATAGACTTTATAAAATTAGATAGACTTTAAAAGATAAGAATAACAGATTGATTTGGGGTTATTTATATAATGAATACAAAGAAAGTGCTTATTATTGGGAAATTGTAAAAATAATATAAAAAGAATTAATAATAATATTTCTTACATTTTATTAAGATTAAATAATAGTAAAAGCAGTTTTAGTTTATGGGATTATCTTTATTTATAATTATTTAACTTTATATATGTATCCATATCAATCTATGTAACATAATATTTTAGATCATTAATCAACTAGAGTTTGTGGTTTTTCAATTGTTTTAGCAATTGGAATTTATGGATCATTATAAAGTGGAATTATTGAAGTTTAAATTCCATTTTATATTATTATGACTATCATTAACTTTTTATTTTTGATTAAATTAATCTTATAAATAATAAAAGCATATTTTTAATAATTTGAAGTATTAATTGATAACATTAGAGATTTTATTAGAATTAGAATTCCATCACTTTTAAATTATCCATTTTTCTAAAAAATATTAAAAAATTAATAATAAACTAGATTAAAAGCTTAAAAGAATTTTAGAAAAATTAAATTATCTGTTATATTATTATCAAGATAAATTATATTAAATAAAAAAATTAATAATACTTAAGAAAGAAAAGGAACTTTTATTTTGGATTCAAAAATATCATTAGTAGAAACAAATTAAAATCAATAAAAATCTTCTTTAGAAGAAATAAATAAAAACTTTTTAGTAATCGGATAAAATTAAAAGTGAATTTATAAAATAATGTAAATTATTGATATTATTATTATTCTATATTAAATCATTATAAACATTTAAATCCATCTTTTGGTATAAAATGGATAAATTAAATGCTTTATGGCAATTTGTATTATTTTTTTACATTTGGCTAAATACAATTTATTTATATATTCTAGATGGTTTTTATTGAGGATTCAGCTTCTATACTAGATTCTAATAGACTAATAAAAGGAGGAATCATGATATCAGACTAAGCAAACTCTGAAATTACTTGATCATCCTTTCCCAAGATCATTCTGCTTCTACTCGATAACTAATTTGACTATTCTTTTTAGTATCCATTAAAAATGCGATGACTATTTGTTATTTAAAGTGTCTTTAGTTAAGATCTCTGTTATACTAGATTAATTATTTCACTTTTGTCCTTAGTATAATTTAGAAAAGAATTAGGTAAATTAGAATCTTCATTCAAAACAATAATATTTAAACTTTTTTTGATTTCATTATAGTCTTATTGCAGCTATTCAATTGAAAATTATTTTTAAAATAACTAAATATTTTTTTTTTCATACATTAAGACGTAAATCTTAGAATTTTTTTTATTCTATAGCTACCATATAATGAAAGTAAATCTTTAAACTAATTGCACATGATTAAGAACACATTAATCCAACATTAGATTATTTTTTAATTAGTTCTTCCTATTTAAATTGAAAATTGCAATACATGGATATCTTAAATAATTTTTGAAATTGAAGTCTCTTATGATACATTCAATAATTGATCAACCAATATTTAAAGGGGTTAAGTCCCAGAATAAAAAATTGTTTTTATTTTATTTTTGCTGATTGTTTCATTAAGCTCTCTAATTTCAGAATATTAAGTAGGCATCCTTAGGACATAAAGATAAACCACAAGCAGAGAGTGCTAAATTTTTTCCTCAAGATAAATTGGGTCTGTTTCCATTAATCGATAGAATATTATTATATTTATTAAACTAAAATTCAATAAGAAATTTATTCATCAAAGATAGCACTTATCTCATAAAGAATTAAAAAATCATAAATGCACTTATATCAGGGGTTTATTCTATCTTAAAAGACCTTATTTATTTCAAGTTTAAGTGTAACAATAAATATCTATAATATTGATTAAATGGAGTGCTTTCATTTTAAGATTATTATCTTCTACATCTTTGTACATTTTAATATATGATAATAGTATAATGATATATTTTACAGTTTTTTTAATTTTCTAATATTTTAATATTCTAGTGTGTTTAAAAAATTTATTGATTTTAATGGGGATTCTCTAAAAATATAATTCAGCATTTATTAAAGTAATTTATAAACTTAATATCCTTAAAAAAATTATGTTTATTTATTATAAGTTTTAGTATAATGTGTAATATGAAATAGTTGATCTTAAAATTTTCAAATTTTTAATTAAATCTATTTTCTCAAAAATCGAATCATCAAGATAAATTGATTTTTTTTGTCAATTTTCAAGTATTTATCATCAAAAAGAATTTAAAGGCAGCTTAATTAAAAAGAAATTGATGTAAATGTATAAAAATTTCATGATTACTTATAATATTTTATTTACTCAAAAACAAATAGGTTTTTATAAATTGAGAATAGTAACAAGACTATAATTATCTAATTTTACAAAAAAGAAAAAGATAGCTATCAATTATTTATTTTTAATTAAAAAAATTTATAGATAAAAATTAGTAAGATTATGAAAATGATAAGAAATAAAAAAAATATTTTTTATGACAAGCTAATTCCAATTTGATTACATGAAAAACAATAATAATATATGTATATTTATTAAATATTAGTATAATAAGATATTCATAATTACTAATTTATGTATGAAAGAATGAAATATATAATCTAACATATTCCTTGTTATTTTCAATACAGTATTGACGGTTGATAAATATTATATTATATAGGTTTTATATATTTTAATATCATGAATCAATTTGATTAATCTCTAACTTTTCCTTACTAGCTTTGTTAGAGTTCAAAGATAAATATTTGGATTTGACAATATTTTTAAACTTCTTCTCTTCATACATTTTATTTCCTATTCTTCCCCTTGCATTTATAAACCATATTTAAATCTAATAATTTTAATAATATACTTATTTTTATGTTAGATTACACTTTTCAGCTAGTTACTCAACTTATTCTTTACTAGGATATGGGTAGAAATAGTGTTTATTCAACCAATTTTTTAAAATTAAGTTAGACTTCTTAGAAAACTTTTAACTCTTTTTTTCAATAGTCTTATCACTTATTTTCATAGTTTATCTTTAGTAAGATAACTTAAGTTCATTTTACAAGATTTGGGACATATAATCGAAATACTGTTGTAATGATTTCAATGTATGAAATTCCAATTGAGAAGGATTTTCACTTAATGATTTAAGGTACATGAGAAGACCTTAAAAATGAATGACGTTAATGTGGGTTTAACTTTAAGAATGAGCTTCGTCTGAATGAGATTGTAATATATCCTCACTAAATGTAATAATACATTACTTAGGACAATTATGTGAAACCCATTTTGTTAATTATGACTCTAGGTTTGAAACTTACTGTAGAACAAATTGCTTTCTCAATTCTTAGTGAATAGTCAATGATTGAGACATTGAGATTTTGTGATTAAAAATCGAGAAATTATTAATAAAAATAGATTTAATAATTAATGACATAAATATTCAAAAAATAAATTGATTGTAAATTATAATTGTAAATATATTCTTAAAGAGATCTAAAAATGCTTAAATATTTTGTTTAAATAACAAATAGAAAAAATTATAAAGTTTGTGGATATATTTAATTTTAATTTGTGTATTAACTCAATCCCAACTTCCTATGCATTTATCTGTACCTAATCTTACTGATTAACCTTTTGCACATTCATCCCATCCATAAATTTTATTGGCACTACAAGCATTTGGATTACAACAACCTATAATTTTATAATTAATAAATATACCCTTTCTTTTTCCACCACAATTAACTCCTCCTTTACTTGTACATAATGAAGTACAAAATTCATAATTGGCTTCACCTTTTGTGTATGTTTCATGAGATAATCTTCTTAAGTTCTATTTTTTTAATTAATCAATACATAATATTATTCCAAAGGTGCATATTAATACATAACTGCTGCTAAAGTGGCTGCCAAAGCTAGAAGAACTAGTAATTTTATTTTTTACATTTTAATTAATGAATATATCTTGTAACAAATTTTGGTTGGAAAATTGTTTTTAAATACTTATTTTTAGTATATATAATTTGATTATATTGATCAATACAGATATTTATTAATAATTCACTTAATCGTTATATTATTTTGAATGTTAAATTCTTCATTTAATTTTTTTGAAGAGAATGATATAGGCAAATTGAGAAAATATGTATCTTTATAATATATAATAACAAGTTTATCACAAAAGAAAATGAATGGAAAAAAGATAAGGCAGTTTTAGAGTAAAAAACATAATTACTTGAACTCTAATTGGAAGACTATAAATTGAGGGAAACAAACCAGAGAAAACTAAATGATACTATTAGTTAAGCCATTAATGATTCAACAGCCAATTAGAAAGTATTTGGTTGTTTTTACAGTTTAGAAATCAATTGCTGAATTATAAAAGAATATTGATATTTAACAGAAAGACCATAATAAAACAAAGTTTAAGGAGTAAATCAAATAGTTAGAACTTTAAGTAATGCTCCTGTTAAATTTAAGGTTAGATCATTATAAGAATAACTATTAGAAAAGGAATCCTAAATAAAAGAGTTCGAATTATAATACTAAAAGCAATACTTACTTTATGATCATAGAATTTCTTAGCTTGAACAAGAAAAACTAATTAATAGTCAAGAAAACTAAAGATTAAAAGAAAATTTAACCAAATAAGAAGATATTTATAAATATAAAGAATAATAATAAAAATAGTTATTTGAACAAGAACTATAAAAAATAAAAGATTTAAACATTCAAGATTAAAAGTCTAAGTAATAGGAATATGAATCCAAAATTGTATAATTATCTACCTTACATGAAAAGGAAAAGGAGCAATTCTAATTAAGAATTAGTAAATGCTAGAATACAATTACAAAATATCAGTAACATATTGAATAAAATATCGATATCATAAATTTGAAAAAATAATATGAAGATTAAATTAAATTATTAAACAATACCAATAATGAAATTTAAGCTTAATTTTCATATGAAAAATAGACTTTATTAAAATAAATTGAAGAATTAAAAAAATTAAATAGAGATGTAAATTTAAAAGAGAGTATGAATTATCATGAGAGTACATCTAAAAAGAGAAGCATTGATGCTATTAAAATAAAGAGTTCTCTTTAATCATATGATAGTCCTGTTTAATGTAAAAGTTTTCATATTGCATGTCCTGAAAGTAAAGCTTAAATTTTCAATAATTACTTAAAAAATTCATAAACTTAATCTATTATTTTAGCTTAAAAATAATAAATTTAATAACAATTTTAATAAAATAATCAATCACTTGATAAATCATAAAATATAAATGATGGAATGCCTATTTGTATAGATTAATATAATTTAATGAAAGATAAAAAATAAAAATCATAATCAACTTTATCAATTCCTACAAGTAATAATTATAATCTTAATTCCTATTTATAAGAATAAAGCATATTTTAATAAAATTAGGAATCATTTCAATTAGATTCTAAAAGTAATCTGAAGGATGAAACATATAAACCTAAAATCATAAAATAATTGAATCCTAATATCTCAAATAGACAAATTTAATATGATTACAATAGATCAATAAAACATGAATTATAAAAACATAAAGAATTAAATAATTAAAGATCTATGTCTTAAGAAGGAGTTAAGTAGTAAAAATCAAATCTAAGTAAAATATTAGGTTAAACTGAAATAAGTTATTAATAAAGTACTTCTACTTAATAGATAACAAATAATACATCACTAAATAGTTTTAAAGTCCCTGCTTTTACTCAGAATTAATTATAAGTATTAAAAAACAGTTCATAATACTTATATCCTTGTACAACATTAAGGATGAAAGAAAGCCACATAAAAAAGTTTAGAAATAATAACAACCATAGTACTCATGAAGAGACCAAATAAAATAAAGAGAACTATTAGCCAATTAAAAATAATTCAAAAAGTGACATCAAAGTTATAATAGGAAGATTATTGTAAAATAAAGGAAAATAAAGTGAAAATCTTGAAAATACAGGATATATCTTTAAAAATAATAGGATTTGAAGCATTTTTATATTTTATATAGCTAATACTACCATAAATTATTTAATAATGTTAATCCATAAATTATATTTAATTTTCAATTTATTCTTCTATAATCAATATTTGTTTAAAATCTATAATTATTTTTTAATAACTTCTTTGTAACTGAAGTAAAAGATATATTGAGACTTATTATGAAAATAATATATTATTACATAATTAATATCTATTAGTGTTAAATAAATTATTAATTAAAAAATGTTAAAGAACATGATCAAAATATTTCGGTTTTCCTAATTCAAAACAAAAATTGATCAAATTTAACATCATAATTATGGTCCATTATAGGAAATTGATTTTAAATTGTTAAATGTTCGTTAAAATACACCCTTAAGAGAAATCTACTATTCATATATGAAACATATGAAATTATATGAAATTTAGTAATAAGAAGAAAAAATGGAATAAATTAAAAGAGCATATTTAAGGATTTTGTCTAAACGATTAAATAATTTGGATGAAATAACAGAATAGGAATAAAAAGATTTAGGATTCTTAATGGACAATAATTTTGGATTCCCATTTGTTGAAGGATTAAGAAGATCTGAGATGATTACATAATTTTAAGAGGAAATAGAAGCAAAACGGCTTTATCATTATCCTCGTATAACAATAATTGTATTATGGATAATATTGGGCATTCCTAGTTTCTATCTTAGTGACAATTATGTATATGAAAAATGAGTAAAAATAATTAATAATTCATTGTTTTTCAACTGATTAAGGTATTATAAAGAATTCTGTATCCTAAATTTATAGACATTGATTTGTTATTGGAGTCATAATATTTTCTAAAACTTTGATTATTTAATCATTTCTATTTTACAAATGTACACTTTTGCTTAAATTTTTAGCATTTTGATTAGTTTTAGTATCAAATTCAAAAATTGGTATAATATCTGATAATATAATGGCTTTGTAATTTTAAAATTATTCAAAGTTTGTTTAATCACAAATTAATGTAAAGGGTTCTTCATTTTAAACAAATGATTATTTTTAATCCAATTCAATAAATTCTTATAAAGAATCAGAAGATGTCATATCAACAGATCTTTCTTCAGAATAAACATCTTCGGCTATTTCTTCTTCTGAATCTAATTCATATTCAATGAATGAATATTAATGAAAAGGTTATCTTGGATTGACTTACTTATACCCAATAAGTTTTCCATTATAGTATCTACAAGAATCAAAAACATCAAAATGAACTTTTCTTTTAATAAATTATAAAGGTTTTTTTGGTTTAGTAGAAATATCATCATTGAACAATTAGTTTAATAATTCAGAGAAATTTAATACATTAATTTAATCTAAATGAGAGATTTACTTTTCAAATTCAGATTATTTCTCTTGATCCCATTTTAATGAAAGTTCTTAATGAGATTTTTTCATATTATTTTTTGTTGATTTTCTCATAAATTTTGAAAGATTATCATTTTTCATTTTAATTTTGGTATATTCTTTATTTTCTCTTTTTGATTTTAGTAAATTATCTTCTTTAGGTATTTTATTTATTTCTACTATATTGAAAATAAAGAATACTTTTTGTACTTTAATCTTAATTTTTGGAATTATCATTTAATGATTTAACAAAGGAGACTTTATTAAATGTCTAAGCTGATTCATCTGTAATGAGATCTTCAGAAATATACTTTTCTATGAATTCTTAATTAATAGATTTAGTAAATGGAAATTACAAGGATGCTTTGACATTAATATATTTTAGGAATGCATCTTCAATTCTAGTTATATTCAAAGATTCAAGTGAATCTAAAATTTCAGCAATAGCATGAATAATTTAATAAATTTAATGTCTCATTTTTCTGACAGCTATAAATGTTTCAATTTATTCATGATCTCTTAAATCTTATATATTTTTGATTTCATAATATCCAGTTATCTCTGTTGTATTAAATGTAAGATTGCTTGATAATGGTTCAACATGATTGATATTAAGTAATTTAAGAAAGAGGGCATAATTGAATTCTTGTTCATAAGTTAATTATGTATAATCTAACCTTTTAATTTGAGCAAAAGTAATAGGTTAAGTGGTCTTTTTGATTAAACCTAGCATATGTTCTAATTCAATTTATTAATTGGAGTTGAGACATTCAGTGATGAAGTTCTTACAGAAGTGAGCTAATTTGCAACGATGATAGGATATTGGTTGACCCTCTAATTTAATAGAAATGAGTCTTTGAAGTTATGGAATATCGAATAGGCCATTATTGATAGAATCAATTAATGTTTGATTAGGAGTAATAGAAAGGACTGGTAGGCCCATTTTGACTAAACTATTGAATAGAGATTCATAAAATGGTTTTCTGGATAGTAGGGCTTCAAGAATTTCTTGATCTGGAGTAACCTATTCTAATTGTGTAATGGATTGCTTATTTACATGGAGGGATGGATTAGCCATAGTAGTCGTTGGATGAGGATATTTGAACAGACATAATAATAATTAGTAATAAATTAGCCCAAAATATTTGTATGATAATTTGATTAAGAGAGAGCAAGACTGTAAATTTATTATTAAATTAAGATGGGGGTAGATTTGAGAATATTGATAAAATTTACATTATTCTATAATGTAGTTAAAGAATAGTGTGTTTCAACAGTATTAGGTATTTGAATATGAGTTATACTAATATAATTAATCAATTTATCATGAAATATTCTGGAAAGGATGACAAGTATATATGTGATTTTATTAATCTAATAGTCAAGAGGATTCAGATGATCTATAGAAAACAAGTATATCTCAATATTAAGCAAATAAATTAAAACAACAAGCAAAGGAAATGCATGATATGTTGTTGTTGTTAAAAGAAAACTTTGAGGATGAAGAATGTGACAAATACTATATTTTGAGCAAAAAGTATATAGATTTATTTTTATTACTTAGTTGGTTTGAATAATGGAAATAGTATGTATCATATGATTAAGTTGTAAATGATAAACCACCTGACAATAAATTTGGATAAATAATTTTGCAAAATTATAATAATGATTTGCTAGAAACACGCACTAATGAATGCTTCAAATTTTATCCACTTAGTTCTAATCCTTGGAATATATGGCTAAAACCTAATTTATAAGAGGACAAGGATTATATTGTGATTTCATAATAAATTTAGAATTATCTTAATTAACATTACAGAGGCACTCAGATTTTAAGAAATTCAATAGGATAGGGTAAAAGTAAAAAGGTAGTTGTGAATTTGTTTAAGGTATAAATATCATTTGATTTTATAAGTTCAATGCAACATTGATTATACCTAATACAATTATTTAAATTAGTTAAGATAATCTAATATAATTTGAAAAAGAATATTTATAAGCAGATGAAAGTTGTGTAATGAAAGATCTTTATGCAATAATATAAAAAACTGTACCTACTTTTAGGGGTAATTACAATAATCAGAATGGTGTTAGAATATGGAGATACAAAAATTAAAATGATCCTTATAAGGCATTATTTGCAGAAATCAAAAAATAAGTTTAAGATCTTGATTTTAATGATGATTAAGTATTTGATTTTTCAGGAGATCCTATTGAGAATTCACAAGATATTACATTATAATCATTAAATCTAACTGATAATGATCTTGTTGTAATTGAAGTATTATATTTATCTTATAAATAAGTTTTAACAAAGTTTTAAACCATGGTGTATTCGACATCCTTCTGTTCCAGTAGAAGGTAAATGTGAAGGTTGTGGTTCAATTAGTGAACTTCCTTTTCCTTGTATATGCAAAAAAGTAGCATATTGTTCAGAAAGATGTAAAATAAATGATGAAAAATTTCATCTTCCAAAATGTGATCCTTGTGGTTCTGATGATGAATAAGTAAAATAGATTACTATTAATGATAAATCTGTAAAAGGAGTAGCTGGATTAGCTAATCTAGGAAATACATGTTTTATGAATAGTGGTACTTAATGTTTATCAAATACTTATCAATTGACAGAATATTTTATTACAAATAAATATTTTGATGAAATTAATGAAGATAATCCTTTAGGAACATAAGGATAATTAGTCAGAAAATATGCTTCACTTATTAAGAAATTATGGTGTGGTGATAAAAATGTTGTAATACCAACTAGTTTCAAAAAAGCAGTTGGATAATTTTAACCAATGTTCAAAGGATTTTAATAACATGATTCTTCTGAATTAATTACTTTTTTATTAGATGGATTACATGAAGATCTTAATAGAGTAAAAAAGAAACCTTATGTTGAATCAAAAGATAATTAAGGAAAACCAGACTTTGAAGTAGCAAAGGAAAGTTGGGAGAATCATCTTGCTAGAAATTAATCAATTATTGTAGATTTAATGCATGGATAATATAAATCAACTCTTAAATGTCCTACTTGTTCTTAAATATCTATTACTTTTGATCCATTTTTAACTTGTGGACTTAGTATTCCAAATAAAAAATAAAAGTCTATTTAAGTTAAAGTTATTAAATCAATAGTTTAAATTGAAACTAAATATTTAAACTTTGAAGGATCCAAAAAAACTATGTCTTTACTTGAATTTACAAAAGAATAGATTATTCCTGAATTTAAAATTGATCCAAATGCAGAATTACTATTTTATACATCTTTCTCTAATGATATTTAAGGTCTTATTGATCCAAAATCAGAAATTAATTCAGTAAGAAAGAATTCAAAGAGAGGATTTCTTGTTGTGAAAATCATTAATGAAGAAGAAAAATAGATACCTACAGATGATAGGATATATTTAAATTATTCATAGAAAGCTTTAGATGGATTTGGATAGTAATATAAAAGAACCATTTTTTAATAATTCTATGTAATTATTTCTAAAGAGTTTACTCTAAAATAAATACATCTTGCCATTTTTAAGGCTCTTCTTCCAATATTTTGTGATGTAATTTCATAAAATGATATATCAACTCCTGAATAATTGAGATAATACTATGAATAGAATATTTAAGGAAAAGTAATATATATATATATATATTTATAGTATTATAATATTAATTTCAGATCTTAAAGTGCTTATTGGTAATAATGTAGTTTTTGTAATTAAAAGAATTGTTAAGATTGTGAAGCAGATTATAAAGATGAAACTTATTAATAGATAAAAACAAAAATGTTAGAGAATGATCAACATAATAAGATTGAACTTATTATATTTTGGATTTAGAGTCCATTTTAACATGTAAAGCCAGCTGACATCTATTAATATTATCAAAATTAATAATATAAAAAATAGATGGAAGGTAATATTTAATTTATAATAATTATATAGAAGAAAGAAATACCACTAATAATGATGAAAATAATGATAACTAAAAGACAATATAATATGGTATGAAATCTCAGAATTATGCTAATAATAATTAAATTTAAAAAGTAACACTTTAGGAATGTTTGATATAATCAGAATAACCAGAATAATTAGCTGAAGATAATGCCTGGTATTGTAAGGTTTGTAAGGAACATGTCTAAGCATATAAAAGTATGTAGATTTATAAGGTATATTACATTATTAAATATAATAAAGGCATCTGATATTTTGATATTTACATTAAAACGATTCAAAGCTTCAAGTGGATTCTTCAAGTAAAAGTTAGAGACATTTGTGGAATTCCCTGTAAAAGGTTTAGATTTAACAGAATTCATTTTGAATAAGAATAGACCTTTGGATTATGAGTAGGAATTAAAACAGTAGTAAAAAATAGAAGAGGAATTACCAGAACATAATGAGAACGATAAGAACGATGAGAAACTCTTATATGATTTATTTGCAGTATCAAATCATTTCGGAGGAATGGGAGGAGGTCATTATACTGCTTTTGGAAAGAACCACGTACTTTAAGTGTTTAGTGTTAGTTGAATGGAAATTGGTACAGTTTTGATGACGCTTAAGTGAGTGAAGTGGATGAAGATTAGATTGTTACTAAGAGTGCATATGTGTTATTTTACAAGCGTAGATCAAAACAATAAAATACACAAGACTTCATAACACAAGATTGAAATTTATCTATGTTTGAGTTGAAAATATTTATGTATAATAAAAAATTAAAGTGGAAATCTGATTTCGAAAAATCTGTTATTATTGAGAACTTTTTGAATAGAGGATGGATTAAATCATAAGAAAAAGAGGATGATTCAACAGATTGGAATGTATATTGGGCAACTGTATGGAATGTAAGAAATATTTTTAATCCAAAAAATGGATTTAGATTAAATGATTAAGTATCTACATCATAATTGGTAGTAAATCATAAATCATTTTCCAAATCATTATGAATTAACTAGAAAGGATTGTATGGTTAAAAATTTAAAACGATTTAAAAGAGAATAAGATAGAGAAACATATGAATAATAGGGATGGAATTTTGATTTTTTACCAACTACTTATATATTTCCAGGAGAATATTCCCTTTTTGTAGAAGAATTTCATAGAAGTCCAAATTAAACATGGATTGTTAAACCTGCAGCACGTAGTTAAGGATAAGGAATATTCTTATTAAGACAGATTCAATAATTAAAGAAAATTTCAGGAACCACTATTACAAGCAATATGACATAACTTAATCTTGTATCTAAAGAAAATTATGTTGTTTCTAAATATATTGACAATCCACTCTTAATTGGTGGCAAAAAGTTTGATTTAAGAATGTATGTTTTAGTTACAAATTACAAACCATTAAAAGTATGGATCTATAATAAAGGATTTGGAAGATTTTGCAATGAATAATATACTACTGATGTAGCTGAAATTGAAAACATGTTTGTACATTTGACTAATGTAGCCATTTAATAATATAGTGATAAATACTCAAAAAAACATGGTGGTAAATATTCTATTGATGCACTTAAATTTTATGTAGAATCAGCTTATGGTACAGAAGCATTCTAGAAAATGATAGATGATATTCATAATATTATTTTGACATCCTTAAAAGTACTATTATATTCATTTATAATTTAAGTCAGTATAAGTTGTAATTTAGAATGATAAACACTGTTTTGAAATGTATGGTTATGATATCTTACTTGATAATAATTTAAAACCTTGGTTAATTGAAATTAATGCCAGTCCCTCTTTGACAACAACCACTCCTGTAGATAAGAATTTAAAATTGAATTTAATTAATGATATTTATAATATTGTACTACCAAATGATGATTTTCCAGATAATGAATAGAAATGTAAAAGATATTTATATTCAAGAATAATAAATTAATAAAATAGGTGGTTTTAGTGTTTTATATGATGAAAGTTTAGATCTGATGAATCGTAAAACTCAAAAAAGACAAAGTGTCAAAATATGGAAATGAATAAATATTTTCTATATTTATACTATACTTTTTGTGCCAAATATTATATAATTAAATTTATTATAAACAATTATGGCACCAAAAAAAAAAGCATAAAAAAAAGAAACTTAAACAAGTATGATTTTATCATTATTTCATTAGGCAAAAAGTAACCAACTAAAATAGAGAAAGTTCAACCAGCACCTATAGTTCCAAGTGTTGTATAAACTAAATCTAAGAACAATAAACCAGACTTCTATTTTGTGATTCCATAAGATGAAGAGGAGCATTATAGAAAAGAAGTATACCAAAGGAGAGAGAATAGAAATAAGAGTTGCATAGATATGAATGAAATTAGACAGTACAATTATAATTAAAAGGAGGGATAATTTCGCGCCTCAAGAGATTCCTGTTATTAATAAGGTATCTTAAAAAATTGTGATTGAGTAAGAATGTACCAATGATACCTCGCAGTTATTTACATTGAATCAATCAGAGTTGCCTACTAGTGCCTCAAGACAATTAAATAAACCTAAGATATTATCTATAAAACCAAAGAAATTACTTATGACTGTTAAACCTCATGATGACACTATGGACATGGAAGATGATTGGTATGAAGAACTTAACAAGGATATCAATCATACTAAGCATTTTCTATTAGGAGTTCCAAAATAATAATCATTTCATAATGAAAAATCATTGACAACAGAAAGAAATTCAACTACCAAAAATACTAAAAAAATTGATCTTGATTTACAAATTGAACCTACTCAAACTTAAACAACTGTTAAATTAACTAAGGCTATGAAAACCAAATTAGATTCTATGAATGAATGTTACAATTCACTATTGGAAGCAACAGTTCCAGAAGAAATCTTATGTAGAGATTAAGAAAAAGACTTAATTACTAAGTTTATAGAAGATGGTATAAAAAATAATGGATAATCTTAAGCCTTATGTAATATTAATTTTTATTAATTTTAGATATATCTGGAGTCCCAGGAATTGGTAAGACTGCAACTGTTATGGAAGCATAAAAGAAATTACAAACTAAAAAAGATAATTTCTAATTTATCTATGCAAATGCTATGAATTTTGGATTACCAGATAATATTTATTCTTTTCTATTAGAAAAACTCACTAATATAAAGGATGCATCAAAAGTGTAAGCTTGCATTTTATTAAGTATTAATAACTTATTATAAATTTAGCTGAACTATTTACTAAAGGTTCTTTACCTACTACATACAAAGCATATGAAAAATCAGTAATTAAAAAGAATAGAGTTATTCTATTAGATGAATGCGATAATCTATTTACTCCTGATTAATAAGTATTATATAATTTGGTGGATTGGCCATAACAAAAACATGCAAAGCTTACTATAATTATGATTGCCAATACTATGGATTTCCCAGAGAGACTTAAACCAAAATTATAATCAAGACTAGGAAATCATAGAGTAGTATTTAGACCATATACCAGTGCTCAAATAGAAACAATATTATAATAAAGAATGAAAGAGAAGAAAATAAAAGAATTGTTTGCTTCTAACACTCTTAATTATCTAGGTAAAAAGATAGCAACAATTTCAACTGATATAAGAAAGACTTTATGTGTTTGTAGAAAGGCTATAGAAATTGGAAAAGAGGAACTTCAAAGAACTGGATAATTTAAATAAATTGAAGTCAATCATGTTAAATTAGCATATGATAGAATTTATAACAAAGCTTATCATGCATGTTTAAATTCATTTAGTAAATCTATGAAGTTGACGTTAATTACTACTGCTTTAGAAATTCATATCAAAGGATATAATATAGCTTATCTTTAATAAGTTCTTTAGAGATATAATCAATATTTAATATAAAATAAGGATGATCCTATTGGATATTAAGAGATGAAATAGATACTATTGAAATTGAGTGAATTAAATTTAGTTGAAATAAAAGAATAAAATATTCTATTGACCAAAACTTCTTGGTAATAGAAAGTGAATGTAAATAAATGTTTTATTTTAGGATTCACTATAAAAAGATAATTTGAGAAATATTAATGATGTAATGATTCATTTGAAAATCAATGTTGACGATATCAAGAATGGTCTCTCAAATGACACATTATTTTAATAGTTTTCTTAGTTTTTCTGATTTATTTAGAATATTATATTATAATAATTATAATAATCTATTTTTATATTTTTATGAATATTAATCTATATATTATTAGAATACAGATTTACTAGATGTGAAATTATATAATGAAAATAGATGATCTCCTTAGAATTAAAGTCATTTATTTAAACAAATATAATTTTAATTATGTAAATTTAGAAATAAAGATAAATATAATAATGAATTACTCTATAAGTGCTATCATATTATTTAAGTCACTTTAATGAAATTGAATCTTCTTATCTATAATTAAATTCATTCCTTTACTATTAGAATGATATATTCTTGATACTTTTAGTATTCTTATAAAATTAATATTATAATTGTTATTTTAAATTTCAATTGATTATTTATTAGTTGATTTAATTTATATATCAATATATGTAGAATTTAATAATCGAATATATTTATTTATTTGTATTTGCAACAAGAATAGATCAATTTTATATAATATTTGATATATTCATTTGAATAATGAATTGTGAAGATATATTATAAGAAATGATATATATATATATAATTAATATTGATATGTAATAAAAAGAAAAATGATTTAAATAATATTTAGTTAAATTAATTAGAGTTAAGATGGAATTGGTTAATTAATGATTTCTATTTTGATCTGATTTAGTATGAATTTATAATTTATATACTTTTAATATGCATAGAAATAATTAAATGTGATATTCTTTTTAATTATTAATCAAAACAACTGATTAATAAGTGTAATATTAAAGAACTTAGAGATGAAGTTAGATTGGGTGTTAAAGAAATTTCTAAAAAAACATTTTAAGTAGTTATAATAAAATTAATATAAAACTCATTTATGAATTCATGGACTCTTTCCTTTATGGATTCAAATTTAGAATCCTAATTTTCACATGCACATTAAAAACATGTTCTAAGATGTTAAGAAAAACAAAGATGGTTAATTATTGTTATTTTAGCTCTTTTAATAGTAGAATATGTGTTGGCAGAGTTTTGGATTAGTGTTGTAATTTGGGCATTTAGTTTAGGATTATTATTCATTTCATATAGATTTAGAAATTAAACGAAAATCATCGAAAAAATATTTTTTATCACAATAATTTTGTTACTTGCCATATATAAACAAAATTCTAAATTTTTTGATGGTATATCAAAGGAATAATTCAATATTGATTCAGTCCTTACTACATCTGCAACTTTTTGGTATAATTATGTTAAATAACTTAGTCTAATTAGAAATTTTAAAATTGTGAAATAATACTTAATTTTGATGATCATATTTTTGTTAAATATGGTAATTTAGTACAGAAATGTTGGTGTTTCAGCTTTCACCATATTATAAAATATAATATATATAGCTATGATTATTCAACATATGTATTAAAAAGAATAATATAGAAGAATTAATTATATTGAAGATATAAATTAAATCAACATTAATCAAATACTCTTTAATTAATTAAACCTATAATTATATAGAGTTGCTTATGATATGTCTGCTTGTCAACTTATACTATTACAAAGAAATTTATTATCATCAATAAATTAAGAAGATTAGATTGAATTTACTAATTAAATTAGATAAATTCAAATATCAATCAAAAAAAATAAGAGAATTTCAGAATAAATTGTGTTAAATCAAATTAATTAAAAAATGACTTTAGAATAATTTTTGGTATTGATATTAAACAATAAATCATCTAAATTAACTAAAGAGGTTTTGAATTAAAATGAATATTAATTAGTAGGTGTCTTAAATTTTGAAGATTTTCAGATTTCCATACATAGAACCTTTTATATTATGCCTAGTGTAATAATATTAATTAAGAAGAATTATAAAGAACATCAAATTGAAGAATTAAAATTGAAAAGAGATACACTTAAACGTGGATTAGATACAATATAAGATATATTTGTTACTAATATTAGACCTGTATTAATATATTATACTTGGATTAAATAACATTCAAATAATTAGAAGGAAGCTTCTAAAATAAAAATATTACATAAAATAATATAAGCTAAACTTTATAAAGCATAACATGAATATTAAAATTTAAAAGACTTCTTTTAAATTAATAAATCATTTTAAAAAACAATTATTTTATCATTTTCTATTGATAAGATTATGTCATTTATTATAGATATTGTTTGTGATAATCTTTTAAATAAGAAAAATCTAAAAATACAATTTATTAATAAATTATAACTTAAGGAAATTAATTAAGATTAAGCTTAATTTATTTAATTATTTTTCAATTTGTTATTTTTTATTTCTGAAAAATCAGAAGATATTAAAATTACAATTAAAGATTTTTAAATGCCTGAAATCATACATTAAATATTATAAGTGAAAATAGATTATATAGGTCATCCTATATCTAGACAATTCTTATAAAAATTGCCAATAATTAATCCTGAAAATTTACAAGATTATATTCATAATAGTACTGGAACATTTAGTCTTGATTTGCCAATTGCATTAATGATCATAAGGAAATTAGGACCATAAGATAAATTAATATGGAAGTAAGTGAATAGAGGTGAGATTTCATTAGAATTTTATCTATATAGAAATCTTCCAAGTGATCTTCATCTATTACCTGTAATCTCTTTAAAACCTCACAAAAACATTATATACAAATCTAGTCAAACAAGAAGAAAAACTCTAATTTATGATCATATATATGAAACTGTTCATTTACCTGCCATTCAAACAGATAGAGAATTAATATGAACAATTTTATGTGTTGTTTTATACATATAATTATATTTAATATAAATGAATCATTATGAGATATTATCATATATTTTTTCTACATATATTAATGTCTTTAAAAAACTATCTTCTCCATAAACTGATTATGGTGGTAAAATGTAAGGTAATTATCTTATAATAAAAAAACGATTCTTAAAAAATCGAAATAGTAAAAAAGATGCTAAACATTGATAGACAACAATAATAGAAATAAATAAAGCAAAAATTAATTTTCTTGTATTAATTTCATCCTCAAATTTAGATATTAAATAAGATTGTCCTGAAGACATTATATTGTCAAATCCAATACTTATGAAACTTAAACCAAATAAATCTTGAATTTCAATATTTGTTATTAAATCCTTGTTATAATTATTTTGAATATTTTCTCTAACTTTTTAACTAAAGTAATCAATAGAATGGATTAAACCTTATGTGAGTTTTCCATCAATTACAATTTTACACATCTCATCTTTGATTAAAATACATGCATCTGTAGTTAAGTATTACAATAAATCATAATAACTTGTTTTTGATTAAGATGATAATTCTTAAGTAAAAGCTAAAACTTCAATATAAGATTCATTAACCAATTATTTATATTAATCAATCACCAACTCACCTAATCTAGCATTTTATTTAGAATTAGAATATCTTCGTAAAACTGAATCAGACATCATCATTTCATAAAATTATTCAGTATATATGATATTTTAATTAAATAGATCTAAATTACTTTATAAATCATTAATATTCTGAGAATTAAACAATTTAACTGTTAAAAAATAAGCAAAACCTAATAAATATGTGATTACAGAAAATAAAAAAAAGAATCTTTAAAAATTAGGTTTATCATCTGTTATCAGAAATTGCTTTTTCTATTCTAATTATTAAACTATTTATTGATAACGGATAGATATCCTTTTATTTCCAAAGAAATCAGTAAAATTAGTTGTTGGATTACATTTATCTTTAAATTAAAACTGATATTTATATAGATTTAGATCAGAAGATTACTAATAATGATGTTATAATGAAAGTAATCTAATAGATTCTGTTTCTAATGCTTTGAAAGATATCTATTCGCAACTTCTAAGAATTCTATTCAAAAGTTTAAATGCTTAAGAGAATATTACAATATAAGTCAAAATAAATAGTATTTCAGCTAAAGTAAATATAATTAAACAGAGATTCTATTGAATTTCCAATTCAGAAACATTAGAATTTAATTAATCTTAGAATTTGATAGTTAATTCCTCATATGTTTCTTTATGAACTTAATATTATCTTATCAAAGAAGTCAATGAACTATTAAATCTTTTAATGGTTGTCTCATTATTCAAATCTATTCCATACAACCCTTATAACATATAAATTACATAGAATTATTCTGTCCATGCACTCACTATTTGTTCACTTTCACTAAACACATCATATTAATATATATTTATATTAGATAATGTTGATTTAACAAGACTGTCATCTAAATATTCTTGATAATGTGATAAATAGATTAAACTATTATTTTTTACTAACTCAAGTAACTTATCTTAATAATTTATATCTGTAATTCTATATTCTTCAAATTAACTAGTATCTATTCCTATTGCCAATAATGTATTTTTAGTGTAATCTGTAGTTACAAAGGCTTTTAAAATATCAACAATTTTCATGTTATCTTGCAATTTGACTTTGAAATTATAGTAGAATATATGAGATAAACTTAGAAGCAAAAATAAATTCAAAACATCAACTAGCAAAATTATATTGATTAATCTTGGATTATTACCTTATGAAGAGAATTTAGTGTATAATTGTGTTTTTTATAATATTGAAGGAAATCCATTATTAGGAGTTGTAGCTGTTTGTGTGATTCGAATATCTTGTTCTTTTTGAATTTGTTAATTTTCTGATTGATTATTTTCTACATCAATTGATTTTTTAGATACTGATTTATAAAAGTATGATTATTGATCTTTTTATTGAGGTCTTATTTGTTAAAGACTCTTGTTAATTTATTATAATTTTTGTAAACTTTGGCCATCTATTTAAACACTGTTAATATTTTAATCTAAATGCATAATGTTTGGTACCTAGTTTTTATCTTCGTCAATAATTGATAAAAGATCTCTTTAAGAGTCAAAAGGACTATGAAAGTTAGGACCATTTTAAAATTAATATTCTTGAAAATTGATTGATTGATTAAGTTTTTATTCACTTATATTAGAAAATTCACAATTTTGATCACTATTAGAAAACATTCTTTCTGTTTATTTTTCTGATCCAGAAAGATCTCTATTAATAGATGGATCAAAATTTGTTTCTGTTCTTGATTATAGATTTTTTGATGATTCTATCCAGATTTAACTAGTATTATCTGCAAATGTTATTTTCTATAATAAAATTAAGTATGATTTATATTCTTTTTAATTGATTTTTCCAATTGTCATAATAAATTTACAAGATATACAATATATATCTGGAACTGCACCTTCTTTAGGAATTCTAACTAATAAGTCATCAGCAGAAACAGAAAAATGATTTAAAAGTTATTCAGCTTCACTATAATCTAATTTTTATGAACAACTTCCCTATTCTTAACGTAATGCTTCTTATTCTTAGAATTTCTTTTCTTTACCATTCAAAAGATCTAAATACTTTTTGAAATTCTAAATTAAATAAAATATCTTTTTTTAATATAATGATTTGCCATTTTTCATTTTAAATTATTCCAAAGCCATAGTAGATATTCCTTCAATTCTTAATTCATGATTTAAAAATATATGTCCTTTAACATTTTCATATGCTCCATCTGATCTAATTTGTTTTAAAAAACAGTAAATTGGAAATGTATCCCCTTATATATTGAAACATATATCAATAAACATTTCTACAAATATCAAATCTTTATTCTTTTTATATCCTAATAATCCTCTCTTTTTTCTTAAAATTTATGGTCTATTAGTTAATAAGAAGATCTCAATCAATTAATCATGTATAACTGATAAATGAGGAATAACTAATTAATGAACAGTCAAAACTTCATCTTTAAATTCTCTTTATCCATATCCAAACATATGAGGAGCATTATTTGAAAATTAAATGATTTCTCCTCTTGATATTTTACCTTTTTAAGCATGTCTTGCTAGATTAATTTTGAAATAACAAACTTTTGCACCTTATTAATAATTATTTGGTACATTAAATTCAAAGAATTTATAATTTTTAGTTTTCAATTAATTTCTCAATCTAATGAATTTATCAAAATCATTAAGAATTTCAAGTGAATAAAACATATATATTAAAATACTAGTTCTTGAATATGAAAATTGATTAAATTATTCTATTTTATGAATTACATCTAAATTATACATAACCATATTATTAATTACTTAATAAAGATTTTCATAATTGTATTTAGTATCAATTAATTTTCTAATAAATTCATATTTCATTTAAATATTATTAAACATTTGAGATATGAGTCTATCTCTTCTTACTTCTGTTATTCGATAATCCTTGTATTACAATGCTGCTTCAACTTCATCAATCTTTACTAAAGGATTCATCTTTTATAAAATTTAATGTTTGATATAACTCAATAAAATAGACATAGCTACATTATATGATTGATTTTTTAAATTAATTAACTTCTCTTTTATTTCCATAACTAATAATAATATTTAATAACATTCTTCTGAAGTTCCAAGATAAGTTAATAATTATGTTATTCTTATCATATCAAAATTTTATTTTTCTTTTTCCAATTCAAATATGAGTTTTGCATAATATCTAATATATCTTTTAATTAATTCAACTTAAATTTAAATATTTTTAATTTTAATTGATTTATATATTCTCATATCTAATTCATAATAATTATTTTCTATAATTCTTCTTGCTTCTCCTCTAAATCCTTTGCAATAACAATAAACATTGTCACATTATAATATATGTTATTTCAATAGAACTATTACATTTAATAGAAATTTAGATCTATTTATATTGATAACAGAATTATCTTTTTCAATCATTTATTGATCATCAAGTTTCATCAAATCCACTAATCTCAAATAATGAATGAAATACATAGAATTTTGATTTTATAAAAATTCAATTTGAATTTATCTTTAATTATTCAATTCTTTTTCTATAACAAATTATTATTCTTCTTCAACAAGTAGTCCAGTTTTTGATTAGGTCTTAATTTTAGATTTCTATTTTTCTTTATATTATGAATCATATAAAATTTATTCATTTTTATATTTTTAGATTTCATTCAAAAATCTTGAAATTAATGGTACTGCTATAAGAGAAATAGATATAATTTCTATTTGATTTTATTGAAAAATTAATGATACTGTAATAGTTATTGTAAATGGAATAATTATAAGGATAGTTTTAGTTTTATATGTTTCCATAAAAGGAAGACAAATAAAGAAATCAAATAAATTACCAATTTAAAGGATAAGTATTATAGCATTGTTAAGATAAAAGTGTGTTGAATTATTATCATAATCACTTTCTGAATATATTATGAAATAAAACTATTAAATGATAATTGGTAAAACTATAATAAGTTATGATAGATTAAACCAAAAAGATTTAATTAAACGAAGATGATTTTGATCTCTAATTGTATATGTTTGTTGGATTTACATAGATAAATACCAAACTAATACAGTTCCAATATTAGTTAAGATACTAAAAAAGATCAATAGTCCAAAATAAATACTATTCAATTTATCATCAAAAAATATTATCTCCCATACCACAAAATTCCATATAAGTAATGGTATTACTATAATATGAGGGTATATATTTAGAAATGAAGCTTATATAAATTTCTCCATTTATTTAAATGAGGATTATTCATTACCCATAAATTGTTTTTAAAGAAAGTATTCAATATAATTATGCATATTATAAGAACGATTTAAGAGATTTAGATTGTCTAAATTGATATATAAAATACATTACAATTAAGGTTGTCTTGATCATCTATTGAAGAACAGTATTTAATTGTAGAATACTCTAATTTCTCTTTGTGCATTTCAAAAATTGTAAATAATATAGGTCCAAAAAGGAAAAAGACTATTAGAGATTGTATTACTATAATCCCAGAATAAGGTAAACTTTCAAGTAGTAAAATAGTAGGAATAGTTATTTTTGACATCAATTCAAATAAGGAATATTGATCTGATGATTTAATATTACGATCAAAAATTCTAATTTAAAGAATTTCAATTATGACTTTGAATAGAAAAAGTAATGCTAATTTTTAAAAATGTGCAACTACTTCAATAAAGATCCAAATATATTTAGAATCCCTTGAAAGTATGATTTATGAAAATCCAATAGTAAATTATTAATACTCCAGCCAATATTACTTTATCATTTATAATAAATGATTAAATTTGGATCAAATTATGCTTCAAAAATATAGCATCTATATTCAAATAAGCCATTCTCTTTTGCAGTATAACAATTAATTAATCTATTAGATCATTGGAAGTGGTCCAGCAGGTCTTTATACAGCTAAACATTTATTTAATGATATTGAGAATATTAATATTCATGTTTTTGAATAGGATATATGTCCTACAGGATTGATAAGATATGGGATGGCTCCAGATCATTAGAGAATTAAAAGAGTAGCAGAAGAACTTTTAACAATTAAATAATATGAATAATGTCATTATTTTGGAGGAGTTTCTATTGTAATTAAGAATTTTTAAAAAAGGGTAAAGATATTAGTATTAATGAATTGGATCAAATGTATTCAGGTGTCTTTTATGCTTTTGGTGCATAGATTGATAAACCATTAAATATTAAAGGAGAGTAATTATAAAATGTATATTCTGCTCGTTAAATTGTTAATTGGTACAATAGTCATCCAGATTATTATGATATTGATATTAATTTTAAGAATAAAAATAATATAGCAATTATAGGGTGTAATTAAATTATTAATTTATAGAAATGGTAATGTAGCTCTTGATATTGCTAGAATATTTGGATTAAATTAAGATGAATTACATAAAACTGATATTAATGAGATATCTATATAAAAATTAAAGAATAATCAAATAAATAATGTAGAATAATTTTATAATAATAGATTATTATATTAGGAAGAAGAGGTCTGGTTTAATCTTAATTTTCATTAAAAGAATTAAGAGAAATGACAAAATTATCATAATTTAGATTTCTATTATATAAACCAGATTTACTTTGGAGTTTAAATGAGGAAAGTCAAACTGAATGTAAAGATTTAGGTATTAATTATGGGAATGTGGTATGATATTAATAATGAATTTAGACAAGAGGGAATAGAAGAAAATTAGAATTTATGAAAAGTTTTGAAATAATTGAAGATGAAGTTACAATGAATGCTATTTTGAAATAATAAAATAATAATGGAAAGATTAATATTATATTACGATTTTTATTGACTCCTCTTGAAATAGAGAAAAAAGATGATAAATTAAATTTGAAATTATAAAATAATTAATTATCAGGGAAACCATTTAATTAAATAGCAATACCATTAAATTAATAAACAATTTTAGAATGTGATATGATTATTAAATCAGTTGGTTATTAGTCTCATAAGTATAAATATTATTGTTATTAATTATATAGTATTGATAATGATTTACCATGGAACCATGAATAAAATATAGTAGACAATTCTGATGGATGTATTAAAAAAGACCATCAGAAATTGAAAACAGGATCATATACTTGTGGTTGGATTAAAACAGGTCCTAAAGGAGTAATTGATTCTACTTTTGCTTCATCTTAAGAAACTATAGTAAATTTTAAGAATCATATGGATGCTGATTTAATTAGAAATGTTAATGATCCATATTAATAAGTGGTAAATTTATTAAGATAGAAATCAATTAATTATATTGATTTTAAAGTTTGGGATAGAATCAATGAATATGAGATTTAATAAGGATAAAAGTAATAGAAACCAAGAATAAAAATAACAAGAAATAAGGACTTCTTATAATTTTTATGATTATTATGTTTGTATATTAACATAAATATATTTAATTCAAAATGTATATGAGATCAATTTTGAAATTGAGATAAGCCTTTTCAGGTATATATTTAATGTGAGTGTTATAAGTCTTAACTAAATATACTAAAGATCATGAATGGATTAAATATGATACATAAACAAAGATTGCTAAAATTGGAATTACAGATTATGCATAAAAAGAATTAGGAGATATAGTTCATGTTGATTTCCAAAAAGTTGGATTTGTATTCAAAACACATTAATCATTGGGAGCAATTGAAAGTGTAAAAGTTGCTGCTGATATTTATGCTCCTGTTGCTGGTGAAATTGTTGGAGTAATTTACTTATTAAATATTAGATTAATGAAGATTTAAAAGATTCTCCTAATTTGATTAATGAGAAGGCAGAAGAAACATGGATATTATAAACTAAAGTGTAAAATGAAGCTGAATTAGATACATTATTAGATAAATCATCATATGATAAGATCATTAATAAATGAGAATAATATTAGAAATACATCATAAATCTAACATAAGTATTCTATAACCATTTAATATATATATTAATCACATTAAATTATTAATTCAAAATATTATCCCTAAATGATTTTCTCTAATCCATCCACAACAATTAATCACTCTCTCATAATCCATAATTGGTTATTCCACAAAATATTTAATAATTCTTTATCCTTAATTATTTTATTCATTTGTTCTCTCTTAATTATCCAAAATTGCTTCAATCAATAATTCATCTTCTGTTAATTATTTACCATTAATCTTAGCCAAATAATAATTTTCCTCTACTTCAGGAAGTTAAGCAATCCTTTTCTTAATTAACTAATAAAATTATTAAATAATAATATTTACTTCTTCAATTCTTTCCAAACCAAGTTATAATGGTCCTTCACTTAATTTTTTATAAAATTCTATTGCTTGATAATACTTTCTAGTTCTTAATAATTTTTTAACAAATTCTATTAATATTTATTTGTCTGCTAAATTCTTAATAATTTCATTTACTATATTATCCTATTCTGGTGTAAATTCAATCTATAATAAATTCAAAATATCCTTCTAATTTATCATCTATCTGATAAAATATTTTAATGCTTATTCTTCTTTCAATTCTGTAACATAAACATATGCTTACAAAGATCTTTTAGATGCTATCAATAATTTAATAATAATGTCACTATTGCTTAGACAATTCCAATCAATCTTACTTGCTAATAATAATTCATAAGCATCTTATTCTTAATGCAATTCCATTAATTCTTCAATTACTAATAATTTCCAATTCTCAATCTCAAAATAATATAACATCATTAGTTTAACAATATTAGGAAATTATTATACTGGATCTTTATCCATTAAAAATATTGCTTAATAAAGTTAAACATATTTCCCTCTTACAATATCTACTTCTTAAATTTCTTAAGTATATTGAATGTAAGTTATTATTAATTCTTATTGATAAATTGTTAATTCTGACATCATTTTTAATAATTATTTTTCAGACTCTTCTTATAACATCTATTGTATTTCTGTCTTACAAAGAATAACTTTCCTTAATAGCTTATTTTTATGTTCATTCAAATATTCAAAAATATATTTCCAATTCTGTATATAAAATTCAAAGTTTCTCAATACACAATTTATGTCATTTATTTTACTAAATTTCTATTATAAATTCTCTAAATCTCTTTATGCAATATTAGAAGGAGGTAATTTATTGATTTCCTTTTTTTTTCTATCTATTTTTTATAAAATAAATTTTATACTTAAAATTGAGTTAAAGAGTTTCACAATTCGATTTGATATCTATTTCTAAAATTGATTTTATTCTATTGCTAAATCAAGTAATTCATTCTGCATCTCATAAATTATATGAGCCACATCTTCAAGTGTTTTCAAGTAAAAATAACCATTTAATGGTGATTAATCCCGCCTATATAGTAATTTGATTAAAATATCTAAACCAATGTCATATTTTAACATTGTAAATAATAACTTCTTTCTTTCCTGTTAATATTCTTAAGGTGATATCACTTCAGGATTTATATTCAATTCAATTGTGATTTTATCCAAAATATCTGGTAAAATCATAAAGTTCATATCAAAGAAGTAATGGTCTTAATTAGCTATCAAGGTATCTTCTTCTACTTTTAAGAGATTAAAGTTCCATCTATGTTATTATTAATTTTAAGGGATTTCTTGATCCATTTATTTTAATTATTTAAAGACTAAAAAAATAACTATTACAATATACAAGTATCCTATTTTAATGAAATAAAAAATGAAATTCGATGAAACACTATATGCAGATGTAGAATATTTGGATGATAAGGGTAATTTTGATTTTAAGAAATTTGCTGATGCTGCATCTGAATCAAAGAAAATATAAAATAAAGATAAAGCTTAAAATAATTTCATACAAATTTAATAAAAATGGGATCAATAAAGATAAGCTATCAAAAATCAAAAAATGGAAATAAAATCTAAACCTGTTAATGAAGTAAATAAAAAGTAAATGGAAATAATAGATGAATTAAAAAAAAGAAAATCCAAATTATAGAACTTAGTCAAAAATTCATAAAATATTGATAATTAAATCAAAGAAACTAGTCATAAAGTTGCTTAAATTAAAAAACAACCTTCTATTTAAAAAGTAGCTTAATAAATTGATAAATTATCTGCAGATCAAGCTTAAATTCGACTCTTTAGATTTGATTAAATGGAAAAAGTATAATTTCAATGAAAATTTATAAGACTTATTATTTTTATCATTAATGTTTTATAACTTTATTTTTTTCTTAATTATTTATCTTAAGACTTGTTAAACTACATTATCTTGTATATTTATTTGGGTTCTCAAAATTAAACTCACAATTAGATCTTCCCTTATTATTATATTTCAATCTATGATGAAACCACAAATTTATATCGAAATTTTTATAGTCTTACAATATCTAAATTCCTTCGAGAGCTTACAAACAATCTATTCTTTCATTTGGGTCTGATTTTAGAAATAACTTAACTAAGTCAAATGGTGAACCACTCTCTTTAATTGTGTATTAACACTATTTATTATAGTAAATGGTTGCTTTTTAATTATCACCTTTGAATAAACTTTCCAACGTTAACAATTAGTAAAAGATACACCCTACACTAAATAAATCTACTTTAAAATCATATTTAGCTTTCTTATTCCAAGCATTAAGTACTTCAGGAGCAGAGAATCCAGCAGTACCACATGTTGGATATTATTCAAGTTAATTACCATTTAAACATGCCAAACCAAAATCAATAATTTTTATTTAGTTATTATGATACATTAAATTGGCTGGTTTAAGATCTCGATGTATAATTCCAGCTGCATGAATAGTTTATAATCCCGTTAAAATTTACTAATAAATTTAAATCTTTATTACTTCCATTATATTTAAAGATTCTTATAATGAAAAGGGCTTTTACTTATATTCTAGAATTTATTTGAGATTGGAACCAGGAATATATTCTGTTACAATATAATAATTGTGATCATCTTTATATATTTCTTATATCTCTAAAATATTCTAAGAATCTTTTAGTTTTTTTAGAATGTCGATTTCATTTTTTATTGTTGGACTTTGATTGTTCTCAACTTAAATACATTTTATAGCCACTAATTTCTATGTAAATCGACAAATTTCTTTCGTAACCTAAATAATAATTTTAAAGTAAACCTATCCAAATGAGCCAGATTAAATAATCTCTTCTTTCTTATAAAACTTATCTATTTTCTCATAACAAACCAATAATCCCATTTTAATCTTCAGATTCAAAATTTCATTAGCGTTTCCAAAAAATTCTTTAATTTGTCCTTAATATGGAAGTTAAAATCCAATAATTTTGTTATCTTTAACTATCCAAAAGAATACTTTATCTAAATTAAGTGCATATCTATATTTAGGATTCTATTGAGTTTGTTTCTATTGGATTAGATAGTATTCTTACTTCGCAAAGTGTTAAACATTGGTTAGTTAATTACAAATAATATTTCCTATTTAGAAAAAAGTGCTTTCTTTCAACAACACATTAATACAAAATCTTAATTTTTGTATCTGATGAATTTTATTATTAAGATCGATGATGAATAGGATGTTTTTACATTTATTAATGTTAATATACAAAGTATTTCAATTTATAATATTTTATAGTGTTTAAGATAAAATTTATACAAAAATGAACTATTGATTTTATTAAATGAGTAAGGTATATATGAATAACATTAAGATTAAACTGAATTTAAATTCATTAATTAATTTTTATCAGGTTTTTCTTTTAAACTTAGCAACAACAAAAATTCATCATTTTCCATTTATGGAACTCGTTGGAAATGCCATTTATAATCACTTGCTGATATGACTAAACCTATTCTTTTTATCATTTCAACATTATTAAGAATCATCTTTTTTGATGCTTATTTAATACATCAACTTAAAGGCTTATATGTTTTTTGTATAAATAATTTCTATATAAGGCTCTAATATCAATGATCTAAAATATATTGTAATAAAAAATTTCTATAAATTCAATACTTTTTATTATAATTAATCATAATTCTTTTTGTATAATTAATATTTAACATATTATTTTACAATTAATTACTCATTATTTAGCAGCATTTGATAATATGCCTCTGAATATTTTAGATCCACCAAAATTAAGTACCTAGATATTATCAATATATATACTGGTGATTATTATTTGCTTGTTTTTTTCCTTTCATTTCTTTATTTATTATTTGCCGGTTTTTGCTCGACAGATTAAGATCTTTCTTTTCTTTCTTCAGGAGTTGGTGGTAAATTCACTGGATTTGGCATAGGAGTAATAAATTAACCAAATTATTCTTTTTTCTTTTTTGTTTTGTTCTAATTATCAGATCTTTTTGCTTTTTCTTTAGTTTCCTTAATTAAATGATTTATAAATACTTTTTAAACTTTTTTATCATTTTCTTTTTAGGCGGCTAAAATAAAGTTTTTATATATCAAAGAATCTCTAACTAGTTTGATTTAGATCAAATTTTAGAAATAACAATCAAGTAGCTATCTTCTTTGTTCTATAAGTTAAATATTAGAATTGACAGATTTCCACCAATATGATCCTGGGAAAGCAGGTAAGTCAGCTTTTAATGTTTCTAGAGTCTCATGTAGCTTTTTAAGTTCTGAATATCGATAATGATATTCAAACTTTTAAAGTGACTTTTAGTATTTAAACCTAAAAATTATAATTGATATTTTACTGAACTCGATATTAGACTAAATCCTCATTTTTCTTGAATTCTGGGACTGTAATGAGGATGTCTATTTCATTATCTAACATAAACTTTTCGATTAAATTCACAAATATATAAAAATAATTTATTTATTTCTTTAGTAAAATTTGTTTTAAATTTCAAGAAATGAATAAATAAATAATATTAATATTGAATTATTCTATTTTCTAAATGAATAATTAATGTAATGAATAAATTATATTAGATACTTAAACTAATAAGTAGTTTGAGTATTATAATTATAAACAAATTTGATTCATTTTTGATATTTTTAATTAGATTCTTCTTGTTATTATTGTAATAACTATTTTAAAAATTTAACTTCCTCTTTTAAACTATTTTTTTCTTATTTCCAGAGTGCTTCCTTTGTTTGATAAGAATTCAAGATTTTAGAGGTTTTTAAATATAATTCTTAGAGATGATTTTAATTTTGTTATTTTGAAAGTGATATTCTTTTGTTTTCAACTGAATGTATTTTATTATCTTTAACTTTTTTTTCATTTTTTTCATCTTGATTTCGAGCAGTACCATTCTCTAATATAAATTAAACTCATACATTTTTTATGACTTTTTTATTGTATATATTATCTTAAGACTTCGTTTAATGATCCAAATACATTCATATGAGTCTATTTTGAATGAGTACTTGTAAAAAAGCCTAGAATTATAAACAAATATACCTGATGCAATTTTATTCATATTATTGGGACTTCTTTAAAGACTTTTGGATGTCATAACATTTTTTTCTTTAGCATTATCATCATCTTATATAAAATCACCTAGTTGAGGAGGTCTCTTCTTTTTATAATCAAGTTTTGTGCTTTATTCCTTTTAAGGTTGATTTATTTAAGGTTAAAGTAGTTAATTTAAAGAATTTCCATTTCTTTTTATGGTATTTTCTTTTACATTTTGATTTTGTTTTAAAACATGAATTAACTCATTTTTTACATTCCCTTAAGGTTTAACATTTAATGATGCTTTATTTATACTATGTCTTAAAAGAGACTCTATTCCTTTTGAAGGACTTGGAATTTTTTATTTTAGTCTATTGTTGATGACATCTTATTAAGCATTACTCATATATTGCTAAGATTTCTAATTGCTTTTAGAGTCTGAGTGTTCATGATTACGTATTTCATGTGAATAAATTGGTGAATTTATAGATAATAGTTTCTGTAAAGCGGTTAATGCTTTAGGTGTTATTTACATAAATAAATATTATTTACTATATTATAAGAATAAAATGATAACGAATAATATTATCATTAAATAATCATTTAAAAATAGTATCATTATGAATTTACTAATCTATTTTTGGTTCACTTTAATTACTTGCTTTATCAATTGATCTTTAAACAGAATGATGATATTTATCATCATTTTCTTCTTGAATGATATCTAAGTTTTCATTATAAGCAATGACTTTTTTAGTAATGAAACCTTGAATTTCCAAATTATCTTATTAATTAATTTAATTGATTTATTATTATTAAGTAGCACAAATTGTTTCAAATTCATTTTCCAATTCTTCATAATCAACTAATGGTTCTTATCTATTAAAATTATTTGAAGGAGAAGTATTTTCTTCTATTAATTCTTCATCTTCAAAACTATCTTCAGCATATAAATTCTAATATTATGATGGTGCACCATCTAAAGGTCCATAACCATTAATTTTATGATCTGAAAACATTACTTTCTATTTATTTAAAGTAGAATTCATATCATTCTAATATTATTATTATTATTATTATTATCTTAATTCTCCTTAAAAAATATGGATTGGAATTGCAATAGTTAATTGATTACAATTTTAAATATTCTATGAATAATTAGCAATTAAACAAAAGTTATAATGATAGATAATTCGATCAGTATATAATGAAGATTGAGGAAATATTGATTTTGGATCATTCTAATCTTATTCTAATTTCAATTTATATTCTAATTGTCTTTTTTATCTACCTTTTACAACAACTACATAAAATAATATATTATTACTATTATGTAATGATTATGCTAAACCAAAATAATTAGATATTCTCAATTTTAAGACAGGATAAAGGATTATCAATTATGATTAAACAGAAAAACTTAAATTCAATAAATTTAAATCAGTTTTAGTATTATCTATCTCAAGATTGATATCTATTACATCACCTATTACAAATCCTTATTTATTGATTTGAAGTGATATTGAAGCACTCTATTAAATATGAATTATTGTACTCCACCATTAAGAAAGCATAATTTCTTTAATTCTCTTTGTTCTCCAACATAGCATATTGATTACATTAATGATGGTGAAGGTAAATGATAAACATGAATTGTTATTTTATGAGATTGTTCTATTTTGTAAAAAGTTTATTGACTTTCATCAGTAAAGTAAATTGACAAAATATACATCAATCTACATTACAAAGTTTTGTAATAATTGATACAAAAACTTGGAATTTCTAATGGAGTTTCTATTTCAAAATGTCTTTTTTATATTCCTTATGTAAGATGACTTTAAGATCAATATAACAATTACGATCCAAAATTGCAAAGCCATTTATGTTTACTATAAAAAATGTCCTTGAATCTAAAACATTAATTTTATTTATCAAATTGATTAACCTTCTATACACCAATTAACTAAATGAGAAAACAAATATTACTTTTAGAAATAACATATTACACTCAAGATCAGTAGATTTTGCTTTTAAATAGATTACACCTTTGATCACATCACCTGCTCTATAATTAGCCTTATCAACTTTAAGAGACACTTATATTTAATCATTATCGAGTTTCGTAATCATTAAGTATTATTAAATTTTATTATAGCAATTTACATTATAGAAAATATACATTCATATGTCAATAAATATTTACATAATATTTTGGTACTTCAAATTAAATGTCAAATAATAGTTTTTTATCAACTACATACATTTATTCTCTTTTTGGAGATTTAAATACTAATTAATTCACATATTTCACTACTACATTTTTAGATTCATTATCCTATTAAGAAACACTTGATTAAGTTTAAACTTTTTAATATATTATATTAATTTACCTTGTATTTCATTTTTATTCTATTCTAAATGGGAATAATCTGATGATGCGTTTTTTAATTAGAAAGAACTATTTAAATGATCTATTTATTTAACTTCCTCTTTTTCTAAATAAGGTTCTTATCCATCCTTCTAAAATCTCAATACTCCCTTAAATTTAGTTATCTCTCCTTACTTAATTATATAATTTAATGTACTTCATCTATTCCATTCTCAAATTAAGAATCTTATTGTGACATACCAAAATTAGTTGGTGTTTCTGGCAATAAAATATCAGATTAAATTTATTCATAATTTTATTAATTTTTTTATTGATTATCTAAATCAGCTAAAATACTGCTTTCATCAATATTCTAAGAATTTTTCATCTCAACCTAACTTATTATTTATTATTATTCAAAACCAACACTTTATTAATTTTCTTATTATACTGATGTTTTTGTATTTTATTTTGATTCACTAACTATTAAATCATTAATATCAAATAAATTACTTTATGAACAACTTAAGCTTAATGCTTTATCTATTGAATGTTCTTAAATATCATTAATTTTATCTAATGAAAGTGATTTATTAAGTTCTATTTATTAATCTTCATTGTTATTAAATATTATATCATTTTATTCTCTATTTTCAAATTGTTATTATTATTTTTATTCCTCATTTTATTATTATTATGAATTATCTTCATTATTTAATACTTCTTTACACTCATCACCTTCTTAAGGTTTAATCAATTAAGAAAAATTGAAAGAATGTAAAGCACCTGATGCAAATTCACATCCTAAAGCTCCTGGTCCTCCCCAATTAAATTTAGGTTCTAATACAACAACTCTAGGTGATTTTTTAGTTAATGGCGAAAATATGCATAACTTAATTATTATTATTATTATGATTTACTTCAATTAATTATTTAGAATATGCTTATCCTGTTACTATATCTGAGAATTCATCTATAGTTTAATACCTATGAGATTTAACACCTAATAGATAATCTTAATTGCTTTTAAGTCCACTTGATTCTGCAGGACTGCCCTTCAATACTTTTGTAATATGTAGAATCAAAGGATTTATTGATTCGTATCTGATGTAAAGACCCAATTTAATTGTTGATCGTGGCTCAGAAATATAAATTTTTCTTGTCTCCAAAGAAAATATATTCAAAATAGACAATTCTATAGGTTCATCACTTTCAAGTAATTTAAGAGCATTCACTTACGAATCAGATTTTATCTGGACTATATAATCTAGAAAGATTTCCAAATCTAAAATAATCTTAAACAATTATACTGAGGTTTGATCCAAATGAATTTGGTTCAATAGATATGATTCTGTATCCATAGCCATTACCAATTTATGAGGAATTATTGCCCATTTATAATATTATATATTATATATATTATTATATATATATATGTCATAAGGCACACGCAAATACATTAACTATGCCTATAATTGCTTCAGTTTCATGTTTAATGGTGAGTGATCCATCAGTATCATTATCCCAATAACAAGATCCTGATATGTTGAGACCACACTCAGCTTTCTACATTAAGAGGCAGTTAACAATGAATTTGAAATTTTTGTTATGAGTTGTTAATTGTTTCAATATTGAATCACATATTTTATTACTTCTAGCTTGAGCATCATTATGATCGTATGTTAATTTATCTAATTCTCTTTGTAAAGTAGATTAAACAAATTTCTAAACTTCATTTTTTAGAGGACCATTAAAACTAACTACATTTCCTAATTAATCCATTTATATATTTTTAATTTAAATTATATTAATATATAATCAGTATGTTGATTTAATTTAGAACTTATATACACTTCCTAAATTTTTTTTTTTGTTAAATAACTATGAATTAGAAATAGGAGTGAAATCTAATCTAACATTATGTATATTTTCAACATTTGTTTGATGATGATCAATTTTTGTCGTTTTAGATGAAGAAAATTAAGGTTTATTGATATCAATTGTTGGTTAGACATTAATGGATAGTTTTTTGAGTTTGTTTTACATGATCTTAGCATATGTTAATGAATTAAAATTAGATTAACTATGAGATCTAGTTTAACCTTAAGTTTTAATACTGGATCTGAGACTAAATTACAAGTCCTTACTTTTAAAATCGTTTTCAGATTAAATTTGCATTCTGGTTCTTTAATTCCTAGTTTCTGATCTTATAAGATTCATTTCATTTACATATGGATCACTTCTAAAAGGAACTAAAAAGGAGTATTTTTCAGCTTGGATTGTCTCAATATTTTCTATACTCTACTTAAGATTTTCAATTTCATAATAATAAATAGCCTTTTATGCTTATTCAACAGTTTTTTCCATTTTCATTCTTAATTTTTCAATTTATTATTCAACTTTTATTTTCTTATAATATGATGATTTAATTTAATCTAAATCAAATTAATAAGTTTAATCTCCAGTTCTTTCTGTTAAATTTGGATTTTAGTTAGTTCTTTATCCAAGATGACTCTATATCTAAAATTTGACATTTTCATATTTAAGGAAATCATCAATTGATGAATAAATTTAAAAATAGTCTAATAATTATCTATATTTAATTCTATAATAAGTAGAATCTGTTTTGGCTTTGGCAGTAGTAATTCTATAGTTGAGTTATTTGAAATGTTCATAATCTCCAAAAAACTATCCAGAATTGATAATAGCCATAATACTAGGTTTAGGAACAAAATTATGATGATTAGATATTTAATCTTTATTAGGAGTTGACCATTAAATAACTTCAATTTCTCCATTAATTACTAAATATATATATTCATCAGGTTTCCCTTTTTAAAAAACAAATTATCCAACTTTCTTATTTTAGACTTCAAGACTTTATAAAAGTACTAATTGATTTTATCGTTGCCAAACACTAAAGATAGGTATTTTAGTGATAAATGCTATTTTTTGATTTGTCAATTCATGTTAGAAAGCACCAAGAATTCTTTAATATAGATCATAAGTAATGACAGCTAGAATGACTTCAGTTTTAGCAGCAACAGTAGCTGTTCTAGTAACTTTTTATTCAATTGCTATTTCTCCAAATTGATCCCCTTCTATTTTAGTTGCAACTTATGTATAATCAGAAAATACATATTTAACCCATTCTTCAAAAGAACTAATATATAAATAAGTTATACTTAAATTTTTATTTCTTTTGAGGTTGATTTTCTGAAGTATTTTTAGTTTTAGGGATTAAGATTACTAATTCACCTTGAAGGACAAAATACATTCTTCTACCAGGATCACCATGTCTGAAGATTATTTTGGTACTATCATACCATTCTAGAGTCATTTCTCTAAATAGAGATTTACAACTTTCATGATCTAATTTCTCTTTGAATTTACTAATCTAATTTATAGTTCTTGTACCTATAATAAGGGAAACTTTCTTCAAAATAGGTTTTAACTGCTTCTAATTATTCATCTGTTCTATTTTATGAGTATTATTTCAAAATGTAAATAGTTCTTTATAACTATATTGTTTTAGTATGTGAACTATCTCTCTGCCAAAGAGTAGCCACTTTCTCTAAAATACTCATATTTCGACGTTCATGATCTTCTTTTTATTTGGCCGATATTACCATTTATTAGAATGTATTCGTAACTCCTTTTAATTTTGTGCTATTTTTCATATAAAATTTAATTATGTTTTTAACTAGATTCAGAAATCTATGCAAGTTCTCATCTGTAATAGATCCTTATTAAGTGTTGGGAGTTGATAAATTTACTCCATTTCCAGATATCAAGAAGGCTTATTATAAAATGGCAGCTTAATATCATCCAGATATTAATAAAACACCTGTGTTAAGATCATTTAATATATATAGTCTGCCTAAAAACAATTCATATTAATTAAAGAATCTTTTGAGAAGATTAAAGTGATGAAAGGAGAGGCTGTCTAAATGAATTCAGAAGGTTCTGTTAAAAAAGAAAATGAATATTAATCTGTTCGTAAGAATTATAAAGATTATGATGAAAACTTTTCAGAATCTAATGAACAAAAAGATTATAAAGAATTCTATCATTAAGCTGAAGATTTGAAAGGACAAGAATATGATCATCTTAAAAAGTCTTTTTAAACTATTCATGAAGTCAAAGATATCAAATTCAAACCAATTGATATGAAAATGCCTGATCCATCTAAAAGATTTCATTTAGGTCAGGTTATGCATTTAAAGGTTTTCTCAGATGGTTCCAATCTATATATTATCACAATCTGTGTTGGTATGTTTATACTCTTTTTTGTTATGTAACATTCTCATTATTATTATTTTTTAGTAATTCAGTATTTCAAATGTAAACTAAAAGAAAGACTAATTCCTAATTATACAATTTATTGAATTAGTAAATTATCAAAGAAGATTTAGAGGAAGAGTAACTCTTACAATAAGTCACTACTTAAATAGAAAAAACATAAGAATTTAAATAATTTAAACAAGAATAACTATAGAAATAAGAGAAATCAACTCAAAGGAGAAGGTAAATTGTCCCTGAAATCCAAACTTTTGTATCAGCAACTGATCTTAAAGATAGTGTGTTATGAAATTAAATATATATAAAATATTAAATTTATCTCATATTGTTATCCGTTTATGATCAAGTATTCCATTGGAATGCTGAACTAATGCTAAATTTAGAATATAGGTTTTGAATTAATTAGATTATTTAATTAGAAAACTAAATTTTGAATAAAATAAAGTATTATTTTATCAATAAGTAAATGCTTCTCAACAATAATAAGTACTTGTAACTGATAGTAAATTTAAATTAATAAATATAAATATTGAATTATGAAAGATAGTTATTAATTTATTATAGATCTTAAGTTACTAATTGCAAAAAAAATATTCTCATAAATTAATTAGTAATCCAATTATAAGAGCAATATACATTTAAATCTTTTGGAAGCAGAGAAGAATGTAGTCTGTATGAAGTGTCTATCAAAAAGAAACAAATAGAATTATATGATCTTTATGGTGAATACTATTAAAACTATCGATCAGATAAAGTGTTTAAAAAATTCAAACTAACTATTCACCTTAGTCAAAATGAAAAATGTAATAAGTTTAGATTAAACTATTTTAAAGTAATAGAAAGTAGGATAAGAAATATTTTGAATAAACAAAAATATTGCCGTTACATTAATTGTTAGAGTTAAAAAGTAAGTTCAAAGGCAAAAGATGTGGGTATATTTGAGAGTGAAGATGGTTTTAATTATATCAAATGTTATTGGATATATAAGTTAAATAAACAATTATTAAAATATTCGTTGAATGTTTAAATTCAAATTAAATAAATATTAAATAAAAAAAAATGTTCAGACATAGGGATTTAAATACATTTTTATCTAATTACTAGCAGTTTGATAGATAAAACAAGAAACCCTTTGAATATTTGAATCTGTCATATCATCAATAATTTGAACATTCGCCAATAAGAAAATAGACATATACTTCAAAACCTAATGACATTCAATATAAGAGTCTTCAAGAACCTTCATTTTTAAGATAAAGCTTATTACCTAATTATGAACCGACAAAGTGCTCTAGTTAAAGAAATGGAATCATCAAAGCTTATGCTGCTAATACAAATTAAGGGATTGTTAGAGATTATAATGAAGATAGAGTCTCTATAATATTAAATATAATAAAACCTTAAAGTAGAAATACAGAATAATGGCCTAAATGTTCATTTTTTGGAGTTTATGATGGACATGGGGGAGCATTGTGTGCAGATTATTTGAGGGATAATTTACATTAATTTGTAGTTAAAGAACCAGATTTCCCATGGAACCCAGTTGGTGCTATTACTAAAGGATTTGAAGCAGCAGAAAAATCATTTTTATAAATTGCTTAAGAATCCTATAATAAGGGAATACCTGAAAGAAGTGGATCTTGTGCAGTTGTAGTATTAATTATAGGAGATAATTGTTATGTGGCAAATGTTGGAGATAGTAGAGCAGTGTTAAGTGCTGCATCTGGAAGGAAAGCTATAGCATTATCTCATGATCATAAACCTGAATTAGAATAAGATAGAATTGTAAAAGGTGGAGGATCTGTTTATTAAACACATGGAATTAATGAAGAAGGCATACAGATTTTAGGACCTGTAAGAGTAAATCCAGGTAGATTATCAGTATCAAGAACATTTGGAGATATAGAAGCTAAATTTGAAAGGTTTGGTGGAAATCCAAAAGTTGTTATTGCTGAACCTGAAATTAAATAATTTAAAATAACAAATGAACATGATTTTATTGTTTTAGGAAGTAATATTATTAAATATTATCTAAAGGTGATGGAATATTTGATAAATTAAGTTCTTCTGATGTAATGAATATAATATGGAAAGATATCTTAAATTGTCAAGTAGGAAATAATTTACATAATGTATTATCTACTTCAGTAGAATCTGTACTTAGAGAAAGTATATAAAGAAAGAGCACAGACAATGTGACTTTGTTGATAATTGCATTTTCTGTGGCATCTTTAAAAGAAGAAGAACTTAGAATAAAGACATCATCATCAATTGAAAAATTAGTAAAGGTACCATTGACAAATAATATTCCAAGTATGAGAATGAGGTATAAATTTAATCTATTTATTTAGTTATTCTAAAAAAACAAATGATGAAAACAATCCATTCTTACTTAATACTTAGAAAATGAATTAAAATTAGAAGTTGAAAGTAGAAGAAACAACAAGATATAAACCTAGTTATATAAATTGATTATAAGGATTAGAATAATTAATTATTTTTATTTCAATTTATCAAGTTCTTTTAACTTTTTAACTGTATGGTCTTTAAGTGTTTGTTTATGTTACTTCTTCATCAATGCCAGCTTCAATCAATTTAAACTTCAAAGTTTTAATTTATTGTTCCAATAATTAATTTTTTGTTTATAATATTTCTATTTAAGTAACTAAATCTGATTGACGATGTTATTCAAATCTCGACAAATTTTATTTATTATAATTTTATCCCTTTATTATTTTACCCTTTTTTGGAAATCTATTTGTGATATACCCATTTACTAAATCAACAGATTAATTTAGTGGTTACAGATTGGCTTCATCTTATAAAATTGCACTATTCTTTCTTGTATAAACTCAAAAATGTACTTCTTATTAATGACTTCTTCGTCTTTGTTCATACTATTACATAGAATTAGCTCTCGTTTATGTTTTCAGTAATGATTCGTACTATGATATCTATTTAGCTAATTTTGTTTCCAAACTCTTTTTTCTTTCTAGAACTTAATTCAAATGTGTTAAAAGATGCATATTTTCTTAAGTTTTTAAATAGATTTCTTAATCTCTCCATAATAATAGTTTTTTAAATTTTTTATCATTTTCTTAGGAAGATTTTACTAAGAATTGATTTTGTCTGCATAATTCATTAGTTATTTCCCCTGTAAAATGTTTTTGATATAATTATTTTAATTATTAAGGCCAATCCTAAATTTATATATATATAAATTGAATACAGTTTCTCTAAATTCATGAATCATTGAAGTAATATCTTTGATAAATAATTTGATGGCTATTTCTGTTTTTTTATCTTATTCAGTAATATTTTCTGGATTTCTAATATCATTCTTTTCATTTTTACTTATATATTTTTGGTACATTTATTTCATAAAATCTACCCATTCCTAAATTAATAGATAAGTATACTTTTTCTTTTTTCTCATGATAACAATTATATATATCCATAGTAATTTATTTTGATAAATCTTAATATTTTTTACAATTCTATTTTAATTTATCAATATCTTCATTCATAACTTTCATTTAATTAATCATTCTCTTATCTTTTTCTTCATATTATTTTAATTTAGTTGATAATTCATTAATTTCATCTTCTAATTTTGGTATACTTTCTAATAATTCTCTAATTTTTTTATCTTTTGGTTCCATTTCAGTTTGCATTTCATATGTTTTAAAACTAAGTACTAATTTTGATTTTTATAATCCTCCTATATATTTTTAATATTATTTAATCTAATCATTACAATGTGATAATTCTTATTCATGTAAATTTATTTTTTCCATTAATTCTTTATTTTAACTTTATAATTCTTAAATAAATTTTTCAGATTCTTTTTATTTTAAAATTTCTAATTCTAATTGTTATTAAACAACATCAATTTCTTTACAATTAAATTTCTCAGATTTATACATCATTAATTACTTATCTTTTGATGAAATTTCTTTATATAAATCATCAATTTTTTATTTAAATTGTTATTTAGTATTTTCTATATATTCATCTTAGATTTCATCATCTTAAATAATTGATTAATAATTATTTTGTAATGTTTTAATATCATTTTTATTTGAAATGATTGCATCATATAACAATTTTAAATCAGATTGAAATTTCTATTTAATCTCTTTAATTTATTTTTAACAATCATATTCTAATTCTTTCAAGTTTTATTAAAATTTCTATCTTTCTTCAATTAATATTTATTCTAATTATAGATATTTTTCATTCTCAATCATTATTTTATTTTCATAAAGAGTTTCTAATTCTTAAACTGCTTTGAATTGATTATTTTCAATATTTCTAAATAAATTAAAATGTTATTTTTCTTATTGAGTCTTTTCAATCTTAAGTTCTTAATATCTTAAATCTCTAAATTCAATCTCTTCATTAAATTTAGATTCAAATTCAGATTACTACATTAATATTAATAATTTTAATATAAAATATTTCAATATTATAACTTCACTTTCCAAATAATGTGCTTCTGATAATTGGTAATGAATCTTAAAATGTTTATTCTGTTCGAACATCTAATGTGTTCTTACAAACAATCAAACCATCTTTGTTAGTCATCAATATTCCACCAAAACATTTTTTATCATTTTCAGTTTTTGATATCACCTAAAATATATATATATATTAATTACTTCTGATGCTGATTCTTGTAATGAATAATCTTAAACACTTTTAATTGAATTATCAATAAGTGTTCTTTCATCTAAACATTTCTCTTCATCAATCTCAATTTTAACTTCAAATTCTAATCCATTTAATTCTTTTCTTAAAATTTCTTAGAATTCAGAAATAGCATCATCTATTACATTTCTTACATGTCTTATGTCACGATGCAAACATCTTTAATTATATAAAACAAATAATTACCTTACTACAACTTCATGTTCAAATAATTTAATTAATCCTTGAACCATTAAATTTTTCAATAATTCTTCATAAAATTTTTCATCTTATCTAATCATTTTATAAATTTGATATTATGACTATATTAATATGCATATGTACATCAGAGAAAATCTTTGTTAATGCTTAGTTTCTAGCATTCATCAATCTCATTCTTGCCCCATTAACAAGAGCACTATGTTTAATTCTTTCCTATTAAGCCTTCTTCTTAAATTTATTATTAATTTCTTCCTATATGTTCGATTTCTCTTTTTCCACAATTTGCTTTTTCTCTTTCTCAAATTATTTAAATGCCTTGACTTCAATTTCAAAACATTTCTCTCTCGCCTCCTAAAGCACAAATTCAGCCAAAGATATTTAATCTTACATCATTAATAATAAATATTTATTTCTTGTATATTATTAAATCCATTAATCTCAAAGAGATTCTAAATACTAATTATTCATAAGCAAATATATATATATATATAATCTAAATCAACAAAACAAAAAGTTAGGATCAATATTATACTTTTCAGTGAATCTTTATAGCCATTTATTTAATGAAATTGTTGGTACAACCAACATCTATTAATTTTTTTCATTATAATATATTTATTTAGGATAATCTTATAGAAATCTATCTAAATGTTAAGCAATTGCCATAAAGTAATATCCTTGTTTCTCTGGTAACATAAGAATCATTTATTACAAATTTTGATCAATCTATTAAAGTTGAATTACTATTTTTATTTAAGCTTGTTTATTTGTATGAGGATTAAGACTAAAACTAGTTGAAAATATATCAGATGGTCTAGCATTAGCAATTGCTCCTAAAAATTCTAATTGAGTATAAGGAGGATAAGAATAATATAAACAAGCAGCAATTCCTTCATCTAAGGGTTACATTAAGAAGAATGCTATTGAAGTTATAATTGCAGGATTATTCACATCAACTACAAAGCTATTGTTAATTTAAGTGAATTAAGTAATTGCTAATTGTCCTGGTATCATTAAGGCAAATGGTGTTATTATTGGTTATGAAAACATATTTATGTGAAATTATTATTAATAATATATAATTGTAATTTATATATTATGAAAATTACAAGAATATTCTAGAATTCAATAAGTCCATTCTGATATTTTCTAATCTTAAAATATCCTATTTTCATTTTTGTCATTTGTTTAAACACTAAAATATTAAATTTACTTTGGACTGTTTTATAATTACCATGCTGATGATTATTATTTATTAATAAACTATTTATGTTTTTTATTCTTCTTTTCTTTTTCAAATCTCTTAATAATTACTTAAGCTACTTAAATCTTTTCTAAATTTATAGAAAATAATTCATTTATTGCATTATTATCTTAATTTGATAAGAATTTATAGAAATCTTCAAAATTTATTAAGTTTTCATCATGTTTACTATATTCTTTTGTGAGTAAAAAATAACAATAATGATCGATTTTAAGATTTTTGTTCTTAAAAAATGCGAAATATACATTAAAGTCAATTTAGCAATGTAATTATTATTTTATCTATTATAATTCCATTAGTTTTATGCAATAAAATTATAAAAGTTCAAAAACTCTTGCATTTATTTGTATTAAACCTTTGATTTTATATTCAACTTTTCTGAAAGTAATTTCTTATCTTAAAATAGGATTATCTATAGATATAATCATATCAAAAAAACTAATAATATTAATTATATTGTACTCTGAAAAGTTTAGATTGCCATCAAGATCGCTATCAAATACTTTATATATCATTGCTATTCCTTGTACAGACAAAGTTGGAAACTGATCTTAAAGTTGATTAATATTAAGTAACATTGAATTATTAGTCAATGCACTCCAATAACTGTATGACTCAAAATTGTCAAGAGAACATAATGAATGTTTTAAGTTTTCAGCTTCTTAACCAATTTAACTAAGAACATTGAAATATTAATCCAAAGTGATCATATAATAGTTTTAATATTAATTTGTTATATATTGTAGAATGAATTCAAATTAATCAGATCAATATTCTTCTTCTTCTTCATAATTATCATATTCACTATGACAGCAACTATGAATAAAAGGTCCATATTCAGATATTAGATCATTCATATTATACTCTGCTTCTGTAAATTCCATTTGATCCATACCAACATATTCATAAGCATATACATATGCCTTTTTCCTAAACATCTTAATGAAATCTTCTTAATATGATTACATATATTTTTTAAATCCATTAGAATTTCCTAAAAATCCAACAATATTTTCATGATCAATATGTTAAACACTTGTATGTGTTCTGTAATGAGTATCATGACCAAGAAATTAATATAGATCATCTTTTCTAATTAATAAAGATTGAGATTCAGGCATTTCAAAACAATTACCTCTCAATTAAATTTGATAAGAGATATATTCATTGGGTAAGTAATCTTAAAAAGAGCATAATTTATATTGTTTATTTAGAATATTAGTAATACTCCAACCACTCTAATTTATAATCATGTAACTAGGTTAAAAAAAATGTAATCTTGGAAATGGTATCAAATTTAAAGCCAATTTTTTCATTCCACCATTTATAAATCCTGGAAATCTATATGAAGCAGTTGTTTAAATTAAACTCTCTGCAATAATTTTGTTATAATTATCATAATTTGAATCTAAATTATTGTTATTGCATATATATTATAATGCAACATTATCAAAAACTGTCACTATATCTACAGTTTCAATCATTTAATGCAGAATTAATACTGTATTATATATTTCTAAATAATTATGTATAACTCCTTGTGAAAATACAGGATTGCAATGAACTATCTTAGTTAAATCCTTTTCCCGAAAGTATTATATTAAATTACTTGCCATACCCGAACCACTTCCACCTCCTGTTGAAAAGAACATCATAATTCCTTAGAGATTGCCTGATTATTCAAAATATCTATTTAAAACATGTTTGCATTTATCCATTAGTTCAGCTCCTTCTGTATACTTTCCAATTGCAAAAAGATTACCACTTCCACAATTCATTGAAAAACAGCAATTAGGATCTATAATCACATCCTTCTATAGTAATAGTTTATCAATTTAGGCTATTCATATAACATATTAATACATGATTCTAAGTCTAAAAATAAGCATCTTGGAATAAATTGCTATCGAGAATTTTCATTGTAGAAAACATTGATTTTCTTGTTATATCTATCTTAATTAATTATTTCTTGATGATTATTTAAACAATGATCATAATTTAATTGTTTAATGAATTCTAATCCTATATTAATTCCACTCTATCCAATTCCTATAATAATAATTTCTTGCATGTTAATAAATATAAACTTTATTTTACATTTAAATGTTTAATATATAAATCAAATTAAATCTATATTCAATGATCAATTCAAATAGATCACTATCTTTTTGTAGCCATTGTTTAAGAAAAATGAATTAAGTTTTTCAATTAAGTTAATTTCTTTTGTTAATTACATGTCATCTTAATCATTTCTGGCATCTCAGTAATTATTAAGTATTTATCAGCATTCTTAAATTATTAATCAAATTTATACTTTTATTATTGATTCCAATACAGAACCAATTTAATCCTTAAAACCCTTCTTCTTTTTATAACAATCCTTAAATTATCTACAAAATGCTTCTTAATTTGTAATCTTATCTTAAATTATATACAAAAAATGAATATTTCTTTATAATTTAAGTTTCAATCTTATTTCCAATTTTATTTAAATTATTTCACAATCTGATGCATTTAACTAATAAAATCAACTTATTACAATTATTTAATTCAATTTACTCTCATAATCTTATAATGAACATTATAAAATATATCTAATTTAGTCTTCTTTAATATTTATAATATTGTATTATAAATTTAAATCTTCCATGTTGCAAAATTAATTTTCAAAAGTATTCAAACAACCAATAACTTTTATAACGAATTACAAAAAGAAATCACTTGGTTTTCTAACAATATACACTACAATAGACTATAGTAATAAGTTATTCTAATTACATCTTAGTTTTCAGGACATTTCTTATCCTAATTCAAAGCCTAATTAATTTTTATCACTTAATCATCAGCCACTCTTTGAGTATCAAATATAGCTGAAATCTCATTACTATTAAAAGGATAAGATTTATATAAATTTTTTATGGATTTACAAAGAATTTAAAGGAAAAATACATTTGTATGTCTCAATAAATCTTAATTTAAATCCTCATTAACAAATTATTTACGATGAATAATTTAATCAAATCTATTACCATTTTTTTATTATAAAGCCTAAGATTTTTTATTTTCAGACATAAGAATTTATTAATCAAACTTTGTATTAATTTCTAAATATTTTTAATTTCTAATAGAATAATAAGGTTCATAATTCTGATCATACACTTTTTGTTTCTAAACCAAAATGCATATCTATTTAGAACATCTTTTAAAACAGTTAAATTATTCTTAAAGTATACTCAATTAAAAGAACTTTTTATGTTATTATTAATTTAAAAAACCGTTTTAATTTTCAACATTTCTTAACTAGCTTTGAAGTGGTAAAATTTCCTCATTTATAGGAATTATCTTTTACTTTATTTCATTTTTTTATGATTCAAGTTGATTTATTTCTTAAACAAGTTTCTCTACAATTATTTTTTGAGAATTAATACAATCCTTCATTTTTTCTGATAATAATGAAATTTTAGTGGTATTTTCCAATTCTATTCCAATTTAAGGATAATATAATTAACCATTATACGCACTTAATTAATTATTTTCAATTCTTATTTAGATCAAAAAATCAATTTAACAATTCATCAATTCAAAATAATCAAAAAGTGGTTTAAAGGCTTTCTAATTATTTTCTTTATTATTTATAGATTCTAATTAAGAATGTAATCGTATTAGTTCACTTATTTAATATTATTAAGATTCATTTTCACTTTCTCCATATAGTTTTGCTTTTACTGATTTGAATCTTGACTAAAATTTTGGGTAAGTTTTTTAAATTTCTACATTATATAGAGTTGGAAGAGAATTCAAATTATTTTAATTTTCTTATTGATTCCACTTAGTAATTGATTTTGAATTTCTTTCTTACACTTTTAAAGTAGGTCTATCTTTTGTCTGAGATTTTTTTTCTAGCATAAAAATTTTTAATAATTCTTAAAATAAATGTAATAATTCATTATTGATTAAATAAAATAAAAATTTTATATATATAATCAACATAATCATGACATTGACTCTCTTTTGGACGATTATTAATTATGAAAATTTTTACTTAACCTTGGTTTCTATTTATATACCTTGGCCTATTCCTTAATATATATAAGTTTTTCTGGTTCTCCTTAATTATATCTTGTAAATTATAGAGAACTTTCTGCTAATTTTATCTAGATATATATTTTTTGATTTACTTCAAAATTTATTTTCTATAATAATGATTAAGTAAATTAAAACAAAGGAGATTATTCTTCTAAATTCTTTTTTAGAAAACTTTATAATTTAAGTAATTTTCCAAAATCAAGTGACATTTTTAAATTGTGAATTATTAATTTGCAAGCATCCTTAAATTTCCAAGGAATTTATCCACAATTTTAATCAAAGTTAGGTATATCAATAATTGGTTGAATTGTATCTATAAATTAATTATGATATTACCTGCAAATAATAATTATCCACTTTCTAATATATTAGAGAACTAATAATTAACTTAAACATTTTGAAAATATCCATTAATATTTATTACACAAAATTCTCCATCTCCCTAATTTTTCTCTTTGTAATCAATTAATAAATGTTCTTCATTTGATTACAATAAGAAATCATCTTAAATATCTGGCATCTTTAAATTTATTTTTTGTTTTTTTAAATCTAAGTTTGCTTCATCAAATGTTAATATTATCAGATTTGATCCTATTGATGATTCAGGTATTATAAATTATGAATTTTCAATTGAAATTTTATAGTTAAAACTGTCTTTTTCCTTGATAAAATCTTCTTCTTATTTAATTTATAATTATAAATCAAAATCCTTTTGATATCTATCCTTCAATTCATTTAAGTTTTTTTATAAGATTTCCTCAATTATATGTTTGAAAGCTTCTAATTCTTTGAGATATCTTGAAATTAAATAGAATTTAACATTCTTTATAATTATTACATTATTTTCTAATTTAAAAATAAACAGCTATTAATCATCAATAGGTTCTATTAAATTTTAATAAAGTTATTATTCATTATTATTATTTTATGGTTTCATCTCAATTTAAGATAATGATAATTCTAAATTAGTTTAGTTTTTTTTGCTCATTTAAATTTGATGAAATTAAAACAAAAAAAAATCTTATTCTTATGCTTATAAAATAATAATTAAGGAATCTATAAATAATTCAATTGCATATTTATAAGATTTTTTCTAATTTTTAATATTTTTAACAAATAAATTTATTCCAACAGACTTTTCTCTTTATTCATTTATAAATAACTCTTATTAAAAAATAAACTTTAATAAATGTTATTTCAAAGATATTGATTCTTCAATATTAATTAAGTAGAAACTATTAATAGCTATTAATAAATCTTAAATTTTTTATTAAGAAAGTATGATTTTAGCTTATTCAATTTAGAATTTTACCAAAGGATATGAATTCTAAAATGATAAATTAATATGTAATGCATATGAAGCTCTTTAAGTTCCTGTATCTTTACCAGGCATCACTAATAGATTTTCTTTTTATTTTCCCATAATACTGATTTAAATTTCATTAACTGATAAACTAAGTTCTTCTTTTTATTTAATTACATTAATAATTTTGATATCAATTTAAGATACCTAATTAAAATTAAATATAATGAAATCACATCTAATTATTTAATCTTCCTCATAAGAATTAACTGATTATCTATTTTTCTATAATGAAACACCTGAATTTGTGCTTGGATAGAAGCTTTAAAATGTTCTTTTTTAAAGATTATTTCCTCTAACTCTTCCCATCAAATGCAATTAAATGAATGCTCTTAATTAAATTAATTTAAAGAAGGTTTCATTAGATTTTATATAGATATTTTAAATCAAAGCACAAACAATTACATCATTGAGTAGTTTTAATGGATTTTATTTTAATTGTAACTTTTCTTTTTCTTACTTAATAAGATCTTTATTAATTAAATTAAATGCATTTTCTTAAACATTTTTAATAGTAAAAATATTTTTGAGTATAGTTATAAGATTATAAGTTGAAAATTAATTACTAAATATAGCTTTTATATTATCTATTGCAAAAAAGATTTTTGTTTTAGAGTGTTTTTCCTTGAAAAAATCATCTATTACACAGGAGAGCAAATGAGATCTTAAGGGTTTATGACAATAATATAACAAATAAATAGGGTCTTAATAATAATTATTACAAGATATTTGATAAGATTATTACATATGATCTTTATCATCATATTGTATAAATTCTTAATTGAACATTTCAATTTCTTTATTTCTGCAATAAAATACAAATTTATCATCAAGTTTATCTCCTAACATTTGGGATTCTTGGACTATTAATGATGGTTGGAATAAAATATTGTTTATATCAGGATTATTTTCATTAATTTTATCTTATGAATATGGCTAATATTATTTTTTTGGGCCCATTTCTTTAAGAGATTTATTTCTTTCTAATTGAGTATGAGTATTTGTATTGGTATGTGCATGTTTATCTTTATCCAATTTATTAATACTGCTTTGACGAGATCCATCACCGCATTATGGAGTTTTTTAACAATGAATAGCAATAGTGTCTTTAAAATATCCTTTATCATGAGTAATGATAAATAATGGTATTTCAATTAGTGTAATATAAATTGTACTTTTTGTGGATTTTGGTGTACTAGCAAATTAAATTCTAATTCCATCAATTCTTTTTTTTTCCTTTAATGATTACCAGGAATTAGATTTCATATTAACAGATTCTTTCAACTTTCTTTCCTTTTATCTTTGAATTATCAATTAATTTTCGAATTCGAACAATGTAAACAAATTAATTTCATTATCAATTTTTGGCACTACACCAAAAACAATATTTTTTAATTAAAGACTCTTCCTATATTTGATTATGCAATGTTTACAATCCTTTTTTTATTTTTTATGATCATTTAATAGCAATTGCAATTCTGCCTTTATTAAGCTATCTTTTGTCATTGAATATCTGACTTCAGAGTATTATTTTTGATGTTAACTTTCTAATTTCTTATTCAATATCATTAAAAGCTCTATAAAGCAAATCTGAGAATCATTTATTTATAAATCTAATGATGGAAATTAAATATATAATTTTCTATCTGTTAATAAAGGATGATTTTAGATTAAGGAGTCTAATTAAAATGAAATAAATTATGTTTTCAAAATTTATGATTTTATTCCAGATATTTTATTTTAAGATTTTATATTAGTTTAACTTGCCATATTTGATTATATCTTTTATTCTTAATTTAATGTGGCTGAATGTTTAATTTGATGTGATGACTACCCTTATCGATTTGAATTTTTATTTTATTAATACTAAGAAGGGGAATTTAATTATTCTCTTCCATTCTTTGGCCCTTACATTTGTTTTTCATAATGTTTAATCTCTTCATTATAATATTTATAATCTATTGAAAAATATTTGTGAGCAATTGATATTTTTTCAACTACTGCTTTTTTTATAGAGTAATATCTTTATTAAAGAATGAAAGTAGACTTATTTTATTAAGTAAATATTTAAAAACAATTTTGATATTCTGTGTCATCCAAATTGACTGTTTAAATTAGAAGATTTTTTAATTGAAACTTTAATTCTGTTTTAATCTTACTAGAAATAGAATCTGAAACTATTTTTATTTTTTATTTTCCGTCCATTTTTAATGAGAATTTCCATTATGGCTATATCTAAACTACTTTATTTAAAGGTTTGCTTTTAACAATACATTCGAGTAATTTGTGATCTTCTTTACATTATCTATATGCAGGAGACTTAAATATTTCTTATTTTTAATGCTGCATAAAATGCAATAAAGAAGACACTGTTTTTGTTGATAGTAATGTTTAGAAAGGGTGCAACTAAATTATTATTTCACTATATTATGCCGATTAAATTGGAATTGTGCCTTCTTTTTACAATCCTTTCTTTTAATCACTATTTGAAATGATTCTATATTCAGATTATTCACCTTGAAGGGATATACAAATCTACAATGTACACACTTCTTTCTATTTTGATATTGACATATTTGGGAATGTTAATTTCTCCTTTAGATTGTAAATACAAATTGGGAGAATAATTTCTCCATATTCTTCTATAAAAGGTATAAACAAGATTCTTCTGATAATGTCGACTAGCTTATTGTGAGCATCTGATATAAATAAACTTTTATCATTATTATCACATTATACCCAATGGTTTTGTTTATCTTTTTCATAAGAAGATATTGCTGCATTTCTTATAAATTCCCATTTTTTTTCAGAATATTATTATCTTGATATATGTAAAAAACAATTATCTTCTTATTCTTATCTATCATCAAAATACTTATCATATTATTTAAATTATTCTATAGTAAAATCTTGGAAATTATTCTTATCTTTTTCATAATCATCTAAAAAGGATTTAACGTTTCCCATTAAATTTTATTTTAAAAATTCACCCAATAATTAATAACAAAGTTCACTATTTAGAAATTGTTATGAGTCATTATTAATTGAAATCTCAAAAATTTCATTAAAGAAATCTGAATATTTTATATGTGAATATTTCTGGGGATTTTCAGATTATTCTATTTTATTGTTTTATTACTATTAATAACATTATGATTATGATAAAAATTATTATTATTATTATTATTATTATTATTATTATTATTATTATTATTATTATTATTATTATTATTATTATTATTATTATTATTATTATTATTATTATTATTATTACTATTATTACTAAATTTATAACGAGGAAAGATGCTTTAATGAAGATATTTATTAGTTTATATCAGAGAATAAGGGTGATTATATGCTTGTCAAATTATCCTTTTCTTCCATTACTTTTAATAACATTCCTGGAGCTATTATTCTAATATCTCCAATATAAATTCTATCTAACAGTTCTTTCGTTTTCTTAATAGATGGAGTTTAAATTGCTCCATTTTAATAAATATTTAAAGGTACCCTTATACCTATAAAATTTATCATTAACACAAATTTTTAATGAAATTGTTAATCATTAATTTACTTCGAATCAAAGCTATTGAATTTTTCAAAACTATTAGATGTTTAAGAAACAATAGATCCTACTCCATTTAAATCCTCAATATCTTCATAAAAACTGTCCACTTCTTTGGCTGTATGAAATGACTTCTCTTCATTTTATTTCTAAGCATCATAGTAAACTTAATTCAATGTATTTATATGAGATGATTATCTTGATTTCTTTCTAGAATACGCTGCCTTTTTTAACAAACGTATATGATATTTACATTGACAAAATTAAAATATTTTTGTATTTTCAGGAGTATATTTGACATAATTTGCAATTCTAGATTCAAATAATAAAATGAAAATAGAATGTATATCTAAAGTAAATTAAATATTAATCTAATCAGGACGATTATTTTCCCCTTTTAAATAACTTGATAAGACGTTAGTTTTATCTCTTTCTAAAATCTCATATAAACTAATTTTTTCATCTCCTTCCAATTCAATTGGTATGTCATCATTTCTTTTAGAATGATCTTTAAAAGAATTTTGATTATTGATGGTATTAGTCCAAATTTCTAATAATGGCTTAACACTTTATTTATTTTGTCCATCTTTTGATGAATTATAATATCTTTTAGCTTCTATCCTAATTTCTTGAAATGCCCATTCTCTATACTTTAATAAGTCCTTTAAAGATAGATCTTCTTCACACTTTGCTATTTTAGATTCATCTTTGGCTGTCCATGATGATAGCCATGGAACTAAAATAATAGTTTACTTTCTTTTATATAATTCTATATATCTTTTCATTAAAACAAGCTTTTTTGATGAATAACCTAAATCTAATTTTTTACTCTTCTATTTTAGGATAACAGATTTAATGAAATATTTCCACCATTCTGAATAAGCATTCTTAATATCTTTTGTTGGTCTTAAATGATAATTATCTTAAATCACTTCTTAACTTGAGAGTGTTTCATTTAATTTAATTAAATATTCTTTTTATTCTTTATTCAATTGAATAATAATTGGAGATTTTACAACTATCTATAAAACTTAGATTGATTGAGTTAATTGTTCATAATTTCTATTTTTAATATATTTGATTTCTATATCTATTGGTGTTAAGATCATTTAATCTTCTTTTTTTTAAAGAATGGTGGAAGGATCATTTTTAAAAGAGATACTTAGTTTTTTTATTTCAAATATCTTATAGGTGGAATTAAGATCATTATTGAATATTTATTTAAACTCTTTGTCTGTCGCCTTAATTTAGGCATCAAATTTAACTCGCAAGATTGTTTCATAACCAAATATTGAATGATTAAAGAATCTTAGATTAAACTACTTAATTGTTATTGTTAAATTATTGTATATTCCATCGACAATTTTTTATATCCAATTTGGTGGAGATAGTTTTTCAAAATATTTTGCCATTTGTTCTTCCCACAATTTAAGTTTATGTTTCTTCAAATTATCAATTCCTTGAGTCTAACGATCTTTGTTCTTTGCAATTTAATTAGCCTCTTATATAGTACAAACTTGCAGGTCTATTCCTTCTATGATTATTTCTGGTTGTTGTTTTTTGTAATTTAAAGGCATCTTTAAACAATAAAATTGATGAAACTTACATTAAGAGTAATCTAATTGATTTTACCATCAATTATGTATAATGGAAATTTGAAATTGAGTAATGCTTACTTTTTGATGCACAAATTCTTCAGCACAATGTTTGATGATACTCCCAAAGAAAACTTAAATTAAGGGACTCATTACTTTAGCCATGTTGTTTTATGAGAAATCTTACAAATATTCTAAAAGATAGGATTAAAGTCTTTTAATAAAATATTCTTCAATATCCTTTGCCATTTAACTTATTTAATTTAATCATATAATAACTAAGAAATAGAAGAGATTCCTTTATTCAAAAAATATAAATTGATCTCTTAAAACATTATATTATAACAACCAACATAAAAAAATAAGATGGAATATCAAAATAATTATTTTATTGTAAAAATGAAAATGATAATAAATAACATCATTTTGGATAAAGAATGTCATAATGTCGAGGTCTTTATAATCAATTAATAAATATAGAATTTGGATCTGCATCTTCTGGAATTTAAAAAATAGCGGCATCGAAGATGGCAATATTCCCATCCAAATAGAACATCCTAATTGGAATTTGTAAGTAGTTATACAATGATATGATTTAAATCTTTATTAAATAATTTTTTATTACTTAATCTGCTTCCTTATCAATTGGATCAACTTCTTATTTACAAAATATTACAACTGTTCCTGTTTCTATGTAACTTCTTATATAAATGAATTTGCTTTGATATAAAAAGATGTCATCATTTTCATACACATAATAAGGTAATCAGATGTGACTTTATTGCAAAATGCGTCTACTATCCCTTACTTATTAATGTTGTTTGGACATAATTTTATTTATTTCATAATATCCTATATATATTTAAGAACTTACATCATAAAAATCATCAATAACAATTAATTCATATCCAACAGCTGTTAAATCTGCCTTTGAATTGAAAATGATAGTACTAAATTTAGTTAATATTTGCTAATCTTTTGATTGAAGATATATTCAAATATTCTAAACAGAACTGCTCTATAAAAGCAGCTACCATCTCTCCTCATTCTTCTAAAAAATGGATATGATTGACTGATTTTCTAAAATTCCTTTCAATCATTTACATTAACCTTTTTAAGAAATCCTTAATTTTCTAAATATTCTGATTCTAATATTTATGGTTCTATTGGCTAAGTAATAATGAATTGATCTTGGGCTTCTATTTGGTTTTTTATTTTATCCAATTACTTTATATGCTATTCATATAATTCTTGATTATATGCATATTGATTAGAAGATTATTAACTCATTATTTTTTATTTATTTTTTTTGGTATAAATTATTATTCAAATCCATTTTCTACTTCTCTATTCAATTTTATTAGTTTTCTTTACACTTTGCACTATCGATGAGTGTTCACTATCTATACAATCCTCTCATGCTTTTCTGAAGACAGAATATTCTCAGGAATCTACTGATTGACTTAATTTGATTATTGCCTTTAAATGTTATTCTACCCAACACAACTTCCCATTATTTAAAATATTAATGGACTTACAAATTTATATAAATTATTAGTTCTTTTCAATAAATCAAAACTACCCTTACATTTCAGATCATGAACAATAAAAAGTTCCTTACTCTTTCATTTGCCTATTTTCTTAAACTTGATCATTTATAGTAAATTCGTTATTAATAAAATATTGCTTTTTAGTTATTATTTTAAATTCAATAACAAAAATTGTATAAGTTCATCTCATACTCTATTTTAAAATTTCAATTTTATTTGATGTTGATTTTAATCAAGAGAAGTTAGATTTGCATTTTTATAATTTAAAGAATAATTTAAAATTAGTAAATCATTATTCAACGTTTTAAAAATACATTTCATTTGCATCAAAAAGTCCGAAGAATTGGATTATAAGCGAAGGTACGATATATAAGAAAAAAAGTTTAAAAAGCAAAAATACAACTACATTTCTATCCTAATATAAATAAAAAATTCTAGAAATACAAAACCTATATTTAATAAAAATTCAAAATATTTATTAAGATAATAACACATTGCGAAAAAACGATATAATTTAAGATAAAAATCAATTAATTAAGAAAACATTAAATTTTCTAAGAAATTTTTTTGAAATTAATGGTTTAACAGCATTTTGCAATCTCATTATATTTTTAGAAATTCTTTCAAAAATGGAATTATTTGGATTTTATGAATAAATTAAAAAAATTAAGACAATTTATATCAATCTTCTTCATAATTTTGTTGATTTAAATGCTAAATGGAAATATATTAAGTATGGATGGGTTGGATTTCTGATTAAACAATGATCTAATTTTCTGATTTTAAATTTAATGCTTTCTATAATTGCATGTCCGATTAAATAAGTTTATACAATGAGAATTGCAATGTACATTCTTAAAATTACTTTCTCATAATGATTTTATTTTTTGGCCCTAATAATCTTACGATAAAGATGCTAATTGGAATTTCAAGGTACATACTATTCTTAATATTATGTTTAAAATCTTTAAATTTTAATGGATTAATAATAGGAAAATGGTGTAATTCACTTTTAGAGATCTTAATTTAGCTTTTATAATTTATTGTGATAGTAAAAGTATTATTTAAATCAGATTACTCCTCTAATAAAGTGATTGTTATTTGATTTGGATTTTTTTCGAATATATAAAATATTAAATTAAAGAATAATTACCTAACTTTACCAGAATTTGAATAAATTTATTGACATTTTAATTTATTAATTAATTCTATTTAAATATTATTCTCAGGAATAAGATTTTTTGTTATCTAAATTACCGAATTTATTAGCTAAATGATATTAAAAGATGTTAAAGGATTAACATTACAAGATAACTAAACAAAATCGATTAGATTTGTAAATTAATTCCAAGCCTTTATTAGTTAACTTTATTGCTTGAACAATATTGTTTAAACTTAAAAAGACAACTTTTATAAATTTGTTTTCTAATTAATAAACGCTGCATCATTCATACATAATCTTAAAGAACAATTAAGAATATTCATCAAATATTTTATTATGAGATTTTAATTTTCATATTTAAGTTTCAATTGTTCTACTTAAGTTTTTGCTTATAACTATTTTATTATTACCAAAGCTTATGGATGAGTATGATGATGCAGTTTATAAACAACGATTTGCTAAACTTATTCATATTAATTACATTTAAAGTTTCATCAATCATTCCATCTAATTCAACTTTCTGCTTATGCTTTTTCAAGAATTCAACCAATCTAGCATCATTAACCTTTTAAGTCTTATTTAGAAAATAAAATAAAAACAATTCTAGAGATAATTTTCCTGAAAAATTAAAAATATTATCCTCTATCAAATTTTCTAATCTTTTTGATTTCGGACGAATAATTACATTTCTTATTTTTTATTTGAAATCTATTTATTAAAACTCATTAACTCTTTATTTAGTTTTTTAATTGATCAGTTAAATCTATTTAGAATCATCGCAATATTAAACTTGAAATGTTTCAATCATTTGTTCTTTTTCAATAAAACTCTAAACAATAGCTTTACAGGATAATTTTAAAAATTATTTTCTTTTAATAATTTCTTACTGAATCTTATACTAAATATCAAGGAGTATCATTAAAGAGAATTTAAAAACTTAAGACCAAAAAAGATTAGATTCATGAGGGTCAGCTGCTAAATTAAAACCAAATATTGGTATTAACATTAAATACCGAGTTTTAATGTCGAATGAATTTATAATTCTAAATTTGAGTTAAAATCTTACGCAAGAGTTCCTAAGCAAATAAAATAACCATCTAAGTAAGTATCTTAATTTGGTGGGATTTTCATTAGCCGATTGAAAGGGTAAAAAAAATTAAAAAGCTCTACTATTACAAGCAATAAGTATTTATAGTAAATTGATGTTTTGTTCACATATTTATAAGAAACTATGATAAAAATCAATCCAAAAGCATTAAAAGCAAAAGAGGACCAATTATTTTCTAGGCCTTTTTAAATTGCAAATATAAGAAGCAATAATAAAATCAACACTTTTTAATTGTGTTGAATAGTAATTGTTTATTGATTTTGTATTTGGGTGAATTGTTTCTCTAATTTCTTATCAAGTATTCTGTGAAAAAATAAAGTCATATATTATTATAATTATATTATTATTTTTAATGAGAAATCAGATTTAATGGAAATATAGCCAAAAAAAAAGCATAATTGTTATTATGGGGATAGAATTAAAATCAATCATCTTATTAAGCTTATATAATTCTTTATAATATAACTTTCTCCAAACCCATAGAATTTCTAAACATAATCTATTCATTCAACCCAAATTTCTTTTTCACTAAATTTGAATGAGGAAAAATCTCATCCATGTATGAGAATTCTTCAAAATTAAAATATGGCTTGAAGTCCTGTCTTCTTGAATGAATTTATGATAGTTTATATTATTATAACTTATTTGCTTATTAAACATAATTGCAGATCTATTATTAGAGTTATGTTTTATCCTTTGTATTAAGATTAATTTAATAAGAGGGTCTAGGCATTTTCTTAGCCTTTGGTCTAGGAATTTTGTCAACACTCATTTTTTATCTTCTCAATTAATTAATCACTTAAGTGGGAGGTAATCTAAGTTATCTTTACTAATGCAACTAACTGACCATATTGTCGTATTAGTCATTTTCTGTTTTTAAATATTAATTTATTTGTGAATGCTTATCGCTTTTAATATATTGAGTTATTGACCCAGTCTTATCATATTTAAAGGATAGCTATGTTTTGGATGTCCCAAGAAGTTGCTTATGAGTTTGCTTTTCAAGAAATATTATAGGAAGAATTTCTTTATTCATCAAATACAAAATAATAATTAATTAAACCAAATAAAAATGATAGTATTAAGTGAAAATAGTAAAGATTATCTCTATATAAATTGAGATTTAAAATAGTACATCATGACTTTGTTTTTAACTTGTAAATTTTAGAGTGGATTTTTATTTTAGATAACTGCAAACAATATAATCTTATGTCATAATTTTACAAAATTCCTTATCTTCATTTTCTTTATAAATATCTAATTGTAATAGTAATAAATTATGTNAATTGATGTTTTGTTCACATATTTATAAGAAACTATGATAAAAATCAATCCAAAAGCATTAAAAGCAAAAGAGGACCAATTATTTTCTAGGCCTTTTTAAATTGCAAATATAAGAAGCAATAATAAAATCAACACTTTTTAATTGTGTTGAATAGTAATTGTTTATTGATTTTGTATTTGGGTGAATTGTTTCTCTAATTTCTTATCAAGTATTCTGTGAAAAAATAAAGTCATATATTATTATAATTATATTATTATTTTTAATGAGAAATCAGATTTAATGGAAATATAGCCAAAAAAAAAGCATAATTGTTATTATGGGGATAGAATTAAAATCAATCATCTTATTAAGCTTATATAATTCTTTATAATATAACTTTCTCCAAACCCATAGAATTTCTAAACATAATCTATTCATTCAACCCAAATTTCTTTTTCACTAAATTTGAATGAGGAAAAATCTCATCCATGTATGAGAATTCTTCAAAATTAAAATATGGCTTGAAGTCCTGTCTTCTTGAATGAATTTATGATAGTTTATATTATTATAACTTATTTGCTTATTAAACATAATTGCAGATCTATTATTAGAGTTATGTTTTATCCTTTGTATTAAGATTAATTTAATAAGAGGGTCTAGGCATTTTCTTAGCCTTTGGTCTAGGAATTTTGTCAACACTCATTTTTTATCTTCTCAATTAATTAATCACTTAAGTGGGAGGTAATCTAAGTTATCTTTACTAATGCAACTAACTGACCATATTGTCGTATTAGTCATTTTCTGTTTTTAAATATTAATTTATTTGTGAATGCTTATCGCTTTTAATATATTGAGTTATTGACCCAGTCTTATCATATTTAAAGGATAGCTATGTTTTGGATGTCCCAAGAAGTTGCTTATGAGTTTGCTTTTCAAGAAATATTATAGGAAGAATTTCTTTATTCATCAAATACAAAATAATAATTAATTAAACCAAATAAAAATGATAGTATTAAGTGAAAATAGTAAAGATTATCTCTATATAAATTGAGATTTAAAATAGTACATCATGACTTTGTTTTTAACTTGTAAATTTTAGAGTGGATTTTTATTTTAGATAACTGCAAACAATATAATCTTATGTCATAATTTTACAAAATTCCTTATCTTCATTTTCTTTATAAATATCTAATTGTAATAGTAATAAATTATGTAATCACAACGAAAACTAAATTATAACAATGAATATTTAATAGTAAATAATAATAATATATTGATAAATAAAATCCCTCTAAATCCATCATCACCAAATTTTTAATTTTTTTAGATTTTTTCATAGAATCTATTATTATGAATTTGAACTTTATAAAAAATTTATAGTTAGTAGAAACTTAAAAGATAAAATTAAGAATCAGAAATTTTATTTAACTTTGATCTTGAATGTATATTTCAATATCGAATTAGTATTAATTGAGATCTAGTCTAAATTTACAACCCGTTAATAAATTTAACATCTTGGATTAGGCTGAATTATCTGATCCTTATCTATAAATTGAGTTTGATATTTCTATATGACTTTGCCTTGAGAAAACTTCTAATTGCAACTTTGTTCTGTCTGAGTAAGAATAAGAAAATGGAGAATGCAAGATGTATGGATAATAGAAACTGTAAGGTAAGTGTCTATCATATTTATGACGATAGATATCTAAAAAACCTAAATGGGCAATGACATAATGGATATGAAAAGAGAGTAGTAGTTGAGAATTAAACTAAAATATCAAGGTCACTTTAAAAAAGGTAATTAGAGAATTTCAATATCAAATTTACAGTTGTGTGATACATTTTTATAGAAAATTAAATTTGAGATTCGGTATAGACGTTCTTATTGTAATAAAGATAAGGAGTGTTAGTATAGAGCCTTTTGGAGACCAAAGAGAACATCAACCAGAAATTTTGAGATTTCTGATTTTCAAAATTAGAATATTATTTATTTATTATAAGAGAAAAAGAAGGCGATCATTATATCAAAATTATAGTAGCAGAAAACCTTTTTATAGGTATCCAATTGGTATGAATTTAACATTTTGTTGTTATTTTTGGAAAATCATTAAAAATTCTTGTTTTAATGAATATTTCAAATAATAAATATATATAAGATGATGAAAATTGCATTTACTAATTAATGAAGTTCAGCCCAACATTGATGCCTCTTTGACTTCCAATTATTTATTAACATTTTTTTATACTTTCAAAATTTGGTTTATAGTCTAAGTTTTTATTAAAATTCTTACTTTTCTGCATAAATAGCACTCATTTGATTTTTATATCACATCTTCAGCACACTGTTAACAGATGCCTCCATGACGACATGGTACAAAAACTATATTTGGAGTATTTTCATAGCAAACAAGACATTTTTCTTAATTCTCACTTGATTCACCATCAGATTTAATAGATTTGATAGACCGAACTGGTTCTTCTTCTTATTCTTATTTTGAAACAGTAACTGGAATTTCTTCTCTTTTTACTTTTACTTAAATTAAATGGTTTATTTAATACCATTATCAGTAATAGCAGGTTTTTGTATATCTAAATCAAGTTCATCTTTTTTTTTATTGATAATCATGGAATTACTGGCTGCAGGCTTTTAGAGTATTTTTTTCCAAGTTTCTCTCATTGTTGAACCTTATAGATTAGATCTACCCGATTCTAAATCTTAATGAGATTTTTGTCTTTTTTTGAATTCAAAAGAAGCTTTATCAAGAACAGCAAAGTAAGTACAAGATAATTTTATCAGATATAAAGGGATTCCTAACTTCACAAATTCTAGTTTCTTTGTTTAGTGTGGAGAATTAAGTTATCTTGAATTTGGAGATTGTACTGTTTATTATTAATCAATATCATTCTAATCTGAGATTCCTTAAACATCTTTTAAATAAGCTCTAAGAAAATATTGAATAATATTACTTAATTTATCTGTAAAAACAAAGTGTGAAAATGAGAAGAAATAATGAAAACAATGTGATCACTACTATATATTTAGCAGTTTCAGTAAGGCTAATTAATTGATTACCCTCATAAAATTCAGCTGTTCTTAAAATAAACAAAAAAGGAAACAATGTAAATCCAATGAGCATTATAAATATCCATAAGTTTCCTGCCACTAACAAATACTTAAATATATACAGTAATGACATTGCTATTTTTTTTTGATGATGTTAACTAATGTTTCAATGCAACTGACGAATGAGATGAATAATAATAATGCACAAACTACAAGAAAAACCCATAATAAGAGAAAGATCTAGATCCAAGACCAAGAAATCTTTGATTCCCATTTAAGTGTAATTAACAAAAGTTGGAGACAACACATACTTTTTAGGAATTATAATATCTCAATATATATAATTATTTTACTAATGCAGTACTAGTCTTTGTTGGTGCTTTGATTTTTTAAACCAGTTTCATAATTAGGAGTAAAGATGAAACTGCTAACATCATAATAGTGATGAAATAGATTTTGAATTCTTAGACTTCATAATAAAATACAATGAATATCTATTAAAAAATTGATGCATACTTTAAAGAAGAATAAAAACATGGTTTCTATGAGTTACCAAATGCAATCATCTCCTTTTCTATAGTTATAGTATATCAGAATAAAAATTGTTATTAAGTCCTATATCCACAATTATAAGAGCACATATCGATGACTATATTTCCAATGCATATAAGTAAAATAATTAACAAAGAAAGCTTATAGAAATAGATTGAACATAAGAGACTTGATCATTTAAGCATGACAAGAGATTACCTAATTTGTATTTTGAATACCTTGTCATCTGTAAGAGTAATAATGCTGTTTGAATAATCTTGTTCCCTATTTTATACTTATCTTGATTATCTATTGTTATTTAAATACTTCATACAATTCTCTAAAAAGGGGTAGGTTTTAACTAAATGTTGGAGATAAAAAATTTCTTCTTCTAGTTGACACTTGTTAATCGTCTTCTATTTGAATTTACGAGGGTCTCATCCTAACTGATCCCAATTATGATTCTGGCATTTAGCTACAATTAAAAATAAGTTTTACATCATAGTTTTTGAGATAATATAGTTTATTATCAATAATAATTCAAAAACAATATAATTATTTTTTCATTTTCTCAATTAATGTAATCTATATATTCAAATAATCACCACTTATGTTTAAGCTTCGCTTCCAGCATTCCCTATGACTTCCAAAAATCTAATTTGCATTGCTGCCTTACTATTTAACATTTCTGCAACTTCCTTCATCATTCTCGCCGATTAAAGAGTAAATTATGCATTGAGAATTTTTGCTTAAGCTGCTCTAAAAATATTAGGATTTTAATAAACCTTTTTTCTGTTGCTGCTTTTGCTAACACATTCTATGTTTATTCATCCATTTAAATATCTCTTATCATAATTGCTTCCATTTCAACACCCCAATCGATTGTGATTGGTTCCAAAAACTCTTTTATGAAGATTTATATTTCACTTCTTTTTTCAAGTAAATCCTAAAATGTAAAAGCACCAATGACACTTCTAATTGACGTTTAAGTTAATCCAATAATTCCTTGATCAATTTCATATATATTGCAAAGCAATCTTTTTGGCTCTACAATTCTCATATATAAAGAAGCACTAATTTCAATTTAAATGTTGTCTTTAGTTATTACTGATTAATTTTCAAACTCCACCATCTAAGTCCTACAATCAAAAATGTATAAAGTATCAGTACAAGGATTAAACTGGTGTATTCCAGCAAAAGCTAATAATATAAACAATTTTAACTTGTTTTATAATATTTCCCAAAACGCAAATGAACACCAGCAAATCCTTATTATATCTAACGAAATGTTTTTCCTACAACTAGATTATTTGGGCAATATGTTCCAAAACACTTACAGCATTCTCCAAATTTAAATAAAAACTTTTAATATATCCCATTAAATTCTGTTTCATCTCCTAATTCATCTAATTCCTCTCTTGGATATTTGACATTGTTATATTTATTTTCTTTTTAGATTTCCTCTTAATAAGTTTGAGGATAGACTAATTTTAATATATAGTGTACTTTAATGTTTATGATACATATTTATTATTTAATTCAATAAGTTAAATTAAAAATAGTTTCTCCATTTTTTAAATAATATAATTAATGATTAATAAATAAAGTAAGGGCTATCAATTGCCTTTAAGTAAAAGTGATGATCTATTGTTTGTGCATGATGTGGATTAAGAATAACAATAAAATTTTCGTGAATCACAATTAAGAAAAAACAGTTTACACAATTTTGTTTTATAGATACCAAAGGAATAACATCATAGAAGGAACTCACATAATTCTATTACATTTAATGATGAGAACAAAAAAGTAAAATTGGTGTATGTATTTATTCTTTAAATTGCAGTCATACTAAGAAAAAAATTCTAACTCAAATTGCTTAATATGGGTATAATGTTTATATGGCAGAATACATAATCTAAAAACAAAAAATTTTATTGGAATAAGATTATTAATTTGTATTGGATTTAGTAATTGAAAAAATTAATTAGTTTGAGGATTAGTATAAATCCTGTTCTGGCTTAAAGATTAAGAAAAGTAATTTAAAATAGGTTGTTCCTATATAAATTGATGAACAATAATAAATTCAATAGTTTGTAGTGGAAGAAACAAGATAAGTACAAGAAAAAGAATTAAAAGATAACAATGATTACTGTGGTATTTGTTTAGGTGAGTTTAAAAATAAATAAAAAGTATTAAATTGTAAACATGAGTTTTGTTATGAATGTATACAGAGTTATCTAGATAATAAAATTAAGATTGCTTAAGTTTTAGAAATTGAATGCCCTCAATTAGGATGTGACAATTATTATAATGATGAAATCATAAAGGGCTTAGTTAATGATGAGTAATATCAAAAATATGATAAATTCAAGAAAAAGAGATTATTAGAAAAAGATGAGACTGTTAGGTGGTGTATTAAACCTGGATGTGATAAATATATAAAGGGTAAAAGTATGTTTAGTAATACTGTAAAATGTGAATGTGGATAAGAGATATGTTATGATTGTCGTAGAGAAGATCATCCTGGTATGACATGTGAAGTATAGAATTTTAATGAGAAAATTAGGAAGCATTAGACAAATTTTATGAATTAACTTTGAAATAATTGGTGATTTAACGTTGTCCAAAATGTAAAGCACCAATTCAAAAGAAAGAAGGTTGTAATCATATGACATGTTATCAATGTCGATTCCAATTTTGTTGGTTATGCAGAGCTAGATACACAAGAATGCATTTTGATTCAGATAATTGCTTTGGATGTCCAGGTAATAGAATGTTATTATTAGTAAGATAAGTAATTTTCTAACGAAGAGCCCTATTCTCGATCAAGATGGAAGAAGTATGGAGGTATCATTTTCGAATTATTTGCCACCATACTAATTCTGCCTTTAATTCCATTTATTTTGATCTATTATAGCGTAATGACTCCACTGAAGTTAGTAAAACATTTTAATCGACAATATTATAAACAATTAGAAGATGGGGATAAAATGTGTTTACTCATAGTCGGAATATTATTTTTCCCTGTAATTTTAGTGTTCTTGATCTTTCCAGGACTACTTCTATTAGTTGCGTATAAAATAAAATATGATTGATTATAATTAAATTGTACTCATATGTAAAATTGCTTGTTTGGCAGTGATCTTATAATTATCAAAAGGAAAATGTTAAAATTAACAGAAATTATGGATTCAACTTGCAATTTTTGTGAGTACCAATATGTACATAAACCACTAAATTAGGACTTTGCAGTCATCATCAAAAAAGCACTCTATGAGAAGTATTCGTCTTCGCAGAATTATACTTACATTCGAATCATCAATGATCTAATCTTCGCTCGTAGAAGTCGAATCACTAATACATTTAAAGACTATCTCTTTTGGGATTATCATGATGAGTATATGGAGAACTACTTCCATTCTCCTAACGATCTACTCTTCGATACTATTAAATCTAATGTATTGGTTGTAACTTAAAATAGACGAGCAGTCCCAAAAATTTGTGCCCCGCATATTTCATACTCCTATTGCCAAAACTATGGATAATTACTACAATCCCAAAATTCGATAATCTCGAAAATACTCCAAAGTCAATTCCATTAGCGTTTCAAAAATATTATAGAGTAGTCTTATCAAAAAGTATCCTATTCATATATTATGTAAAGACTACAATAGTACAGTTCATAAGGATCCATCTTTTATATCAAAAACCAACTCAATGATATTGTCACAAATAGTTCATTATCTTTTCAAACCATTAACAAGTACATATAATACTTAAATCTAGTAAGTAAGAGGTTGGAGTTCAACTAAGATTAATATACTAGAAATTCTGTGATAGAAGACAAGAAATAAAAAAATAGAAATAGAAAAAGAGAAGTTAAGCTCATTCAATTGATAAAGAAACTCAAACTTAAGGATTTCAATTCATACCTATTATTTATCACAAAGATAAGCAATTTCTATAAAGGATAATCAAATAATAAAAGGAAAAAGAATCTACACAAATCTAGTTTCAAAAATTGAACAAATAAAATAAAACATCTAGATATAGAAATAGTGTAGATGTCAATAATAATAGATATGGTTCTGCATCTAAAATATCACAATAATCAACTGCAAGAGTTTACGAATCCAATGCTTCAAGTAGATACAATTCTACTGCTACTTAACAAAAAATTATTCGATCATAACGTACTAAATCTTAAACTCAAGATTCAAATAACATTACAAAAGCCTTAGAAAGTTAATTCAATAATTAAGTTGATGTTAGGTAAACATTAAAAAGGTTTGATAGTGGAATAAAATAAAAAAAAGTTAAATGAACTTCCCTTTATATTTTTATTATATTTATTCATAAACATATTTCACCATCGAGTCTAATCATTAATATACTATGTCTATATTATCTATTACTATATTTACAATTAAGATCATTTATATCTATAGTATAATTACAATATTAAAAATACAAAATGCAATAACCATCTTAACTATAATAATCTTCATGGTCTAATAATGACGAAGTAACTGTACTATAATTTAGAATGACTTAGAACAAAATGCAGATAGCAATTAAAGCAAACATCAAGAAGGATCACGAAAAAAGAAGAAACAAGATGAACATAAGTAATTTGAAGAAAGATTGAAAAATATTCCTGTTGGGTTAAAACCTGATCCTAAAGCATATCCAGAAGAATGGATTAACAAGTGGAGATAACTGTTGCTAAAATAACAAAATAAGAAATGAGATATATAAAATTATATAAATATGGGTTGTTGCTAAAGTAATCCTAATGGTATCTAAGTTTTAACACTTCTTAGACATGAACTCAGCAAGTGAAATGGGCAAGGAGTTAACTGATATTCATTTAGCTGAATATGAACCAAACATTATCAGTTTAGAAAAGAAAATCAAAACTCCTGACTAAATCATTAGAGCCGAGCCAGAGAAAGTCTCAATGAAAGAATCTAGTTACCATAAAGATACAAAAAGTGAAAAATAAGAGGAGGAGTCAAAAAAAATAACTGAGTAACCAAGTGATATCAAATGGAGCATTAAACAAAGTATGTTTGTCAAAATCAATTCTCATAAAAATGTTGGCGAATACTATGCAATCAAGGAGTTAATAGGATAAGGTGGATTTGGAAAGGTTTACAAAGTGACACATCGATAAACTGGTTACATTTTATACTCATAACAGGCATGGTTAGAGCCATGAAGTAGATACTAAAGTAGCGCATGAAGAAAGAAGACTGGCAAAAATTACTTTAAGAAACCCAAATCTTAATGGATATTGACCATCCTAATATTGTAAAGCTATATGAAATGTACCAAGACGATCATTCATATTATCTTATAAGCGAATATTGTGAGGGTTATACATTATTATATAATAAGGTGGAGAATTATTTGAAAAAATTAAAATAGCCTAATTTCTAACTGAGAAAGAAATTGCTTCTTATATAAAATAAATTCTTTCTGCAGTCTCTTATTGTCATTCAATGAATATTGTACATAGAGATCTAAAACCTGAAAATATAGTTTTCGATGCTAAACATTAGGGTGCCAATCTTAAAATTATTGACTTTGGAGCTAGTGTTAAGATTGAAAACTCTGAAAAACTTAATAAAAAAATTGGAACTGTATTCATTTATATTAATTTAATAGCCTTTTTATGTTGCTCCAGAAGTTTTATATGGATCATATGATGAAAAATGTGATATTTGGTCTATTGGGGTAATCTTATATGTTCTTTTATGTGGATATCCACCATTCTTTGCACAAAATGAAGCTCAAGTTCTTGCAAAAGTAAAAAAAGGAACATATTAATTTGATTCTTAAGATTGGGCTAAAGTTTCATTACAAGCTAAAGATTTAATTAGGAGGATGCTCTTTTTTAATCCATCTCAAAGAATAAGTGCAAATGATGCTCTACAACATTAATGGATTACTAATAATAAGTCAAAAGGTTAACTAAATAATTAAAGTTTGAAAAAGCTTCAAGATTTCGACTCAAAAAATAAATTAAAATATGCAATACTCTAATTTATTACAGTATAAGTGATTACAAGTTAAGAAAAGGATGAATTAATGAAAAACTTTTAAGAAATAGATAAAAATGGAGATGGAACAGTAAGTAAAGAGGAATTATTAAATGGTATTAATTTTCATTATTTAGCTTATATTAAATTATATAAAGGTGATTAGCTTGCTGCATAATAGATCGTAAATGACTTATTTCCTCATTTAGATGCTAATGGGTCTGGCAAAGTTGATTTTAGTGAATTTATTACTGCCTCAATAAATAAGGATAGATCATTAAGCAAAAAGAAAATTGAATAATCTTTTAAATTATTTGACTTAGTAAAAATAGAATAATAAAAATAGGATGGGAATGGATTAATTACAAAAACAGAAATAAATTAATTATTTGGAGATGAAATAGATGACAATATGTGGAAGGAAATACTAAAGGAATGTGATGCAAATGAAGATGGGATGGTAATATGATAAATAATATATCATAGATATCCTTAAGTGAATTTATAAATTTATTGGAGAGCAAATTTAAAGGAAAACTTTGATTATAAATAACAATGTGAATAAAATATAGGTTGTTTATTTATTAAATGCATGAAAAAGGCAATTGGAGAAATTTTATTTAAAAAGAATTTCAAACTTATTATTATATAAATTTTATTGTTTTAATATATAGAGAAATATTGAATGAATTTAATTTAGAAATATTCAGATTTATAAAATTCTTTGGAGCTCTTGAATAATGAACCATAATAATTGAATTCAAATGATATTTATGAATATGTTGCAATTGATATTTCCCCAAATTTTGAATGGTTGGCAGCTGGTGGTCTATATATTGATAATATTGTTCTCTGGAAGATATCTTGTTAAAGTCAAACAAAGGTGATAGGAACTTAGATGAATGAAGATTTAGGATAATTAGAATTTTCAAATGATTCTGTTTTTCTGGCAGCTTGTGGATCTAGTACAAAGATAATAATTTGGAATATGAAAGATTTAGATGAAAATCCTGCAATTTTAGATGGACATTAGTCAAGAATTTGGAGAGTTTAATTCTTTAATTAACCTCTTTTTGATATTTTATGTTCTGGAAGTTCAGACGCTTCGGTGAAGATATGGAATGTTACAAATAGATAATTATTGTAAAGTTTTAATATGAATGAAGATAATCCGATATATAGTATAGGAGTATCAGTTAAGAATGAGTGGATTATAATGACAGGAAATGATACAAGAGCTTTGATTTTAGACAGCAAAAGGTTGAAGATATTATCATAATAGAAAATATGCGAAAATTAATTATATTAAGTAAGATTTCCTTAACATACATCATAATACTATGCTTGTTCTGGTATGGATGAGTATGTTAGATTATTATCGAAAAATAAATTAATTAGAAAATTAAAGTTTCCAGAGAATTGGAAATGGCAAATTGAATTCACTTGTTAATCCATCTTAGCCATATCAAGTATAAACTCTATACAGTTTTGGGATATTAGTAGAGGAATTCAATTAAAAGTGGTAGAAAACGAATGTTATACTTATCCTTCATTTCGATTCAAGTATTTAGAAAAGGGAATCTGTGCAACAGCCAGCAAATCTATGATAAAATTGTGGATAAAGTGATTATAATGTTGTATATCACTAAATCAAAATTAATGAGGTTCTCCTTAAGTAGGTAGCAATCCAAATCTCTTTTTAAGTTCAACTCTGTATTTCTAATTGACATCATCAGGACTAAATCTAGCTGATTAATAGATCATTATTAGTACCAGGATGGGCATTAAATGTATATGAACCATCTTCAAGAGTATTCTTTAAAGTATAGACACGTTTGCCTTCCTCATTCAAATAATACCTCAAATGCATTTTTATTAATTGTTTATTATAATTTTTGGTTTGTTATGTATATATAAGTATAATTAGTGAAAACCAAAAGATATTAATTAATTATTAATGGATAAGACCAAGGAACAGATCTAAGAATACTTCAATATTTTTGATAAGGATGGAAGTGGCACGATAGAAAAGGAGGAAATTAAGGAATTGGCAGTCAATGTTGGCTTAAATTGGAATGATTAGAAGTTGAATAAAGTTATAATTCTTAATATAATAGATCATATAAGCTCTTGATACAAATGGAGATGGTAAAATTTCATTTGATGAATTTTATGAATACTTTTTATATGGAGAATAGAAACAAATGGATAAATTGATATAGAAGAAATTTAAACATATTAAAAATGTCAAAAATCTTCACAAAAAATTGAATTAAGAATATGGTATGTTAATTTTATTTAAGAATCTTAGCACATATCTTTAATAAAAATAATGAAGAAGGAAAATCATAATGTTCTGTATCATTGAATGTTGGAGAGAAATCTCAAAATAAATCAGCTTTAGAATTTGCAATTAGAGTTGGTGAAGAGAATAAGAATTTTTCATAATCTCTTTTGAAAAATTTCCCATATGCAGGAGATCATGTATATTATTATATCTAAATTAGATTGTTTCAATAGTTTTTGGATTTAAATGTTAAAATTCTGATGCAGTTTAAGAAAAATTTGAAGTATTTTTTGAAGGCATAATTGATTTGGCTTTAAATATGATACCAGATGATATCTCTTAAAAAATAGCAATGTTCAAAAATGATTTAAAAATTGAATACAAAGCATTGCCTGATGAATTGTTGGTTCGATTCTATGTGAATAATGAATTAACAGAAAATGTTCTTGTAGCATATAGATTGATATCAGGAATGTTTATTCAAGAAAATAGTTCTGTCTTTGCCAACCTAAAACTTTGTAAAAGATTTATAGATAATTAGAATTTTCTGCAGGATTAGCAGATATTGGTGCTTCACCTAATGAGAATATTATAAATTGGGTAGCCAAAGGATTCTCAGCTAGTTTTGATGCCACAGCCTCAAGTGATCTTGTAAATTATTTTTATTTATTAATAACAGATCGAATGTGCTCGCTAAGCACATTATGCAGCAATTGGAAAATATTTTGAATCATAAAAAGTCAAAGTCTTAGAATAATTAACACCATTAACATTAATGAATAATGCAAGATTACAATTCAATTTCTAATCATATGAATAATTTGTTTAGGAAATGGAAATACCTGAATTAAATCAAGTCAATTTTTCAGTTGCAGTAGATTAAGCAAAAGGAGCTAATATTAATGAATTAATTGGTGGAATTCCATTTGTTGGTGAATTATTGGATATTTTAAGAGTTGAAGGAAATGGTAAATATAAATATCTCTAAATTTTAGGATAAATATAATTGGCAGTGATTTCTTAAGAAGCCTCATTATCTATTACAGCATCAGGAGAAGGAGCAGCCTTGATTTGGGAAAAGCTTATTTGATTTAATATAAATTCAAAATCAAGTATAGCATTTATACAAATTATAAAATTCCAAAGACGTGTACATAGAAATATTTACTATAATTAAAATAAATCAGGGTCCTTCAGTTGAAGTTTCTGCACCTCCTGATCTAAGTTTGCTGAAAATATGTAAGAGCACAACAATTCCCAAATATACAAGACTGATTATTAATACTGTATTAGGTTGAACTTTTAGAGATGAGACATCGCCTGAATAGAAATTTAATCCTGATTAACCTCCTGTTTCAGATGATTTTGATGCTAGATAATCTTTAGACAATAATCTTACGACTCTTGCCACCTCCTTATCTTCGTTTTAATGCTTCCTTTATTAAATCTTTCTTCTCAGACATTTTTTATTTTTATTAATATGAATAATTTGCACGTTGTTTAATTAATAAATGTATTAGAAATCATCATTAAAAAAAAAGAATAATGATATCCTGCAAGTATAAAATAATTATATAGGATTATTATCATCTAAATAAAAATTAAATATAAGATTATATATTCAATTTTTGGGTACAATTCATTTGGAGTATTTTTAATATGAAAATTTAAGATTCTTTAATATATTTCTTTTCAACCACTTATTAATACCATCTTACCATTAATTACCAATAAATCAATATGTATATGATTCCCCCAAAATTATTAATAAAAATATGATAACAAAATATAATATTTGTAATATCAACCATAATAACATATTCCAAATTGATTTGATCATCAATTTTTAAAGCAAATAAAAGCTAAGAAATTTAATAAAAGTATATTAAAAATTGAAAATTTAGGAAAACTAATCATAAATATGATATAATCATAATAATCAATCTAATAATAATTTTAAAGAATAGATTAATCAGAAAATTAAATAAGTCCATAAATTAATTTTGAAATAGATTAAAATAAAAAATTATTATTATCCTGATAAACTCTAATTATTTAATGTTCATCAAAATGCTATTCTAAATGAAACTTATATTGTTGAATTAATATATTCAAATTGATTCAGTAGTATAAAGGTTAGATGGTAGTAAATATAAAGGAAATTTGTATAAATAGTCAAAGGAAGCTTGACTTCAAATTAGATTTTTAAAGTTGATCAAAAGTAATAAAATTATTAATATTGGTTAGTTTTTTAATTAGCAGGAGTAAAATAAAAAAAAATAACAATTAAACTTATATAGATAACTGATAAATAGAAATCTTATAAAGAGATTGAAGATTATATTAAATATGATTTTTGTACATGCATTTGGACTAGTAAATGGATTTTTAGAAACAAAACCACATTTAAAGATCTTTATTGAATATATAGGTCAAAATGATTTAAAAAGAAATATAAATATCAGATATCTCAGAAATTATAATTTAGATCTAATATAAAATGGCATTAAAGAATATTAAGACCTTTTTGAGGAATTGATTAAGAAATAAAAAATGAAATTATGTAAAATTGATAATAAAAGTCATTTTTTAATTAAAATTTTATGAATTCCTTTAGTGAGGTCTTGATGAAGTATTTTTGGAGTCTGTTTTTTATCTCGTGATGCCTTTTTTTGATTTTCTATAACATTACTTTGAAATGTTTATAAGTAATTGATATCATCCACTTATATCAATTTATAATCGTCTCCAATAGGATCTTCTTACAGTTCATCACAATCATTTTGAATATTCTATAATTTTTGTTCAGAATCCTTTAAGTTAGAGTGTTCATTTTTGAACATATCAGTATGTATATAGGTAATTTCTGGTTATTATTGAATAGTATGATTCAATTGAACTTGAACTTTATCCAAATTAGGTAATTCATTAACTAAAGGATTTTGAAGAAATTATGGATGATATTCTTCTTCTATAGAAAAATTAGATCCTCTTTTACAGAAGTTTGAAATGGCATTGGAGTCAAGGCAGGTTTCCAAAGTCAAGTAAAAATCATCAGAGTTTTAAGATTTGGATTGACATTTTCGTTAAAGAGGTTTAATAAATTTTCTGTGGGTATATTCTATCACCTGTTTTTTTTATAATTAAAAGGTTTCTTCTTACATTTAAAATATTACTAATCTAACTATTTAATTAATATTTATATATATAAATAATGCAGTATGAGAAATAATAATAAAAATGCAGTAATAATCATAGAACAGGAATATTTTTTAAACTTTTAGAAAATCTCTTAACAGCCTTAAGTACTAAAATGGCTGTTTTAATCTAGAAAGGTTAAGATCAATATAAATACTCTGGCTGGTTTCCGAATGTAATTTTACATTTTTTTAACTCTTCTATCCAATCTAGAAATTCTTTATTCTTCATAAGATAACTTATTTCTATTTTATGTTTTAGTAAAGAAATTAGAGATTTCTGCTATTTCTAATTCATAACAATAATATTAAGCATAAGAGATGAGTTCTTCTTCACCAAATGTTTAAGAATTTAATGAAACATCTGTCATAATTTTGGCTTTCTATTTTTAATATTAGGGTATAATTTTAGAAATATTGCTTTCTGGATAATAGATATGATATTCATGATATTTTTCAAAATTAGAAATGGAAGAGAATTCTTTCCATTCTTTTTTACGTGACAATGATTATTTTTTATGGAAATCTTCTAAATATTTATTAATTCTCTCCAAAGCAACTCTATCAAATTAATCATCTTCTGATCCACATGAAATAGTTAATTTTCCCATATGATCACGTCTTATTATTGTAGTAACTCTATTTGTATTTCTGACTCTACGACCTATTGATTCTGTTTTGCGACCTGTATTATCAATTTTACGATGTTTTAGTCTAACTGATGATTTGAATCTGCGATCAAAATTGTCTAATCTATTAATTTGATTAATAGCATTTTTATCATCTTCTTCAGTTTAAATACTTTAAACTTCTGATTATTCAATACTTATTAACATATGAGATTTATGTTCTTAATAATATTGTATTTTCTTTTCAGTATTCATGAATTTACCCTAAATACGAGATATGAGATTATTATGAAATCTAGCATTGAAATCCAATCGATCTTTTCTAACAAAGGAAGATTATTAAACATGTTTTACTTATTATAAGAAAGCTAAATAATGTGATGCCTATCTAATATCAATCAATTAATTTACACTTAGAAGTGCAATGATGGGCAATCTCTGGCAATATGATCATCCATCTAACACATATAACACCTTATGCTTATGGCACTATAATCTTTATCAAAAACTATTTTATGTCTAATTTAAAAGTAAGTTTAAACATCATTACTATGAGATCTTGCTAATTTCAAAAAATCACTTGAATTTATAATGAAAATATTAGAGAAATCTACACTTTTAGTACTAGCAGTTCGTTTTTAAGCAGAATAGAAACTAATTTCTCCAAAGAATTCATTCTTTCCTTTTTTATCAACTGTAATATTTGTTTTTTGAAAATAAATATCCACTTCTCCTGATTGAATCATAAATATATCATATGATTCTTATTCAGATTCATCAAATATTATTTCCTAAGGACAAAATACCTTTTCTTTCATTATTGGCATTACTTATAATACCAAGAAATCATATGAATGATTTGACCAAAATATATCCAAATAACCAAATAATTTACCATTTACTTATTCTTATAACTATTTTGATAAATCAACTGACAAAGCTCCTGTTATTTATTATAATACTACTCCTCCATTCCTTTCCCAAACATATTCTAAATATTTTCTAATCTTATTTTGAAGTGTCTCAGGAATTTTAGCTTTTTTCATATATTTATTTACTTAACTTAGTTTATCTTTTGTTTAACTTGACTTTTCACTTATTTTTTATAATGCAAATCCAATTGAATTCATTGTGAAAGCAAAACCACCACAAGCAATTAATAATAAAAAAATACCTAAAAATCTTTCAGTTGGATTTAATGGACTAATATCTCCATATCCAACTGTTGTCATTGTTGTTACTCCCCAATATAATGAATTTATATATCTTATATACCAATCTGCATTATATAAATCTCCCAACCATGAATTATTCTTATCCTCTTATTATGCAGTAAAATGAAATATACATCCTAATAGATGTGCAAAAAATAACACAAACAAAAACAATTTTGCAAATGTTAATATTGCTGCTAAAATTGAATTTAATTATAATATTTCATTAAATTTATCCATTATCTTTTTCAATTTAGCCAATCTTAATAACTTTAATATCTTTATAAATCTTAAGAATTTCAACAATCTTAATAATTTTGCACTTTAAATAAAATTTGATGATTCATCCAATATTATATCATATGGAAATGTAGTTGTAAAATCAACCCAAAACCAAAATTAAATATAATCCTTTATTATTGCATTCCTATTCATTTTTAATAATCCATCTTCAAAAATTCCAGTATTAAAATTCAATAGAATGTCAAATGCAAATATTCCTGTAGATACTCTTGAAAATTCTACACTCACATCAATCTCAAAACTTATTTATAAAGGAATACTTATCATCTCATACATCACTAATCCAAGACATAATAAATCCCACATCATTTTCAATGACCCATCAGGACTTAAAATATATGGTTTTTCTATAGTACATCCTTTCAACATCTTTTTTAATAATCCTCTTAAACGCAATTAAAATTTCTCCCAATTAAAGTCTACATATGATAGTGCACTTGATCTTTTCTAAACCAAAATCAATCCCATACTCTTCCTCCAATTTAATTTTTTTCTTGTCTTTTACAATACTTTAAATTCCTTCTTCTATTCCTTAATCTCTTCTTCATCTGAGTTCTCACTCAACACCAACTTGTCTCCTAAGAAATGATATTCCTTGCCTTCCAACACCTAAAAACTTTAGTTGTTAGCCTGCTCTATATACTATCTATGAAGCATTAGTATTTAATTTATAATTTATATATAATATATTTATAGATCATTACATTTTCAAACAATCTACTTTATCAAAACTATTAATAAATTTGATGTCTTCATTTATTAAAAAATAAATCAATACATAATAATTATTTATAATTCTTTGTACTTGAATAACACAATTATTTATTCATTTAATCAATTAACAATCATTCATATTATTTTTAATTCATATTTTGAAAGGATTAAATCTATTAATAATAATTTAATGTTTATTAATTTCTTTGATCTTGAGACTACAAAGATTATTGAAAAGTAAACTACTCTTATTAATTCAAATTTGATTATTAAAATTAAGGAGAAACCTTCTATTATTGTTATTAATACATCTACATAGATTATTATACGAGCATTGCTTAATATTATTGAAATTCAATAGGAGATATAAATTATTACAATTAGTATTAAAACCATTAATATTATTATGCCATCAACTATTATTATTATAAATGTAATTGATATAGCATTTAATTTGAAGTCATTTATTATTGTTATTCATATATTTATTGAAGTTATTTATTCTTTTCTTATAATTTAGTAGGTTTAATATTTTCAGTTGAATTAACTTTGTAAGCTAATCTTTTGATATTGTAATTAGAGAGAGAAAACTTTAATACTATCTAACCATGATGATTGAGAAAATGACTATCATTCAATCTGTTCAATAAGGCAACAAATTCATTTCTATACTCAATAGACAAATATTCATATAGTCTTTATATTGGATAATTAGCAAACTGATCATTCACTAATTTTCGAAAAGAACTATACAGATTAAAAATATTTTTTACCTTTCAGAAACTGAAACTTCTTCTTCCCATAATTTTAATCTCCATTAGTTTCCACCATGCACTATTGCCTTATCTGCAACATTACTACCGTATTTATCCATTGACATGGATACAAAGTCCTTGATGATATAATTATTTAATAAGATTCTTTTGTGACACTCTTAGCCTTTTTCTAATATTTACTGAATGATATAATTAGCATATTATCTTCTTATCAAACATGATGAATTTTGTATGGTTCTCATAATGATTTCATTTGCTAATGATTTTGTATTGGGATCAATCAGTTTTGGAAAGATATCTATAATTTTATTAACAATTAAGCAACCATATTGATTGGTTGATAATTCTAAAGAATATTAATTTTGATTTAAAATCTAGTAATTATTAAATTAATGTACATATTTATCTAAAATTCTTAGAAGTTATTCTAAATTATATTTATCAAAAACGTCTAAACTTTTTTAAAATAATTAATTTCCTATTTTATTAGTGTATAATCTTCTTGTAAAATTGCTCTCTTCCAAAACAAAATTTATGTATTGTTAATATTAAGATTTAGATTCTGATGAATATAAGGACATAATCTCTAATCCCTTCTACATTACCTTACAAGCATGAAGATCATTGACTAATTTCTTAATAGAAGTAAAAATTTAATCTAAGATAATGTTTCTAAAATTGATAGGTCCTTATCATATTTTTAATAAATACCTATTTCTATAATTTTCTCTAATATGTAATGCATATACTTATCTAGACTGAGATTAACAATATTATTTTTAATATAAGTGTTAAATACATATTCCCTTTCTTAATTATTTGCTTATTCATATTCTTATTACATTCTCCTAGAATTCTTTGTAAGCTATTCATGGGTCAAATATGAGGACCTAAGTTTTTTTAATTTGATGACGTCTTACATATCTAAAGAGAAAGCTTTAATCAAAGAGGGTCTAGATTTTTCAGTCAGCAACACACCCTAAAGTTACTTATTTAAAGATTCAAATTCATCACCTTCTATATTATGAATATTTTACCATCTTGGTTGAGATGATCTTCAAAAATTTAAGAAAATTTGACTTAAGATGAAATAACATTATCAAATTAGCCTGGTGTTGCAGTAGAGTCACTTTTGCTTGAATTACATTGATGAAATTCATCTAAGTCTTAATTAAATTCGATAGGGATTTGATTTAACATTTAATTATTAATAAAGAATATGATCATTTCAATTATAATTAATTTGCAATATTTTTAACATTTCTTTTCTTAAAATCTATTTTTTAATTGTTTTTTTAAACATTACGCATTATGCATGTTTTAACAATATCTAGTGCTTCACTTTTATAGTTTAATAAATAATTAATAATGAATCTTGAGCAATTTATATCAACTGAAGATGATTGGGCTCATTAATCATATCATGAAAATGATGACTTTGAATTTTCATGTTCCCCAATCATGTTTGGTCGTCCATCAAACAAAAATAAAAATGATTTTGAATTGGACAAAGAAGATTACTTTATAGATGCTCCCAAACTTGAAGAATAAACAGATGAACCTGATTTTAATCAACTTCTTAATACACCTTCAATACCAATAAAAAAGAGGTAAATTAGGAAAAATCGAAAAGTTAAAAATAACACAATCACTAATCTTTACAAAAGAATGTTCTTTGAAATAATTAATGATTCTTAATCATAGGCTTAAATTTAGAAACAATTAGAACATTGTTAAAGAATGAAATCTGTCATTGATGGATTAGAAAAGACATTAATAAATGTGAAGACCTTGCTTGTTCACAAACTTAAATAAAGAAGCTAATGATATAGTTTCATTACCTAGTTTTCAATCTGAGTTATCAATTAAACTAATTCAAATAAGTATACTTAGTTTTCATACTTCACTCCTTCAAAATCAAATTTTTATTAAAAAACTCTATTTTCTGAATTAGATATCCCTAATCTCATCTTCTTTAAATTACTTACATTATTTCTGAAATTGTTTTTATTTATTTCTTTAGTTAGTCGTTATTGATTGATATTTTTTATTTTTCATCCCCACAAATGGAAATAAATTTGAGTCCTCATTAGAATGGAACTGAAAATGGTAGTCTGATAAGAAGCAATTCCACAATTCATTTATTATATGATTCTAATCTATATCATCAATAAAATGAATTTTCCAAAAATAAAGTTATTAAATTTTGAACAAATATTAAAGTAAGAGAATATATTCATTAATAATTATATGAGTTTAAAAACCATCCATCTGGAATTAGTTGATAATTTTATTCTTCTGAACTGTTTATCAATTATCCATCTTACCAATCTCCAAATTTCTTTTTCCCATCCTTACTTATCATTAATCCTTAGCCGTGCTATTTACCTTCTAACCAATAACCTTAATATTGACTTCCATCTGGCCAATAAAATATTCCAAATCCACATTTCTTATCATGTCTATATTCTCCATCATAATACTTTCCATCTTTCCATTTATATAGACCTCTGCCATGCATTTAATTTTTAACCCATTATCCTATATATGACTGATTGCTAATAAAATTGATAAATTACCCTACCATCTAGCCATTCATACTTTCCAACTCCTTATATCATATTATCTACCCACTCTCCTTCATAAACACTTTATTAACTCCATATATAACAACCACGACCATTCTTTTTTCCATTTTTAAATTCTCCTTCATATATAGATCCATCCAACCATAGTTCTTTACCTTTTCCATCAGATTTCCCTGCTTTAAAATCTCCAATATATGTTGGTCCTCGTTTGTAAATACACTTTCCATTACCTTCCAAAACATTATCAATAAAATTGCCTTCATAAATATCCCCATTAAGAGCAATTAATTTACCATAACCATTTGCTTTACCATTATGAATAGCTCCTATGTAAGTTGAACCATCTTGAAGATTCAATTAAACTTGAACGTTATCAATTTCATCCTATCCTTAATGTGAAAACAATGAATTATATTGTTCTTTGTAAAAAGTAGAAGAATTAGACTTATTATCTAATGAAGGAGGTTTCTCTAACAATAAAGACTAAATTACATGGTTTTTTTTCATCTACTTCATCATATTCTGGATCAGAATCTGAATTAAATTAATCATTTCGATTCATTTCATCACTATTTACTCCTTAACTTAATTAACATTTTTAACATTGTTATCCCATTTTTAATAATGATCTAATTCTTAAATGTCTAGATTTACGTAATTTATAATAATTAAATGGGGAATGCAAGTACTTGTTGTTCACATCCTGCTATATAAAATAAAGAAGCTCTAATTCCTTAATAGAAAAATATGTTAGTGAATGAAGAGTGTGACGTTCGTGAATGGGAAGCAGATGATTTTGTAAAGATTGGTCTTTGTAAATGAATTAAATATTTTTGATTCAGAAACTCATCCTGTCAAAGAACACAAACTTTTTGATTAGCCATCTGTTATAAGGAGAATGGAAAGTGTTGAAGGACCTAAATTAGGATAACGATTGGAAGTATTTCCTGAAATAGAAAATCAAATAGTACGAACTGTTTTAGGTTAATTACCTCTATTGATGATACCATAGGATATGGAAAGAGGTGAAGAAAATCCACCTATCAAATTTGATAATAATTTCATTTATCATGGAGAATGGAAGGATAGTCAAAAACATGGATATGGAAAATTGTTATGGCCAGATGGTAGTTATTATGAAGGCGGATTTGTTAATGATGAAACATCTGGTTTTGGAAGATTAATTCATTCATTTGGTGATTATTATGAAGGAAGTTGGAAACATGATTAAGCCAATGGCTATGGTAAGTATCATCGGTACAGGAATTAAGCAACTTATGAAGGGAACTGGGTAAATGATAAGCAGTAAGGTTAAGGTAAAGAAACATGGCAAGATGGATCATCTTATGAAGGAGAGTATTTTAATGGAAAAAAATAAGGAAGGGGGTTGTTTAAATGGGGCAATGGTAATATGTATATAGGAGATTTCAAAAATAATAAAATGGATGGACATGGAGTTTATTATTGGAAGAGTGGAAAAGTATATGATGGTGAATGGAAAGAAAATAGAATGGATGGAGAAGGAGTAAATTAATTAATTTTATATATTATAGTCATTCAATTGGCCAGATGGTAGGAAATATAAAGGAAGTTATAAGAATGATCTTAAAGAAGGATATGGAATATTCGAATGGTCAGATGGACGTTACTACAAAGGAGAATGGAAATAAGGAAAATAACATGGTAAGGGAATTCTCAGAATGGATTAAGCTAAAGAAATAACTGCTGAATGGATTAATGGCAAAATGCTTACTGAAAAATAAATTGAATAATAAGCTACAGGTTCATGATACTTTTTTATATATAAAATCATTCGTATACAAGAAATTCTATAATTCCTGGATTCTCAACTTTTCCATCTGAATAATGAAATAGCTTTTTAAATAATTTAATTATTATATCTTTTTTTTAAGCTACTTCATTGAAAAAAGAGTGTGTTAATGATTCTGCAATCAATCCCATTTAAATAAATCCTAAAATTTTAGGATTCGTCAACAAATTTATACTTTGAAAGATATTACAACAATTAACTAAAGAGCTATTAATTTATTAAACCATAATTTTTCCATTTTCTAATTTATTTTTAAAGGGTTTTATTTCATAAACATATAATCCATATCCAAAATCTATTATAAATAAGCCAACAGAAGTCACAGTTGGATTTTTATGACAATAAACTAAACATAATGGATAGAGTAATTTTTTTAGGGATTATATATATATATGAGCATTAATCCTATATTTTTCTGGAGATTTATAAATTGGATTTAATTTGTTATCCTTACTTCTTAGAGTAATTAAAGTAGGCATTTTGACTGTATTTAAGATATATAAAAAATATGATATTGAACTAATGTTGCTAATTGAGAATTCAACTATTTATTCTATATTTGATATTCCCATAGATGAACAAATAAAAGCATTCATACAAATTTCTAATCCACAAAAGACAGTTAAATTTTATAATTTCATAGATAGATTATTTTTATTCAAATTATGAATAAATTTATTACCAAATATATGAAATTTTAACAGTAATTTATTTTATGTTCTTAAATCTAAAGTTGATTATCTCATTAATTTAGATATAGATTTTAAAGCATAATGACTCAGTATTGTGAAAGCATAAACTTAAGTTATTGGTATTGAAGTAGTTATGAAGCTACCATTTCTTTGGAATTAAGTTGGAATGTAGTATGGATTATAAAATGAAAATGATGATAGTATTTTATTGAATGATGTATTTTTAAATACTTAAAGAAATTCTTACATATTTGGAGTTTAAGTGATGTTGATATATTATTGATATTAAGTAAATTATAAGAGATCAACAAAATTTAAGAAATTACTAATTTATCCAACTATTAATAAAGCAGGTAGAGTAATAATAATTATATATTGAATAGTATTTGCAATATTTTGGAGAATATCTGTTGCTAATTATTCAGATTCAGTAAGTAAAATAATTGATTCAGTTCTTAATTATATTATAGCATCTTATAAGGTTTAATTGAATTGATTCATAATACATTTTCGATCATTAAGTTTAATTTGAATTATTGGATTATAAACAGTTTATAGATATAAAATCTAAATTATCAAATTCTAGGATTAAGTAATAATAGTTGAATTAATAAAAGTATTATCATCATCAATTAATTAGATTTTAATTAGATCTTATATGTTTTTACAATTAAATTTGATTTCTTAATCAAAGAAGAGATTTAAAAATTGAATATTATTATTGGTTTGATTAATTAACTATAATTTCATTATAGGTTATGACTAATAATAACAATAATCATCAAAACATAAGGTATTATTTAATTCAAAATTAAATAAGTTAGGAATTAATTATTGAGATTATTGTAAAAATTGACATTAATTATGTTCATTTAATGTGTATTCATCTTCACAAGTATAACATATTCTATCTACACAATATTTACAATTAGATGAACAAATTAAAATACAATTATCACATAAAATTTTAGAGTCACATTCTTCATCTTCAGTTTTGATATAATCTCCACATTTACTATAACAAAGATTATCATAATCACTTACATAATATCCTTTATCACATTTTTCTGGATCATAACATTACATTTTTGATATGATCAATTTTTCTGGTTCTTCACATTCAAGACATTGACCAAATTAACAATTTAAACAATTACCAAAACAATAAAATTGACAATCAAAACATCCATCATCATAAATATTATTATTATCATCACATTATTCATCTAATGTTTTAATTTAATCTCCACAAATAGGTTAACATGTATCAAGTACTGGATAATATCCTTTATTACATTAAAGACAAATATCATTTAGACAATATTTACAACTCTATTTACATATAGAAATAGTATTTATAAATGATTTATCTTCAATACAAATGGAATTAATTAAAATAAAATCATTTTAACAAACAATACATTATTCTTATTTACAATAAAGACAATTTTATTAACAATTAAAATTATTGATTTAACATTATTAATTATATGGATTCCATTTAAAATTTGATTCACATTCTAAACAATCAGATTAAATTTGAAATTTACAATATTTAATAAGTTAATATGTATTAAAATTGTTTAATTATTATTATTAATATAATTATTAAGATTAATTAATTATTATTATTTCACATTATTTTGTTTATTAATTTAAGTTATAATTCAATTAACATCTATAACATATTCCATAAATACAACTTATACATCCATAATCACATATATATCTACATTTATTACAATTTTAATGGATTAAATCATCACATTCTTCATTACCATTTACATAACCATCTCCACATAATGATATACATTTATTATTAAATAGATTTAAAGTATATCCTATTTCACATAATGTACAACCCATAATAGTACATGTGACACATTCCTATTAACACATTAATTGACATTAATGACATCCATCAAAATATATATTATTACCATCATCACATATTTCACTTGTTTTTACTATTCCATCTCCACATATAGGAACACATTTATTTTTCGTTGAAATCAATGTATAACCAGATCCACAAACAGAACATAGATTATTAGAACAAGTAGTACATATTGGAGAAGGTTAACATTGCCATTAACAAGTACTACTACAACCATCATTTCCAATAAGATTACCATCATCACATTATTCAGTTTCGAATGTATTAGATATACGTAAACCATCTCCACAAATTGTACTACATTTATAAGATCCAGTTACTGTTTTATAACCAGAATTCAAACAAGTATTACAAACTTTTCCATTAGTTGTACATTCTAAACAATCTGATCTACATTTAAATTTACAATTGTCACATCCATCATTTGGATTTGAATTTGAATCTTCACATTCTTCACTACCAATTATTACACCATCTCCACAATGTTCTATACATTTATTATTTATGATATCCAACATATATCCACTTACATTACATTCAAAACATCTTCCCATTTAACAATCTGAACATTAAGATTGACATTAATATGTACAACCATTGCATCCAATTGTTGTTATACCATCATCACATTATTCTGTTCCTGTTACATAACCATCTCCACATATATCTGTACAACTACCACTATTACAATTAGGACAACTTAATGGACATTAATATTAACAATTATAGCATCCATCATTCATTATATTATTTAAATCTTCACATTATTCATCACTCATTATTATATTATCACCACATATAGATTAACATTTATAATTAACTATTGACTGACCACTTAAACATACAGGTGCATAAGTGCAATTTATATTAAACCATTAAATTGTACCATTGCAATCAAAATAACATTCAGGAAATGATGGATTTTCAATAATAGGACAATCATTACAAGATATTGAAATACCACTATCAAAATATCCAAGATTGCATTTACATTATAATTAATATAAAGTTTTAGTAGAATCACATTCTAAACAATTGTTTTAGTTGGGTCCAAAACATTCTTTACAAGATAAATGACATTCTAATAACAGATACATATTATTATATACCTATACAATCACCATATGATAAGTAATAATGACTTTTACAAAGACATTAACCATCACTCTTCAAATCATAATTTTTTATAGTATTACAATTAGTACAATCAGTTTAAAGAGGTCCATTACAAGTTAAACAACTATTATCACATTTGATACAAACATCATTTCCTAATTATTCATAAAAAGACTCTTCACATTCACAAACTCCATTATTAGAGTATCTTCTGTTTATTTATAAACAAACTATACAAAAATTATATTGTAGACAATGTTAACATAATGGATCACATTGATGACATTATTAATCTCCAGTATCAAAATAATAGCCTTATGAACATGTACATAAGTCATTTATTAAAACTAAATTATTAATACAAGTATCACAAAGATTATAATTTCTACAGCTACTACATAAGATATTACAAGGATTGCAATTATAATTATAATAGTATTCATTTGATAAACAATCTACCTAACTAAATTTAGCTGTATAATAATTAGCATCCCATGAAGTGCATCCAATTTCAGTAGAATCTGTACATACTAAACAAAAAGGAAAACATTAATGTACTACTATGTAATAATCTGAAATACCACAATATTCATGTAATAAATCTCCATTACCTTGACATTCAATAGTGATTGTTAATGAATTTGTAGAATGAGAAATATACCAATATTTATCAATAGAATATTCTGTTGAACTTCTACCAAATAAATTAATTGATAATGGACCTGCTGTAATTACTTCTTAACCATTTGTATCAAATTCTATAATAAATTATTAAGCAAATAAATCTCCTAAAATTATCTTCATTCTTATTGAAATGGCATAGTGAGCATTATTAATTGAATAAATATTATTAAATTTAGCATTTGTCCAAACATAAGGTCCGCCAAAGATTTTCTTAGTATATAAACCAAATGTTTAAAAACCTGTAAGAAAATTTTAAAAATTTTATGATATCAATGTGAAATATGTTTCAGGATCTTACCTTATATTATAATTGATAAAATCTGATACTAAATAAGTAGAATAAGGATATTCTGTATCATAAGTAATAACATGAGTAGTATTCAAACTAAGTCTATCACTTTACATAGAATTTGTGCATAATCCCTAATAAATATAGTAACCAGCTATGCATTAAGAGCAGATAAAGTCTGATGTACAAGTAAGACATTCTTATTAACAAGTTCCAGCCACTATTTAGATTTAAGTAACACCCCAAACTGTAGTTGTTATTTACATATTTCCTTAGATTCGCATTATAAAATCACCTGTAGGAATAGGAGAGATTATAATCAATGTATATAATTATCCAGAACCAACTCCTGCACATGATTAGGATGTCTTTCTTAATATATATCCATTATGCATTGTGATAACACTATTTGAATTATACAATTATGCTATGTAATTATTATTTATAGTAAAGAATATGCCTTAATTTAAAGGTATAGTATTATAAAGATACAATACTACTTTGATTCTCAATTTATGTTTATATTAAGTAGGTTAAGAGATTTTCTTTTCCATACCTTCATTTCCTGTTAGTAAACCAAAATACTGAGAACACTTTGATATGGTTGTCAATCCTGATGGATCATATTATCTTATCCATTAGACATTAGGTGGAGGATTTTTAAATTAATCATTAAGAATTGACTATTCTGTTATATCTACACAAAATTTATCAGAGTTTGGGTATTTATTGATATCACAAATAGGAACACAACCTAATGATGGATCTAGATACTCTGCACATTAAGTACACAATCCAAATGCATTTAGTGTAGTTCCAGTAAAACAAGTTTAACAACTATTTTAATTCGTACAGGTCCTACAACTCCAATGACATTTCTCAACAGCAAATATCAAATTCCTTATAACAACTTTACCATTAGCAGACATATTTGTTATTAATAAATTTCCATTAGACTAACCTACAATTAAGACTTTTTTGGATATCACTTGATATTATTTACTATCACAAAATTCTGTTGAGTAGGGATATGTGGTTGGATTAGTATATGTTATAGTAGCAAATAAGACATTATTATATTTGACTTAAATAGCTTCATTGTTCCAGGTTCCCATAAAAAAGAGATCAAACCACACAACAAATTGCACTTTAGGATACCCATAGGATAAACCACGATACATTTATTTGTTGATTGAATCTAAATAATTCATAGCCAATCCTTCATTTACGCATGTATAATAATTTGGAGATGCTTATTAAGTCCAGCCATCTAGATTGCAACCTGCTGATCCACAACTGGGTGTTTTAGCATATAAACTAGAATGAATTACTAAAAGTTCGCATTATGCATTTAGTAATAAAAGCCAAAATATCATAATATAATAAACTGATTTAAATTATACTCATTCATCATCTATATGATGAATATTATATGCAATAGATTAAAGAGGCTAAAATTACAGTTTTGATTTACACTAAGAATTTCATAAGATAATTTAAGATTCATGTAATTCATTTACAGTAACATAATAGCAATTAAATTAGATCAACATAAAACTAAATTAATAAGAGATAATATTATATGAACAGATATCATTATAATTATTATTAATAACTATTAAGTTATAATTAAAATATTAATTACTAAAGCAAAGATTATTATTGGGAATTTTATGAAAATTTAGATTAATAATCTAGTTTTGATATATTTATAAATTAAGTGTGATGCAGATACATAATACTTTTCTGACATTTCATTATTACTTTTTGTATATCTAAATTATTATAAATCAATCATTTGAACAACATGTTAAAAAAGTCTTTTTATTTTTATTTAATATAATAAAGTTGTATACATTTTTCAAAATAATCGAGTAAATTTATCCTTTCCCAGCAAATACCAGAGATTATAAGAGGAATAAAGGATTTGATGATAAACCATTAGATGACATAACAATATTATTATTAGATAGATAATATAGAAATATTGGAGGATACATTGGATTTTCTATTTTTTCAATCTTTAAACAAATGAATAATAGGTTAAGATTTTTCAATACCACTAAAAACTCTGAATTTTTTATCTAAATCTTCCATATTTGTTTGCATATTCATTAAAAATTCTAAATTTTTCTTATCTTTCTTATATGAATTCTTTTAGTATAATTTATTTTGGAATCTATCCAAAATATTTTGATATTTCTAATCCATTCAATATCATTAAGTAAATTAAAGATTCTAAATATTTATATTAAGGTTAAATAGATAAATTATTGATATTGCTTTTCAAAAAGTATGAAAGTTAATCTTTTTCTTTAGGTATATTTTCCTTATTTTTTTATTTTTTTAATCATTGTAATTTATATTTTTGTAATTCATTATAATTCATTTTAGTAGTAATCAATGGGTAGTAATTAATATTCTCTTTTGTAGTATATTAAGTTTATTGATATCAATACTATTAAACAATTCTTAGACTTTTGTATCAAATGTAGCATCAATTACTTTGAATTATTAATTCAATTCAAAGTGTGATTCATCTTATGATAATTTCACTTTTATCTATAATTTTATTTGATTTAGATATTTTAATATCAAATATAAGAATTTAAATTCTTAATCTTTATAACATGATTCTGCAAATCTTATTATAGTATTTATTGACAATTTGAGATCCCAAATTTATATTATATTTGATTGAATTGGTTTCAAAAATTTCAATTTCTCTTAAAAAATCATAATATAAACTAAGAGAAGACTCATTAAGTTTGATTTCATACAATTTATCAATGATTAAAAAAATGGGTTATTTAAAATGTTTATTAAAGACATTTGAAATGTAAAGTAAGTGATTACAATTGATTTAATCAGTGTGTTTCTAAATATTCCTTTCAAGAAAATTCAGTATTTTATCATATCTTTTTTCTTAAGCTATTTTTGATGAAATAAAAGAACTTGAAAATAATTCAATACAAGTTCTTGCTAATATTAATATTGAATTCCCATCATACAATTATTTATCATGAAATATGAAACTAACAATACTATATTTTATGAAATAGAACCACTTTAGATTCCAGAATTGGCAAATCTGAAATTATATAGTAATTTAATTACTTATTAATTGCATCTTATATCAAAGCTTCTGGTCTGATTTCACTTAGGAATAAATATTGTTTATGATATATTTTTACAATCAACAATATTCAGTTGCATCATTTTATATGATTGAATTTCATATTATTTTGAATGAAATTATTTGCAGTGTTAAAATAATGAGTAAGATCATTCAATTTAATTGAATTTTTAATCATTAAATCATATAAATGTCCTATAATTTTGGCAATGTTTAAAGGTTAAGATTATGAATGATAATCAAAATTTATATAATAAAATTCCAAATTCTTAAAAGAGTTCTTAAAATTTTTCATCTTGTTATTTAAACTTCTGAGAATTTTAAGGTTTATAAAACATATAAAATAAATTGGATGCAAAATTTACAAACAAAATATCTTAAAATGAATGAAAATTCTTAATTAGATTGATTGCACCATAAAGAAATGAAATACTAGTTATAATTTAAGTTTAATTGAAATGAATAATAATTGTATTTTATTCATACTGTAGAGAATACTTGAAATAATTTTAAACCAAACATAGATACTTCTTATTCATTTCTATGTATTTAATTACTTAATTATGAATATTCAATTAACTTAAATATTACAATAAATTATTACATGAGAAATATCATATAAAAATTTCTAATTATATTAAGATTGAATAGAATGTAAAGAGAAATTGTTTAATGAAATAATTTCTATTAACTAAAAATTTCAATATTAAAATGATAACTGATTAAGGTAATTTGATATCTTCTAATATTCTTCTTCTTTATATTAATTATTCAACCATAATAATGGTTTTTTCATTTATAAAGTTGGTCTAATAATGCATGGAATAGATTGACAAAATGTATTCTATAAGTTGTTTTCTCTCATATAACCTTAAATTAAATTAAATTCGAATAATAAATTTTGTTTAATAACTCTACAACATTTATAAATTTCATTTTGTCACATTGTCAATTTTTTTTAATAGTTTATCTGCTTATTATTTCTTTACATCTCTTGCCTTTATTATTTTCTTCATTTTGCTATTCTCATTGCTTTTACTTGAAAACATGAACCTATCTACGATTATGCTCAATGCAAATATCATCCAATATGAAATAAATGAGTAAAACATAATTCCTGTTATGCTAGAAATATCTGGCAATTATTCATTAATTTTTTCCATCAAATAATTTAATTAATATAAATATGGATTAAGATTAAAGAGGCCTTTCACCATAAACTTCAAAATCATCATCCCATTAGAATCAAGTATCAAGGTCTAAAGAATTTCAATTAGATTTCTTTATACAAAAGAAATTTATATCTGAGGATTTGAAATCAATTTTAGAGGAAGCACAAGTACTATATCAAATCTAAATAAGCAAAAATATTTGATAAAATCTATCCATATAAATTACAAGAATTAAATTCCAGAATTAGATGGTGTAGCTTTTACAATTGATGATTCTGGGGAAAATAAAATGAATGCTAAATGTGATGCAGCTCTTTATATAATTCAATTATTATAGGAGAGATGTAAATAATAAATAAATATCATACTCTTAATACCAGAAGGTATATATATAGTAATTCTAGGAATTGTATCCTTTTTAATTGGATCCAAAGGATCATAGCTTGCAAAAATCATTGAAGAAACTAATGCCAAAATTACAGTAAATCAACCAATTGTTAACTATTCTCCTAGAACTGTTAAAATTGTAGGTGATTAAAGCACAATTAATTGTGCTATTAGAGCTATAACCAAAAAAATGTAAGAAAGAGGCATTTCCTCAGAAGATTATAAAAAGGTTCCTGAAACATTGAATCCATAAAAAGTTAATGTTAAAGTAAATATTTATACAATAATTTAAAGACAAAACTCATTTTTTAATCCTCTGTTGTTGATTACATTATGAAAAATAAAAATGAAATAGAGAATAAATATGAAGTCTAAATCAAAGCAAAAGAAAGCAATGAAATTAAACTCACTGTAATAATGTTTTTATTATTAATATATAGTAAAAATGCAAATTAAAAAGAGAAGATAAAATAGTTTAATTATAAGGTTCTTTATCCAATGTTTAAGATGCTTTATCATCTTTAATTAGAAGAGTCTCAGAACATTTAAAAAAATAAGAATTAGAAATAAAAATTGTTATGCCAGCTAGTTATGCTTCTAAATTAATTGGAGCAAGTATCTTATAATTTATATATATTCTTTTTAGAGGGTTGTTAAATTAGGGAATTAGCTACAAAATCAAAAGGAGCTTAAATTAAAGTTTTATCTGATAAAGATGAAACTGATCATGATTATTGTATGCTATTTCACTAATTATTATAGATTGTATTGTTCAAATTGCAGGAAATTTATAAAATAAACAAGATGCTAGTAAATTAATTCTATAATAAATTGAATGTTTTAAGAATGGAGGACCAGTATATTATAATATATATATATTAGATAATGGATAGTGGTAAATTTTTAAATGAGGATAATTAGAATTAAACATCTTAATAATCAAACAATTATGAAGATTATAAAATAAAAAGGTTTTAAAAATATATTCAAACTTTATTAGATAAAAATCTAGTTCATAATCTGAGAGAAATTCACGTTCAAGATCATAATCCAGAAGAAAACATAAACATTAAAGGAAAAGATCTAATGAAAGAAGATCTGCATCATCAAGGTAATTCAAATTAAACTATTCATACTTTTTAGTTATTCTAAAAGAAGAGAAAGAGCAAATGTCTTATCTACAAAAATGATTATTTCTAATGAAGTGATGCATATTTTAGAAAGATATAATAAATTAAGAGAATATAAAGAGAGATTTAATGTAGATACATAAGCTGAGGATTCGGTACTAATCAAATCTAATAAATTAGAGAAGAAATTCTGAATCTTATTTGAGATTAAAAGGCAAATTAAAAGATTGTTTAATTGTTATTGAAGAAATTTTGAATGAGCAACAAAAAATCCTAAGAAAATGAATATTAAATATAACAAAAATTTAATAATAATAAAAATAACCTAAGAACTTCATAATAATTATTAATAAACAGATTAATAATTAATAATACAAAGTCTTTATGCCATAAATCTATATACCCATGTGATATGATAAATTATTATGTTACCAATTTTATGTAAATTATTTCTCTAATTTTTTTGACACATCTTTAATTCTCTATTACTCTTTATTTAATATTTAAATTTAACCTCTGCATATCTTTTTTTATTCATTTCTACTCACAATCATCTACTTAATTTATAATTGTAAATATAATTTATTAAAATACTATATATAGTTATTTTAAATATCAAATATTTTATCTCTTAATTAGTATTTGAACTCAAATCAAAAGGATACATGAATCATTTGTAAACTTACTTTCCTTCTTTTATCAACTCTCTTTTACTAATCTTTCATGTTATTCATTCTAAAATTTATCTAACTTTTATTTGAATTTATTTTTAATTGAAAAATTGTTGTAGTATAAAAAAATATTAAACTATCTTTTCTGAGAATATTATTTCTTTCAGCTAGTTGAGTACAAGATTTCTAATGGTATATCTATAATTCTAAATAATAATTTTAAGAAAAATATAAATAATAAAAATCTTCATCTCTTCTTAAATTTAAGATGGTATCAAATTGTTGATCTAGTACTGATTTTTTATTATAATGTTATTCTTCTCCTCTTTACGATAGGATTTTTTTCAATTGAAAATTCCTTTCTCTATTCTTTCCTCCTTGATACAAACCTAATGTGATTTAGACCTTACTATTCTTATTCTAATATTAAAATTTCTATGCTATTAACCTATTAATTGAGTATTTTCTCATTTTTTGTAGCAGAACATCCCATTAATTTATAATTATTTTAATGATGATGCTTCTATGAATTTATTAAATATCTAAATTATCAATTATATATTTTATCAATAATTAAGGCTAAGAGATAATAAAAGTGAGAGTTTCTAGTAATTAATACCTCAACATAATTATTTGAACATGAATTTATAAATATGCATTTTTAAACAAATATTTAATCTCTTCATAGCTTAAGTATTTATAGAGTATAAATGTATGAATTTTATAGGACTCTTAACCTTGCTCATGGTTCCCGGTTTGCTCTAAAAACATAAAGAATAAACTACAAAAAAAAAATTTATAATCAGTTTTAACCTTTCCACTTGAAAACTGATTAATTAAATATCTAAAGTAAAATTACTTATTTTTTTCTTTATTTCTAAAGAATCTCATTTTCCTTTTTTTTCTTAATTCCTCCTATTTACTTTAAATAATTGTGTATTTTATATGGGGGTTAAAGTATTTATGTTTTTAAAAAGATATTTTTTAATTATTAGTTCTGCTGCTAAACTAACATATTATTTCTTGGATTAAACAAATATGGAAATTACTTATGAGTATAAGTATTTTCAACTGATCTTAAGTATTTTGTAAAATGATAGATTAATCAATTAAGAATTAATTAAAATTTTTAAATTATAATCCAAAAAAATATTCTTCATACCACCCTGGAGTGTAATCAAAGAAAATAATAACACAAAAAAATGAGCTAAAATTAATAAGAAAAGGTATGTTGGATGATTGAGGTTAAGTAATTATAAATTAGAGAATTCAAATGAAAATTAATTTATCATATCATCTATGAACTTAATATACTACTATTAGAAAATTTATTCTTTTATCTCTATAATTATTATTCCATCAAATTAGTGAGAATCAAAAAATAAATATATAGAAAGCAAATTTATTAGTCTTCACTAAAATGTATTAATTCTTTCATAATAATTTTTAACAAATTTTTATTTAATTTATATTAAAATCAAAAATTTTATTCTTTGATGGCCTAATATACATGATTGATTGATTTTTTATATTTTCATAGATTTATAATTATGATAATTGTTTATTTAATATTATTACAAATAGCCAAATAATATCAAATACCTATTTATGTATTCTTAGATGTTAGAGAACTTAAATTTTTAATTTAATGATTGAAAGCTCTTTTACACAGTTGATTAATTATATTACTCATAATTTTAATGCTAAAAAATTTTTTAGATATTTAGTTAATATATTATAGAATTTATAATTTTCATATTAAATATAAGATTATATTATTGTTAATATATTTAAGGATAATTATTATCAAAAATGAAACTGGATAGAAATATTTAGTTATTATTGAAGTTGAATTAATGTTTACTAGAATAATAATCAAGTATTCTATTATAATTGATTTATAATTATTTGAGATAACAAATTATTAAGATGATATTTTAAAAGCATAAAATATGACCTTGATGTAAGAGTTAAAAATTAATAAATGAATAATTAGTTTCATGTATATGGCTAAAATAGTATAAGAAAGCATAACTTGGAGAAAAGAAAGTTATAAACATTATTTTTTCCTAACAAATGGAATTTTCATTACTTTTTTAATATGATGAAGGATTGTCAATAATTTATTATAGCATGTATATCTGAAATAGATCATTCTTGGATAATAAAATTATTAGTATTATTAGCAAATGGAGGAAGAAAAATTTATTTGATTATGGATTGTTAAGAAGATCAAAAAAATGATGAATTATTTTAAGCAATGATTTGTGAATTGTTAATAGAAAGTCAATTTAAAATAAAGATAGTTGTTAACACAAAAAAATATGAAAGTTTACCAACTAATTTTTGTGTAATTGATGGAAAAGTGTTAATTACAACTTCTGCTAATTGGACTATAAATTCATTCAAAAAGAGTCATGAATGGATGATGATTGATAAAAAATATGATAACATTGTAGAAATGATAGAAATATTTGAATAAATGTGGAACTAATTTAAGTTTGTTACATTTATTAATGAAGACATTGCTTTATTAGATAATGATGATTCTTAATTTTAATTGGTATTTACATATTCATAGGATTGTGTTGTGGATACATTATGATTTGATATTAAAATAATTATTGTAAATTATTTTTGTAATAGTAGCAGTATTAAGAATTATGAGAATAAATATAATCTTTAAATATAAAATTATTTAAAGAAGATATATATAATTAATTTTTACATGCATACCAACATAAGTAAAATCTTGACTAAAATTATAGACTATAAGAAATCTCTATCTCTTATATCTCTAAAGTCTTTTCTTATATTTGTATTAATAGGAACTAAAGTAGTGTAAAATAAATAATTAGGAAATATATTGGAAATATTATTATATATTATCAAAATCTACTTCCTTGGTATTAAATATTTTGGTAACCCATTCCAGATAAGTATTATAACCAGGCATTGGCATTGTACCATTGTTAGTAGTTATAATATTATTGAGCATAAGAGTTAAATTAAGAATAACTATTTTAGCCATTTTAAACCTCCTGACCTTGTTTTACATTCGAGAGAGTTTCTTCTTTTATATTTTTGACAGTCTCTCTTTACTCTTGTTCGTTGGATTTCTTTATTTTTCTAATTCTCTTTTGTTTTTTCCCAACACGACCTTCATGTTTATATAATGATAAAATGGCTTTGCCAGTGGAAAATTTAATTCCAAATTACTTGGCTGCCTACTTAATTGTACAGACTCCTTATTATACTTTATTAATAAAGGCTAATCTTGTTTCATCTGAGATTTTTGAATACTTCATTAAATCTAAATTTTTTCTTTTATTTTTCTTCAATTATGGGGAATTATTTGGAATTTAAATATTATACAGATCTAATTTAATTGATATAAAGTATTAGGAATTTGTTGTAAGAAATTTTAAATTAAATTTAATTGAGATATTTGAAGGTTAAAATGTTTGGATTCCTAGTTGTAGGGCTTAATTTATTTGTTATAATACTAATATATATTTAAGCAAGCTGTATTATTATTAATTTACATATTTTAGTTAAATTAATTTAAAAAAAATTCACAATCCAATTAAAACATAATGAAATGTATATTGATTAATTTGAACTCAATATCTATAAACTTGTTCATATTCTCCATATAAATGAATTAGTTTATTTTTAATTAATGTTGACTCTGGTTTCCAGAAGAATCTTAAATTAATCAATTTCAATCTGATATTATCCTTTGTCAATAAAATTTGCTTAGTTTCTAGTATTCTATCATATTAAAACAACATTTACAGTATTATTTTTTACGAAAAAAAATAGTTTATTTCATCAAAATTATTAGTTAAATTTAGAGTTTACATTTAATACTTATACTCTCTATCCAAAACTATTTTTTAGTAACCCAAAAACTCCTCTCTTAATTTCCTTATAAATATTCTTAATTTTAATTTTATTATTGTCTTTTGAAAATTTTAGGCTTATCAGCTGCAAAAGTTGGCCAATCTGATGATTTAAATGATGAGTTTTAATTAAATATATTTATTTAATCTAAATGAGTTCATTTGCAATACCGAATCTGACTTAATTTGTTACAATAAGTCCCAATATATTCAATCTAATAGAATAGGTAAAGATATACTACTTATATAAGCTGAATATTGTGTAAACTTCTTATTTAGGTTAAAAGAATTGAATTATATTTTATTATATGGTTATTGAATAGATCGAAGAACCTCTCCTGTCAATAGATCTAAGATAAAAAAAAATATTTATGTTTTTACTTATACTACTTTAGTATAAATGTAACTATTTTTCTCTAAGATTTATAAATTTCAAAGTTGGCTATTGAAGATTCTTTTATTTAGAATTTAGACCTTAAGATCTTTATACATTTAATATATAAATAATAATTTAAAATTTCATTAGCATTTTAGACAATTGACTGCCTGATTTGTAGGATATATGACTAAATAAATTTCTAAACACTTCATGCAATAACGATAGCTAGGAACTGATATTTTTGGAGGATGCTATTTATATCCATGACATTAAGCACAAGGATAAGCTTTATTACAACAAGCAAAGATAGGTATTGTATTACATGGTTATCTATGTTCACAATCTTAAGTATAGATGATATGAGGGAATGTATTCACATTTTCTTGAATTTTCTATTGAGATTCATCCAAATCTTATTCAGTTTATCCATCTGTATGCATAGAATCAAAATGATTATTAAATTCATTTTTAATCTCAGGAAGACTTGCCACCTTATCCAAAGCTTAACTTACAATACTATTCATCATCTATATTTCTTCTTATTTAAATCCTGGTATCTTCTATTATATAGTATTATTATTTTGAATTTATTCTTTAATTTATTAAGATAATCCATCTAATCGTTATTATTTCATTTCAATCTTTTGCAATCTAATAAGATTTAGATCTTGATCTTAGATAAACATTTCTTTATTGTCATCTAAAGCATACATTATGTCAGATTCTAATTGAGGAAAGTATGTCTACCAAGTCAAATCTAATTAAATTGTTCTTTTTTTGACAGCAAAATTAGTTTATGTAGCAATCTGAGTAATTTCTCTTATATGTTTTCCTTAGATAAACTCTATACTCTCAAAAAGTTCATCTTAAGTCATATCATAAATATTCTTTTTTATGAGTTACTCTACTTATTCAGTCAATCCATTTTCTTTATTTTCCCAAAAGAGAAAACCATTAACAGCACATATAATTCCTTGTTCTATTAATTTAAGCTTTTATAATATTTCTTTTGTTAATTACTCAAACTTTTATTTGACTTCTGAGACTCTTTCAGGCATTTTTTGAATAGAGCCACATTATTCCTAAAACTCTCTATATTTTTCATCAAAAAGTTTACAAAATTGTTATACTTCCATTGTCTCATGATTATTATGTTCTTCCAGTAAACAATATGCACATCCTAATCGTTTTTAAGCTTTGCATAAAGGATGTTAGCATATATAAATTAATTTATTTTTTTCATGATTCTTTTTATCACATACAGGTTCTAAATTTAAACCTAAGTATTTGATAACTGATCTTTAATGCATCTCTGTTCCTTTAGCAACAATAGAAGAATGTCTCTTTTGCATTCTAATATTAGATGGTATCTAAACTGCTGAAGATGACATTCTCTTAGTTGTTGGACTAATACCAGAAGGACTGTGTTGAGATGGACTCTGAGAACTACGATATGATTACTTAGCCCAATCTCTCCCACTCTATAACATAGATTCTTATTGAATTTCTGTTGTCTTTTTAGTGGGAGATTTAACATTCTGCTTTTAAGTGTTAGTTACCTAAGTTTTAGTACTCTTCTTCATTCTCTAATATCAATTTAGAATTTAATATATATATAAATAAAATTAATAACTCATAATATCAATAGGCAATACTTTATGTCTAAATCAATTATGCAAATAATTTTGAAGCAGATACATTCATCATTATAGTATTCTCATCATAATCATGATGACCTTCTACTTTTCCAAACAATGCAGTTTAGAAATCTTCTTCTAGTCTTGAAAACTTCACTGCCTCCTCTACTTCCAAATGATTATTCCAAATAAGTAGTGCTAAAATACATGATTTTAGATTTTCTATTTTTATTAATATTAATACCAACTTTTGCATCTAAACTTACTAATTACCAATTATTTAATTCACTCACTATTGTTTCAATTCTTATTTGATCTTATTATTTCAAAGGTTCAATATTTAATCCAAAATTCGTTTTCAAATACAATCCAAATTTCTCATTAAAAATTTTCAATTATGGGTCTAACTTCTCCTATTAAATTTTATATAATTTAGTATCTGGATTCTCTCTAAATAATACAGTATCCCTTTCTAAATAGCTAATAATTGATTATTCCATAAATTATCTTATCCTATCATCTGCTTCAATATCAATTGCATTCTTAGCTAAATTTAATAATGGCATAGTAGTTGGTCTTATATTATCTGTTTGCATATTAAATTCATGAGCAATAAAGGATGCTAATTGAGGGGATGGCACAGCTAGTGTATTCTTATAAGGAGTTTTGACTGTCTTTCCATCTAACTAATTTGATATAATATATTTATTTACTTTCACTAGCCATTAATGATATGGATTAGTTGGATTTGTGGCCATTTCAACTGTTGCTTCCTTATAAAATCTTTTTAATTATTTTGGCTATTAGACTTAAACTTATTCTGAAAATCGGAATCTAATTATTAATCTTCTCATTAAATATTATATTTGAAATCAATTGCAATAATGTAATATGCTTAATATAATTGTTAGAACTAAATCTCAAAATCTATAGGATATTTATATTCAAACCTTAACTTAAAAGATTCCCTTAAAATCAATAATATGGATTTCTACTTCTATAATATACTTATAGATGAGTTCATTATTTTCAAAACTTTCATCAATTTAATCATTATTTTTAGATTGGAATATCTATTTCTTGTAAATCATTCTACAGTTTGGCTTAAAAAGAATCAATAGAATATTTGAATCCATTTCATAACTCTATTACTTGATAACTCATTAAAAGAAGTATTAATTTATAGATATTCTATATATATATATATGATATGATTGTAATAATGCAATCATAAATCCTATATGATTGTAATTGAATAATCAATTACAGGTTTTCCAGGCTGGTTCATTTGAATACCATTTTTCAGGAAATTATGAATAAAACAACATAACTTCATTTTTGAATCTTAGGTATTCTTTGAAGTTATTGGCTTCTCCATTCAGAATGAAGAGAGACGCTCTTTAATTCAAGAACCAAACCATGTATGACTGAAAGACACATTTCCACAATTTTAATTAAGGTGTATCCTTTTAGTCTATAATAAGTTAATTTTTGAGGCTTCTAAATCCATTTATGTTATGTAAGTTTTTTTGGTAATAATCTATAAAATGAGAGGTTTCTTGCTGCAGTTCCATTTATAGAAATTCAACCTATTTTCCTCTTCTCATAGATTTCACAGCTTATCTTAAAATGTTTCTACAGATGTTTTTTTTGTAGTCTCTTTTAGAAGGAGATGATTTTGATCTTTTAAACTGGTTTTCCTCCCAATTCATAAACTTATCTGTATCCTAATGACTACCATCTGTGTCATCATAAAAGATTAATGCTGCTTCATTTACTTCATGATAACTTGCCTCAAATTCTTGCATTTCAAAATAGTATGATGTCATTTTGACACCTGATTTATTTTTATTTTAATATATACTTTTATTAAGTCCAGGATTAGAATAAATACTGGGATTTTGTATTTTTAATTTTTTTATTTAAATTCATTAATTATATTATTATTCTATATAAAATCAGAACCTCTTGAAATATTATATCTTCATATATTATTATTTAATAAGAAATTAATAAATGAAGTTTGAAGTAAAAAATATAAAACTTAATGGTGTAATTAACTCTATTCATGATAGTATATATATATTAGATAATTTATCATAAAGTAATTATGTATTTTTGTTATTAATTATTTAATTCTTCTTTTTTTACAAAATTAAGATTCTTTTATAAGCAATAATCAATAATAAAACCTATAATCAAACAGTAAATTTTCTTCTTTTCTCTTTAAACTTTTAGAATTAATTCAAAAATCCATTAAGATTCTGATAATTTAAAATAAATAAATTAGTTTATGATAATTCAAATTACTTTAAGCAATCTGATATGCTCTACTAAGATTGAAATCTTTTATTGTCAAGAATATTTTTTTATTATGTTCAGATTATTATCTAGATCAAATTATAATCAAGAATTGTTTAAGAAAATTAAAGTGGCTTTTACCAATTTAAAAATCTAGAATTAAATACTCCTTTTAAAATTTGATATAAATTATTTTATTTTTTAATATTTTAATCAAATATGTAAATTAATTTATTCGATTTGTAATAATGATCAAATTTTATTCATATTATGGGATTGAATCAATGTAATTTATAAGAATTGTAATTATATTAACTAAAATATTGAGAATTTTGAGAAAATATATCTTATATATAATAAAAATATTATTTTGATTATAAAATATAATGAATATAATGAATATGATTAAGAATATTGATTTAATTATGACTTTTGAATAATTGATCAATTAATAATTATAAATCATGAAGAGGTATAGTTTCCCACTTAATGCTCGAGTTCTGCGACCTTTTGTGTAGCAGCAATTATTAATTGTTAGATTTGACTTTTTTCCTTTTTGATTTCAGTAATTTGGGACTGTAATTTAGAGTTTTCATCTTTTTATGTGTTGATGGCCTAAAAAAGTTTCATAGTTTTTTACTTATCTTAAGTCTCTTAACATAGCATCTAAAGTAGGTTAGGTTGTATTTTTGATTTCTTCATTGTTATTTGTGATTCTCTATTTCATTAAATGCAATTCCTATTTCAATTGGTCAATCTCATGTTTATAACTTTAAAGTAATTCATTTGATAATTCTGTGATGTTCTAATATAATATGAAAATAAAGTATACATTGACTAAAAGTAAATGATTTTTTGCATTAGTGGCTGATTCTTAATCAAGTTTGGAACTATGAGGTTATTGTACATCCTACATTTTTATTAAATAAAAATATATAAATAATATTAGATTAACAAATTGATAATGGGAAATAATTAATCATGTTGTTCAGTTCGAATAAGACAGCCTACAAATACATTAGATAAGAAAGAAGTGTTTCTATTATGTGATGTCTTAAAACATTCCTAAGAGGACAATCATACAACCTACTTGGATAAACAATGTTTCGAAAGAATATTCTAAGACAATCCTTTATTTGGAGAATAAGTGTTTGAATATTGTTCACATATATTATAAGCTACTTAGTTGCCCCTTGAAGGATGCATTAATATACGTAAGAGTTTATATCACATTCTAGTTTAGGGTATACTAAGTACTTCTGACATAACACCAATATTACTATAGATTTGTATGGAAAACTATGATGGAACAATTCAAGTAATAACAGTTTAGTAGGCATTCCAATTCATAGGAGTAAGATAAATATTTGATAATTTAAGTTAATAACATCTATTTTCCTAACATTTTGTATAAGGAAATAACAAATTGATGCACAAGTCTTAGAAATTCTTATCCATTCATTATTTAAAGAAAAGTAAATGAAGACTAATGAATTTTTATCAATAATTGAAGCTAATTTTCCATACATTCAAAAACTGATACGACTATATTTATCTTATCGATTATTATAGAAACCATTTAATTAAATGAGAGTTGCAAAGATAGATAAAGATTCATTCAGTCTGAAATATGAATGGTTAGCAATAATGGGTTTAGCTACTTCAGAATTGCATCGTCATGGATAAGTGACATTATTATATCAATCTGCTTTACAATCAATTAATTTATAAGAAATATTAATTTCAATGCAATAGACTTAAACTTTATTGGTAGTTACATTTTAAGATGAATAAACTAATAAGAAATTAACTTTAGCAATTTATAACAAACGTTAATGGTAAGTAGATTGTAAAGAAACAGAAAGTATTATTGCATTTCAAATATCACCAATTTTTTATATATATAGAAGTTAATTTAAAAACTATTTTAATAATAATGGTTTTGGATTTTCACTTGATTAAAAGACTAATAGATATTTATTATGGTTAGGAAATTAAAATAGTTATTTTTAGAATTCTTAAAGAGTAAATTTATATATAAATTATTAGTTATTAACAGTTGAAGTTTGGAGATGTGAAGAATTATAATCTAAATTAAGAAAAAGTGTAATGGATGAAGATAGAACATCTACTTTAAGTCCTAAAGAATAAAAAAAGAGAGTTTCTTTTCGTTTATTAGATGAAAATTAACCTTCAAGGAAAAGTAATTCAGTAACACCAATTACAAAAAAATTAAATTTTATTGAAAATGTTCCACCTAAATCATAACCACCTACTCCTATGTAAACTTTGTAAAATATATTATTTAAATTAGTCAAATACAAACTCTTTAAGATGATTAAGAAAGTCCAAAATCTCCTCATTTTAATAGTGATAATCCTCCAACATTTAATAATCCTTAAGCTTAGGTTTTGAAATCTTACCCAAATTCATAAAATTTAATTAATAATAATATTTAATAATAGAGTAAGTAATAAAATCGACCATCATAATCAATTATTGAAAAATATGGAAATGGATAAAGATAAACAAGAAGTGTTTCAAATAATAATGAAGTTAGAAAAAGTGTAGATGATATTCTTAAAAGATATGATAAGAAATAATGAATCTATATATCTATGTATATTTTATATATATATAATCATAATGAAATTTCAAATTCATCTTGACTATCTTAATTTTAAATATCATCTCTTATATCTTAATTTTCAAGTAAAGAAGTATTCATAATTTCATTTTTGTTTATTTTAGAATTTTCACTATTTGTTCTTTCATTTAAATCTATTTCAAATTATTTTGATTATTATTATTATTATTATTATTATTATTATTATTATTATTATTATCTTAATTATTTGACTAATTATCTACTTTTTTTAGTTTTCTTTTTATTAATATGCTTATGTTTTTTACTTTTCTTTTTTACTTTAACTTCATAAACTTGATTGCAATCTGAACATTAATTTTAAACTTTTAGATTATTTTGAGTTTTAATTTTTTTAATATTTTGTTTAATATTATCTTTGGTTTTAATAATTTATGATTTAGTAGAAACATTTTGTATTTCATCAATTTCTATACTTTCTGAAAGTTGTGTATTTTCATTTGTACTTTTTGCATCTTGATCAGTTTTTGAGTTTTATTCATATAATTATTAAGAAAGTTGAGCACATTTTTCATATAATTCTGCAATTGTTTAAAGATGAATTGCTAGTGGCACAAATTTCATAATAAGTAATTAATTGTCAATATGATATAAAATGTCTCCCTAAGATTTATATTCTATGAAATTCCTTATATTATTTAAAATTCCTGTTAAATTTTTTCTATTTGTTAAATAATGAAATAAATTACAAAATATATATAGCCATTTCCCTCCATTGATTATGGAGAACAATAAAAAGACATGGATGAAGAATCCAGTCAGATTTGGATGTATTCACTTTAAAATGAGTTTCGATTATACTAATTTACTATTGTTTAGTCCACATTCTACTACAATACTTTAGTGTGCTTACCTACTGGATTAGGCAAGACATTTATAGCTTCTATGGCAATTATTAATTTTAGTCGATGGTTTCCAAAAGGTAAAATCTTCTTTTTGGCACCAACACGACCTTTAGTAGCATAATAACATGAGGCAATGAAAAAATTTGGAATTGATGGAAAATTATCAAAAAATGATAGAACTTATCAATCTTAAATCTATTTCTCAACACCCTAAACTCTAGAAAATGATTTGAATGAAGATTTAATTCAAAATATAGTTCTAGTTGTTTTAGATGAGGCTCATAAAGGAGTAGGAGAATATGCTTATACAAATATAGTAAAAAGACTCCTTTATAATACAAGAATTATAGCATTAAGTGCAACTCCTGGTAATAATATAGAATAAATTCAATAAGTAGTAGCAAATCTTAGAATTGCTAAGATAGAAGTATATATAATGAATATATTATGTTATTAGTTAAGAGATGAGTATGATCCAGAAGTAATTCCTTATTTAAAATTTAAATCTATTGAAAAGATTGTTGTCTCATTTGATAATTGTTAAATCTTAGATGATCTAAATAAATAGATGTAGCCATTACTTAATATCATATTAAGTTTTGGAATTCTACCTGTAGAGTTAATTAGAGTTTGTTCTAGAGCAGACATATTTAGTTATGGTGCTTGTTTTAAACTTCGCGAATTTTTGACAAATTCACATTTATAATTTCAAATTGGATAATAAAATTCAAATAAAGTATTTGAGCATTTATCTCATCTACATAAATTATCTTATGCCAAAAAGATATTATTAGAATAAGGAATTTAACCATATGTAAAATATATGGAATTAGATGATATTGAAGAAGTCCATCCTAAAATTTATAAATTAAAAGAAATATTTAAGAATCATTTTGCATAAAATCAATCTAAAGTTATTGTCTTTACAAATAGTAGAGATAATGCTTAATTACTATGTAATCATATCAATTAAGTTGAAAATGTCAAAGCATCCATCTTTGTAGGTTAGGCAAGTTCTAAAAATCAAGCAGGAATGAAATAAAAGGAATAATTACAAGTTATAGATGTATATTCTCAATACTAAGTAGAAATTTAAAAATGAGTTAAATGTTTTAGTAGCAACATGTATTGCTGAAGAAGGACTTGATATTGGAGAAGTTGATTTGATTATATGTTATGATAGTGGATTCAGTCCAATTAGAATGATATAGAGAATGGGTAGAACTGGAAGAAAAAGAGATGGAAAAATTATTGTCTTATTAACTGAAGGTAAGGAGGCAGCTGATTATGAAAAGTCAGTCAATAAATACTCTAAATTAATTAAAGAGCTTAAAGATTATAATATTAATTTATATTCAAGTAATCCAAGAATTTTATAATCTCAACCATAAATTTAATTTATTGATGGAGATATTAATTAAATAGATATTAAAATTAAATAATAAGATCCTATTAAAACTAAAAACAAAGATCTTAAAAAATAAAAAAGAAGTATTAAAAAAACTGAATAGTAAGAGACTAAATAAATTAAATTAGAAAAATTCTTTACTAAAACTTTAAAGGACATCTCAGAAGAAACTGAAGAAAAATAACAAACTTAATAATAATTTTAACCTTTATTATTAGCATCAAATTCATTGACTAAACCAAAAAAAGTATAAGGAAAAAAGATTCAATTAGGAAATATTGATAAATTCATTAAACCAAAGGAAAAAGGAGAAAATATTTAAAATAACAAGTTACAAATAAAATTATAATCAAAGCCATCTGTTGTTGAAGATAAGTTTATCATTTAAATTAATCAAAAACCTTAGTTATAAGAATAAGATTTAACAGTGTCAAGTTTAGAATAGTTTAATGAACTCCTAAAGAAGCAACAGAATTAAAATTTTGATTAAGATTCTAATACTATGTTTCAATTTTTAGATAAATTAGATTTTGAAAAGATTAATTTGAATAGCTAAGAAATTCATGAATCTGATTTGGATCTATCTAAAATAGCTGAAGAATATATATCTGATTGATTACTTTACAAATAAGGAAATTTATATTATTTCAATAATATTATCTGTCACTATGAATAAAAGAAATTAAATTTTTTTAATCAACTTAATTTATTATTTAATTAAATTAAGTATATTTTTTTTTATATTATTATAAAAAATTAATGATAATATTGATCAAATAAAAGATTCAATATATAATTATAATAATTTTACTTTAATTTTAGTATAATTGAGAAAAGGCAATTCAAAATTTTGTTTTTTTAACTTAATTATCTCTGTAGTATTACTAATTTGCAAAAGCTTAATGAATTAAATATTTCTTTTCCAAATTACATAATTCTCTAGTTTAAGGTGAATAGGATGGAGATTTTTTTGAAGAATTCTCTTGATTTTCAAAACTTTTAACATTTGAGGGTCTTGTAATTCCTGATGCAATCATGTTTTGACTAATTTCTATTTAATTTCTACTATTACTAGATAATCTATCACATTTGTGATTAGAACCTAAAATATTACTGTAAAGAGAAAATTATTAAGCTTTATTTATTTTTGAGATATTAAATTAATCTACTATCATTTTCTTTCTATTTGAGCGTTGATTACTATATTAATATTCTTATAAATTATAATCATCTTCTTTATCAATATATTAATAATCATAAAGTACTCTTTTTTGATCAATATCTTATTTATAATCAATTAAATCTTCCATTTATAGAGAATTCCCTTCTTCAATTTTATGTTTTTCATTACTACAAGGTGAATAACATTTGTATGTATTAACTCTTCTTGTTATTTTTGGAAATTGGATTGGTGAATTATCTTCTTGTTTTCTCATACTTTCTGATTTTAATTTAATTTAATGTGGTATAATATTTTTTCTTTCATACAATTTCTCTTAAGTTATTATTTCACTTTGTTCTTTTGTATTAAATGGTTTTCCAATTAATGTCATTTTTTTTCTATATACTTTTGGATTCTTGAGATTTAATAATTCATAGAGTAAATAATTTTATTAAGGGAAAAGTAAATCTGCAAGTTTTTAAATTAAGATGATAAAATTATCAAAATTTAATTCCATATTTTTATCAGCATTTTGTTTATACATTTAAACGAGATAAAATTTGGTTAATATGAAATTAGATCTATTATTATTTTTATAATTGTAATTAATTTGCTATTTTCGAAGATTATTAATTTTACCACCTAAGAGTGATATTAGATTGTTTGAGATTTCTAAATCAATCAATTTGAAATCTTTACAAAATATCATAAACTTTTATAATATCATAGTGTTGGAAAGTTGTTATAGTTTTTCAAATGTTTAGTATTTATTGGTTGTAATTGGTTATTTACAATAAAAATTATAGATTTCTTTGAAATTTTTGAGTTAATCCTTATCTAAATTTATATATTCTTATCTAATTTCATTTAGTTATATATGATTGACTGGACTTGAAGGTTATAGCTAATTTTGATTGGCATAAACATTGAATGAATGAGCAAATTTCAAGTGTTTATTATTCTTTAGTATAATTTATTTATGTTTTTCAAATTATTATTGTTAGAATTCTGATATGCTAACTTCATGTTTACTTTATTTTATTTCACTTTCTTTATATATTTAAGATTCCTTTAGATTACATTAATAAGAACAATCAGGATCATTAATTTCTGTCAAGACTTGTTTTAATTCAAGATCAGAATCTATTTGTCTTTAATTATCTGAAGACAAATTACTTTAACTACTCATTGGATTTACAATATTTTCAGAGTTTTTGTCTTCAACAACTTAAGGTTTCTTAATATCGAGTAGATTGAGTACACTGCTGTGATTACTATTTGGAGTAGACTCACGTTTATAATAAGGTTTTAAGTTTGAGTATTGTTAATTAGGATTTTTTTAATTTTGAGGAGAAGTAAGATGATTAATAATCATTGATTCTTCTATAAAGTTAGTCATAATTAATATTTTTGTTCGTTAAAATAAATGTAGACGATTATTACTCAATGCCAAGATTTAGATGAAGAGTATAGATAACTTGTTTAAACAATAAATAATATGTTAGACAATCTGAGTATAGTAAGTCTTGAGTTTGTCAATTCAAAATTAGAATTTTTAGAAAAATACTCTAATACACTTAAGTCAAGTTAAATTGATGCTCGAATCCATAGAAATTCATAAATGAAGAACTTAATAGAATACATTAAGATGCATTGGAAATCACAAGTGAAATCTCTTGCATAATCTCCTCCAGCAAAGATGGCTCATCATCGTCCTAAATATTCATTTAATGAGAAAGCATTTTCATGCATGTTGTATAGTAATATGAATCAAATGACACAATAAAAAACTCAGAATAATGAACTTGATTAATCTTATTAGAAGTATACTCTAAAACACAAAAACTTAAATATATTATAAAATTTGATAGGAAAATAAAAGTTTGATTAAAAGAAGGGGAATGAAGATATGTTCAAATTGCTATAAAAATGCATGCATTTGATCTCATAGAAGTAAGAATTTTAAGATGAATATGAAAATTTATAGAAAGAATATAGAGATATAATTAAGAGTAACTAGAGTTTGTAATACAAAGTTAATCTTGATTAAAAATCATCAAAATTGAAAGAGAATTTAAATTAATTAATGGTGAGTCATGAATCTTTTAAATCGTACCTCAATTCAGTTATTTGATTAATTATATACTAATATCCTTTTTTTTATTATAATTATCTCATTTTTGGAATAATTTAATTTTAATTAATATTTCAATTTATACTATTTACAAAATTGAATGAGCAATAATCAATACAATAATAAAAAGTTGGCTCCATTTAAAAAATAGAGAGACACTCTCAAAGAAGAATTAAAAAGACTCTAATAAGAATAGACAGAAGAAGAGAAATAAAATGATTACTATTTTGATGAGATAGGTCGTGTTGAAAAAGTATTTAATGAAATATATATTAGGAATATGAATCTTTAATTAAATCTATTGAAGAATATAGTAAACATAATTAGACATTAAAAACCATTCGTCAAACAGATCAAAATCAAGGTTTAGATGAGACAATAGAAAAAAATGTGATTTAAACATTAAATCTATTTCTTCTTAGCACTAGCAAAAAAGAGTATTTAGAAAGCATTTAAGAACAAGAAATATCAAAGAAATAGTTATAAGTTGGAAATTTGATTATGACTTAAAATTAGTTAAATGAAGACAATTAGAAAGAATAAGAAATAGAAAAAGTTATTCTTGATAATGGATACTATATAACATTGAAATAGGGCAGTAGCTCATTAATTGTTAAAGTACCAGGAACAGTAAGGACATTTAGAGAATTAAAACAAATAGTAAAATCATGTTGTATGGCTGAAGAATAAGAGATATTTTATACAGATTTAATGGGAAATATACTTTAACCTGAAATGAATGTTTTAGATCAATTATATCCACCAATTTATGAGTTACTTAAAAATTATTAACCTGTTATATGCATACAAATAGTTAAATAAAAAAAAGTAAAAGAAGATACAAAATAAACAGAAGCAGATTTTGGTTTTGATGGAGGTATTTAAGAATTAATGACTAAATAACTTAGATCAATTAGAAGAATTGAAAAATCTATTAATTGGTCTAAATATATGGATTATTTAACTAGTTTTAAATATGTATTAGAATCTATATTGTTTTTATCACTCTTAATTCTATATGCAATTGTAGAAATCAATGAAAATGATTTTTTCACCAATTCTCAACTTTTATTGAATTTGAACATGAATATGGCAATCTAAAAATCATACTTATCTCCAATAAATAATATTTCTTAAATTATTTCTTTAACAATTCCAAATGGATCATCTCATGGTTTGAGTCCAACATATCCTCTTTAATCAGGATTGCTTGTATAAACTCTTGTTGGTATAGTAAATATTTAATGATAATTAGGATGACATCAAAAATTGTGATATATTAAATGAAAATCAAAAATAAATTTATGTTGATAAAAATTAATCGTGTTTGATGTTTGACATAACATAAACAACAGATTTACAAAAGAATTACTCAAGACTTAATTTTGATCCTAAGGTCTATAATGAATAATTTGGAGGTTATGTTTGGGAATTCAATATGAGTACTAGGTAATCATTTTAAGAAAGTTATGATTTGATGATTTCTGAAGATTGGTTTCAATATAATGTAAAACAAACTCAATTCATTTTGAATTATTATAATAGTCCTACTTAAAGAGTAGTATCTGTCACTATCACTACTCTGTATCTTTTTAACGATGTACATATATTTTTTAAATGATATCTAGCGTTTACTTAATTATAATAGTTTTTAAGCAGAAGGTTTTAATTTAAGTGAACTTCCAGAGTAAGTACTAGTTAGTAAAAACATAATATTTTATTGTTCAATAGTTCTATTAATATCCTCATTTTTTGGTAAATAATCAATTAAATTAAACTAGATTTCTTTGGTTTATATTTTGAAGGGACTAAAAATAATTTAATTTTAATTTACTTACAATATTTAGAATTATTGAATAGGAAGAAAAAGATGGAGGCTAAGAAAAAACAGATCAATGAAAATGATTAAAGAGAAATATAATAAAAAGAATTAATTGTAGGAGAATATGTTATTATCAATTTAAAAGTGATTTATATTACAATTAGAATTCCACTAGTTTTTGATTATATTTGTAATTATTATTATTTTATTTTAGATATCTTATGCCAATTTGGAATGGTTATGAAGAATACTGTTGATTCTTATTATGAAGAAGCTTTAAAGGAAATAGATTTGAATTCAGATTAATATTAAGATACAAATGCATTAATAGAACCATTGTTTGTTGGTAGATTGTTTTCAGCTATTTTGGTGATATTTTTGATGATTTCTATAGTAAGATTTATGGGGAATTGGAGTCCATATTTAAAATGTTATGGATTGGTTATGATAAGGGTATTTGATATTAATTCTAATTTAATAGTTTAATAAAGAGTCTTGGTTCTTATTACTTGTTTTGATGTATATAATAAGTGTTTGTGCTATGTCTTGGATTGTAACCATTTAAGGTAAATTAGTAAATCATGATAATTTCTTTTATACTTTTTTGGGATTACTTAGATGTACCTTAAGGTTTGGATTAGATAATGATCTAGAATAATAAGGATTCTATAATACTTATGCAAAAGATATTATCTATTCTTTTGAGACAAAATATGTAAAAAAGATTATTAAATTATTATATTAGTTGTAATACATTATAATAATAACCATCACAATGATAATGATTCCCATATTTATTTCTCTAATGACTGATTTAGTTCAAAATACTAAAGTAGAAGCAAAACAGAAAATAATGGAAATGAGAAAACAAAATTAAGAATGATTTTAGTATACACAGACTCAGTTTATATTATATTTGAACTCTTTTTTTAAGCATATTTATCTAAATATATAATCTAAAATTTGATTAGCATAGATACTCTATACACACAAAGTGGTTATTATTAATTATTAATATCGTTAATGAAAAATTATTCATCTTAACCATAATAATCTAGTGGAAGAGTTAGTTTGCCAGAGAATCCATATTCTATAGATTTTAAGGCAAAAAAGAGTAATAGCAAAATTATGAAGACTGAAAGTACAACTACTACAGCCAAAAATCCAAAATAAGACTTATTAGAGTACTTTAAAAAAGAGAGAAATACTATTACATAAGTCTCTAATAATATCAAGTCTTAATTGTAACAAAGCAGAAGTATTGATAATTTAAATAGTCAGAAAAGTGAACGATTAAAAATATCAAATGTAATCCATCTATATAATTTAGCGTATCCAAACAGAGGAAAGTAATTCAAATAAGAAATCACTTTTAAAAGGAAAGAATCTCTCTCTTGCCACACTACAAATTGAAACAAAACATTCAAAAAATACTATCAAATATAATAATATAATGAAGATGCCTTAAAATAGCAAATAATTACCAAAATCTACTGTAGACCAATATTTTCAAGATCTTTAAATAAAGAGTGCTAAGGAATAAAATAATATATAGCCTATTGACTATTAATAATATTTTACAATTAGATAAAATAAGTAATCTTTACTGTAAGATTCTCAAACATTAAAGTACTCAATTGAATAGATTCTAAATAAAAATAAGAACTAATTCCATAAAAATAATACTGAAGTGAGATCCATAAATCAATCAACATAATAAAGAAGTGATTCATTAAAAAAAAATCTTAGAGAAGAATCTAATCATTTTGATTCATAAAAGTAGTTAAAGATTATTTTAGTTTATAAAGGATAAAAGTAATTACTTATTTAAATACAATAGATATCATTATCATTATAATTTCATTGGTTAGACTACTGACAATTTATACAATTATTTAATATAATAAATTGCATGCATTGAAAAGTCATTTATGAAATAAGGAGGAGGTACAGGATCAACAGAAGAAGTCTAAATTTAAGAAGGTTTAAGTATAAATTATTCATAGAAATCAATAAAATATGTTAATTCTAAACAACCTAAAAAAACATCCCTTATGATTATTATCTAAATATGCATAATTTACCTTTGAATGTATTTTAAGGTATTACTCTACAATTATAACCTTTGATTTCATAACCTCTTCATGGAAAGAAAGTATCATTAAGAGACTTCACTTTGGTTAAGTGTATTGGAGTTGGAGGATTTTCAAGAGTATATTTAGTAAGGAAAAGAGACAATGGGAAATTTTATGCTTTAAAATTGATTGACAAAAATTTCATCATGGAAAACTAAAAGGAAGTAATAGTCTAAAATGAAAGAGATATTATGGTTAATATGAATAACGAATTTATTACTCCTTTACATTTTGCATTTGAAACCAAATATTATATAGCATTTGTATTGGATTATTGTGCTGGAGGTGAACTATTTTATCATCTAAGAAAATTAAAAAGATTAACTGAAGAAGATGCAAAATATTATTTTGTTGAAATATGCATAGGAATGGCATATTTACATTCAAAAAATATAGTTTATAGAGATATTAAACCAGAAAATATACTTTTAGATTTAAATGGACATCTTTTATTAAGTGATTTTGGATTAAGCAAACCAAATATGTCCAATGAAGATTTAGCCTATTCTTTTTGTGGATCTCCAGAGTATATGGCTCCAGAGATGCTCATGAAAAGTGGGCATAATTATTTAGTTGATTGTTATTGTTTAGGTGCTCTTCTATATGAATTAGTTACAGGTTTACCTCCTTTTTATTCACATAATACTCAGGAAATTTATACTTCCATCTTATCTGAACAAGTGTAATTCCCTCCTTATGTTTAAATATCAGACCTATTAAAAGATTTAATTTACTAACTCTTGGAGAAGGATCCACAAGAGAGATTGGGATAATCTTAAGGTATAGTTGAAATCTTGAGTCATCCTTGGTTTGCTGATATCAATTTTGAAGATATAATTAATAGAAAAATCAACCCTCCTTATAAACCAGAACCACTAAAATACAATTTTGATGAAGAAGAATTTAATAAAGGTGATTCTGAATTTAGGAAATAATATACAATTAATCTCTAAAAAGAATATGTGGTATGAATTCTAAATTATTTAGAATACCGATAATAATCCAAATTTTATATTAAAAAACTTTTACTTCTCTAGAGAAGATCTTCCTTAGAAACCTGGGCACAAATTAAATAGATCTAATCATGTCAATTTAGCTTAACTTAATGAAGAGATTGTACCTAATTCTGATATCAATTCCCCAGAAAGACCAAGAGTATTATTTATCTTTTTTAATTTATTAGTAAATATCTCCTTAAGAAGTTAAAAGAGTACCAAAATATTCTGGTAAATCTGAAGTTTCAGATCTTTTAAAGAGGAATGAATTTTCAAATAAATCTGCTTCCTTAATCTAATCCTCCAAAATTACTCATGCCTATTCTAAGACAATGTAATAATAGAACTAAAATCAGGATATCAAAGTAATACTCATTATATATTTTAGGTACTCAAATAAATTCTAGAATCAACAAAAGGTCAAATGAGTTCTGAAAGAACTGCTACTATGCCTGATTAAAACCTTCATAAAAATGAAAACAATAGAATCAAAACTGAATAGTTTGCTTAAATATTATACCCTAAAACTACTACAAATTATTAGTTTCATAAAAATTCGAATATGTAAAAATTATTTGGGTCTGAAAAGAGATAAAAATGAATACCATTCTTTTTATTTAAAAATAAAGATTATATAATTATATTACATTTCATATAAAAATTTAATTATAAATAATAAAAATGATCTAAATATTTGCATAATTGATAAATACCTTTTTTAATAAAGACTAATCCAGACATCTAAATATCTTATGTTTAATATTTTTTATTATTCTAAAAAGTAATATTAGAAAAAAAGATAAGTTTTACTTGTATACATTTTTTATTTATCAATGATAAATATTATAAATATATCATTTTATAATTAACATTGATTATAAAATAAAGGAAAATAATAATACATAGAAATTGATTAATGTTATATAATTTGATGGATCAAATTAGAATTGAATAAATTTTATACTTAATTTTAATAAAAATCTTTATAATTAGAAGATGAATAATCAAATACATTAAGAAATAAAATATTATTTTAGATTAGTTTTTAATTTATGATAACACATAAATGAAAGATATAAATCAGAAACAAACAGTGGAATGAACATGCCAATTACTTTTATATACCAATTAAGAATTTGATATTACTTATAAACTAGATAGTCGATTGTTTTAATCTTCTACTATTACTCTATGTCTACCAGTAGTGATATTCCATACTACAATTCCATAAGAACTTAAATGGAAATAAACCAGATTTGAGAATGAATTTATAGTAAGTTCGCTTATTTAATCTTCTCCATAGTGTTTCTTTCTTAGTAATTTCATAGTTTAAATGTTCCAAATTCTATTTTTTGATTTATTACTTGTAACAATAAAAGAATTATTGTTGCTTGTTTTGATATTTATATTGCCATCTTAAACATTAAAAAAAGTTCGCTTAATTATCTTAAGATTTCTTCTAAGTTATAGTATATTTATTTGACCCCTATCATCATGACAGTCAATAGTGCATATTTGTTATTTATTTTTTAGAGAAGTTAAAGAGACAAATTGAAAATCTATTTATTTTTATATCTATTTAGTTTTATAGTTTATGATGCTAATATGAGATAATCCCATCATTAAGGCCTCATGATTTTGAGATGAATTAAATTGCAATATCTTCTAATATAAATAATGTGATTAAACTATTTCCTCATATTCCATGTTAGACAATTTATAGATATAAATTTTCTTAGGATTTTATTTTGATCTAATTAGTTAGTATTTACCATCTCCTGAATACAATATTTACATAGGAATAAAGGAGAGTTGATGGCATGATAATTTCAAACAATTTACAAAGTCCCAAAAGATTAGACACTTATTAGTATATCCAACACAAATAATTTTGCGACATGGTGAAATATCGAAACATTGTGGTTTCATTTTAGAAATACGAAATATTTAAGAGTTCCCTTATTGATTCTGCCACTTCTTCAATTCATTATTTGTCTTTATCATTAATATGAAAGATTAATTATTGACTAAATAAAAGCATTCTTTTTTTTCTTAATATTATTTTAATAATATATATATAATTTACAATAAGTTAATATTTTATTAATATAATTTCTTTTGAAAGTAAAATGAATTAAAGTACATATCTTGAATCAATAAGATTCTTTTACCTTCCTTATGTTCAATTTAAATAGTGTTTTATAAGATAAAGAAAATAAATTTATCAAATTATTATATTCAATCTATCAATTGTAATTTTAATCTTAGAAATAATTTTTTAACAAATAAAATCAAGAAATTAATATAATATGATTAATTCATTGTTGTTTTTGGTTATGATACTAATTTGATATTTATTTAGAAAAAGAGAATGAGAAGGATATGTTTTTGTTTATGGATTTATCAATAATTCATTCCATTTCCAATTTATAGTTGTAAAGGTCGCAACTTTGTAATTTATTATTTTCTATACTATGTACTACTCTGTATCCAGAATTAAAATAGTAGATAGGAAAATCTTATGGAGGAGATGCAAAAGTATCTACTGGATCATAGGTAGTGACAGCTACTTAATTTTCGTTTAGGACTGGAGGGATAATGATATTATAAACATTAAAAACGCTTTGTTTTAATGTATTTCTACGAAGGATCCCTTGTAAATTTCCAAATTTAATAGGTTTACCCCATGATGCCCATTAGCCATTAAAATTATAAAGCGTATTTATTGTAGTTGATTATGTTGAAACATATACAACTTTAATAGATATATCATTACGATCATAATGAAATAGATTAATAGTAATTTGAGATGCATTTTAGGTTGTGGAATGGATGAGGGCTGATTAATAGTTATATACATAAGGTGAATAAAATCCTTTAAGATTAATTAGGCCATTTCTAATTGGTGAAATGATATTATTTTTTACTAAAGAGTCGACCCAAAATGCTCCCCAAGTGAATTCAACTACTATCAATTTGTAAAATGACATGTTATCTTATGAATAAGATTCATAAGCTACATCTGTAATATTGATTTCAGATGTCATTGTAAAATAATTCTTATCAAGAACGTTTTGGGTTGTCTTAATACTCCAATCTGATGCTGACAATACTAAAGTGAATAATGTGACCTTCTTTGATTATACGGTAAATATTGTATTTAGGATACTAGAAACACTGATTACTGTTTCATTTAAATTAGGGAAATACACAATATCACCAAATTAAGAGTAATGAGTTTGATTAATACCTTTATAAGCAACTAAATAAGGTCCTTCTCCATTCTTTTAACAGCCTACAAAGAACAGATCAGAGCTTTATTTGAATATCCAATTGCAGTTATGAGTCTGAGTCTTTGGAATAGGCACTGAACTCAATATGTTAAGATCTTCATCAATTATAAGGACTCTTTTTTCTGCTAAGATGGCATCTGCTCCATTTGAAAGTTTGACATTCGAAATAAATTTTCCAAAATACTCATTATCGAACTCGATATAATCATCACAAAATGCCATACTTTTTTATGCATTGCTTTGCATAACTATGAATGAGAAGATGTATAATAAAATCATGAAAAATAAATGATTGATTTTATATTTAGATTTGTTTTTCTTTTAAATTCATCAAATTCTATAACTATAAATCATAATAAACTAAAAAACAAACTTGGTTTTTGGGTTATCAATTAATAGATTCTATTTTAATTTATATAATATAAAGTCTTTAACTTTAGTTATAAGATGGAGAAGGTTTATGATTAGATAGCTTAAAAACCTTCAGAGTAATTTAATTACTTCAAAACTAATTTTTTATTTCAATATTATAGTTTTTTAACAAATATCATTATTATTCAACTTGAAATCTCAAATTAAACAAACACTTAAGTTTTTTAAGTGAAAATAAGATGGAGCGTCATTAATTTCATATCAACTCTAAATTATTGTAAAAATAATTTATTAATAACAATTAAATTTATTATAACACTAATATAAAATAATTTTATATTTCTTCCCATTATAAGAAAAACTACAATTTCATATTTTAGCAGTTTTGAGAATTTTAAATTTAGTGAAGGTTCCCCTTCATTTTCTTTATTTTTTCTTAAGAATCAAATACTCTTCTTTTGTCTATGCTTAACAATATATAATTTTAGAAATATTAGGATATTTATATAAAGGTATTGCTTTCAGCTTCTTTTGGAAATTATTAAATGTATATGATATTTAAATGTCATACTTTAACATTCATTTGAAATAGCTTTAATTATTATATCAATCTTTATATTCTCTCATTTTCTTCATTCAAGATATTTTATAAAAAAGTTTTTTAAAGCTGTTATTTAAGAAAAAAAATGTTCGGCAGTTTAAATCCTTTATTTAAGGAAATCAGATGATATATTATGAATAGAAGCTGCTTAGGATGTGTATCCATTATACTTAAAAAAAAGAGATTAATTATATATTCTAAAACCTATATATATATATACAAAATTTAAAAATAATTAAAATCAATAAAGAAAACTGACACAAAAATAACAAAAACAAAAACAATATTTCAATTACAAAGACAAACAAACTAAAATATCATAACCAAAAATTCAATAAATAATAACATTGAATGAAATGGCTGTCTAAATGAATTGAATTATGATTATAAAATAACAAAGTAAAGTTGAAAACATATAACTTAGTAAACATTATTATGCAGTTTNTAAATTCATCAAATTCTATAACTATAAATCATAATAAACTAAAAAACAAACTTGGTTTTTGGGTTATCAATTAATAGATTCTATTTTAATTTATATAATATAAAGTCTTTAACTTTAGTTATAAGATGGAGAAGGTTTATGATTAGATAGCTTAAAAACCTTCAGAGTAATTTAATTACTTCAAAACTAATTTTTTATTTCAATATTATAGTTTTTTAACAAATATCATTATTATTCAACTTGAAATCTCAAATTAAACAAACACTTAAGTTTTTTAAGTGAAAATAAGATGGAGCGTCATTAATTTCATATCAACTCTAAATTATTGTAAAAATAATTTATTAATAACAATTAAATTTATTATAACACTAATATAAAATAATTTTATATTTCTTCCCATTATAAGAAAAACTACAATTTCATATTTTAGCAGTTTTGAGAATTTTAAATTTAGTGAAGGTTCCCCTTCATTTTCTTTATTTTTTCTTAAGAATCAAATACTCTTCTTTTGTCTATGCTTAACAATATATAATTTTAGAAATATTAGGATATTTATATAAAGGTATTGCTTTCAGCTTCTTTTGGAAATTATTAAATGTATATGATATTTAAATGTCATACTTTAACATTCATTTGAAATAGCTTTAATTATTATATCAATCTTTATATTCTCTCATTTTCTTCATTCAAGATATTTTATAAAAAAGTTTTTTAAAGCTGTTATTTAAGAAAAAAAATGTTCGGCAGTTTAAATCCTTTATTTAAGGAAATCAGATGATATATTATGAATAGAAGCTGCTTAGGATGTGTATCCATTATACTTAAAAAAAAGAGATTAATTATATATTCTAAAACCTATATATATATATACAAAATTTAAAAATAATTAAAATCAATAAAGAAAACTGACACAAAAATAACAAAAACAAAAACAATATTTCAATTACAAAGACAAACAAACTAAAATATCATAACCAAAAATTCAATAAATAATAACATTGAATGAAATGGCTGTCTAAATGAATTGAATTATGATTATAAAATAACAAAGTAAAGTTGAAAACATATAACTTAGTAAACATTATTATGCAGTTTGTCTATTTTGCATAAGGGTTGAATAAATAAAATAATAAATTCAAATTTCAAGTATGTATTCAATTTTTAGATTGCTAATACTATACAGCAACTTTAATAATTATTTTAATGATCCAAAGTGTAAACAATAGTATTAGTATTGTTAATTGTCTAAAGATTCGATAAATGAATTAATGTATGTTTATAAATTTCATTGTAAATGTTCCATCCAATCCTTTGAACCATTAATCCAACGTTCTTTGTCACAAGTAGTATTGAGACTATTATTCCTATACATTGATGCCATTAGTAAATGCTATTTATTAATGACAATATTTACATCTGTAAACTTTCCATTATTATTGCTCTCCTTTGGAACTGGTATATATTATTGTTAACTTCCAAGCAATTAACCATGAGTTCTGTAAAATTATTTAGCATGAAGCTTCATGAATTCTAATAATTTCCATCTCGATTATTACCTTCATCAGAGAGTTCTTATTAGTTGGGCTATTGATTTGCACTCATTTAAGAAAATAAAGAATAGTATGAAATATAAAATAATAATTAATAATATATTATTCAATTTATCTTATCTATGTATATCATAATATATATAAATAATTCAAACTAGCATATCTCAAACTTGGCGATCATTTAATTAAGCATCAGATAGCCAAATTTCAAATTAAATCCATCATATAAAATATCTCAATTAATTTTATTTGCAATCAGAATTCTCAATGGGTTGTGCATAAGTAGTCAATCACTCAAATGACATTTAAGAACCAATCTTTGAAAGAAAATCTTCAAAAAGAACAACTTCAAAATAAAATACAAGTTGTCAAGACTCTCCCATAATCTTTCCATTAAATTTACCTGATGGATTTGGAAAATATAAAAAGAATCGCCAAAATACTATGAGTAAGACAAAGTTAAGGAATGCTATGAGGATAGAAATATAATTAGACACTAGTAAAAATACTATTTTGTAAAGGAGAACAATATCACCATTAGTCTGAAAATGAATATCATTTAACTCTAAACTCTTATTATAATCTATAATATTTATTAATAATCAACAATCTAATGATTCTAAACTTAAACTTAGGAATATCATACTAATAATACCTTTGTATTCATTAGACCAGTATTTATAATTAAGTTTGAATTTCGTATATATTATTTGATTTAATCAATATAATTTTCATTATTGTATATAATTGGAACCTAAGAAGAGATTTTGAAAAAATTATTAAGGCTTTAAAGTACATAAATAGTATCTAAAAATCTATTGGAATATTTTTCATTTTTACTGATTAATCTACAGTATTGTCATTTATTATAAACTCAAATTGTATTATATTATTAAATTAATTTTATTGATAATATAGCCAATATAATCATTATAATTAAATTAATTGAATTCAATTGAATTCATATAACCTTAAGATAATATTTATATATATTTATTTTATCATACATAAACTTTTAAAAAATATTGTGATACCTAAGGTATATATAAGATCATTATAATAATTATAGACATTAGAAGGAGTGATTTAATGATGATTAATCAGAATTATTATAATAATTATTATTTGTTTAATGAATTATTTTGATTATATCTGTTAACTCAAAGATAATATTATAAAAATTGAAGATTCTAATAAATGAAAAAAGGATAGGTCAAAAGGAAATTTGAGAGTATATTGCATTTGAATTTTAAGGTTTTGGCTTTAGTTCTTCAAATCCTTATGACCAACGCGTTCGAAAAGAATTAGTGTTGCATATACAAAATTAAGTTCAAATAGGCAATGACTTTACACTTAAATTATATAGTTGGATGAAGATTTCAATTTTAAAACAAAAAATACATAAAGCAACAAAACTTGATTTGGGTGACTTTAGGGTCCTATATAAAAATTAAGAGTTAACATTAAACAATGAAGATCTTGAAGTAATTCATATTCTAATGTAATAGGATTATGGAATTAAGAATCACGTCTCATTAAAACTTATGGCCCGTAAGTAGGGTTAGTAGACATATTTCATCAATAGTCTTTATAATATATTGGAAGAGACTAGAAGTACTTAAGAACAATTTTAAAATGCTAAATGGGCTGTCGAAGGAGCCTTTATGAAGGGAATCACTCCTAAATTAACAGATTTTGGAACATAGGGAACTTACATATTAGAAAATTAGAATCACAAACCAGTGGCAATTTTCAAACCATATGATGAAGAAGCCTTTGCGTAAGTTCTTAAATTATTATGTAGCCCAAACAACCCAAGAGGAATGAAAGGAAAAATGAACTCTCCTGGACTTAGATAAGGTATCTTATCAGGTGAAGGAGTAGATCGAGAAGTAGCTGCATACTTAATAGATTAATCCTCTGGACATTATCATAATGGTAATACTGAAATTCAATTAATTTAGTCCCTATAACTAATTATGTTTAAATCTGCCATCCAACATTTCATGAAGCAGAAGAATATAAATAGTTTTAGCATGAAAAAATACCAATTAAAGAAGGTTCATTTTAACTATATATACCACATGATGATAATGTTGGTAATTATGGGAGTGGATTGTATCCATCTATGGAAGCAAGAAAAATAGCCATTTTAGATATTCGAATATTGAATTGTGATCGAAATGAAGAAAACATTTTAGTGAGAAAAAAGTAATATATTTTTTTATATTATCAAAAAAGAAAGGTTCCTTAAGCTAATGGATAAACAAGACAATCTTTTGATTATTTCTTAATTCCAATTGATCATGGTTATTCTTTTCCAGATTCATTTAAAATTTGTAGAGATGAAGTAGTCTGGTATCATTGGGGTTAAATGGCCTAACAATTTACTTAGGAAGAAAAGGTTTTTATTGAAAAGATTGATCCAGATAAGGATATTTAAATGATAAAAGAAAAAGTATAATTAAGAGACATTTGCTTAAGAAATGTTAAAATAGCAACTATGTTATTAAAGATTGGAGCTGCTGCTGATTTGACTATTCATGATATAGCGTATCAAATTTGAATTAATATCTAGTGAAATGCTTTATAGAGAAGATCCTGATGAATTGTCTCCGATTGAAAAGGCTGTCCAAACTGCAGAATATAATTATAAGTATTTTCAATTACATTATTATCAGTAATAATGTTAGAGTGCCAAAAGGTTTTTTTAAAGAAAAGATATTTTCAAATAATCTTATATAAAAATCATTAGAGTTTGAATCATCTAACTTAAATAATTTGGAAAGACCTTAAATCAATTAACCTTTACTGAAATTATAAATTATAAGAGATGAAGAAGAAAATAAAGAAATAAATGAGAGAGAAAATTAAAACTAACATTCTGATAAAAAGTTAATAAGAGTTGGTTCTCAATAGAATATTAAAACAGTAAAAAAACCTACTGAAAAAGAATGGAATGAAGAATTCTATGCTCATATTACTTACTTACTCTAATAACTAGTAGAACACAAATTATAAGAGAAAGTACCTTCTCCAAGAAAATACAGACCTAGATATATCAGTGAAGAAGTCAAATGAGATTAAATTATTTAATATTCCAAGAAAATTATTTTCATTATCAAATCAATTTAAATAGATTGAATCTATTAATATCGATGATTAATTTACTTCATTCTTAATCTAATTATTAGATTTCATGAACTTATATAATCCTAATCAAAATAATAATAATAATAATAATAATAATAATAATAATAATAATAATAATAATAATAATAGAATAAGATTGAAAAATATAACTAAATCAAACATTTGATCCTATAATTAACTTAATCTTTAACAAAATATAACTAATTAATTGACTTAATAAATTATAAAAACACTAAATTTTTAATCTTAAATTTTGTTATTTTTTGCCAATTCTTTTTAGTATTTTTTTTTATGTAAAAATATATATTTTCACTCTTTAAAAACTTAAATTTTTAATTATAATTGGTATATTAATTCCTAAATTCTTTTATTATGCATTTATTTTAGAATGAATATTATAATTATATATAAAATAATTATATTAAATATAATCATATATATTTTAATTGGACTAATGTTTCAATTATTTTATTGAATAAAGATTTCAGTAGTGTATTTTATTAATATAGAATAAGTTGAATAGAATATAGATTAGATTTTATTTGATTAAATTAATTATAAGAAAAATAATGAATGATAATTTGTATAAGAGATATTAAAGAAATCGAAAATGTGTATAATTATTCTTTATTTTATAAATTTTTTAAATTATATTAATATAAGATAATTAAATATGAGTGATGATATATTAAGCAAAAGTAATATGGGAGAATTTGGTGAAGTAAGTTTTGAAATAGGTTTTTAATATAGGATATAGATTAATAGTTATATGAGAGATGTGAGTAATTTTGTTAGAAGTTGAGACGCACAAATTAATAGCTCTACAAGTTTTATTTTGATAAAATTATAGGCAATTTTCAAATATAGTTAGTTAAACTTCTCGTATAGCTAAGGAATCGTTGGGACAAATGTTAAGTGAAGAACCAGAATTGTTAAAGGAAGTGAATAATTTATTGGAAGATGATGTTAAATTTAAGACACAAAAAGAGAAATTGACTGAATTTGTGAATAATGAAAGTAATTAGAGTAAGGCAATGGAGACTATATTAAAATAAATATAGAATGGGTAATTAGATGGGCATCAGAATAAAGATCATATATTGGATTTATTTAGCAATGATCCTCAATTATAATAGTAATTCTTATAGAGTTTCAAAAAGAAGCATGATTAGAATCCTCCAAAAAAGAAGATTGAAGAGAATAGAAATTATTTCTAAAGATTATTAGATAAGAGTGGAATAGCTGTTATTGATATGGTAAAATTTGATTAATTAAAATAGAATGAATTATTATTTTGGGATAAATTTCGATTAAGAGTGATTTAATAATTTCCTAATGATTATTAACAATTTATGAATGAATTTTTAAAGATTATTCATTTATATTCTGAATGTATAATCACTTAAATGGAAGTTATGGAATTAATTAATCAATAAAGTTGGTTGGAAAGAGAATATATTGATGATATAAGATCAATGTTAACAACAAGAGTAATAGCAAGAAGAATATAAACTCCATTATTTAAACCATTGAAAGATACTGATTTTGCTTAAGTAGATAGAGTTACAAGATCATATGTTAGAATGCCTATTGGATATGCTAAAGCAAATAATAATCCTTAGATACTTAATCATTCATGGGTTTCTGTTCCATTTGGTTCTGAAGATTAATCATTCTTAATTATGAGGAAAAATACTTTTGAAGAATAATTGTTTAAAAGTGAAGATGAGAGATTTGAATTCGATGTCAATATTTAATAAATAAAAAGAACTATTAATTTACTTTAAGAAATTATAGATGGAAATAAAGATGAATAAGTTCTTGTAAATAAAGTTATTGATATGAGAATATTATAATAATTATATAGAAATTAGACTTAAGATTAGAATGAAATAATATAATTATTTTAAACTAAACCTATAGAAAGTGCTAAGATATTAATTAAAAGAGTCAAATAAAAATTAAATGAATTAGTATCAGCACGTAATAATAAAGCTAAATAAGTATGGGAAACTGTTTCAACAATTAATTTTCATAGATCTTTAGATCATAGATCTTTCTATTTTAAAAAGAATGATAAATTAGTAATTAATGGATAGAGATTTGTTAGAGAAATTGAAGAATATGCCAAAAATGTATTAATTAAATTTCTAGGAACCAAAGATCATGTATTTCTTAAAAGAAAAGCAGATAATATATAATTTACTTTTGATGATTCCTTTTTAAATTCTTTAGCTTAAATGACAAATATTAAACCATTTTTACCAAAATAAATGCCATTAGCTCCTCCAATAAAAGAAAATGTTCGTTTTTGCCCACTTATTTCTCTTTGGATGGGTAATGAACAAATACTCTAAGAATGTGGACAATTCATAATCCATTATTTATAAATTATGGGAGGAAATAATTAATTAGATAAAAGAAATGGTACATTCTTAATGATTAAATTAATCAATCACTTTTTTTAAGTTCCCATGAAACCTATGTAAATATCTGAATTAACATTAAATGATACTAAATTAAAGACTGAAATATAAGATTTAGAAATATATGATATTCATTATAATCCAGAAGAAACTACAGTCTCGATTCCAGAAATAGAAAATGAACCTCCTGGACATTTTTTAAATTTATAACCAAGAGTAAAGTAGACAACATATGTTACTCAAAATTTATATATTTTATTGCGATTTTTACACACCATATTTTAGAGATTAGAGATGGCATATATAATTAGTAAATAGAATAATCTAGGAAAAGATAAGAGATATAATTTATTTAAATCTGCTTTATTCCTTTCTTTAAAAGCTAAAGACTTTAAATATGAAGATCATTTAAGAAGTTTATTTGGAAAACATGTAAATATATAGTAATTATACTAGGGTTTCATATTTTCAACATTAGAAAAGGTGCTTCATGATGCAGCTAAATAATTGGCAATTTGTGCTTCAGATCCAGTGACAACTAGCTATTTTGAAAAACCTGCATAATTCAGTGGAGACATTGATAAATACTTTTAAGTAGTTTCAGGAATAGTCAATGGAGAAGGGATTAAAGTATCTGATTTGGAATTAGAAGTGTATTACTAATTTTAGATTCTTAAAGAAGAAGAGATGTTATTAAGATTACATGAGACACTTTAACATTGTAAACCAGAGAAGAAACCTATATATAGAGTAAGATTTATTAAGAATTATTTTTAGATTGCATGTTGGCATAAAGCATGTTTCATATCAATGTTACCTGGTTATGGTGGTCATTTGTAAGAAAAGTGTACTTCTTGGAAATAACCATTTTTGATGAGGAATATGATGAGAGGGGAAAGAAGAATGATGATTTTAAATAGCATTGAATGGATGGTAGATGAATTATGTCATTTCAAACCTATTATAAATAATGGAGAAGATTATTTAAAGTGTGTATGATTAAATTGCAACAAATTTATTAATATATCTATTAAATTATAAAACTATCATTTAAATCATTATTATCAAACATTTATTATTAGATATAACTTTTGCTTCCCTTTAATTTAAATCTATATTTTAATGTTACACCCTTTATCTTTGCTACAGACTATAATAATAATCCCAAATAACTAAAAGAAGTACTCAATTGATCCTAATCTGAACTTGAAATATTATAGGAAATATCATTCAAAAATTTAATCTTGTGTAATCCCTACAATCTCCTTTTCAAAGATAATGGCAAGTGATTTAAATAGAAATAACCTTTTTATTCCTATAGCTACTATACTTCTTATTTATATTGTTTCCCTTAAGTTTATATTTCTATATATTCACTCACTCTTTTTTTAACATGACTTATAATCTTCTTTTAATCTATCAATCCAATAAATTCTATTTTCAAACACTTTACATTATTATCACAAATATTCTTAAAACCTTATTCTAAATAGCTTAATAAATAATTCATTTCTTCCCCTAAAGTAATCCTTTATTTCTATAAGCTCATTTTCTTCTATTAATAATTCTTAAAACATTACAATTAATTTATTAATTATATTCTTCAATATATATTATACATCTAATTCAATTCAAATTAAACTCTTTAATTCTCTTATTATGACGAATTATTCAAAAATTAAATGAAAATATCTTATTTTTATTCATACATCTAATATCTATTATCTAATATGCTATAAATCAAAATGTGGTTCAAATTCTGCTTCTATTTTGAGATTCAAAACAATAATTAGAATTACATCCAAACTACATTTTAGAAGCCATTAAAAATGAAATAGATCAATTAAGTAACATCTATTGTCCTAGAGTCTCAAACTAAAACAGATTTAGATTCAAATGAACAACAAATTTATATTAATGGACTAAATGATCAAAATACTTGTCCATCTGAATATAATTTAAGTGAAAATGACTTTAAAACTCTTAAATTAGCCAATGCTCTCATAATTTCTAATTTGTTTGGAATGGTCTTCATACTTTTTGGCTGTACAATCATCTATATGACCATTTACTATAAATGGAATCCAGAATTTATTATTTCACTTCAACTCTACATCATATCTGATGTATTAATTGTTCTGGAAAAACCACTGTTCTTCTATACCTTAATCAATAAGAAGTAGATGATCAAATTATGTCTATGTTTAAATATGAGTTCAATGATATTGAAATTGACTGCTTCAGGATTCATTAAGTATATTATGTTATCTATAAATGTAGTAATTTATCATCCTGTCAATTATTAGTAACTTTTATTTTGATATTCCTTTCATTACCACTCAATATCTTTATCAAAATACTAACAAGAAGATGGAAATGCATTCCTGAGAGATTGTGGAAAAGATAAATTATTGTAATCAGAAAATAAGTTCTGCCTATCTATCATTGAGAAATCCTTAAGTTTTTATATATTTTCATATAACTTATAGAAAATTATATTATCTTAATTTAATTAATATATGAAACATTAATGGTGCTTCATGAGTTTGTGAATCTAATTAAAATGTATAATAATTATAACCAAAAAGAATAAGTAATTTTGTGATTGCAAAATATATTACATAATTTTAAGAATGCCATTATCAATAAAAATTAAAACTAAAATAATATGCTTGATTATATAAAAGAAAAAAGTGATATCATCATTACAAAATAAGAATCAATAAACTCAGTTTATTAGAGTAGTGAATCTAGTCCAAAGAATTTATTGGGGAACCATAAGAAATAAAGATTTCCAACTATCTCGAATGCTTAATTAAAATCTGCCATTGAATCTAATTATTTGGAACATGATCAAAAGCATAATATCATAAGAAATCCTAATTTATTGACTGTATTTTAAATGCAATTTGATACTAACTCTCCTAGAACTCTAGCTGCTATGGAAATGCTTAAAATAGAAGTAGATGATCTAAATGTTCAAGAATATACAGACTTTTATTAAAAGAAACTTAATCCTCTTTAAAATCTAGTATAATATTTACAATATGTAACTAACAAATATAAAATATTGAATGATCTTCTTAAACGAAGGAATCAAATCAAACATATTTAATCTTAAGTTACAAAACAAATAAATTCTAAGAATATCAAATATCAAGATGAATCTTTGATTGCTGAATAATCTGAATCTAAGAAAACTCAAAGAGAAGATCAATAAATATCAGTTATTCTTAGTGCTAATCAAAGAAAGGAATTATTCAATAAAAAAGTAAACAAGGAATCTGAAAATTATAATAAGTATAGTATCATAATTAATATTAATAGATTTCTTAATATTGTTTAGGATTAGATTAATAAGTAAGAAGAATATTATAGTAAGACAGCTCCTGAAATATATTAAAAAGCAGAATAACTTAGATTAAAATAATTAGATTAAATTAGAAAGAAATTGAGAAGAAAGAATTTAAAAGTAGATTAGATATGTTAAAAAAATAAATATGAAGAGTAAGTATAATATAGAGAACATAAAAAAGTGATTTAGGAATTAGAAAAAGATTTGAATTTACATTTTGAGAGAAAATAAAAATAACTCTTATAATCTCAAGATGAATAATTAGAATAAATAAAAAAGAAAGAAGAAAAGGAAAGAGAAAGATAATTGAAGAGATAAAAGTAAATAAGTTAAGAGTAGAGCATGATTGAATAAGTGATGGATTCTATGAAAAAGAAATCAGATTATTTGAATGATTATTTATAAAGAAAATAAATGGAGGATAGAAAAAAATAATAATAGAGTTTGAAGATGTTTGAAGAGAAATAGAAAAAATTATAATAATCTTATACATAAAAAGAAAATTAAAATGTTTAAATGTATTTAAGTAAATCAACTTAAAGATAAGTAATTATAATAATTTTTAAATATTTAGATTTAACTTAATAAACATGAAATATCTCAAATCAAATAATAATAAAATTTATCTATGAAAAATAGTAGAATTATGAAAAAATATGAAGAATACTAAAATTCATTAGATTAGAAAAGATCTGATTCTTTAATTACAAAACTTTAAGAAGCTGATGATAAATTAGAAAATGGTTTAAAGAGGTATTAAAAGATAATATATATTAAATTAGACATTAATCATTATTAGATTTAAGAAAGTAAAATCTATGTGAAAAAAATGAACATCGATTTAAATTGGCTAAATAAAAATAAATGGAAAATATGTTAGAGAAAATACATAAATAAAATAAAATTTTAGAAAAAAATCTCGAGATTTCTCAAAAAAATGATAAAAATAAATAAGAATTAGAATTTCTTGAGAAATACAAAAAGGAAATAATGTAAAATAAAGTGATATAAAGAAATTAAATGATATAGAAATTATAATCTTGAATTTGCTTATTCTTTTATGGTTTATAATAATTTGATAATAAAATGTTCTATTATATTTTGCATTTAATGAACAGTTATCAATCAATAAATACTAAATAATCGTTATATTATCTATATTATGAACGAAGAAATTAGGACCATATTAAAAAAAATATTGGAAATGCAACTTGATTGTACTTAAATGCTTACAACAATCCTCTTTAAAAATGATGATTCTTATAAAGATGAAGAATTAAATACAGCTAAAATATTGTTAGAAGAACAAAAGAATTAAATTGAATTAGGTGATAAAAAATAAAAGAAAAAACATATTAATCATGATAAATCTGGAGAAGTAGTAAATTAAATAATTTCTGATCATCATTAAAATGTAATTATAGATAATAATACTCAATTAAAATTAACTCCCTAAGAGGGTTATTAAAAACTCAATCATATTATTTAAGAATTTAGATAGAGAAATAAATTAACAATAAAACCTTAAAGTTGTGATTTTGAATACATTAAGAATTATCATAGTAAAAATAAGTTTAAGGAACTAAGAAATATGATAAAATCTGTAGTAAATAGAATTGAAAATAAGAAAATGGTAATCTCAAAAGCAAATGGATAAAAAGTTATTTAATGTCCTTCATGTGATTTTTAAGGGTTTTCTGGAGTTTATTTTCCTCATATTTTAAAGAAGCATTGTTAGAATTATTATATCTTCAGTTGTTTCTTATGTTTTAGAGATTTTTAATCATATATCTTATTAAAAAAACATCTGAAAAGATATCATAAATAAGTTTTGAATAATAGTTCTGATATAGAAATAATTAAGATTCAATATGATGATAATGATAATGATTTAAGTATTAATATTTGAGTTTTTTGATTTCATTATTTCAATTTACATTTATATAATATAAAAATTCTATGAGTCTATTGTGATTCAAAAGTAAAATATTATATAATTTAAATTAAACATAATTATCATGTCTGAATACTTTAGAAAGTATATCAAAAAAGAGAATTATCCAAATCATTTGTAATTATATATTCATATCTATCCTTTTTAGTTCAAATATTAAATATAAGACTTCTTTTAGAAATTGTATATTAGAGGTATCAATTATTAATTAATACTATAATAGGCTTTTAAAAGAAGAAATTGGAAAGAAACTGATGGTGATGATTGGGATATTATGTGGGCAGAAAAAGAATGGATACATGAAGTTATGGATCATATACATCTTCAACAGCATTAAAAAATCAATCATTTTCGTAATCACTATGAAGTATTAAAGAATTATTAAGTAGCTTACAAGAAAAGATTTGATGATAAAAAATCTTAAAAAATAAAAAAGGATGTTAGAAAAGGAAGGAAAAATAGATGAAGCTAATTCGTATATTAATATTCCTTTTAACGATTTAGTTATAATTTTTTCCCACTTACATTTCATTTACCAAGTGAATATCCAATCTTTAATGAAGAATTCAAGAAATAGGGTGATAATAAAACTGCTTGGATTATGAAACCTGTATATTTTATAACATATAATATAAGATAGGAAAATCATAAGGAAGAGGCATATTTTTATTTAATAAAATACAACAAATCTCTTAATGGAAAAATTAAGTTAAATTTAATCCAGAAAACCCATCTGCTGAATCTTATATAGTTTAAAGATATATAGCGGATCCTCTTTTGATTGGAGGTAAAAAGTTTGATGCTAGAATTTATTTATTATGCACCTCCTATTCTCCTTTAACTTTATATTTATATAGAACAGGTTTTGCTAGATTCACTCATCATAGATATGATAATGAAGACATTACTAATACATGTATTAATTATAAATCAATTTTAGATGTACATTTAACAAATGTTGCAATCTAAAAAACATCAGATAATTATGATGAAAAATTGGGTGGCAAATGGGATTTATAAAAATTAAAATTATTTTTAATGACAAAATATGGATAAGAAAAAGTTTAAGAATGTTTTTATAATATCCAATAATTAATGATTAAATCATTATAAGCAGTTTAAAAAATTATCATAAATGATAAACATTGCTTTGAATTATATGGATTTGATATTCTATTTGATTCTTCATTAAAACCATGGCTATTAGAAGTGAATGCAAGGTTAATTTATATTTAATTTAATAAAGTCCTTCAATGACTTCTAATACTCCTATTGATTTTGAATTAAAATGTGGGTTGCTTGATGATGTTTATACAATCATTGATCTGGAAAAGATATTAACTGGAAATGAAGAATAAATTGGAGGATTTGATTTAATATACAAAGGAGGACCAATTAAATCATAATATTACGCTTCATAAATATCTTTTTTAGGTACTTTTAATAATAGAAAAATAAATTTAAAGAAATTAGCCAAAACATATGGTAATTAAATTTAATTTATATTAGCTATAAGATTAAGCTAAATGACTCCTTAGTAATAAATAAAAAGTTAAGAAGGAGTGAAAAAAGATAAAGATGATAAATAAATTAGAAGTTCTTCAAAGAGTTCTTAAGTTCATCAAGTATAATACAATTCTATATAAAGAATACAAATATATAGAATAAAGTAGTTAATTAACCAAAAAGTATTGTAAATATAAAACGAACTTCAACTGAATTACCAATATTAATGAATAAATAAAATGCTTTAAGAAAGGATGTTAATTAGTAAAAATAAACCATATCTGTTTTATAAAAGAATGAATTAGAATAAAATTAAAATAAAATGTAATTATAAAATATCTATTTATTAGATTTTCATAGTTAAATAATTCTGCATTTAGTCCTTATTAATAAAATGATAGTGTTACAAATTATAATAGAGAAACAAAAAATAGTTTTTAAACTTTGCCAAAGATTAATAAACCAGAATCTTTTATATCAGATACATGAATTGGGAACATAAAATAATTATATTTATTATTTATAAGATTATATTGATAACTACTACTTTTTCATATAATTTTATCAAATTCATGAACATATCTTAAAGAATTTGTTATCAAAAATTCTGAATTTAAGGGATTCTCTACATTTTAAACCTATTAATAAATATTTTAGATTATTTACATTGTCAAAATAAACATGATGATTATTAAATTTCCATTTGAAATTTTATTTCTAAGCAAATTGTTACAATTCTTAAATACTTTTCACATTAAATAATTTAATAGCATTTTCTATTGATAATTATTTGTAAGATGCATTGGCACTTAAAGCTGTTTATAATCTAAATTTAAATATATATATTACCTAATAGTATCCATAATTCTTTCTAAGAATACATTCTCAATTCCTGTTGGATGATAATCACCTAAAAGATCTGAATAACTTCCTATGCTCAATTTGTATTCTAATTAAAGTACAAAATGAACAAAAGGGTTTGAAAATGTTTCTTTTGGTAACAATTCAATTTAGGAATAATATTAAGCAAATCTATTGAATTATTCACTTAATTACTTATTAAAAGATAGTAAATAAATTAAATAAATGCCTGTATAATGAGCTCTATCTCTGCTTTCTAGACCTTAATTATAAAATTTCATTAATCTTTCAATTGCTAATTCAAAATTTTCAATTTGTCTTGAAATTAATAAATAAGTGACTTCCAATTCACAGAAATGTACTTATAATATAAAATATAACTTACAAGCTAATTTTTCTGTTCCCAATTTATTTACAGCTAATTCATTAAAAATTTCAAGCTAGACATTAGAAAATAATTGAATACTTTCAAGTGTTTTAAATTTTAAGGAATCTAAGGATTGCTTGGGTCAACTTGAATGCTGGAAGATAATAATTGTAATTTTTGCTCCATATTTTGAAAAAAATTATTAATATAATACTGGTGTTGTATTACATATTTTAATATTTTGAGAAATCGATATATTTACAAAAGAAACAAAATTTATATAATAAAAATAAATAATCAATTGAAAAAATTTTTTATCAAATATTCTAATTAGTTATTTGATCCTTAGAGTGAATTGCAATTTATCTATCTTTTTTACTTCTAATATTAATTGATCTGGATCGAACTTTTGGCAATTTTACAAGATCTTATTTAAGAATAGTATTATCAATAATTAATTAATGAGCCTATTATGTTTTATTAACATTTTGCTGAGCAGAAGTTTTGAATCTATAAGTACTATCATCTTTTTCAACTTTTAAATATTCATAATTTCTTTCAGTTTTAATACAAGATTTATTACTTTTAATAACTTTTTCTTTTGATTTTTCTAGTATATTAAATCTCAAATAAGTTGATTAATTTTATGTTTCTAAATGAATAGATTCTTTTCTTTATATTTATAATTATTTAGGTTGTGGTTGAACATCAAATTACAATTCATGATTATCTTCTGTTAATCTAACACCTCTACTGAGTTTGATAAATGGAATATTAGATGTTTATCTGTCAAAATTTTCATCTTCATTATTTAGAAAAAAGGATTTAGATTCTCCAAAATTCATAGTATTTTATGATATTAAAGGTTCTTTTGATCTTTTTTTAATTACTTATTATTATATTTCTTCTTTTTTCTTTTTTGAATTCTTTTTAAATTAATTGTTTTATTCTTCCTTTAAAATTTCAAATTTAAGTTGAGGTACAATATCAGTTTATAATTATGAGTGTTTATTTATAATAAGTTAACAATTATAATCGTATGTATATTCTTTATTACTTAATTATTATTTTAATCTGAGATTCATTTCATTTAATTTTTTCTTTTCTTTAAGTTATATTTGCTATAACTCTTTTTATTTATTGGATTCATTAATTTATTAAATTTTCATTCTTCTAAGTTATTCATCTGCAGTTGAAATGATTACTTCAGGTTCAGGAATATGAATTAATGAATAATGATACTCTTTATCCCAATTGAATTAAGTAGTATGAGGTTTGAAATGAGCTTTATGAGATTTTTAAGCAGCAGTATTCATTCTGGAAGTAGATTGTACTTTTTCATTGAGATTGATTTTATAAGCTTAAAAGTTCTCTTAAGATGTTGGCTTAATTTCTAGATCTTCTATTATATCTTTATCGAAGTCATGTTTTTGAAATTATAGTTATGTTATACTATGGGATGTTGTAAAAGTTTGCCATTCAGTTAAGAGAGTCACATTTCTGCATAATATCTTTTCGGATATAAGTTTGAATGAAGAATCTAAGATGTACTTAATTTATGCTTAAATAACATTTGCATATTGGAATTCCATTATCAAAAACAATAAAAATAATATATTATTTAATGTAAATATTGCCTCCTGCAGAAAGAGTTCTACATTTTTGTGAAAGCAAGAACTGGTTTAATTCAAGACATGCTAACAAAACAAAAGAGAAATATTTGAAAACAGAGAAGGAATTGTTTGATGATGTAATCTTAACAGAAACCTTTCATTTGATTGACAGAGATCATTCGAGTAAGAGATGAATCTTAATAAAAATGCAAGATTCTATTGAGTTGGATGAGTTGTATTCAATGTTAAAGAAAAATAATTATCCTGTAAATATGAGTCTACTTAAAGCATTTTTTGAAAAAACAGATAGAGATGGGAATAGTAATTTATTATATTATATTAAGAATGCATTGATTTAGATGAATTTAAATAAGTAATCAAAGATGAATCGACATCTCAAAGTAATGATGTCAAATTACACTGATTAGTTTTTAGAATGATGATGAGAAGAATGAGAGAAATAGGAGATGACAATTATTATTCTACAGACTTTGTGAATCTCTTAAGATATTTATGTTATTGTTCAAATAGAAAAGATCTTATATTTCAAATCAAAGTACTTCTATTATTAATATAATAAGAATACTAGATTATCTTTTGAAACAAGATCCAAATTAGTTTCTGACTTATTAAAAATCAATCAATAATTTACTAAATCATAACATCCAACTTAAGATTAGTTATTAACACTTAGACCATTTATGAAAAAAAAGACTTAACTAGAATTCAAATATCTTACTCCAATCCAAAAAAGACCCAATTTATTATCAAATCACTCAACAACATCCAGCAACCATAATTCTATAATATCATTATAGACTATCAATTTTCTATAATAAACACCAAGACCATCTCCATAAAAATATTTGATCAAAAAGAAACAAACCAGTCTTATAACAACTCCTTTTCAATCAACTAAATCAACACTCCAATCAACTTAAACAACCTTAAAAAAAAATTAGAATAAATTTTGATTTTATATTAAATTATTTATATTATTTTGATTAAATTAAATTTTTTATATTTTTATTAAGTTTAAGTAGGAATTATATAATGAATAGTAATCTTGTACAATAAATATATAGATGTATATTAATGTAAAATAAATAAAGAAATTCAAATAATGAGATATATATAAATAACACATCCAAGAATTAGAAAAACTAATTGAATTATAATAAAAATAAATTAAGAAATATTCTAATTATTCCATTAATTAAATACAAATTATGTAATTAAAAATTTATTAATTATTATTTAAAGAAGAAAACAGAATAATATTCTTATCATAAGGGTACGAAAAAGTATTGAGAGTATGTTTTAACTTAAGTTAATCCAATTCTAACATCTTTATATAGACGTAGATCACCTAAAAAAGGTTATAGATCTTATAAGGCATGATCTCCTTATTCTCCATACCAAGATCTAATTTAAATACCATTTTATGGACTTAAGAGAAAATTAAAAGGATCATTATCTACAACTATATATTTATTTGCAGGTCTACCCAACAATGTTAAATCTTTAATTAATACTTTTTCATATTTCATTAAATGATTTCTATTAAGCTTATGTTTGATAGTTGAATTTTAATCTATTTATTGAATAATTCTAAATAAATAGAATTAAATACTTATCCATTTCTAATTATGGTAGATGACTAAAAACAACAATTTCATAATATCGACTAAGTTCTTCAAGAAATTCTTACAAAAATGGTCTTTTTTGTATTTAAGAATTATCATCTATATGAATCAAGGTTTCTTCTAAATCTAATATTAATGTGTATTCTTTTTCATTTTTAGGTAAGAAATATAGATGCTCCTAAATAGACTCTATAATCTTTTTCAATTTATCTAAAAAATCAATTGTTTTTTATTCAATCTTCATAAATAGGAATTCTCTAATTTATTACTGTAATTAATAATTAACAATAGTTCTTCATAAATGAATTACTTTGTACTTAATTAAATCATCAATTGTTTTATCAATATATTTATTGAGTAAATCTATTTACTTAGGAATTAATGGATTGGCTTATTGTAGTTAATAGAACAAATGCATATAGGTCTTAAATCCTGGGACATGAATTTAAAGTTTATGAATAACATTACATGCATTTTATTAATGTTAATACAAGATTAGTTTTTCTAATCTACCCAATTCATCTTTTTTGATTAAATTATATTTCATTAAGAAATATAAGATTATACATAAGAATTCAGTTAGAATGAATTGTTTGTATTATATATCAAATTCCTATAAAAAAATGAAATAAAATGATTACTGCAACATAATCAATTGTATTTGAATTTTAGTCATTCAAATATTATTATATAGATTTAATACTAATAAATTGAAGTAATTCTTATAATTTAAAGAATCTTTTTTGTAATTTTTGACAACTAAAATATAACCTAATTTTCTATGGAATATTCAATTATTTATCTAAATCATATTCTTAATCAGTTTTATTATTTTTTAAAATGATACAATTTTTCTCTTATTTCCTAATTGGACTATTATTAAAAGTGGTAGGTTCAGTGATAATTTTGTTAAATTATAATGAAATTTTTCTAGGAGTTGGTAAAAAATAACCTTAAACAATATTATTAAATTGAGTCTCTTCTTAATAGGTACTTTATTTTATAATCTTAGGTGAATAACCAATGTTTTTAATTTATCTGGGTGTATAAAGTTAGGAAATGATATTCTCATAACCATCTATCCTACTTAGATTGACTCTTTTTTTTATAGGAGTTAGATTAATTTAAGGATGCTTATAAATAGTTTACTATTTGGAATGATCTTCATTTCTAGTACTTAGACTTCTTTTATAAAATTTACTTGGCATCATAATATAATTTTATAAGTTAATAATAAATTAATTTAATGTAACATTTTGTAACAGGAATATTATAATCATTTGGTTTGTGTGGATTAAGAAATAAGTTGGTTCATTTTGTAGCTTTTAGACCACCTGAAGCTTCATATGAATTAAGATTGAGAAAATCAAATAATCATAAGAGTCATACAAAATAGAAATACATATCATCAGATGATAACTAAATTTCTGATCAATCTTAAAACAATTAATCATAGACTCACAGAAAGACTTAATCTTAATATATCTAAAGAAGAAGAAGATATATAAGAAATTCTGAGTAAAATTGTATATTATCATAACAATAAGAGAGTATCCAGAATATGATTTTATCAAACTTTCATCAGATAAATCAAAAGATCAAAATGAAGATTTTATTGTTAGTTCTGATATTTGTAGTGTTACAGCCTATTTTTTAAATTAAAAGAAGAATAAATAAATGGCATGTGTCTATCTAAATCGAAATAGTGATTAAATCATTTTATTCAGTCATGGGAATGCTTGTGATTTGGGTATGATGATTGACAAACTTATAAGTATTACTATATTTATTAATTATTTAAGAATTGGTCTAGTATACAAACACCAGTGTTTTTGCCTATGAGTACAGTGGTTATGGATAAAGTGATGGAGTAAGTAATGATATCAACATCATTCGTAATATATATACTGCCTATAACTTTTTGATCCATTAATTAGGATACAAGGCTACATAAATTATTGTTTATGGATATAGCATTGGATCTGGACCAAGTGTAACCTTGGCTTCCAATCCTTAATATCCTATAGGTGGACTTATAATATAGAGTGGGTTTAGTTCAGGCTTAAGGGTTATATCTAATAAGATAGATGAAACTCCCTTTTATGATATGTTCCCTAATATTGATAGAATTTAATTAGTTTCATGTCCAGTATTCATTATGCATGGTGCCAATGATAAAATTATATCTGATGAACATGCAAGGCAATTAGCTAGCAAAACAAATAATTTGTATGAATTATGGATTCCTGAAAATGTTGGTCATTGTGGTATAGAAACAGACATCCAGAACCGTTAATAATATTTTTAGAAACTATAGAAATTTATTTAACGTAATATATATACAATCTATTTATTTAGATATACAAATGTTAAATGAAAGTATACCAGATTTGTTAAAGAAAAATACAGCACTTATATAAGGAAAGATACCTTGTAAATCACATTTTTACTAAACTAAAATATTTTGAACTTTTTTATATTTAGTTATAATATCATTTATTTTAATTAATAATTTAATTACTTATTAGAATATATATTAGATATACTAATTTCTCAGATTCTATTATTATAAATTATATATTAAATTTTTACTTAAGTGGGGTCAAAATTAATAGATGAAAAGATTATTAGAGGATGTAAGTTATGTATAGAATGATTTCATAGATGAAATTAAGATTGTTAAATTAAAAATAATCTTATAAGTAGTAGAATCAGATTTATACTTAACTTAATTTATAAAATTAAAATTTAACTTACGATTGAAATAAGAATTAATTTTGAAATTAATACTATAATAGAGATTATAAGAATTACTAACTAAAATCATTATTTGATGAATTCTTAGATATGTTATTACAATATATGATAAAAATAGAATTTCAATCTTAATAGATTAATCAAAAGTATAAATGATTAACTATATTAAAATGTATTTTTATGGAGATATATTTATATATTTGGGATTGGCTAAATTTATTTAATAACATTATAATTAATCTTTCATTTTTTTAAACCAGGGGAATTTGATGTTTAACTAAAATATTTAGCTATATATTAAATTACTTCATTATTTTTGCTTTATTCAATGTTTAAGCCTAATCTTAATCACCTTTTTCTGCCTTGTTCCTATCAGCTAAATTTATATATATTAAATATTGTACCCTCACTCATAGGTCCTAATTGTAAATCTTTTAATCTCTTTTCTATATTGACTTCAGCTGCAATCTATTTAACTTAATTCCATATAGGAGAATCTTTTCCTAAACTGATTAACCAATTTTGTTTTTGCTATATTAATATAAATATTAATAAATTACTAATAAGAAGATTTGTTATGGTCCCAAAATACTTCCAGGTCTACAAATACGGATCCAACCTATAAAATCTGGAGCAGGAAATCTATTATATATTTTCTAATAAATTATTTACCTATAATGTTTCATCACATATGCTGCTATCAATGTTCCTGTTCTACCTAATCCTGCTTTACAATGTACAGCCACCACATTCTCTTTTTCAGCAATTTCAAGGAATCTTAAAATCTTATCATCTCCTGGAACTGAACCATCTAGAAAGTATATTTCTTCATGTTTTATGCCATTTTTTATAAATCTTTATTCTTCATAAGCTTTTTTATTCAATCTAACTACACAAGTCACACCAAATTATTTGAAGATTGGTACATATTCTTCAGGAGTGAATGTACGATTCTAATTAGAGATTGATTACTTACTCCATCAGCATCTTTTTATGTTGCAGATGGTCCTGAGAAAGCTATAAATTTATTAGGAACAATCCAATTTAAATCTCCATTTTCTACTCTTTCATAAAATTCATAATCTCTAAGATTGAATTTTCTAACATCAAACCATTTCAACTTTATTGCATATTCTAAACCTCTTAAACAATGTAAAATCTAAATTAATATTTAAATAAACATACCGTGCATTTATAAGTACATTATCCATAACTTGCATCTCTAAAATCTTAGAATGCAGGTTTTACAGATTGGAATGGTTTCCATGCATCATCTGCACTCATTTTCAAGATTATCACTTAAAATGCTCCCATCAAATAGGCAGCATTTGCTCTTTTAGCACTATCCAAACTTGTATAATGATAAATAGCATATTATTAATATGTCTTATCACCAAGTAATTTCTCTAATTCTGTCACAAATCTGTAAGTATGACCTAAATTTAATGGACCAAAATCTGCAAAAAAGGGCTCATACACAAGATCCTGAAAACAAATTAGATTTTATCTAATACCTGATCAATGCAAAAATAGAATGCATTTGGCTAATTTCTGGGTGCTTATCTATCAGAAATCCAATAGAGTTTATCTAAAGATACAAGAGAGTTATTTACCTTTAATAATCTCAACGGATCCTGTAATCGGAGCTTAATTTTGATTAGGCTACATAAATATAATATAATTTCAATATTTTTATGATTATTGTAATTATAAACTCATCATTTAAATAGACTCCATTCTTATTTAATTCACTATCAAATACACTTCATTAGTAATATTCAAACTAAATTCATCAAACATCATCAAAATAGTATCAGCTATTCTAAATAATCTTTTGTTTTATAAACCTATGAACTTCTCGAATAGTAAAATCTTTAGAATGAGCCCAATTATTCCTATAATGTTTCACTTCGAATAGTAAATTTCTCAAAAATTTAGAATTGCTATGAGTTTACTCTTTATATCACCATAGAATTGATAAATACCCTAAATGAATTCATAATTGCTAATATAGAAGGATATTGCACCCATCAAATCTTTATTAATTTAAATGATGTTTTCTTAAGAAACTTCATCATGTTGAATGGCTTATTCCAAAAAGGCTCTTAAAACTTCATAGCAATTATCTAGAAGTTAACCTACAATTTATCTCAAAGAATGAGTTTGTAAAACACTTTTCATCATTATATTAATTATTAATTAATAAGTTGTCTTTTTATAAATATTAAATAATAATATATATATATATATATATATCTCTTATGTAAATAATATCTATCACTTCCTTATTATATGTATTGGAAAATTGAGAGTTATTTTAAACCCATCATACATTATCACAACTAAGTTTACTTCAAAATCAACTAAAAATAAATTTCAATTTTATTACCACTGAATTCTTTAAATTGAAAATTGGAACATGAAAAGAATTTTGGAAATATCATATTAAATGGTACTTAAATTCCTTTAGTAATATTTCCATCTACTATCTATATTAATTGTATTTCAGTAGCTTCCAATACTTTCCCAAATCTATTTTCTAGTTTCTCTACTCTAATCATTTGCAAATCTATTGTTCTTATCTCTGATTCACATTCCTCTACATTAACACTTCCATTAAATCCTTCTTAAAATTAACATATTGCAGAATCAATTATTCCATGAATCTTGAATTTTGCATTCTACTTATTTTGTACACTCTAATTACCAAGTAGTCTATCAGGAGTTATGATAAATTATTCTTATTTTAATTGAAGTTCCTTAAAATTAATTTGCTAACCAATTTTATCAATTCCTAAACATTAAACATAAAATGGTGTAGAATTTCGAACTGCAATACCATTGTTCAATATTAATTCAACTTAAATTTCATATGCAATAGCAACATATACACCAACATATGTTTCCAATATTCTACTATCTCCATAAGGGGTCAATTAATATTTGAATTAAAAAGTGTTTTTCTCTTGTAAACTAATTTAAATTATAATCAAACATATATTTTTCTTGTGTGAATTCTCCCTGATTCAAATGAAGTAATTAAGGATTTTAGTTTTGCATAATCTTTTACAATTCTTTGTGAGAATCCTTATTCTAACAAGATATTGCACCTTCAGATCTCCATTTCAATGATGAAATCTCTAATCTTTTCTAATTAGGATCTGTGAAAGAAATAGTAGCTTGCCCAGATATGAAATCCTGATTGTAACATCAAAAATTACATTGGGTCTATAGGTATTATTAGCTTTATCAAATTTAATGACTATGCAGTATTGGGCTTACATAAAAATAATTAAAATAAATACAATAACTTTTATATATAATTTAATAGAGTATTAATTAATGTATTGTACAATAAATTATAAGATTTTTAGTGTGATTAATCATAATTCTATGACCTTAATTATTAGATTCAAATATATTTAGAAATAATAAAGAGAAATTTAACAATAATCAATTGATAAATATTAATTAAATGAATAAATATAAATAAAATTATAGAATTATAAAATTAAAAGAAAATAAATGAGCTAACTCTTTTTTTCTTAATAATTATATTATTATTTTATGATTTTATAAATGCTTGAATTGATATAAAATTGAATATATATCAATGCTTGGTTTCTTAGGGTTTTGGTGCACTGCTACTTCCACCTCCAGTAGTTTATAATCCTACTGCTGTTTTGAAACTGTCATAAATCCACCATTATAAACCAGTGAGTGTACCAATCATAATAATTCTGGTGCCTAATCCTCTCCATAATCCTGAGAATCCAATTTCCTTATAAATCTTACCAACGTTTTCACCCAAAGATCCTAAAAATAATAAAATCTATTTACCTCCTGTTTAGATTGAGTTTAATTTTGATACAATTGTATCAGCAGGATGTGAAACAACAGCACAAAAGATACCAGCCAAATATCCTGATGCAAATGTTACTGATAATTAAGTGAATTTAGAATATGAATCCTTTGGTTTTGTGAATACATTTTCATAGAATAATGCAACAATTTATTCAAAAGCAACAAACTTGACTATTGTGTATGGAACTTGTCTAGCCCAAAGTGGTCCTAAACCTTTATAAAGTCCATTAATGCCTTAAAATTATTTATTTATTATTATTACCTTCATTAGATTTAACTTAATTAAATGCTTGAGATCCACTTGTTGTGAATGTACCTGGTTTAGAGGTTTACATTCTGACCTTAATTGCTTCCATTGGGCATAAGAGAGTATCAGCAATGATTTCAGCACTTCCTGAAGCAATAGACCAACCGATTCTTCTATATTTATTGGCATTTTCTTCTCCTACAACTGATTTATAAACATCTTTGAAGATTTCATAGAATCCGAATTTTCCTAATCCTTGAAGTGAGTAACCAATCAAAGTTGGTCCCCAAGCCAATGTAAGTCCACCAAATCCTTCAGTTTTATAAATTGTGCTTAATCCATCACCCAAAGATTTGTACAAAGTTGGGAAAACCTAGACAAAGATTATCATGATAATGTACTTATCTTCTACACTTGACAACATCTAATGGGACAATTGCAGTATGTGTAAGACCACATGCTAAGGTGCCACCAATCATACATTTAACATAATAACTCAAATCGTGTTTATCTCCACCCATTAAAAATATAAAATATCTTTAATTTAATAAAATACAGATTCATTATTCTTAAATATCACAAATCCAGTTAGTATTTTTTATAAACTGGTATATATTTCGTTATTTTCTATTTCAATGCATTTAAAATACAATATAAAAATATTTGTGTAATTTACAATCTTGATTTAATCATAATATTCTCAATTAACATCTAATCATTTATAAGTCCATTATTTTGTAATTTCAGGAAAAGAGTCTCTTTTTATCGTTGAACTTGCAAATGTCTTCGATCTATACAAATATATTTTAGCATCATCATGTTTTTATTTAGAAGGTATCATTTAAATTGTATTAATCAATTAACATCGAATAGGATAAAGTTCTTCTTCAGGTTCTATATAATTATATTTTTCAATTACCATAATCTTAACCACTTTATTAAGTGATTGTAACTTGATGATCTAAAAATTGGGAAGAAGTAATATGGAATTCTTATTCTTCCATGATGGTTGCAAGAAGAGCTTTAGACATGAGTTATTTAGATTCAATTTTTAGGTTTTATCTAATGTTCACAAACCATTAATGAATCAAAGCTAACTCTACTGTCGTTTTAGAAGAAAGTAATTAATTTAATAAATCAAGCTAACTAACACGATATAGAAATCTATATTGAGTTCTTTACGAATTTGGTTCTGACCATTTATCCATTAAGGATTAAATTAATTTTAGATTAACATCTTTCACTATTTCACCTTTCTAAGTATAAAATGTAATTTAATAGAGTAGTTTCCCTAGACTAAAAATATCTTTTTCTATATTTTTAGTATTATGTTCATTATATTTTGGAAATAGTAAAGTAATTTAAAGAGTTTAGCTATCAGTATTTATATAGATATTCTATAGATTGATGTTTCCATGATAGATAGATTTAGCTTGATATTTTTGAATGGTTTATAAGATCATGAAAATAATGGATACAAATGGTACTTCTTTAAATTCAAATCCATTCAATAATAGTGATTCCAAAGATTATAATTTCATGTTTTCTCCTAATATATAATATCTTTAAGCATCTTCACATACTCTAAAGATATTAGGCATCAATTAAAATGCATGCATGATGGTTAATTGATTGTGAAATATTTGTAGTTCTTAATTTTCTTCTAGTTATTTCTTTTCGAATTTGATTGTTGAGAAATATTGATTATTTTTCTAATTTTATGTATATATTTTAATACTTTATATGATTAGGAAAGAGGTAGACAGTTTTTCTGTTCAATAAATCGATATCTTCCACTGTAATTTTTGTGAACACAAAATTTTTTTAGATAGATCTTTAATCTAAGACACTGTTGAGGATTTGAAGTGATTAGGAATTCTTTACTAGTAGTATTCTTAATAATGATGATATTAATTCCTTCACTATTTTTAGGCTTGCTTACTCTCTACTCAAATTGACATTTGCTCAACTCTATGAACTAATTATCTATTATTAAAGAGTTGAAAGAAATCACAATCTCTTTTTGCACAAATTCCTTTGTTTTTTATACATAGATTATGATTTATTCTTTTAGTAATTCCTTAACACATAATTTTTCAGCCAATGTTCCTTCCATTTTCTAAAATAAACTCTTTGAATCGTGCATTTTATATTCATCTATCAACTAAGAATAGTGCTATTAAATTTACATAATATTAAATTATTTGATATTTCCATCTTTCAATATATTCACCCAAAGAAACGAATATTTTGACAATCATATCATAATTATATATAGTTTCTATCATTAAACTTCTACATTTTTGAATATATCTGTCAATTCTTCAATTATATACACTGAAAATAAAATAACCAATTTATTAGATACTCTAATTATATTTCTATATCTCTATTAGTCAAATTACTTCTATATTATTTAAGTAAATTTTAAAGAAACTATCTTTTAAGAATTAGAATATGGTTTTTTATTCATAGAATTTTGAAAAATAATACTGTCTTTATTAATTGAGTTGATTTCTTAAACAATAATTCATAGACTTAATTACATATTTGAATTTATAATTATTTAGCTATATAGAGGAGAATGTATAATTAATATATTTTATAAAAATCATTTATTTTTGCTTCAATTATTTCTTATTCTTAAATACATGTAAATTAATGCTTGTATCTTAATTACAAATATTAATCTTTCAAACTTTTAATAGTATTTATTTATAGAATACTAATAATTATATATAATTTTTATCTGATATAAATTATTCTTCCTGAATTTGTATCTAAAATTTAATGAATTAAAATATTTAATATATGAATACAGTATCTTTAGATATAAATATCATAAAGTATATTCTTTAAAATTATACTATCAATTATAATGAATAATATATCACAATAATTATTATAAGTTTAGATTTGCTTGTAAAATAATAATTATTGATACCATTATTTAATATAAAGTTATTGGATTCAATAAATACTATTATAAACTTTTGATATCTAAGTGTGGATAATTAAAATGTAAATTATTTATTATCTATTTAACTTATTCATTAATTTTTATAGAGAATTTATTGATATACAATTTTTCCATTAATATATATGGAACTTAAATATTATTCATAATAATATATTCTTTCATATTCATTCTATTATTATTTAATTATTCAATTCAATTTTTATTAAATTTTGGTCTTTCTATTAGATTAAATTCTTTTTTGATATTGAAACTTAAAAATTATATATATATTTATTATTATCAACAATGAGCCTGAAACAAAAAGATTTCTTCTTAAACATGTATTCAAAAGCTGGAAAATCAAGCTCCTAAATATATGCACATCTTCTAGGAAGAACAAGCAAATCATACTCTATATAAAAAATATGTAATCCTTAATTCATAACAATAACACCAAATAAACTAACTAAAAAACCATTAAAATAATAACCCTTCAGTTAGGGTTTATCTAGAGAATATCTAAATAAATTATAGAATAAAGGAAATACTAATTAATCAATTGGTATTTATAATCCAAAATATTCTGCTATATAAAAGTAAACAATTTATCTATTAAGAAAGTCTGATTTAGGTGGTAAATTTGTCGTTGAACATAAGATTAATATAAAGTAAGAAAACGATTCTTATACTTCTATTGATTTAAGTAATATAAAATCTAAAAGAACAAAAGGATATGTAGATCTAAAGAGATAGTTATCAAGATAGCAATACTATCGATAACAAAATAATTCAAAAAATAGTAAATTGAATTAGTTTTTATCAATTAATACTAATTCAATAAGAGAGTAAAATTAATATTCTATCAAATTTAAAAGATCTAGAAGTGTTGAAATCAAAGGATCTGGAAATTCATTAAATAAAAAATAAATTAAATGCTTTTAAACATTTTATGATTCTGAAAATGAAGAAAGAAAGATAAAGTTATTTTCAGCTAATTTTGAGAAGTAAGGAGTCAGGAATTCCTTAATGAGTAAATCTGTTGGTTTAAGAGATTAATCAATTTATTAATATGATCAATTTTCAAATACAAATACAAATACAAATACAAATTCAATTATTCGTCCAATTACTACAAAAAAATTTAATATTTTTAAGAAATTATTAGAAAAAACATATAGAGATGAATAAAATATGCCTAGTATTAACAAAAGAAGATTTTAGATAAAAGCAGTTAATTAAAAATTATTAGAATTTAATTCATTAACAAAATGATGGATGACAATAATGATTATAAACAGAAATAAGACACTAAAATTCATGTTATATATATATATATATATTAAATAATAATCAATACTTTCTTATGATAATTATCTTAATTAGATTTTGACTATATAATTATCTTTTATATAGAATAATTTATTATATTAGTATTAATTTTAAATAGTAATAAAATTATTAAATGAAAATAATAATGTTACAATATAGTATAAAAATATTCAATCTTATAATTTTTCTTAACTTTATTAGTCCAATTATTCTTGATTTTACTATTCAAAATCAATAGTTTGAATATTTTGATGATTTTATGGAGATCTATTAGATCCTTCATTTTATTATTCTTAATTATCTTCTGAATTCTCCATTAAATTATTACTTTAATTTTACTACTATTATAATTCTTCTTCTTATTAATTATTCTCCTTTTCATCTTAGTCATTGCTTTAGAAATTATTAGATGTCACATTTTGATGATCTTCTTATGTAATTGATTTATCTTGATTATTTTCATTATTCGCAACTTCAACATTTTCTTTTTTATCTTCCTAGTCTTATTATTAAGGTTTTTCTATTATCTCATTAACTATCTTACTAACCTTATCTTAATAAGGTTCATATGGTTGAAAATCAGATTCAAAGAGACTTCTAGTTGTATTATAATATGGTTATATACTACCTTTGTTAGTTTTCTTAATTGGTCAAGAGTTATCTTGATTCTGTATTGTTATCTTGTCTGGGTCTTAATCTAATAGATTAATAATACTTAATACTTAGTTTATTGACTTTTAATTTCTAAGGGATCTAATTTCTTATTATTAAAATTATCTCTTTCTATTAATATATAAGTTTTGAATTATTACTTTATAATTAAGACTCATTAATTCTTGAATTAGTCCAATATTATACTAAAGTTTTAGTAGGTTTGAAATCTTTATAGGGATATTCGCATATATTTGAAATTTATTTTTCAACCCATTTTCGCTCTTGATTCCAATCTTTAACATTATATTAAGATTTTTAATCTTAGATTCTTTTCAAGAGTTATTAATTCTCCATAACTATTTTAATTAATTCTTTTTTTCTGTATTCTTTATTAAGTGATTTCTTTGGAGCAATATTCAAGGTAGTAGATTTCTTAATTGCTAAAGTAGAGATAGAATTATCTTAATTAGTATTATATTATTACTTGATTATTATTGCATAATGGTAGTTAATTTAGATATGAGATTTTAATTTTCTCTATCTATTTCTTATTATTTTTGTGATTTAATAGCTTCTTTAATCTTTTTATTTTTAAGGAAATCATATTGTTTAGGTGCACTAGTATTGATTTATGGTCTCATAGTTAATAAATGAGTATTAAGAATTACTTGGTTCTAGAATATTTCTTTTGTTGCACATATTTTATTCCCAATTGGAATGTTTCGATTCATTAAATAATATTTATAATTATTCTCATAAAGTTCTTATAAATAAATCATCATTATTTTCCATATAATTCTTGGTAGACTTTATCTTCTAGTAAATACTTCATAATTTTCTATTAAATCAAAAATATATAACATACCTTAATTCTCTCATAACTATGGAATTTATTTAGAAATGTGAACATTGTAAATTATACCAAAAGTGAATATATTATGTAATTCAAAACAAAGCTAGTCAAATAAGCTAAAGCCCAATATTAGGATTCTTTAATGGAATTATAACGAGCCAAACTTCCTAATAAGATAAAGTAGAAAAATGAAACAACAAGTAGTATCAATGTCAATCCTATAATCTTTAAGAATTTCATTGTATTATGAATAAGGAAAGAAAATATCTTACAAAATATTAATCCAAATAATGATTGTAATATAGATAATGCTAAAATTGTATTTAAACTAATAATCTAAAACATAAAATTTATATTATTACTTCTCCAAAAAATGTTAATATGCAAATTTCACCAATAATTGACATATAAACTATAATGGTTCTATATACTCTACTTTATTATTCATTATAAAGATAATAAAGACTCATTAAAACATGATTAATCTAAATAAATCAATATATAAAATTACTTTAAAATAAAGAAAGAATCCTTAATGAAATTTTACTTATTAATTTTGAATAGAATTGAAAATTGAATCCTCTCTTTTAGGTGAATTTTGTTCTTTTTGTTCATCTAAAATTGGTGTACCTGAAAGTTAATTACCTTCTGTTTCTTCAATTGCTTTACCAGAACGTCCATTTGAATCTAAAGCCATACTACGTTTACTAGAACATGCAGAATCAATTTATCTATTTTAATTATCTTCTGAAAGAGTTTTATTATTTTAGATTTTTATGCTATTATTTTTAGTATGATTATTATTTTATTTCAATTTTCGTTTTCCTTATTATTATAAATCTAATTATGCTAATTCATCAATACTACCAGCTCTTTCTTTATCTGGGAATTCATCCCATGATTATGGCATAACTTTGGCTGAAAAAAATGATCCAGAATTAATTTACTTTTAATCTAATCTATGTCCTATATATAGAAACAATATGAAAATTAAGGTAAATAAGATTATTATGTATAAGAATAACATCTCCTCATAATGACATTAATTTATTTTATTTATTGTATCAATAGAAAAGAAGGAAGCTAATTAATCTGCTAATTAATGCATTGCATCAATAAGAGTAATTATAGATATTTTCTAACATTCACAAATAGTTTTGAAATCTTTTTCAGTAGTAGTACAAGCATCTAAACTCCATGAATCTTCTATTTTCATAACACATTCATAAAATTTCTATTTATCAGGTTTAGGAAATTCATAATATAAGGTTGACATAGAATCAATAAGTTGAGTTTAATTTTCTTCAAAAGATACTGTTGGATGATAAAGAATAGTATTAGTATGATTTTTATTGATTTCCATAAAGTCTGAATCATATAGATAAGGATTAGAGACATATTTAATCAATTTATATTCAAAACGAATTGAATTTTATTGTTATTAATAATCAGTTTCATCATCATCATCTACAAGTTATTATTAAGATGTTAATACATTACCTAATGCTTATTATAATAATTTAGATGTAACTCTTTATGTAGATATATTAAATTAATTAGTCTAAATGGATAATTTCTTACTGTTGATCATTTATTAACTTAATTGTATTTGTGTAATAACATTAAGGGAATCTATAATTTACTGATTGTTTATTTTAATTGAATTTTAATTTTCATATAGTTATCTCCTAAATTAATTAGATATTTAATTTTTATTAAATAGTTCTGCAATATATTATGTATATCCTAATACTTCTTCATGTAGAAAAACATTTTATAATAATTATTTAGATCTATCATAACTATTATCAATTAAAGTAATTTATTATTTCAATTATTATTCAATTTCATTAAGTCTTACTTTTGATTTATCCAATTCTTAATTTATTTAATCATATGATAAAGATTAACTCTATTATACTAATAATTTTTTGAGAAATAATTATTAATTAACATCGTATTCACAATCACATTCACTTTATTATAGAGTGTTTTATAATTTTTTGTCTGTTAATTATTAAGGTGATGATTGATTATTATTTTCAGAATTCAACATAAATAATATTGAAGATTTTAAATCTGATTGACTTGACATCATTGATTAAACTTATTCTGTCTCTGTAGATGTAACATTTACAACTAGAGTATAATTACTAATCCCATTCAATGTATCTTTCACTTAGACTACTAAATATGTTTTACCCTTCCCAACTAATTTAGTTTTATAGACAGGATCATATTGATAAGGATTCAACACTACTCCTTTATATAATTAGCCAATAGCATAATCATAATGTAAATCTGATTAATTCTAATACAATAGTATTCTATATTATAAAGATTGATTAACATCAAAACAATTCTTAGTGGATATAGTAAAATCTGTTATTAATGATTAACCAGAAGTAGGTTCAATATTAACAATACATGATTTTGGAGGTAAATTGATATAGATATTCATAATTATTGTAGATGGTTAAAAGTAATTTGGATTGTGAATTGTTATTTTTAATGTTAATTTCTCTGATAATTCTTCTAATTTTAAGTAATCCCAAATTTGTAATTTCAATTCCAAATAATCAAATGTAAATTAAGCTATAATTCTTTCACTTGTATATAATAATCCTATATATTATAAAGTGTCTGGATTTACATTCAAATCCACAAATCTCAATTTAATATTTATTTAATCATAAAAATTGATAAATCCAGAATAAATATCTGGAGTTGTTTCAAAATCAACTTTTGGTACATCAGTTTCAACTATCTGTAATTGTATTTATTCCTTCATATTTTTATATGACACTGATATAATAATTGTCTAAAATGGATTAAAAGTATAAGCAGGAATTGTAATAGTACCATCATAACCTAATTTCAATGTTTGATTATTTCTAATACATAATTCATTTTCAAGAACATCAAAACATTCCCATATGAATTATTCATTTCTTAATAAACTATTTGTTATATAAGCCTCTAGATTGATAGATTGTCTATAATTAAAAGTAGTACTTGTTGATTTTAATACTAATCTTTAAATATTATCAATTATTTATAAATTAATTATCTATTCATTTATTACTTTATCTTAAAATAGTGTTTTAATATTAAGATTATATATTCCTATTTTTAAAGATTATGATTTAAGAGTAAATATATAGTATAAACCAATCTAATTTTCTTATTAATATAATTAACCATCTATTTAGATTAGATAATTGACTCTATCATAATTCTAAAATATTTGATGTGGACAATATTATGAATATATTGATATTTAAATTTCTTAGGAGATCTAATATGGAGTTTATTAATAAGCAATTTCAGTTGTGATTTTACCAAATTCTTGTATAACTATTAATTATGATTTATAGATTTCATTTAATATACTAACATATTGTAATTCAATTATAATCTCATTTTCATCATCTAAAATATTTCCTTTAAATTCAAAATATTATGTAAATGGATTTGATTAAATTTATTAATTTAAGAATTACATAAAATTATCCAATTAAGGATCTTATTTCTTATACTATATCAAATTCCATTATTACAATTAAAAATTATTCTAATTCAAAAATGATATTAATAAATTCTATTTTTAACACTTAGATAGATAAATCTTACTTTAAACAAATTATAACTTTTCTTTAACTTAATCAGCTTAACCCAAAATTCTTAATTCATTATTATAATAGGTTTAAATAACTGTAGAGCATTTTTCAAATTATATAATATTTGGATAAAATTCTATCAGATCTCCTTATTTTAGATTTGCTTTAGGTCCTAACTTAACTTATATCTTATTATTATCCTTAAAACATAAAGGATTTTCACCAAACAATTCAATAGTTTATGATTTAAAAATATGATTACAATTCAAATACAAATCTTTGATATTCCATATAAAATTGATGATTAAAATAGTCAAATCATAATTCAAAGAAATATTAAGACTAGCAATTGTACATGCTAGAATTATTATACATAAATAATTACTTGTACACCAAATAGAGTTTTCAATTTCAAGTGAATTCTTTGGACAAGAACAATCAGGTAATGAAATTCTATTTCCAGAACATGAAGTACAATAATCACCATATGAAGTACAAGTCTTACATTATTAACTACATTTATAACATTAATGTGTTTCAGTCTCAAAATAACCTTATTAAATATTAAATATACCATCTTAACATTAACATTAAGGAGGATTAACAAATCCATCAACACATTATATACATACATTAAAAGTTGAACATGTTTTACAATTATATTAACAATTTAAACACATTGCATCATCATAATAATATCCATTTTCACAAGATTAACATAAAGGTAATGAAATTAAATGGGATCCTGTCTTACATTCAATACATGTATCAACATTTATACAATTTTGACATTCTGCTTTACATTTTAAACATTCTGCTTTATTATCTTCATAATAACCTTCCAAACAATTACAATCTGATTTCCTATTATAAGTATTATCACATTTAGCACATTTATTATTTACTAATTAATAACCAGGTTCACATAATGAACATTAAGTATTAATACACCAAATACAATGAAAATCACAATAATCAATTAATATATGTAAATTTGTTATTCCTATACTACCTTCTAAAGGAGATCTCATTAAATTTGATACAAATCGTATATTTATGTCGTTAGATATATGTATAACATCTAATGCTATGTGTTCTACTGTATCAGGAAAGGTTCTATAGAATTAATTTGTACCTGTATTTTTGACGTTTTTTTCATAAACAACTGTTCCATCAACAATTATTTAAAATTTATCATCATTCCATCTATCTATAAACCAAACATCTAAATAAATTCTTAAATGATTATGTGGATTTACACTATAATAACTAAGACTAAAATATCCTTCACTCCAAACTCCATAACCACCTAATAATAATTTATCTTAATAAATTGAATATTTCTATTAAGTCATTAGAGAATATGTGGAAGATTATGAAAATTCAAATCTATTCACCTATTCCTAATAATTACTTTCTAAACTATAAAAATAACTGCCCAAATATTCAGATCCTACAATTATGTTATTATATATATATACCATATTATTTCATTTCATTATAATCTATACACTTATTAATACCATTGAATTGACTATTGCTTGGACATTACTTGACACATTTACCTTAATGTAAAAGGTATCCTTCTTCACATTCATTACATGAATTATTTCCACAAATTTAACAATTTAATGAACATTGAATTAAGCACTAATTATCAAGATTGGCAATATAATATTTTGGACATGATAATACACATTTATTAGCATATTGGTATAGTCCAGATTAACAATAACATCTACCAGAATCTAGAGATCCATATGGACAACTTAAACATTAATCTATATTTGGCCCATCACATGTTTTGCAACTGAAATGGCACTATGTTGGATATATGACTAGATTCTTTATTGAAACCAATTAACAGACACCAATAGCCATAATATCACAATTGAATGATCCTTTTATTTCAATAAAAGGATTTCTTTTAGAATGAGACATTGTCTAGTAAACTGTGATTAACTTTTAATTGGTAGGAATAGCACTTCATATATTTTAAAATTCTTACTCAATTGTGTTTAACTTACAGTATGTACTTGATGTTTAGAAGGTACTTGAAGATAGACCACTTTCAGAAAATATGTTGGTAGAGTCAATATAAATTTTGAAGTAACTTGAACCTTCCCATCTGCCTGAGAATAAAATATCAAAAGAGATCTATATTTCGCTATGAGCACCTAAGTCAGATAGTTATTTATGGATATTTTTGTCAATTAAACCAAGATATGGTCCGTTAAGATCATCACAAATGTGTTATGTTTCAAATATTGTCTAATCATCAGATATCCAATTTTCTGGAATCCAAGGTTTTCCTTCTGAAAGTTCTATAATTGTAGTAGATTTTATCACTAAATATAGTGAAAAGAAAAGTAAAAACATCTAGAGTTTATATAATAATTCTTAAGCTTTAAGGAGAAAACCTTAAATAATTTATGTCTATCATATTTTATCAGATGTAAATCGTCATTTTAATAAATCTTCTAGATTATTTCATTGCTTTTATTTAATGTTGATAAGATGCACAATTATTATATAATATTTAATATGGTTTAATTAATATAAGAACTAAGGTTTATGATTAAAAAAAGTAAATTGAGATTTAATGATAAATAATAATTCATATCTCATAATTGGTCTTATAATACACATTTAGCATTTAATTATAAATAATAATATGATCAAAAAATATACATTAACATTTAATTCATCTGAACTTGAATAATCTTTTAGGCTATGGGTAATTGATTAAAATCAAATCATGTATGAAATTACATTGACAACCATCTCATTATACATGATTCTCAACCTCATCAACTACACCTAAAATATTATTTATTTGATTACTACATCAGTAACACTATGTATAGAATTGACAATGCTTTTCTTTTTCAGAAGATATCCTATGCAAAGAGAGAATATAAAAAGTTTAAATCTCATTGTCATCAATATACTAATAGACATTTATATATGGTTAAATTATGCTTAAAACATATATTTGGAAATAGGAGCTGTTAGATTATGTAAACAATTTTCATATTATTCTTAAGGTCTCTATATGCAAGGCAATAAATTTACTGCTCAATCACTTATATTTCTCTTCAGTTAAGCAGCTGAAATGTCAATACTCCAATAATAATTAATTCCCCTTATTACTTATAGTCTATTTTGTCTTTTCTTTATATTCCTTCGCTATTAGACTGAAATGAAACGTCGTTAACATTACTTAGCATTCAGATCCTAAATCTTATATGAGAATTTAATTGAAGAACAATTACCAGCATGGGTTGTTTTGGTCAAATATGATAGTAAGTAGGCTTAGTTAAAAATGGACAAAATAAATAGGGTTATGAAAGACACATTTAATTTGAATTCAGATTAGAAATTTAGAGAATTCTTAAGAGATTCTAACGTTTAACCATTAGAAGGCATTAATCAAAAAGCATTTAATTTTGAAGATGTACTAATTAAAGATTTACTTTAAAAATAACAAAATGATAAAATAACTAAATTTGTAGGAAGATTCATAAATAATGATAAAAAATGGTAATTTTAAATCACAAAAATATATTTTAATACTCTTGAACCTACAATATTATTATTATTCATAGAAGAAGGTGGAGATTTATTTGATTTTTTTACTCATTAATTATAATGGAGAGATTAATAACTTGTTAATCATAGTAAAATGTGTTTAAATTATATTAAAGATTAAATTAATCTTCTAAAATATTTTAAATAATAAGCTAATACATAATAATTATATCATATCAATAATTAAATCAGTAATAGTTATATCATTTTCAATCAAAGTTTAAATATTTTGAACATCACTAAAATTATTTATAATAAATTAAAATATAACATCAATTAATTCAATTTATTGGAATTAATTAACTAATTAAAAGAGGATTTAAAATTTACTAATAAATAATTATTATTTGATCTATAATTGAAGACTGACAGATCTAAAATGATATCAGTTATATTAAGTATCTCAGAATTCATTAGATTAATGCTTGCAATTAATACAAATGATGAAAAACAACTTTATGAAATTCATCCATTAGGTTTTCCTATCTAAATTAATTTTAAAAGAGTTCATTCTAATCCAGGATGTCTATTAATTACAATGAAACATCAACTCTTAAATATTCCTATATCAATTCAAGAAGCATTATCAAAAGCAGCTTCATTTAGTGATCATAAAAAAAGAAATTGGGGTGTTAATCACTATTATGAAAACATATAAAATTTGAGTGATTAATTTCATAAAATCAATGTTACTACTCATAAAGTAACCTAAAGCTAAATGCCTTATTTGGAACTTGATCAATCTCTACAACAACAATAATAAAAGATTGGAGTCTATTTGGATGGAAGTACTGAACCTTTCAGTACTTTAGGTCTTCCATTGGCTTAATATTTAATCTCTTAAATTGGACCTAATAATAAAATAGAATTTAAAGATAAAAAATTGAAACATGCTCCTGATCCACTTTCCTTCAGAAATGCTACATCTAAAACAAAAATATAATTCAAAGTATATGAAGATTTAAATTAATTTATATTCCAATTAAATGAATAGGATCCTAATCCTTATTTAGACTTTTTCATTTATAATAGCAGTTAAAAAGCAGGCTTCAAAACTTATTGTAGTATGTCTCCCTAACATCCTCGAAAAAGTGGTATGACAACTTAATTGATTAGTGGAAAAATTAATTGACTTCATTATATACCATTATATTTGTATTAAACTTTATTTAAAATAATTTTAACTCTTGATTACAAGTAATCAATTTAATTATTTATTATTATTTAATGTATCTAAACAATTATATAAACATAATGGAATTCCTTACAATATTATTATCTATAATAAATATATATAAATTTTAGGATATAATATAAAATATATGAATAAAATTAAGAGAGAAAATAAAGTAGAGTTTTAATTAAAAATTCTTACTACTTTATTACATTAACAATTCAATCTTTATTTTCTGCATAAAATTAAAAATGAAAGGATTGAAGATGTAATTTATTAGTTATTTTGATAACATAAATGAAACTAAATCAATATGGTGCAGAAAAACCTTATGGAGGTAATCCAGTGTTTGGATCAGTTCCTTTGGGTCTTCTGAATAATAAAATATGTGGTTCTGGCCTATGACATTCGTAATGAACCCATCCTCTAGATTATTAAACACCTAATCCTCGCCATTCCATCTCATTCAATAATTTACCTGAATATTTAGTTTAATTTTAATACCTTTTGTCAATTTTTTGAATATATGTTTAGGTAATATGACATGTCGATATTCATAGAACTCATCTTGATATTTATCAGAATATTCAATGTCTTCTGGGTAATGCGGCATAAAATAGTAGTTAATTAATTAAATTTAAATTAATTTTTTTTAAAGGCTATATATTTTGTTTTATATACTATATTTAATAAATCATCTTCTTATGGCTAATAAGGCTAACGACATTATTGAAGAAAGCCCAAAAAATAATGAATATGCTTAATGTGTTTGTGGAGTAGGCAAAGGTTTATCAAAGTTGTCTTTAGTAGCAGGAATTGGATATAAATTAGCTGATTCTTCATCATATTCTTGCACCAATCTTTCAATATATGCAGATGAACAATCTGTCTACAATATTAGCTTTCATCATTATACCAAATTGAATGATCTGTATAATCTTGACATGAACCACAAATCAATATAATTGTACACTCCCTCTCTTGGCCAATTTCTACGTCCCTTCAAAATATCTTCTTCTTCTCCTCTTCTTACCATTCCAACAAATTCAACAAAAGGCATTTAATAATCTTCTTCCATATTTAAAACATTTCTATTGAATCCTGTCAATTAATCGTCATCTTCATTATGAGGAACATTTTCAAAGGTCTAATTTATATTTAAATTAAATTACTGTTGTTCCAATAGGCTCTTATCCCATTTGAATATCACTTATATTATCTTTAGGTACCCAACCTAAATTTACCATCACTTGAGATTTAGTAGTTTATTCTGGATCTTATTCTGTATCATTGAATTATAAAGCTGTTACAAATGGTGCAAAAACTAAGAAACCATCTCTTCCTTCTCTTTCTCTTCTTACAAAAAATCTTTCATCCTAAAGAATGATAGCAATTAATTTAATACTCTGAAATATCCATACAATTTCACTAATTTATACTCCCATTATCTAATATTACGTGCCCAAGGATATCTATTAGCATTGAGACCATTGATTGTTATTGGTTTCCATTCAGTAATCTCAGTTTCTACTTTTTCATATAATTATTTTTATTAAGCACCCTTCCATTGATGCCAAGCACAACCATATGCTCCTCCAAAGAAGACTCCGTACGCCAATAACTTAATGATACCATTACTTTGTCTTTAAGCGAACGAATTGAATACTTATGTTGAAAGCATAAAAGATTGAAAATATTAATATAAAAAATCAATAATAAAAAGTATATAAATAATAATTATAATATGAAGGATAATTATTTTTGATATTTGAAATTGAAAAAAAATACAATATTATTCTATATATATATAGAGTAAATATTACAGATATATTTTAATACTAAAATTAATTGATAAATCAAACAACTATCTTTTCTAAATCATAAATTTCTTGCTCTTTTATTGTTTTCAAAATTGCTTTATTTTATAAAAGTTCTGGAATATTCATTTTTTCTCCTCTTTCAGGTTTGTTTTTATCTTGCATTTATTTTTATAATATTTTTTTATGTTCTACTTTGACTTTTTTAATTTAATCTAATTTATTCTATTCTTCTTAAAAGAATCTTTCTGTGTCTTCCTTCCATATTTTTCCTTAAAAATCATCCAACTCTTTTTCTTATAATTTCTTTATTTATTTCAGTTTAATAGATTATTCCAATGATTAAATAGTCTTTTACTTAAGTTCATTTACTCTATTTTTCTTTTTCTACTCTTCTTCTAAAAACTTCTATTCTTCTATTGCTTTCCAATATTATAATTTATCATCATCTTCCTTTTCTAATTTATATCTTAACAACTATGATTCACTCCAAGCATTATTTTTATCTACCTTTTCCTTCTTTTTTCTATTTTCTTCAATTCTTCTTTATTCAATTTAATCAAGTAATTCTCCATATCTATTTATAATATATATTAATATGATTACTTCTCACAATTTGCCTATTCTAATTTCTCTTATTCTTTTTATTTTTATAAAATAACCATTTTATCAACTTCTGATTATTTCATTACTTTAAACATATATTCTCTTTTCTTTTATTTTATTCTATTTTCTTCATCAATCTATCTTTATAATTCTTCTTGATATCTTCTACTGATTTCCTATTTATAATTACATAATTCTCTATCCTCACTATGATGTTTCTTTTTCTTATTATTTAATTAGACATCTCTTTCTGCTTATAATTGCAATAATTTATTTTTTACAGATGCCTATTTTTCTAATTCTTACTCATTTTTCTTCTATAATAATTCACTTTGAAATCTATCATATTTCTCTTCTAAATCCTTCTCCTTTTTCTTTCTCTCTTCTTTTATTTTCAACTACATATCTAATTCCATCTTCATTTAAGCTTTCTTTTATTAAAGCAATTCTTTCTTTCTTTCCTATTCCTTTTAGTACAGTTACGCATCGAATTTCATTAATGCAGCCCATTCATCTTCCTTTAATTATTTAAGAATATTACGTCTTGTCTATCTACATAATAAACTGATTTAGGAGGTTTTTCTGAAGTTTCAGACACTTAATCAAATGATTATATGTAGGTCCTTTAGAATGGTTAAACACGTTTTGTGAATGGTTCAAATGTTTTTCTTTGTGAATCCACAGGAGTTTTAGAAGGTAAAGCCTATTCTCCATTTCCCAATGTAGGGAAAAATTGTTATTGAGATTGAGATTAAACAAGTTTTGATCTTAATTTCGATAAGACCTAAGAATTGGCCCCCTCTTTAAGCAATACCTTCTAAATAGATTATTGTAATAGCTAATTCTTATGGGCATCTGTGGACCCATATTTTGATACAAATAAATTTACAATATCCTCTGTCATTTATATTTGATAAACTTACTTCCTCAAATAATATATATATATTAATTTTTCCAAAGAAAAGACTAGATAATTATTTCTAAGTCTTTCTTATCTTTTAATAATGAAGAAAATTAGGAAATATTAATCAAAAGTCTAAATGATATTTATGTCCCAATATGAAATAAATTTAATATAGTAGTGTAGAAGTGAAGTAGTATTTGATAATTTTGTATAATTTTAAAGATTTTGGTTGAATTTAAGAATTTAGAGTATCCTTAAAGAAAAGATTTTAGAAAGATTCTATCGAAGCATTATAAATTAACGATTTTCAGTATATTATTAATAGATTATTATAATTAAATTTAAATATATTTTGCAAATCTTAAATTTGTAAATTTGATTTTGATGTTAAATTCTAATTATGTATATATATATATATATTTAGAATATCAAATTAATTTTTGATTAATAAATTAAATAGTTTAAAATATCATAAAAATTGAAATATTAAAGAGATGGTAACGTTAGTATAACAATCTTAAATCTTATAATCCTGATTATAATTATTAAAATCATTTATCAATTTAATTTTATTATTGACTTTTTATCATTTCTCAGAACTTAATACAATTTTTAAATAGCTGTAATAGATATTAAAAAATGTATAATTATAAATAGATAATAAAGTAGAATGTAAATATGAAATACTAAATAATTTTAATTCATTTTAGGGTTAACTCCTTTAATCTTGTTTTTTATAGTTTTGCTTTGAAAAATTATAAAATTTAAGAACATTATTATTTAGAAAGCCTACTTAATCAAATAAGTTTGTAGATTAATAAAAATAAAAAAAGAAAGAAAACATAGAAATAAATTAAGTTTAAATATCTATTCGATGATATAGAAAACTAATATTTTTGTTTTTTCCTATTATTGCTTTTAATAGTTCATTTTATAGATTAAAAACAGCCTATTTATTTTATTTAATTTTTAATTTAATTTCGTATTTCAATAGATAGAGTTTATGTTATTATTAAGAATAAAATTTAATTAAAAGTTTTTTGTATATTTTTGTTCATAATTATAAATAAATAATTAATAAGAGTCATTTTCTTTTGTTAATTTCGGTTCCCAAAAGTTTTATCTAGTCTCTAAGCTACAAATTTTCTATGAGGGTTTTCTATTTTTAAGAATGTTTGATACTTCTAAAATCTCTTAAATGTTAACTTTTTTTTTTAATTATTGTATCATTTTTATATCTTCTTTATCCAATAAATCCTATTCTTATAAAGAGGGAATTTATTTTGATATTTAATGAGCAATTTGATTTATATAGTTTGTTTTCTATTCTAATTCATTCTATAATTAAACAATTTTAGCACATAAAGTATCTCTTGTTTTTCTGTTTTCCATTTCAAGTTCTTATACTCTTAATGAAAGAGATTCAACTACAATCTTTTCTTTTTTTGTTAAAGGAGCTTCAGGTGCTTTTTATCTGAATTATAATTCTCTTAATCCTAAAAGATCATTAGTTAAACATTTATTAGATTCCTCTAATACTGATATTTATTTTTATTTTTAATGACAATCATCCTTTAATTATTCTGTTTCCTAATATTATTATAATTATTTTACATGAGAATATTTTTTTTGCAATATTTTAACCTAACTTTATAAATCTTCATAATTAATTTATGAATCTTTATATTTTGATTCTAAATGTGAATATTCTTAAAATTAAGATTACAATAACTTTTCTAAATCCTTTAACTTTATTATTTTTTAATCCCTTTCTTATTTAACATTTATTAATTCTTATTAAGTTTTCTAATATTAGATTGTAATTTCATCGAACTTAATTTATAACTTTAATAAATCATAAATTATACATTATTCCTTAATTATTCACTTTATCTCAAAGTTTTTTTGGTTGTTTCTAGTTATTCCTCTTTATTTTCATAATTAGATGAAAGTTCACTTAATTTCTATATTTAAAATATATTAATATATTACTTTCATTAAATCTTTGTTTTCTGATATTTATATATAAGCAGAGGCTAATTCTCCTTCTAATTTAAATTTATCTTAGGCTATCACTCTTAATTCTTTTAATTCATGTTAAATATTATGTAAATCCTCTTTTTGCTATTGATTTTATAGTTTATAAGTATTTAATTCTTATGTAATTTTTGAATTTTGTTGACTTGTTTCATCAATGATTTGTTATAAAGCTGTACATTTTTAAACCATTCCTTCCAATGAAAGACTAGATTTCATTTATTTAGAGTTTTATAGTTTTTATTATTCTTCTTATGAATTCTTTAATAATTAAATTTCATTTGATAATGCCTTAATTTGATTCTATTGATCTTTAGATCTTTTATCCCAACTTAATAATTCCTTCATTGGAATTGTAACCATTTTTTCAGCAGTATTGCTATGTTAAGTTTATAAATTGTTATTATGATTTTAATTAGTTTATTGAATTTATTTTTATTATTATTATTTTATATCTTCTAATTATTATGTAAGTGTTTAACAACTCTCATTTTTATGAATTAATTCCTACTAAAGTGCAGTTAAGTCTAATAACTAATTTTCATTTTTATTTTTTAATTCAAGTATTTACTCATTTAGAATTATTATTTCATCTTATAATTTTTTCATTTTTCCTTCTTAAGTTTCAAATTATTTCATGTATTATTGTTCTTACTCTATAATATATTAGTTTAATTCTTCAATTTTTTATTCAAATGTATTATTTTATCCTTTTTCATATAATGCTTTATTTAAATCATCAATTTCATTCTATAATAATTTGATAGCTTATTCCCATTCATTATCTTTTTCTTATTTTGTCTATTCAATTTGATTATTTAGTTAGTCAATCTCAATTTTATAATTTTTAAGATTTGTTTAAATTTTCTCTTCTAAATTGTTGAGTTTTTCATTTAATAAATCAATTTCACTTAATTTACCATTAAGAATTTATTGATAATCATCATTAATTTCATTTATTTTCTCTTTCTCATTCATCAATTAATCAAAAAGTGTTTTAATTTCAATTTCATGTCTAGTATGAATTTCCTAAAGCTTTTATAAAGCCTCATCACATTGAATGGTTACTTTCTTTAAATCTACATTAAGTAGTGTTATCTATTGCTCATAAGATTCTATTTAAATCTGAGACTTTTGAATTTACTCATCACAAGATTTTCTCTCCTTATGCAATTCAATAAGTTCAGCCTCATAATTGGCAATATTGCTTTTTTATCTAGTGATTTCTTTTTCTAATGCAATTTGATTAGTTTATAATTCATTAGTATTTTAAATCAATATATTTCTCTCTTCCTCTAGTTATTTGATTGTTTGATCTTTTTAATTCAATTCTTCTTGTAAATCCATTAGTAATTTAATTATATTAATTTTATTGTTCCATATGAATGTTGTAATTTTACCAAATCAATTTATGAGTCTTAAAAATCAACTCTAGAACACTTATTTCATAAATTAAAACATTTATATAATGTTTTTTGTTTTGAACACATCTGATTATCAAATAGATTTTGAAGTGGCATAATTAATTTGAATATTAAAAAAGTTAGAATTCTTAAGAGAATTAGAGATCATAAACAGCATAAAAGATATTGGAAGATGATAATGTTAAATCAAGAGTGATATTTGTGTTAAAAGAATATTTTAATAAGAAATTAAATAAATGGTACTTCATATGAGTTTTTCTTTAATCATAAATTGTGGAATAAGTATATAGATTCATAGATATACACAATGGATAAATTTATAAATAGTCAATAAGCTGAACTTATGATAATATTAAAATTCAATTGAATAATTAGTTTAATTATGAGATTTTATGATAGCTATTCTATACAAAATAACATCTAATAATAAGTTATAATGGTAATTATTATGTAAAATCAAAAATAATATTTTATTAGATTGAGGGTTTCTGAAATAAAAAAAATTAAGAATAGTTTTATCAATTATTTTCTTAATTTAAACTAATTTTAGAATATAATTAATTTATTATGTGTTATATACTAATAATATAACAGAGATGAGCAAAATTATTGACATGAAATTTAATTAATCAAATTCAATTATGCATAAGTATAATATATTGAAATAAATTTAAATAGGATACTTTGTTAAAGCATTCTTATAGATTCATTTATATAGTAATCAATATATTTTTTTTTCTTATTCTAATGCAACTTAAATATGTTTCAATTGAATTATTTTGTATTTAAAAATAATTCTTAATAAAGTTCTATAATAAATGAAAATATATCTATGTTTTTTAATATTTAAATAGTGTTTTTATTTGTTCATAGATTTTTATGGGAGATTTGGATTGTGATTGTGGAGATTGTGGAGATCTAGGTGGAATTTGTAATGATTGTGGAGATTGTGGAGAATGCACAAATATGTATGGAGACTGTAAAAATTGCTGTTAAGATTGCTGTGATTGTAATAATTTAGATTGTGATTGTTGTGAGAATTAATTTTGTAGAGATGGTTGTTAAAGGTGCTTTTCAAATCCAGTAGCTAATCATTCAAGATTAAGAAGATTTGTATCATCATTAATTATTTTTGTGTTGCTAGTTGTATAATGGGTAACATCTGTTTCTAAAATATAAGAATACTAAAATAATAAAGTTCAGATTACAAATATTTAAGAAATGCTTAAAATAGGTCCAATCAATGATTTAAGTTTATTAACATAATGTCCATCAAATACTATTGTAATAACGAATTATACGATTCCTTCAACTGTGGCAGGATGTTATTGTCCAAATTAAAATGACAAATTATCCGTTGAAATTTGTAATACAACATAAACTGATTGTACAATTTTAAGTGCCTCTAATGAAATTTAAACTAGTAATTGGGGATATAATGAGTCAATGAAAAGGTTTTAATTATGTGCCTAAAGAACTAGTACTAACTTTGAGAAACTTAGATAATTAAAAATCAAGCTACCTGAGGATTGTAAAACTAATAATTTAAAGTTATGTCAAGATATGAATAACGAATTAAACTTTTTTTGTGTTGAAAAAACAGAGAAATGTCCAATAAAGGATGTTTAAAGAAACAATTAGATTCTAAAAAATTATGAAAAAATAGATTAAGCATAAATAATTGATGATCAATATGTAATTATTACAAGAAACTCTTCAAATAACTATATAATCAATTTTAATATTACAAGAGGATAAGGAATTTGTGAAGATAGAAAGAAATTATCACAAGGAGTAGGTGAAGATTATATAATGAATACTCAAATATGGGAACCTTGTAATCTTGATCTATCTTTTAATTAACTATTTAAATTAAAATTTGAAGACTTTTTAGAATTTAATGATTTAACAGATAAATTCTAAAAGACAAGACCTCTTTATAATTACTCATAAAATATTTAATTAGTATTTCAAACTTCTCTACCAACATTGAACATAATTAATTTTTGCTCTCTTTTTGATGATATTGAATTTGCTATAAATTTGTTATCATTATTTATTTTGATTAGTATGTCATATTGGATATATATGATTGTAATTATAATAAATGAAATATGCAGATGTATATTTAATGCAGCAGAAAGTTGTGGTTAAAAATGCAAATAACATGTTACTGCCTTTCTATTTTATTATGTTCGATTTGCAATTTAAATACCCTTAATAGTACTTTCATTACTTGGATTTTTAGTTGTTATTTAAACTGATCGTACAATTAAAACTATTTCAATTGAAAATATTAATGATCAAATATCAGAATAAATCTTAACTTTTAGTTCAACTATTTCATAAAGTATTTTAAACTAATATAAGTTATTGTAAGGATTAGTTTTTGCATAATTTCTCTTGGATATTATTATAAGTATTTGGGCATATTATGAAGAACATAAAAAGAAAAAAAAGAAATAATATTAACTTTATAATCTTAGTCAAATAGTTTCACCTTAATACCTTCAACAAACCAATTAGAAACCAGTTGAGGTTACAAATGATAATGGTAATGCAGTTAAAAAAATTTATCGAAATATTTATTGAATATATACTATTTTGTTTTTTAAATGAACAATTTTATCTTATATCTAGAAAACTATTATCATTTAATCAAAAAACAAGAATCAAATATTCTATCTATGCTAATGCTGTAAATCAAGTCTATTTATGAGAAATTAATTTAATAATATTAAGTTTTAATTTTATTATATAATTATGGATATAATTAAAAATTGCTTTAAGAAATGTGTCTATGCTTTTAATAGTAGCAAATTCATCAATAATGAAGAGGAGTGTATAAAAGAGTGTATAGAATAATACAAAAAAAGAATTAATTTATTATAAGATGCAAAATAATAGAAATGAGTTATTTTATTTTAATTAATGAGTAAAGACTACATTCATCCACTATAATGAAGAAAATCTATTAAGAAGAATGGTTATAAAATTAAAGATAAAAGAAATAAAATTACTATAACTTTATATATTAAGATAGATTAATATAATTTAAATATAGCATTACATTAATCAACATAATAACCATAATTCAATTTGGAATATTCAAATTATATTATCAAATTGTGATGTATTAAATTTTTACATCGTCTTTTGTTTTTATTTAGGTTAGCTTTAATTCTATATCTTCTCTGTAGTTACAAATGATCCTTAATAATCTTAAATTTCTTGATCCTAATTAAATTCAACAGTATGTTATTTAGACTATAAAAATCCTTGTTTTTTTTGATAAACATTATATTTTTCAATGTTCTTAAAGAATTCATGATTCAAACATTCTGTAGCTGTAGGTCTCAATTTGGGATCCCTTGATAGCATTCTTTAAACAAGATTCCTCAATAATAAAAATGCATACTGTCAAATTAACAGGCAATTATTAAAGAGTTAAATGAGAGAAATCAATATTGCATTTTTTATTGAGTTCCAAAACATAAGTAAAACCAGATCCTGGAAAAACATCTCTCCCTGTTAACAATTTGTAAAAGATTACTCCACAACTAAAGATGTCACAAACCTTATCATAAGTCTGATTACTATTTTATAAGTTAACGACTTCTGGAGCCACAAATCCTGGAGTCCCACATTTAGGATATTTAAATCTTTCTATATAGTGTTTTAATAATTATTACTCAAAGTACTATAAGTAGCTAATCCAAAATCAACAATCTTAAGTCTAACTTATCCTCCTTTTATTTCTAGTATTATATTTTCTGGTTTAATATCTCTATGCATAATATTCTTAGAATGCATGTATTCTACTCCCTCCAATAAGGCCTCTAATATTTATTGATCATCATACATGCATTATTGATTTTGTTTATTCTAAGGGTAAAGGTTTATGATGTCCGAGAAACGATTATAAATTTTTACCTGATAATAGATCCATCACAATGTAATAACTGGTTTCTCCTTAATACACTTCTTTAACAGTAATAAATGCAGGATGCTATAATTAATTATTGATTTCAATCTCCTAAAATTGCATTTCTTCCTTCTATACACATTTTGCAGCATAAAATTCTCCACTATCTATTTCCTTCACCAATAATACTTTTGAAGAACTTCCCTTACCTAATGTTTGTAAAGGTATAAAAAAATCTTGAACTCTAGAAAAAAATAATCTTCCTGCCAAGATTTGTTTTAGTTTTTTTAGTAAATCACCTTGATGACTTGTAAATTCAAATCCCTTAATTGAAAATCCAATCAATATATTTTTTATAATATGCCATTGAATTAAATTTGGGAAGCAGATTGAAAAATAAATAAATGGTTCATCATCCTTATATATGTGCATAAATTCTTTCTTTAAAATCAATCGATATGGATCTTGCAATTTTATTTAGAGTATTGGATCAGTATCTAGAAATTAGAGTTGAGTTTACAGAACCATCTAATAAACTTTTTCAAGACATGGAAGCATAATAATTATTGATAATTTTATTATTTTATGATAGAAATCTTTTATTATTTTAGGGATAATAATTTTCATTGATCCTAAAATTGATTAAGAAATGCTCTCATATTTCAAATCTATTTTTAATCAATACAATCATTATATATATATTACTATACAATTTAATTATCATTATAAACTTAATTTAAAATAATTTTATTCTAACATTTTTACTTTAAAAAAAAGTGTATTTATTGATAATCTAAATTCAATTTCATAGTATAATGTTATATTAAATATATTCTTAATTAGAATTCTGTTATAAGTATTTATATTAAGATAATACATATTGACAAAATTTATGGATCTATTATTCATAGAAATAAAAGCAGAAATTTTATAGTTAATTCTATTTAAGTAGAAACTTCTAATTAATAATTTTTAGAAAATTAGGGAAATAAAATATTAAAACTATGATTAAATTTAAATTGAGAAATATAAATATATTCTTAGTATAATTATTGATAATGGCATGGATTAAGAATATATAGATTAAGATTAATTAGAAAAAGAAAGAAAAGGGTATTATAATGAGATAGTAATATTTAATTTAATTGAGTTCATTTAATTGAATTCATAAAATTAGAAAGTAAATAGGAGTCGTCATAGTTATTATATTGAATTTAAATTAATCAAACTCTTCCTCCAATTTCCAATTGATTTTCTTATAATTTTTTGGTAATAAAGTCTTATATTAATTGTTATCTCACTTGTAAACCCTAATACCAGAAATATCCTATTCCTGGGATGTAAATACAAAAAAAGATGACCATAAAACAAATGACTGTGGCTTCAAAATTATTATGTATACCAGCCATACCTAAAATTAATATTCATATTACACACAATCCAAATAAATATTATGACCATATATGTTAACAATATCAATCCAACAATGGCCAACCATTCCAATGGAGTAGTTTTTTACTCCTATGATTCCCCTTTACCTTATGGGACATCATCATAATATCCATTTTGTTATTACAAGAATCCTTGTTACATAATTAAATTATTTAAGATTCCATATTTTGTTGTAAATAAATTTCATTAGTTTATGATGTAATAAATAGAGACAATTAATAATGAGGATTAATAGTTCATTTAAATAAAATATCAATCAATCATTTTTGCTGAATCTAACAGTCTTAAATTTCTTATCCAAATATCTCTAATCTCTACATTAACCAATAGCTATTAAAGGACATTACTATCTTTTTTCAACCATTCCCTAAATGATACATTATGTGCAAAATAAGAAATGTTAACATGGAAAATGAATAATTTCTCTTGTATTCTTTTAACATTTGATACATAAATGTTATATAATTCTTTATCTTCTTCTTGTCTTATTTTTCATTCTTTCTTATTCATCTTTCAATAATTTTTCCCCCAAATTAGTAATCTAAGCCTTTAGATCTTGAGTTTCATAATGTATCTTGTTTCTTTTCTCAGCGTAAATCTCGACTCTTTATTGTAATTTTTATTTCTCTTTTGCAAAAGAATCAGCTAATTTAAATAATTCAGATTGATTAGTAGTATCATTCTATATTTTGACTCTTTAGAATTAATAATAATGATCAAGTTTATTACTACGATCTTATAGATCTAATATAGACTATTCTTTTAATTATTATTTTACTGATTCAAAGTCATTTTATTACTTATTTTAAGTAGTAAATTGAATTCTTAATTGTGTTTCTAAGTTTTCAAGTTTTAAGATCTTTTATTCTAAAACTTTACTTTCTTCAATTTTCTTCTAGTCAAATTTTAATTTTTCTATTTCTAATTATTTTGCTATTTCCAATTATTCATTTAATTGATTTTGTAATTCTAATAATTCTATATTATCTGAATGCTTTTAGACTTATAATATCAATAATTATTCAGATGATGTTGGTATTGCTAAGATAACCCATGGTTCTTCAAATTAAACTCCTGAAAATGGATTCACATCTTCATGAATCAATATCCAAAGATACAAGAATTTATTAATAACTCTCCTATTCATATATATTATGTGATCATCTGGATTAGTTAGAGCTGCTTCCATAAATTCACATACTTTAGTTTGATCATACAATTTTGGAGTTAATATTATATTATGTTTAACCATTAATTAATGAAATGAATCTTTTGTTAATTTATAAGGATATTCTTTATTGATCATTGATAAATCTTTATAATGATTGAATAATTTATGATAGGCAGACTCTAAAACTATGGATTGTAACAAATACAATTACAATTTCTCTTTTCTTTCAATTTATAGATTCTTAACTTTAGTAACTATTTTTTTAGGATTATTTTGAGTATCAATTTTTTTTTAAGGAGATATACAATCAGTTTCATTATCCTGTTTATTTAAGTAATGTTCTTTATAATTTTCAATTAGTTAAATGATTTCCCATTTACCTTTCTTTGAAAGATGTATTAAATGTCCTGGTATTTAATAGAATACATTTTCAAAGGTGTTTATTTATTCAGAGTCTTTGTGATCTAATAATTGTTGGAATTCTTCAAAGACCTTTAGACAATTATGACACATATAATATTCTGAAGATTTTCTGATTTCAGATCTCTAATTTATTAGATGACATTTTTAAAGATGTATTAAGTAATCCCAAACATTGTTAAATACAATAGAATGAAGTTAAACAGAATTATAAGGACATTCCTAATTAAAGGGTGGTTATTGTATTGATTCTTATTATTGCGTTGATTCTTATTATTGCATAGAGATAATATTAAAGAGCAACTTCAATGAGAACTTGATGATTCGAAAAGCCTCTTTATTTTTTGTTGAAATGATTATTATTTTTCAATTAATTTATTATGGGAAATCAAATCATGGGCAAATTCAGGAAAAACAGATTCCAAGGGTTTTCTGACAATCAAATTGATTATTTAAGGTACTTATAACAATTTAATTTTAAGTGACAAATGGCTGTAAATTGAAAGCAATGGAGTAATAGATCCAAATAAGTTTGCTGATCAATACAATGTTAGTCATAAAGAAGCTATAAAAGTAATGATGGTTTGTTAAAATTAAATAGATTATTAAGTTGATGGACTTTGATGACAGTGGTCGAGTTGATTACTATAAATTTAAAGTAGGAGTTGCATCATTATGTTAAAATCCAATGACAGTAATATAAACATAATTATAAACATTTAGGCTACAGCAAAAACTATTTTTGATCTCTATGATGAAGATAGAGATAACAAATTAGGACCTAAAGAAGTAGCAATCTTTTTAACCAGCATATTGAATAATCTACACTATTATGAAGGTTTAGATGACCCAACACCCAAAGAAATTGAAGAAAAACTCTAATAGTATTTGGTAAAATGGGATCTTGATAGAGATGGAGGATTTGAATATGAAGAATATATAAAGTTGATGCAAAAAGATCCTGATGTCTTAAAAGTACTATATAATATGGGATTGGCTAATAAAGATGAAATGACAATTGAAGAAACTTGTTATAATGATATTGATAGTGATATTGAAATTGAAATGGAGAGAAGATTGTTACCAAGAGATGAGAGAGTTGAACGTATTAAAAATGGAATTGAACATACTGTTTCAGCATAAGCAACTGATGAATTTGGATTGGAAGAAGAATAAGTAGTAATGGAATGGAAAGATCAAGCAAAGAGATTAGAGCCAACCAAAAAACCAGAAGGAATGGATGCCTCTCCACCTAATGCTATTTTAGATTTAGAATATGTTTATGGATATAGATGTCATGATACTAGAAATAATTTAAAATATGGAAATAAAGGATAAATTGTATATCATACAGCTGGTGTTGGGATAGTTTTAGATCCAAGTAATATGACTTAAAAACACTTTTTGGAACATAATGATGATATATCTTGTTTAGATATATATGAAAATTTAGTTTTAACTGGATAAGTAGGTCTTAATCCAATGTTAATGGTTTGGAATATTGATAATATGAGAATGGTTTGTCTTTTTAATGATGTATTAAAGAATGGTATATCTAATTGTTGTTTTTCAAATGATGGTAAAAGTGTAGCTGCTATTGCAATGGATGATGATCATTTTATGGCTATCTATGATATTGAAATAGCCATGAATTCAAGAAAAGATCCAAAGAATAAAGTATCTCCTTTAATTGCAAGTGGAAAATTAACTAAATAAGAAATCTTTGATATTAAATTCTTACCAGGTGATTGGTAAATTGTTGTTGCTTGTATGAAAGAAATCAGTATTTGTACATGGAAAAATGGTACAATCTTGGCTGAAAGAGGAGTATGGAAAGAATAATAACCTCAACCAGTCTTGACTATTGCTATCAATGGAGGATATATTGTTACTGGTGTATTTAATGGAAATTTCTTATGTTGGAAGAAAAACATTTGTGTTAAAAGTGTCAAAGCTCATGCTACTCCAGTCAAAGCTATCATGACAAGATCAGCTGGTAGAGGAATTATATCTGCTGATAAGAGAGGTATCATTATGGGTTGGGATCCATAATTTAATAAAGTTTTTGAAATTGACACCAAAGATTTACCACTCAAATTAAGTTATCCACCTAAAGGTTCACCTAATGTTATTTCTGTATGTGAAAGTCCTGATGGTAAAATATTGTTTGGTACCAGAAGATCAGAAATTGCAGAAATACTTAGTTATGAAGAAGGTTAAAAAATATAATGTAAATTACTTATGTAAGGACATTTCAATGGAGAATTATGGGGATTAGATGCACATCCAACTTAGAATATATTTTATACAGTTGGAGAAGATGAAATGTTAGCTATGTGGGATGTCAAATAAAAAAAGTTACTTAAAACAACACCTAATTAATATGCTAGTAAAACATTGAGTGTTAGTTAAAATGGAAAATGGATTGCTACTGGTTGTTCTAATGGAAGAGTATTTATTTATGATGCAAGTTCTTTAAAAAAATTATAAGAAATCACTGAAGTTGTTGATCCTGATAAAGAAATCATTTCTTTAATCAAATTCTCACCAAATAATGAACTATTGTGTGTTTGTTATAAACCACCATTTTCTGAAATTGCCTTTTATTCAACAAAAACATGGAAAAAATAAAGTAAAATACCTAATTGCAAATATCATGTATTTACTTTAGATTTCTCTGCTGATAGTAAGTTTATCTAATTGAATACAAGTAATTATACTATTGAATTCTATGATGTAAATTCAGCATCACCAGTATAATTTGATATTGCTAAAGATATATAATGGTTCACTTGGACTTGTATTTATGGATGGTAAGTATAAGGAATATGGCCAGATTGTTCTGATGGTGATGATGTTAATGCTACTGATAGATCTAAGGATGGTAAATGTTTAGTTTCTTGTGATGATTTTGGCAAACTTAAATTATTTAAATATCCTTGTCCTAAAGAAAAAAGTGGATGTATTAAATATACAGGACATTCTTCATATGTCTGTGGAGTCAAATTTACAAATAGTGGTGAGCATATCATATCAGTGGGAGGTGATGAACTTTCAATATTTTAATGGAGATATATTTTTTCTCCATCTAGATTAGATGTTTAAGATATACAAGATGAACCTGAAAAAGTTGAAGAAAATGCTGGTGGAGCATTATTTGAATAAGAAGAGTTGGATAAGGGTGATATGATAGGAGCTGTCAAACCATTTTTAGGAGAAGTATAACATTCAGTTCCATCATGGTACAAACCAAATAAGGCTAGAGATAATTAAGAACCAAAAGGCAATTTGTCATTATATCATGTTCATGGATTCAGATTTTTTTATATTTTGGATGAATGCAGAGATATGTTAGGTTGGACAGATAAAAATAAAGTTGTTTTTGTATCAGCTGCTTTAGGAGTTGAAGTAGATCCTAAAACTTAATAATAAGCATTCTTTAATAAACATGAAGAAGATATAGTTAGTTTTGCTTTGCATCCAAATAGAAATATAGCAGCCACAGGATAGATGGCTTAGGCAGGTAAAGCAAAATGTATAGATATTTTTGTTTGGGATATAGATTCAAAGGAAGTATTAGCTAATTTTAATCAATTTCATTTAAGAGCTATAGTGTTGTTGAAATTTTCACCAGATGGTTCTTTATTATTAACTGTTGGTTAGGATGATGACAATTCATTAGCCATTTATGACTGGTAAGGAAAAAGATAAATTTGTACATCAAACATAGATAAGGCAAAGGTTAATGGAGCAGCTTGGAAGGATAATGAAGAATTTGTAACAGTTGGTAATAAACACATAAAGTTTTGGAAAATAAGTGGTCGTAATGTATAAGGAAAGATGGGTTAATAATAAGGTAAATTTGAATCTTAATTCTCTGTTGTTTATGCATTTGACAATCAAGTAATAGTTTCAGGAGGAGGCAGTGGAACATTGTTCTGTTGGAAAGGTGGCAGTAGTGATAAAGGTATCAAAGGTCATGAAGGCAAAGTGTGTTCATTTATTATGGATAAGCCAAAAAAATTATTATATTCTGGTGGATTAGATGGTAAAGTAGTATCCTGGGGTTATGAAGGAGGATAATTAGTTAAGAAATAAGAAATTATCAATCTGGCTACTAATCCACTCTTTCCACCTGGTGTTGTTGCTATGGATTACAATGAAAAAACTTAACAATGGTTATTTGGTACTAATGGTGCTTAGATATTCTCTTATGATCCAACCAAAAAATAAACCAGTATTGTTGTTTAGGGTCATTTTGGTGAAGAATTATGGGGAGCTTGTGCTGCTCCAACTGGACACAAATATGTTACAGGAGGTGGTGATAAGACAGTTAGAGTTTGGGATATTGATTAAAAGAAAATGATTTGTGTCAGTAAACCATTTCCAAGTGAAGTTAGAGCTGTTGATTGGTCATCTGATGGTAAATTTATAGTTTGTGGTGATCTTAATGGATTTGTATATCTATTAGATCCAAATACATTACAAGTTATGGATACTGCTAAGACTATCTTCACTACTATGCCTAAGAGATAATCTACATATTGGATTGATGATTTGAAGATATCACCTGATTGTAAAAAGGTAGCATTTGGTGCTCATGGTGGTGCATCACATTTAGAAGTTTGGACTATTGAATATCCTAAATTTGGTAAATAAGGAACCAAAATTTAATGTGGTTTAACATCTGCCTTAACTGCATTAGATTGGTCAGTTGATTCATCTATTGTAATTGTTAATAGTGGAGCTTATGAACTTAAATATGTTGATGTAAATGCCAAAAAAAATTAACCTTCGTCTAGTTAAGCTAACACAGAGTTTGCTTCATGGACTTGTAAATTAGGTTGGCCTGTTTAAGGTATTTTCCCTTCCGCTGATTACAGTGATGTCAATACTGTATGTCGAAGTAATAGCAAAAAATACTTGGTATCAGGTGAAGATACTCAACATGTTGTCTTGATGAATTATCCTGTTGTTGTACCAAAATAAAAGAGAAAAGAATACATTGGACATTCTTCACATGTAATGAGAGTTAGATTTACATGTGATGATAATTTTTTGATTTCAGTTGGTGGAAATGATAAATCAGTTATTGTATGGAAAACAGATTTTGGAAGTGCTTAAGGAAAAGTTGAATAAGCTAATTTATAAGAATTGTGTAAGGAAGAAGGAGCAGATGATATTGATATGCCTGTTAAAAAGAAGAAGGCATAACCACCTCCTAAAAAGTAAATATAACAAGATGAAAATTCAGTATTTTCACAAGAGGAAACTGATGAAGG